TACAAGAACAACTTAGATTTAAAATCAGATTGTGATGAAAAGTATGCAAGTGGTACGAATCAAGTTGAACTTAAAGAAATTTTAGAAGATGATTTACCTAAAAGGGCTGAGCATAGCTTAGAAAATGTAAGTGTAGAGAATGAAGCCTATCCCACTTCATTTCAACTAAGAAGATCAAATAGAATAAGAAAATTAGTTGAAAGGTATTCTTCTTCCTTGCATTATTTATTATTAACTAATGGTGGTGAGCCTAAATCTTTTATTCCAAGGTAATAAATAACATAAGTGCTAACTCTACTACCAAGTGGGAAGAGAGCTTTTCACAATAAGTGGTCTTTAGAATCAAAGAAGAACATGATGAAAGTAGGAGATACAAAGCAATATTTATTGTGAAGGAATTTCAACAAAAAGAAGGTATTGATTTTACTAAAATTTTCTCTTTTGTTGTGAAATTAACCATAGTGACATTAGTGTTTAGTATGGTGGTTGTAGAAAATCTTCACTTGGAACAATTCAAAGTCAAGATAGCTTTCTTTCATGGTGATTTAGTTGAAGAGATTTACATGGTGCAATATGAAGGAACTTTTGTTAGAGAAAAGAAAAATCAATTATGTTAGTTGAAAAAGAATCTCTATGAGCTGAAGCAAACATCAAGATAGTGGTACAAAAGATTTGATAAATTCATGATGAGAAATGGCTTCGTGAGATGTTAAATGAACCATTGTTGTTATTGGAAGAAGTTTGAAAGTTGTTATATCATATTGTTACTTTATGTTGATGATATGTTGATTGAAAGAGCTAATATGTAAGAAATTAGTAAGTTAAAGGGGCAGTTAGCAAAGTAATTTAAAATGAAGGACTTGGGGGCAACAAAGAAATCTTTAGAATAAGGATTACACAAGACAAAGCTACTAGTTTCTTGAAGCTATCTCAAGAAAGCTATATTGAAAAGATACTTTGCATGTTCAACATACAAAATACAAGTCCTATGGGCACACCCCTAGCAAATCACTTCAAGGTTTCAAAAGATCAAACACTGAAGATAATAGAGGAGAAACAAGACATGAAGAAGATTCTTTATGCTTCAGTTGTAGGGAGTCTCATGTACGTTATGATCTACACCAGATCAAACATAGCATATGTAGTGGGAATAGTGAATAGATTTATGATAAATTCAAGAAAAAAGTATTGGACAATAGTTCAATAGATCCTTTGATATTTGAGAGACACCTCAAGTATGACTCTTTGTTTTCAAAAGAGTAATATGAAATTGTAAGATTTTGTAGATTCTGATTTAGGTGGTGATGTGGACACGAGGAGAAGCACCTCTAGGTACATCTACACCTTGAGCAGTATAACCGTGAGTTTGATTTCACAATTATAGAAAATCTTGATGCTCTCTACTATAGAGGTTATGTGGCTGTCACTAAAGCTAGAAAACACTTTGTTGTTTTTAGACAACCAAAGTGTCATTCATTTAGTAAAGAATCTCATGTTTCATTCTAAGACAAAGCATATGCAATTGAGATATCATTTCATTCAAATCTTGTTAGAAGATGAAGCTCTGTAATTGAAAAAGATCAGTGGGTTGAAGAACCCAACATATATGTTGACGAAGGCAATTGTCACTAAGAAGTTGAGGTTGTGTATGGCCTCAATTCATCTTCAAAATAAGTTGATTGGCAACATTTGCATTAGCACATGAGCTATTTTCATGTCTATATGAATATCATTCTCCAAGTGAGAGATTGTTAGAAGATGTGGAGAATTGATCAAAGCCCAAAATAGTAACAAGTATGTGGACCTAGGCCCAAGATGTAGAGGATGCATGGATCTAATTACAAGATTCGTGAAAGGGGTATATAAAAGGGTCAATAGGATGTCGACAATATCGATTTTTATATTTGATCGTTCATTTGTCTGCCCTCACCACACTCATCTCACCCAATGGCAGAACGAGGAAAGAAGAGGGAAAGGAGCTCTCACATCAATCATTAGAGCAACCAACAGTGGAGCGGTAAACCTTCTTCCTTCCTTGTGTTGTGGCGGTCATTGTGGTGGCAATTGTTCAATGGTACTGGTGGTAGTGCTCAACTATGCTTGTGGTGGTGTCTAGTAGTGACTACATTAATGTATATTCTTGTGAGACAATTGCTCTCCAATGAGATAGTATATTACTCATGATCGTAGACATGAGAAGGTTTCCCTAAACCATGTAAATCTTTGTTTTCCTCCTTTTAGTGTTCCTTTTCTGTCTTGCCTTCCTCCCTCTTCTACTCTCAAATGCTTTCTTTCATTGTGTGAGGGGACGACGTGGTCAACATGAAGTTGTCGTCCCAAACACTTAGATCAAGAAGCAAGAGTTAAATTAATTGTATTCTAACTTTGTCTTAGGTTAATTATTTATAATATTGCTGGTCTCCTTTCATATAATTTTCTGATCTTTAAATCTAAAATACTCTTTAATTTTTATAATGATTCAGCCCTATGTCTATACCTACTCTCCAAGAATTCTCTTATTCTCAAATTCTTTTAAACCAATTGTTTATGAATCACAAGTGTTAATTATTGAGGTTAGCCCTCAATTTTTTAAAATTTTTCTTCTAGATTCATAGTTCTAAATGATTAGTAATTGATTTTAAGGATCAACTCTATTGTGTCATTAAGTTAGAATTTACTCATAATTTTTTCCCCAAAAATGAGAAGAAATAATTTCATTGTGGATATTTCTAGATGGCAATATTAACTTCAAGTGCGTGAAGAAACTGATGAAGATGAAGATAATTGAAACTTAGTTTTGTTATCTTCTTCATAACGTAAAATTGGTTGATTGTTGAAAGTGTTGTCAATTTAATATGGTCAAGGAATGATATGTATAACTTAACTATTGTTCTTAGACTCATTATCTTCTTATCATTTGATTGAGCAAAGAAAATAACTCAAATTTGCATCAATTTCTCTATAAACAATGTTAGCAATAATCTTGAGGTAAGGATCAAAGGTGATCATTCAAGACTAATCAGATATTGAAGAATTGATGAATTCATAAATAATTCATGTTCAAAAATATCTCTCTTATTTTCTATTGTATATCAATGTTAAAACTCTGAAATTAGTTAAAAATTTTAAAATAAGAAACAGATATAAAATGAACTTTTATAGTTGGAATATTATCTAAAGGAAAGTAATCTATATTATCATTAAGTACTAACATATATATATATATATGAATATTATCATTTTGACTAAGCCTAAATAAATCTACATTAGATATAACATCTTGATTCCCTAATCAAAAGTTATTCAAATTACCTTAAATAAATCATGAATGTCAAAAAGACTCATCCATGATCTCAATATGTAGCAATATAAATAATTTTGGGTGGGATCATTTAAAATAATTTTATAAATAATATTTATTAATATTCATAAAATCAAGTAACAATATGAATGATTTGAATTCAACTATTATGTGGAATGATCAAAAGTAATGAGTTAACATCATGAGCATCTAGTAGTTTGAGTTACCTTACATACTCATATTTTCTCTTCAAGAATTATTATATATTCTAATGTGTAAAATCATTACTCTTCTATAGTGGAAGTTTCTATAAATATCAATAACTTTAAAAAATATACAAAGTAATAACTTTATGTTTTTAAATCACTAAATTTTAAAATTCAATATCATGAGTGGAAAATAACAGTTTTGAATTTCTATTTAAATATTAAAAATTATTATTTTGATTTCTTCGTAAATTTATATTCAATTAAATCAAGTAACATGAGACATAAGTAAATTTCATCTATTTATTTGACCTTATGTGTGTTTGTAATTAAAAAAATATTATTCAATTAAAGCTACGACAATCATAATTGACAACACAACTGGAAAGTAGTGATGTATTTTACATATGTTGCATTAATAACTTTTAGGAATAAAACACTCATGTAGATCTTTAGTTTGATAGAAAAATTAAATGCATGTGATTTAATAATAGTGATGAGTAAGATGACTAAAAGTTCAAGAAATTATCCTTAGAACATGAGATTCAGATGAAGAAGACACTTCAAGTACATGCTAACAAAATGACGGTATTGAAATGATGAATGAGGTCCTGAATGAGCAAGAGCAAGCCAACAGTATGATAGTACATGCTAGGCTTGAAAGTAGAGACAAACTGAATTCAATGTGATCCTTCAATTGCAAGGTTTTGACGTACTCTCCTCCTTCAGTGCCCACTCGTCATCTTTCCCAAAGTGATCTTCTCCCACGGAGCTAACCCTGTAGAATCTCACTGGGTTCTTGCTCTTAGGCTGACCTCGTAGCGTATCAGCAATCGGGCTGGCGCCCGCGATTTGAACTTCACGAGGATTCTTGGTTCAATCTCACGCCATCAGAGATCCGCTCCATATGATACATTCTGACTCTCTCTCTCTCGCTGCGCCGTAGACTGTTTGATTAGTGTCTGACTAGTGTCTGACTAGTGTCTGATTAGTGTCTGATTAGTGTCTGATTAGTCCTCTGATTAGTGTCTTCCTGATGCCATCAACTATTCGATCCCACTCTCCCGGAGGTCTCCCGAGGCTCTGCTCGCCAGGGGTCCACCCTCTCGTGTGGTTTGTTCTTTTCTGGAAGGCCGGCCGCCTAGACATTGGCTGAATCCGTCCCCACCACATATTAACTACGGTGGCTGATATTGTCATTTTTGACGTCAGGAACGTTGTCCTTTTAATGTGGGCGAAGACGCCGCTCCACTAACCACTTGTGCAGGGGGAAGATCATCTGCTATCCCCCAACCGTTGGCCCGAGCCTCCCATAGTGGAAGAAGCTCCGCCGCCCCGAAGGGACCCTCAACCACCGCCTGCTCTCTCTTGTGGAGCTCAAGACCAGTTCCAACCCCACCCCTGTCCGCGGCGTCCCCACGGCCGACTTCACTATCGACCCTGCCCGCGGACTCTCGAGGCGCGGCTCCACTAATCCCCTGTGGAGGAGGAAGATGATCTTCAAGCACCTTACTGCTGGCCCGAGCCTCCCATGGTGGACGAAGCTACAGATTTTCCTCCTCTCTCTCGCCTCCGACTACGTTCGCCGCCCCGACGGGACCCTCAACCGCCGCCTGCTCTCTCTCGTGGAGCTCAAGACCCATCCCAACCCCACCCCCGTCGGCGGCGTCCGCACGGCCGACTTCACCATCGACCCCGCTCGCGGACTCTGGGTCCGCCTCTTCCTGCCCGCCTCCGATGGCGGCGCCGGGGGGACGGCACTGCCCGTGGTCGTGTTCTTCCACGGTGGCGGCTTCGCGTTCCTCTCGGCCTCGTCCGCTGCGTACGACGCCGTGTGCCGCCGATTCTGCAGGAAGCTCTCCGTGGCCGTGGTCTCCGTCAACTATCGCTTGTCGCCGGAGGAACGGTTCCCCGCCCAGTACGACGACGGGCTTGACGTCCTCCATTTCCTCGAGTCCAATGTTGACATCCCCGGCGGGGGCCTCCTCCGGGAATTCTTCGAGGCGGCCGACCTCTCCAACTGCTTCATCGCCGGCGACAGCGCTGGGGCCAACATAGCTCACCACGTCGCCCGGCGGTGGAGCGCCGGGGAGCGCCCCTCGGAGGCTCGGATCAGGCTATCGGGGCTCATCGCCATTCAGCCCTTTTTCGGCGGCGAGGAGCGAGTGGACTCGGAGATCCGCTTCCCCCACGGGCCCATCGTGACCACCGACCGCACGGATTGGCTCTGGAAGGCGTTCCTCCCCGACGGCGCCACCCGGGACCACGAGGCGGCGAACCCCGAGGCCGCGGCGGCCGACCTAGGGGAGAGCTTCCCGCCGGTCGTGGTGATGGTGGGTGAGTTCGACCCGCTGCGGGATTGGCAGCTAATGTACTTCCGTAGCCTACGGTTGAGGGGGAAGGAGGCGGAGGTCATCGAGTACGGCGGCGCCATACACGCTTTCAACTTATTCCCGGAGCTCAAGAGCTCGGCTGTGCTGATCGAAGACTTGAGGAGCTTTATCCTCCGGCAGGTCCGCCGGCGGCAGAATGGCGGCGCCGTCGACGCTGCGGCTCAGTGAGTCAGCCGGTCGATGCCAGCAAATGGGCGTCATCGTTTTTAACGGGATCGGCGGTAGGCCGAGAGTAGTACCTTCAATGTACCAAATAAATAACCCGTTTTCCATCTTCCTTCAAGAAAAATATCTATTATGACTTTTACCAAATATGAATCGGAAGGCATCTATTATTATCTCTGAGAGAGAGTGATTTTATCAAAAAAGATAATATAATTTTATTTATTATTTATCAATGTGGGATATATATAATTTACCACTAACCTGGGCTTAGCCGCCGCCTAAACAACAGGATTGGTTTTCTCTTATCTGGATCTGGGCCAGTTTAGTGGGAGAGATATTGGGCCATCTGGGCCAGGGAGTTGAGGTCCATTGTTGTCGGACGACGTCATCTGGAGTCTGGGTTATCTGTGAAATACAGGCCAGATTTCCTGGGCCCTAAGAAACCCACGGCCCAATAATGCTAGTCTCGAACAAATTCCGAGGGGGGAGGGGCTGAGGTTTGGTCTCGACTGTTCGTCTCCGGGACGGCGATGGTGTTCGCCTCGAATGCTCTGGCTCTGCTTCAGTCAGTTTTCATTCGCCCGCTTCAACCGGATGCTTTCTGGCTGAACCCTTGTGGTGCTCGGTTACCAGTTTTGCTCCTTTAACCACGTCGAAATTGGCCTCTGCGGGCCGGCCTCCATCTCATCTCCCATCGCAGTAGGATGTCGGTTTCTGTCGAGGAGGGAGCACCGGATGTTGCGGAATCCCAGGTTGGGGCCTTCCCGGGGAGGAAGGAGAAGAGGAAGGCTCTCAAGAAACTGAAGAGGAAGGAGATCAGGAGGGAGCTCGCTATTAAGGAGCGGGAGGAGGAAGAGGCCCTTGCCAATGATCCGGAGGAGCAGCTGCGGATCCGTCTAAGGGAGCAGGAGGAACAAGAGGCGGCGGAGCGTGAGAGGAAGGCGTTCGAGGAGAGCGAACGGTTCTGGCTGCAGACCCTTGCTACCCGCCGGGCTGAGCAGGAAGAAGAAACCCGACGGAAAAGGCTTCTGGAAGAAGAATCCTGTGAGGATGAGGTCATGATTCCTCTTATACGTATTTTTACTCGTTGTTTAGGAGTGGCGTATTGTTCTTCCATAATGGGAATTTATGGAAATTAAATGTCGGATCATCGTTTAAAACATCGGGTTGTACGCGTGCTCAATTGCTGATCTGATTCCCACATCGTTCAAATGGTATTGCTGAACTCTTAGCAGGTAAAAGATACAGATGATTTTGGTGGAGGTGACGACTGGGAGTACGTGGAGGAAGGACCGGCAGAGATCATCTGGAAGGGAAATGAGATAATTGTGAAGAAGAAGCGAATCAGGGTGCCCAAACGGTTGGACCAAGAGGTGCCTCCCTTGCTAGTTATCTATTCCCCTCTGGGACCCATCATTTCAGGTCTTGTCTACTGCATTTTTCTGTCATTCTCTCGAAATGTTAAAAGTGTACCAGTTGCAGGAGGATGAGAGACCTACGTCCAATCCACTTCCACCTCAATCCATTGCTTTTGATGCTTCCAAGACTTTGCCACCTGTCTCTGCGCAAGAAATGCTCGACAACGTAGCACACCAGGTCCCTAATTTCGGAACAGAGCAGGTTGGCTTCGTATATTGCCACCTTCTTTGCCGGAGAAATTTTACTTTCGTTTTCTGACGGTCTTTTTCGTTGGCAGGATAAAGCTCATTGCCCCTTTCACCTCAAAACTGGGGCTTGTCGTTTCGGAGCACGATGCAGTAGAGTTCATTTCTATCCTGACAAATCCTGCACATTGCTAATCAAGAACATGTACAACGGCCCTGGTCTTGCTTGGGACCAGGACGAGGGGCTTGAGGTCTGTATGATCCGTGGCTGATGTTGTATCCTGAACATTCTTTTCTTTTCTATACACACTTGGCATAGAATTTCTAAAATATCATTCGATACATCTGATTCTTTTTGCGAGTTGGCGTTAGAATGACCTAGTTTTGAGGTTGTTTCCGGCATTGTGATTTCTGTGACCTCTCGGAAAGTATGTTGCTGTATTCCATTATTTATATGAATCGTTTTGGAAACCATTGACTTTTATTTGAACAGAATTCATTGAGAGACGGATTTATGACCTGGGGGATGAGTTGGGAACCCGTGATGTGATTATTTTGATTTCTTGCCCCCGTTTTGAAGTGATAGTGTGAAATGGATTTTCATTTTATTTCTCATTCCCATGTCAACTCTCTTCATTGCTATAACCGTCATCTCCTTGCGGACAACAACAATTACCAATGAACTTCTCACACAATTTGGCACATTCCTAATTTTTACGCATCCCCTGGATTGTGTTGATGAGACCATATTGCCAACAATGAGCTCTCTGCGAAACTGTTAGAAAACGGCATGCTGCATGTTTCAGTCCTAATTCCCTTCATGGTTTCTCCCTCACTACTATCTTTCTCCTGTTAATGAATGCTCCCATTTCTCTTATTTTTTCATTATAATCTCGAAACTCATTCCTACTGTTGTGGGTTGGTGCATGTTCACATGGTATAAATATGTTAGCCTCAACAAAGATGCATACAAGACGCGGTGACTTTTGCTTCTCATGTTGAAATATATTGTTCAATACAATATTTCCTTTTATGATTGGGATTATGCTTTCCTGAGATCCTCATCTCATCAGTAGGCAGTTGCATATCAAGTTCAACCTAGTAGTCTTTACATGGCTTCACCAATTCTCAAGCTTCTATTCAGAATGTTATAATCTATGGTTGAAAGTTTTTTGGAGTTTTGGTAATCATAATGGCAGTTCATTTCTGCCATTCTGGTATCTGTGGTTGATATTTATGCTTTATTATTTCAATGCATTTTTTGTTTTTCAAAAACAATCTTCGCAATAGACTTCCTTCAAGATTCTGTCAGCTGGTGTTCAGGCTTTACGCTTGTCTACGCAACCAGATCAGATTTTCTTGGATTCTGTATCCTATGTTTATTTTGCACCCTCAGTGAAGATTGTTTTTATGACACTAGATTCAATGTCGATTGTGTGGGCTGGTCTTTGCCCTGCTTGATTTTCCTCTTTGGATTTCTCTCTTGATTTCGAATTTTGCTCCTTAACTTTGAGTAGTCTACCTTTAATCTGCTAAGCTGTTGATGACTTTTTGGTGAAGGATGTTACTGGACATGGACATATTGACAGGTGATAACGACATAATGGAACCATCTATTTTAGTTTTTAAATACTTCTTACTTGTTGGATCGTTACTAAAAATAATTTTCATGATTCTGTCGTAGTAATATGCGGTCAAACTAGTTTTTCCTTCATGACAAGCCTTTTCAAAGTTTCTAGAGAGGTGGAAGTTCGTTCTGTATGCAGGCCATGGGTTAAGCTGGGAGTACAGATATTCTTTCTGATTATGTCATTCATCTGTCATACTTATCTATTACTGAATATGCTGACATAAAAATGCGTCTATATATGCACTGGAAGTTTATTACAACTCGTTAGGGCGATTGAGAATCACATTTGTCAGAAATTTGTTTTTATTTCCAAAGCACGCTGACACCATTGAAATGCTCTCATGAATTGGTTCTTTGCGTCACCATTTAACATGCTTGTATGGGTTAGTTCTCTATTAACTAGCATTTTAGTAAAGGCTACACTCGTGCCAGTCAGATGTCTCTCTGCAACTCAAAAACGACTGCTCTCTAGGTGTTATTGTTTGTAGTATCATTTTGCGAAAGATCATTTACCTAGTAAATTTTAAATGACTTATCGGTAGACGTAAGAGACCGCCAGAATCCATCCTGTAATTGAAATCCTCTCTGAGTCAACTGCTCTCTAGATCTCACCAGTCAATAGTTTTCTTACAACGCCATTAAGTCATCATTTCTAGTGCTGTCGATTATTCTTATGTTAACCTGTAGTGATTCATACTTTAACTTCGACTTACAAAAACGATTGAGGGCCTCAATTTTCATTTCTGTGGTTGCCTTACGCTTTGTAAGCCAAAGATTCCATCTGTTTAGTGTACTGGTTAGAATATCCTATTCTGTATGTCTTCAGATCGTGGAAGTGCATTCCTGTTTTTCTTTAGTAGTAATTACCGTAAAATTTGGTGATAGAAGATAAATACATTATTGTGATTACATTTTGCTTATGTTTTGAGAAAAACTGCTCGTGTTTCTCTGTTACTTAGTATGTGTTCAAAGACTTATCTTCTCTCTGAAATGCCTATTCCAGTATACAGATGAAGAGGTCGAACGCTGTTATGAAGAATTCTATGAAGATGTGCATACGGAGTTCTTGAAGTTTGGGGAACTTATCAATTTCAAGGTTGCCAAACTTTGATTTTTGAAGAGTGTATCCGCTCATTTATTTTGAGTAACCGAAAGTTCTGCATTGTTGAACAATGAGTCATTTTTACCAAGTTTTATTCATCAGTTTCCAGTTTTTGTATCCTAATTTTATGCTGATATCTTGGCTTGGCACCATCCACTCTTCAAAAAGGTCTCCACACAGATATTTGAATTTCAGACTATGTTTATTTGCATTTAATTCAATTGGCTACACTCCTTTTATATTTGTAGTGTGCGTAGAATATTTCAGAACAGGGTTTCTACTTTAAAATGGTTCTATTTCTCGGTTTAAGGTAGTTTGCTATCGTCGCAAGGATTCTCAATGGAAGCTTTATTGTCAGGTGTGTAGAAATAGTTCATCTCATCTGCGGGGAAATGTCTACATACACTATAAGAATCTAGAGTCATCTATTCTTGCCTACAATGCAATGAATGGTCGCTACTATGCTGGGAAGCAGGTACTTCATTACTCTTTTTTTTTTTTATCAATGTAAGTGTAGTTGTATTTCCTTATTAGGAGCGATTTTTGGTGTTATCCACATTCTAGAAAATTAAGATATTCATGATCTGTGGTTTATCCTTTGTTTTATTGATCTCATTGGGGATTGCATCAAGTGATCCTGTTTTTTCTTTGAGGTGCTTCGATTCAATACTTCTGACTTCTTTCCTTCTCCTTCCCTTGGATTGATCTCTAGATTACTTGTGAGTTTGTTACTATCTCAAGATGGAAGATAGCCATATGTGGTGAATTTATGAAGTCAAGGCTTAAGGTAACGCCATATCCAAGCTGGTCGTAGTATTTATGGCCTCATTGACTCTCTTTTGATCCCCCCGTTGTTTTTTTGCACTTCGCGTCTTTTGAAGCATGTCTATTGTTTTCAGTGATCTTTACCGTCCCTGTGCTGTAAAAACCAAAAATAAAAAATAAAAAAATTATCTGAATTCGTGATTGATAATTTTGCTTTGGCAGACTTGTTCTCGTGGAACTGCATGCAATTTCATCCACTGTTTCCATAACCCTGGTGGGGATTATGAGTGGGCAGACTGGGATAATCCTCCACCCAAATACTGGATAAGGAAGATGGCCGTTCTATTTGGCACCTCTAATGAACTGAGGCATGATGTTGAGCTTGAACTGGATAATTGGCGACTTCCAAGGGAGTTGATCAAAGAACAAACGCAAGACCGTGATAGGTATGCGTACTTCATTAGCGATATTACAATATGTTATGATACCTTATTGAATTTTTTACTGTTGGGATTTTTTGAGCAATTATAAAGTATATCAGTGGTGATTTTTTTATCAAATTCGCCTATGGAACAAAGAGAGATGAGACTCATATGGAAGATTGTTGCCTATATCTTTGCTTACAATGGAAATTAATAGTGTGTGACTACAACCAAATAATGGAAACTTCATGTGACAAGCCTTGTCATTTTAAGAACTGGAATATTGCCTATATAATGGCCCAGACTTTGTTGATTGGCAAGGGGGAAAGATTGTGCATTCGTTCTTCACTTAGGATTTAAATCCCTTCATGATAAAATTCACCTCTCCATGATGATACTCCCCATCTGATGATCCAATCCTGGTTTTGATTGTCTAAACGTGCTGGTCCAACAGGAAAAATATACTATTTTAAAAAATGTAAAATCCCACTTTCCTTATTTTATCTCTGCCCCCCTCGATCCAGATTCAGCTCTAGCTCTCTTGCCAATTTCTTCTCCTCATCATTGCTTCTGCCTTCTCGTTCTAGCAGGAAGTTCAGAAATGGCCGAATATGATTCAGCCTATCTGGGTCTAATTGGGTCTCCTCCTAGCACCCGCACATCAATTTCTCCTATGTACTTCAGAGTCTTCTCTACTGCAGTGGCTGTCCATGCGGGTGAATTTATTATGATCATTGATTCGGATTAGCAGGTACAATCGCAGAAGGGCCCGGCACAGCGAAGCAGGCCCATCAAGCAGCTCTGATGGAGATGATTCGGATGGAGGTGGGAACCAACATAGTAGCCGCCGAAGGAGGTCTGATTTTCCTACAAAGTGGGGGCGATCAGAAAGGAGTCGGTCTCGTCAAGATGATCACAGCCGGCGCAGCAGACATCCTCACAATACCGATGCCAACATCCCGAAGAGGCATAGAGATCGAGTCTCTTCTCGTTGGGAGAAGGAAACTAAGGAAAGGAGTCATCCTGAAGACGATGAACGACGAACCAGGAAGCACAGGAGGCCAGAGAAGGTCCCATCAGAAAGGGGTTATAAGTGTAATGATCACCCTGAGAGACATACTTTGCCACATTTGGATGACGGTGGTCAGATAATCAATGATGGGTACCACAGGGATAGACATTAGAGGTATCTTGTGGGTTGACAACCCCGCATTAGGGGTATCCCCACGTCCAGAATATTTTGCCTTGGCCTCTGCTGGTCATGGGTTTTCCTCTGCTGTCCTGTATACACGCAGTCTATGAGCAAGAAGTATCTCTCTCTCTCTCTCTCTCTCTCTCTCTCTCTCTCTACATACACACAGATATATATATATACATATATATATATAGATATATGTTGTGGAAGGTCTTTTAGTTATAGCTTCTACCGTGCGCAGCCTTAGATATCTCCTCAATGCCAAGCAGCTTCTGACTTTTGGAGTACTTCTAAAGATTTAATTATAGCTTCACATGAATAAGCCCAAGAGATAGAAGACTTCAGGTATTATTTCACACCAACGTATGTTGCTCACTGCCTTGTGTTACACGGCCTTCTATTCACAAAGACTGGGAGGAGGCAAAGTGTCACAAGACATTTCGTCTTCACAAAGGGGCAGCCCTTTTGTGCGGCTGCCGTGCCACATGCGCGATGTGGCACCGCACGGTACGGTGGTGCCGGCGCACAACGAGCGCTCGGCACATACGCGCCATATGAGCGGAGTCAACAACGCCTGTTTGTGCGGCTACCGTGCCACATGCGCGACGTGGCACAGCACGCCAGCGTAGTGTAGGCGCACAACAAGCACTTGGCACTTGCCGTGCACACCTGCACAGCCCATCACCCACCCTATTCTACACTGGTAATGGGGCTCCATGTCCTAACTCGGATGTGCCAAATTGAGGGCGTGAGACTCTTGACTGAGATATGGTTCCCATTATCTATAAGCGTAGGATAACCGTGTTTAGAGAGGGAGAAAGAGAGCGAGGGAGACGCAGCCAGTGAGGATGTAGTGATATGGAGGGTAATTTCATTTTTAACTGGAGTGATTAAACATTAATTACTTGAAATCATGTCTGCGTTTTATTTAACGTAAACTTTGATCTGGAAGAATGAACGGCTTTCTGACCTCCCACACCGACAAAACTCGCCAATCAGCGGGCGAGATGAAGAACGTTGACTCCTCGTACCCTGACAAACTGAAAGAGGGGGGGAGGGGGGGGGCGGGGGGAGTGATGTGGCTTGTTGGAATGAAAGGGACGAGTATTCTGGTTCGTCGCCTCCCTCTGTGCTGCCGGAGAAGGGCGGAGGAGACATGAGAGTAGGAGAAGTGGGAACTCCCAGGCTAGGGGGGAGGCAGCGGCAACGGCTGCATAGACTGTCCGCGCGGCGACCGCGGGGGATGCTCTGCTGGATCCTGGTCCTCTTGCTGCTAGCCGTGATCCCACCCGTCTTCTTCCACTTCAGACTGAGGCGCCTCCCCAAGGTGAAGGGGGATCCTCAACCTCTAGCACGATGCGTGCTCGCTTGGGCGCGGATCTGAACTTGAATTTTGCGGCGGTGCCCGATCGAGTTTCTTTGTCCTGTCCTGCTTCCTTGCAGAAGCGATCGCAAAAGTGCGCGTGGATGGATGATCCCCCTCTCGTATGTGCCCATGGTGGCGATGCCAGCAAGTCTGCTCCCAATACCGTAAGTGTCCGGCGATCGGGAACATTAGTTTCGCACTCTCTATTGCGGGCGCATTAGTCTCGACTACGCATACCTTCGCTAGCTCGATATTCCTAGGATTTTCTCCCAAGTCTTGTGCTGTGGCTACGTTACGACTTCAGCTTGATTATCATAATGTCTTACTTCCTGTTGTAACCTCTCTACCATATAAAACCCTGTTAAGGGAAATCAGTGATGATATTTCTCTCCTGATTCTTGAAATCAGAAGTAATATCTTCTGACTAGAATCGTTGAGCTGAACTACCTTTTTGGTATGTTGTGAAGTCCATCGACACTTCCTGGCCCGGATACTTTTAGCCGAATAATCTTCCCCGTGCAGCTTTGTCAGGAATATGAAGTCTTGGCTTCTCATCGGGACACATACTGTGGCAATACTGACATATACGTCCGTGCTCTGATTTTAAGCCACAGAATCAACATTGTTCACCGCTAGTAGTTTCTTGCCCTTTGTGTGTGCTATTTCTCTGGCATTGAATTTTTGGAGTTCAGTATCAGGGTTGGTGTTGAATCTAATTTCCTTTCTAGAATGGTTGTTGTTGGGATCTCTTTTGGCTTCACATTAGGAATCGTATTCTGTCAAGGATCGGTGTGAGAAACTTGTGTCAGATACCATTCTCTGTGCATTCCTATTTTATAGCTGGCACAATCCAATATATGAATTCCTTTTCACTTAAATTATGCAATGATTCAAGATGGGTGAAGGATAATCTCCGAGTTCAATGCGCACCTACTGCTTAGGAGCCATCTGTATGACTGCTAGAGAAGAAAGATGAAGTGTTTCTATCGATTTTAGAATCGTTTTTTCCTTCCCTGGTGCTATGGCACGTAAATTATATCCAGCTATTGATTTTAAGTTCATTAAGTATGCTTGTTGAAACTAAATAAACAGATTGCAGTAAGGGCGGATAGTAGGGTTTGGTTGCGCTCTCTGACCTATATGTTAATCGTTAAGTGTTCCTTTCATTTTCTTATCTCATTACTTATTTGTTAATGGCAGATGGGTGCATATCATGAGGCCCTTCGTGCTAATGTAGACTGCATTGAGATAGACGTCTCTCGCTCTTCTGATGGAGTGCTATTTGCTCTTCATGATAGGTATATTCCAGATTCTCCATTCATTTGATTTCTAATACAATCTGGCTGTTCATTCTACAATTGAAGCGAATTGTTATGGCACTTGATTTTACAGCTCTATATGAACGTCAATATAGTTTCTTTTTTATCAGTGTTTAGGAGAAAGGATGCAGTAGGAAAAGAAAAAAAGGTTATTGTTTAGGTAGTAAAAGGGAATCACTTGAAAAATTAGGAGTGAGAGAGGATGAAAATTAATGACTGACTTTTCTCGTGATTTTTATCTTGATTTCATTTTTTTGTGAAAGCTCGTCTCCTTGGAAGAGAAGTTTACTGCTATAAGCTCGTTGGCTAGGCTTTCTTTGAACTAACAACTCTGTAACTAAATTATTTAATAATTCTTTTCATGAAAAGCAACTAACGGATGGACAAATAAAACGCGGGCCACCTTATAAACTTTTCATCTACCTGGTGCCCAGACCTTATGCACTACTCTACCTTGGCACTTGACATTGATTTGTATGTTCTGCAAGTTCTGCTAACTGGTGTTAACTTCTATGCTATTCCCCTGGCATCCGTGAAGATGAAGCAGTTTCCCTTTCATTTTTTAGTTGTGTTTTACGTCAGTAAAACAAAAGGGAATATTTGATTCTCATATGACACAGGCAGGGATTTGCAGAGGATGACTGGCAATGACACTATCAAAGTCGGCTATTTGAGAAAAGATGAGGTAAAAGTCTCTTCAAATATCGTAGATGTGTCTGGGCCGTGCAGTGTCCTGCCCGCTTATTTATTTATGAAGTATCAGATTCCCACTTGTGCCTGTAGGTGGAGAGACTAGATGCCAGCTTGCGGTTGCCACACAAAAGAGAGAACCAAGAAGTGCTCACCGTCGAGGACGCATTACTGGTATCAGACATTCCTAGTAGCTATGCCCGATGCTTGAAGATCTTCTTGCGTTCTTGGCTGCAAATGTGCTTATCTGATTAATGCGGTTTCATGAGTCTCTCTCGTTGTATGCATTGTGCAGCTGGTATCGAAATCTGTGAAACGAGTGGTTCTTGACGCCAAAGTTGGTCCTCCATTGTACGAGAAAGGCCTAGCGAAGGATATACTCTCCATTGTAAGCCTGCCCTGGTGCTCGTTACCCAATTAAAGCTCCTCTTGTCTGTAGGCTCTTTCTCGCCTCCTGTTTGACTAAGCCTTCTACTCTCTGGTTTTTCTACGCCCCAACTCAGGTTCAGAAGACGAATTGCGGGAACTGCATCATCTGGGCGAAGAACGACATCTTAGTGCGAGACATTCTAAAGCAATCTCAGGACGTTCAGGTGATCAGTGCACCCCATTTCCCTTCATAGAAAGTGTCGCTTCATCCCCCACCCTCAGGGCTGGAGAGTACGATTGTTACCCTGGTTGGGATCTCATTCTCTCATCCTCCCCTGACAATTCTCTTCCTAATGGAACCAACAGATTGGATACATTGTAATGAGGGATCCTTCTACGGGAGCCAGAAGCAAGCTACTGAGGATGAAGGGAGCAGACGTCGTTGGAGTCTACCATCCCCTAATCGAAGAGAAGATGATGAGAACACTCCATGGGTAAGATGGGCTCTGCTTTCACATCATTAATGGTCGCAATAGATGAACGTCTCCATTCTCTATGGCTGCGGTGTTTCCTCAAAAGGTAATCATCTTCCTGCAGGGGAGGGAAGAAGGTGTATGCTTGGACCGTGGACGATGAGCCATCGATGCAGAGAATGCTGTATGAGAGCGTAGACGCTGTGATCACCAGTCGGCCAACGCTTCTTCAGGAGGTCTTGCGGAAGATGAAAGCCGAGTGCCGCGAGGGTTTCCTCTTCTGGTGATCCTGCCGTTGTCTGTGCGATCTGACCAGCCGGGGCCAGATTTCCTGAATAGTTCGTACATCTTGCACCATTGTCTCTATTTTTTTACACGAATTTGGAATCGGGGTCAACCTTATCTTTCTACCATGATTCGAGCTCATGTAAGACACCGTTTTTATGTTCACTCCCCAGATCCACCCAGAGGGGAGTGGAAGATCAGAAAGAAAGGGTTCTATTCATCTTGTCTGCGAATTAATCGAGCCCATGTTTACGAAATCGCAAACCGGGGGTCGATCCCCACAGCTTGTGGGTTTCTTGCGGTGAGGATAATTGTGGAAGAGGCGGCGGGCCGATGTAAACCCGCCGGACGTTGGCCGTCGTCGCCATTAGTCCTCCAGAAGCTTACTCTCTCGCCACAGACTCCCTCTCTCTCTCGCCACCTTCTACTACTCCAGGGTTGGTTTGAGCATTCCTTCATCCCCGGTGGGGCGACCAATCTTGCTGACCTCACAGGCCATATTCCCCCGGCCGGAAATTATAATATTATAGTTCTCGTCCAGAGGAGATAGAGATAGCGAGAGAGAGAGAGAGAGGATCTTAGGGGATCCTCTTTGCATCGCCTGATGTCAGCGGGAGGAAGGTCCCGGCCATCCGTCCTTGCATCGCCGGTGGTCTTGAGGACTCCGAGTGTTCTGTCTGGCTCATCCTCGGGTGATTCCCATCTGTCGCGGGTTGATTTCTGCTGAAGCATTTTTAATAGGCGAGAATCATTGGACGCGGCCCTCCGGTATATAGATTCGGCTTCTTCGGCCTCTTTTCCCTTCGTAGGACCGACTCGATTTGCAGAGGGACCGAGCTATGGGTGCGCACCTCTCAGCGGGATGGCGGAGGGGAGACTGGTTTAGTTTGTAGCATTTCATCCAGATTTTTCCTCACGCGTCGGTCTTTGTTATCGAGATCTCTGGTGTTCCCACCTCCCTGATCTTCTCTCTGGATCTTGGTGTTCCCCTCTGAAACTGAGAATCCCCCGACCGTTCCTTCCGCTATATTCTTGACTGTTTTCATCCTTCTCAATCAGGGATCCCTTGAATCTATCGGATTTCTTGATCCGGCAAGGTTTACCTCATTTGTTTCCCTCTTCGTTGTTGATTGTCTTAGAATTAGGGCACGATCCGACACTCTTTGGGCGCATCTCCTTCTCCATCGATTTCTTTCGTTTCCTCGCGTCTCCTACTTCCTTCCCAGGTTTTACTCTCTTTCAAGATTCTATAGTCGGAAACTTTGAAGCATCCAGTAATGTCTTGTAGTTCTTCAGACCCGCCGGCTTTCTGCTCTGATGATTCACCAGAATTGAAGCTCTCCCAAGCCTTTATCTTCTCAGTTCCTGTATTCTTCACTTTCATTCTTTTAGTCCTGTTCTATGTGTTCTACCTGAGACGAAGGCGAGCCAGCTGGGCATCTCTGAGGATGAGGACGCCCTACCAAGTGCGGGGGGAGATGCCGAGGGTAGATTTTCCTCTCTCGGCCGTCTCCAGCAGTCTCATCTACAGTGCTGTCTGTTCTTCTGATCGTGTGATTTTTCTTCAAACCCAATTACAGATATCCGAATCTGGCATAAAGAAAGAAGTCAGGGAGATGCTTCCAGTGGTCATCTTCAAAGAAAGCTTCCTGATAAGGGAGACGCAGTAAGTTAGCTGGCCCCTCAGAATTCTATCTTTTGACAGTCGCCGCTTGCATCTTTTTCTGCAATGAATCTGTCGTTCCGACTCAGAATGCTTGAGATCAAGCGATTATACGGAATACAGATTCAACCTCAATTTAGTAAAAAAAATCTTGCCCGCCCATTAAAACTCTTCGCTTGCTGCCTGCGTTTTCTTTGACTGAATGCCCACTCGATCCGTATACCCTCAGCTCAGATAGGAGTGAACTATCTTATAATTTCTGTGAAAAAAAATACGACCTTTCTTCTCATCAACGGTGTTTCTTCAGTGCCCTCGTCGATTTCTCCCTGGTTTTTTTTTGGGCAAAATTTGCGCGCATTTAATTTCCAAGCCCATATGCAGATGCTAGATATCAGCCAACATTGCAGTTCTAATTCTCCCCAGGCGCCACGCTACTAGGGCAGGCCTGGGGATCCATGGACACCCTTGGGGTAACCTCATGCTGGCGAATCCCTCTGCTGTCACCTGAACAACGAAAATGGAGAAATTGCGGCGGATAGGTATAATATCTTCAGAGATTGGGGATAAAGTCTTCAAAGATTGCATCTTGGACGCGGAGAAAATATGTTCTGCATCATCTCCGGCGCACATATGCGTTCTTTCTGTGTTCTTCTTGAGGCGGCCACCACGTCTTTCCTTTCTGTTCCTCCCCAATTCCGTTAAGTCCTCCGTCTCCTGTGGCAGGTGCTCTGTCTGCTTGGGGGACTACAAATCGGACGAATGCCTCAAGCGGATACCTCCCTGTGGGCACACCTTCCACGTGGAGTGCATCGACAGCTGGCTGTCCGCCCACACGACCTGCCCCCTCTGCCGCGTCTCGCTCATCCCCGTCGCCAGGTCCGCCGCCGCTGACCTTCCAAATCCGGAAAGCCAGGAGAGTGATGCCGGAGGCCAATCCAGCGGAGGATCCCCCGACCAGACGGAGGAAGGAGGAGGAGGAGGGCCCCCACAGAGCGACGGAGCCGTCGGCCTGGGGAGCAGAGAGGAGGAGCGAGGGCCGGGGGGAGGAAACTCAGGTGGCGGTCTTTACGCCGAGCCGCTTCCCGGCGAGCAGGAAGTGGATTCTAGGGTGTAGGGGACGTAGAAACCCTAATTATTGTACCCCCCACCCTGTGGGTGCCCTAATTCGGGGCTTCCGCTGTAGAACCTTAGCCATGCCGCTGATGAAGATCAGTCGTCTTCCTCCGTGGGGTCCCTTGAGCTCCCTGCCAACTGCATCATCATGTCCCTTGTCGTATGTTCCGTCCTTCAACAGAAACATCTCTCTCTGTGTACATGGGGAATTCAGATGGGATGAGGTGGGCCATGGCGGCCGCCGGTCTACGCGTGGACGAGGGGTAGAAGAGACAAACAGTCGAACGCGAAGCCCACTGTTCCCCTCCGGGAACAGGGAGAGGAAGCCGCCGTCGGACGCAGTCATACCTATCGACCAGCGAACGAGAGATGAGATCTAGCAGCCGCCGAGGGCGAGGATGATTGCTGATGGAATCAATCTCTTATTAAAAAATTCGTTGGATGGGTTCGGTGTTCTTCCCATGGCGGGTGGAGACCTATCCTCGTCGTCCCGAATGGGGGAGCTCACCGGCGGCGACTTCTTGAGGACGATGGCGGGGGTAGTTCCGTCATTCGAATCTGGGAGTAGTTTTTACAGGATGGTGGTGGCTGGTAGGAAAGTGACGCCACCCCGGCAGAGGAGGATGGATTGATCGATTGATTTGTTGCTATTGCTGGCGGCGTCGTGGAAGGGATTTTCCTCGCAGGGGGCTGCGAAGGACCCACCAACCCCGGAAGTCGCCCAATCGTGGTTCGGTCAGGTGGATCGTCTTCTTCTTCGTCCTTGTTACGCGGGTGCTCGATCGGGCCGGCGACCTCCGTGTGTCTCTGCTGGGCAGGTTCATTCCCTTCCCTCCCCTCCTCTCTGAGTTGCTGTGCTTCCATCTCTGATCGTCGCCGAGAGCGCATCCTAGTTTCTTCGGGCTGCTGAAAGTTCGACGGACGGGGATGTTTTCTCGACTCCGATGGGCGGGGTTTTCCTCGCTCCGTCTTCCTCTAGGGTTGGATTTGGCAGTGGATTCTGACCTCTCCTGGACTTTTGGTATCGAATTCTAATCCCTTCTAACCGGCGACGGTGGGTCGCTCTGGATTCCTCCCCTTCCCGGAGATCGCCCGGAATTTCTGGTTCCGCCGACGGACGGACTCCTTGCCGGATTTCCCGTGATCCTCGATCCCTTCCGGCTTTGGCGCGCAGGTTCGTGATTCGGTTCTTGATTTTCGTCTGGAATCTTCAGGGCTCTTCGCGCTTCGAATAATCTCACGGCGCTGGAAATCTCATCGCCCTGGAATCTTCCCTTTCGATCTCTCCGTCGTCCAGCTTTAAACCTAATCCTGCAACAATCGGTCGCAGGGCCCGGCCGAGTCGGTTAGCCCCAGCTTCATGATCCTTCCCCAGGTGACGCCAGAGCTCCGTCGAAAACCCTCTGCAACTCGCGGATGGCCTCCTCGTCCGGCAGCGCGGTCCTCTACTGCTGCGTCTGCAAGGGGAGCAGAATCCTCTATGCCTACAATGGTGGAGACCGCGAGCTCGAATCCCTGGCAGGGTTTTGCCTGGAGAAAGCTCCGCCCTTCCACGCCTGGTATTTTCAGACCACGAGGGGGAGAACGTACGGGTTCCTGATGGAAGAAGGGCACGTCTACTTCGCCATTTGCGACTCCATCCTGGGGAACACAAAGCTGTTGAGGTTCCTGGAGCACCTGCGGGACGGCTTCAAGAGGGGCCTGAAGAGCGGGCTGCAGGAGGAGCTGGTGCCCGTCATCCGGCGCCTGATATCCTCGCTGGAGAGCGTCTCGCGGCCCGCCGGCGGCGTGATGGCGGAGGGGGCGTCGTCGAGCCAAGTGTCGACCTCCACCAAGGCGCCGCTGCTGGGGAGGGTCGGCAGCGGCAAGCACGAGAGGAAGAAGATGCAGGACAGGGCCATCGACATCACCGAGGGACCCGCTGAGGACCACTCCGAGAAAGGGGGCAGAGCCGAAGGGCCGCTAGCGTTGGTGGGCGCGATATCGCTGCCGAAGAGCTCCAGCTTCACGAGGCTCCGTAGCCAGCAGATGGCCCGGCGTTCGTGGTGCCGGCAGGTGAGGATCGTCGTTGCCATCGACGTGCTCATCTGCCTGGTCCTGTTCGCAGTCTGGTTGGCGATATGCCGAGGCCTGCGTTGCGTCTCCCGGTGATCAGCGCAGGTTGCCCAATCCAGTCCCAATAGAATCCTCCGAGAGCTCTCGGACGGTGAAATTCGATTCGTGAAGATTTGATGACAAATTACCTCGAGGTTGTGGGCAGAGAAGAAGAAGGGAGGGGGGAAGAGGGAGTTCCCCCCTTACAGATCTTAGTCCGATTAGGGTTCTAGTTGGTTGGTTCCTTAGAAATACTCGATACGGTGAAGCTCGATACGGTATACGATGTACCACACAACGCGATTCCTTTGTTGATAGAAGCTTCGATTCAGCATGGTTTGTTGCACCAACTAGTATTCGTCTTCCGCCTCTTGCTTAAACTCTAAAAAAACCCCCAAACCCTAAACGCTGTCCAGTGACCTTCTCAAGCCGTCCATTGATCTCCTCAGCTCCGGTGGCAGCCACTCAGAAGGTGGGGGGCGGGGAACCAAATGCAAATCTTACCACTCACTTAACTGTAATCGAGATGGAGAAGACAACACGTGATGCAACCCGAACAGAACAAACTACCACGCCAGGCGACGCGCGCCGATCGCCGGCGCCGGCTGCCGGCTCGCCGGCGAGACACTCAAAGCAGGTAGTTTTTACAGACCAAAAACAACAAATGCTCCTTCTAGAGCTGCCCTCCCGCATCGCAGTTTACCCACACTGCCTAGCAATCCTATACAAGAGGACTGCGACGACGAGACAGAGCCCTACTACCACCGTTGCCGTCAACATGCCGAGATCACCTGTCCGAGGGGGCTGCCAGGTCGCTGTGACCGTCGTCGCCTCCCTCGCCGGTAGCGGGGGGGAGAGCAGGACCGGCGGCGTCTCCGGAGGTCGGTAGCTTCAGCTTGGGCGCGAGCCTCCTTGCCTCTTCCTCCGTGTAGATGTAGATCTTCCTCACAATGGTGCAGAACTCGCTACCAAAGAGAGATACGGTGGCTCAGGAAGGAAAGGGCGCCCGAGAGATGGATAGAAGACGAGGGGACGAAGAGGGTTTACTGCCACGGGTCGTCTCCAACGAGCATCATATCGTCCTCGTCGTCGGTGTAGACGACCTGCCACTTCCTGGAGGGGCCAGAGACCTCGCCCTGGATGCCGAACATCTCCTCGATCTTCGCCAGAAAGTCATTGTACCCTTCAAATCTGGTCAAGTCCACCGCCCTTCCGACGGCCATCCCCTGCAGGAGGACCTGGACATGGAAGGAGATGAGCTGGTTGACCCAGTTGCTCACACTTCCTCTGGAAAACATTCCAAAAGAGAAAACGGGTTCTCCGTCGGCGTTACCTTCGTGCAGCTCCGGATCGGCCTACTTTGGGTCTCATGCTGCGAACGGAGGCAAGATTTATCCGGGTCGCCGCTGCTCCGAGCAGGGACATCGTACGCGGTGGCGTTTGAAGGCTGAGACAGCTGATCAGACTCTGCTGCGGCGTCCAGCGCCATAGGCCCTCCGGCGCCCACCGGAACGGCCGCCAACGTTGAGGTCTCCTCCGCCACCGAGCCCTCCACCAGCTGGATGCCGAATAATCTGCACCCATTTCCAGTCTCCGGCTTCCTCTCGCAGGGTTCTCTGTTAACGCAGATGGAGAACGAGTCTTCCCTGCTGGCTTCCGCTCTGATCGGCCAATACATCGAGCCACCTGGATTCACCGGCGAAGCATTGCTTCCGGCGAACCCCGCCGACCCAGAGACTGATCCCGGGGAGGAGAGAAGACCGGCGGCGGATGGTGAGAACAGATCTCGGCCTCCATGGCGACCTGTGAACGAGAGACTCTGGGAGCCGTCCGCTGGAGACTTACACAAACCTGCTCAAGGCAGCAAGAAGCGTCCACAAGGAAGGAATCTCAGCACGACGAAGCAGGAAAGGAGATCAATAGTTTCAACCATTGGCCGAAAACTCTGGAACCCAGTCAGAGAAACCCTCAGTAGTATTGGAAAGAGAGGGGGGGAGGTAGAATAGTGAAGGGATTTATGGTACCGAAGACTGGTGGAAGCTCTGGTGTCAATGACGGTAAAATAGGCTGACGCGCCCGCTTGTTCCTCGCTGCCGGTTGGGGAACAGGAGAGCTGGCCACAAGTGGTTCTAATTCCCATGGGGAGACTCGTTCTGGTCGAGAGATTGCTGAAGGCTCATCCCATTGGACCTGCCAACAATTTTCCTCGTCAGTAAACATTTGCAGAAATATGATGCATTCTCGAATAAAACATGACAAAGTCCACGAATGTTCGGGCTTATTTTTTTTCATTAAAGTTTCATTAAACTGGAGATCCATTTTCTGATAATTTCCCATTAACATTTTTTCAAAATTTCCACCAATCAGATTGGCTACCTTGATGGATCTCCACTCTGAATCAACCCAACGAGATGAGATGGAGTCCCCAACGCCGATTATTGTGCCACTGAACCTGTAAGATCGCAGGGAAGAAATGCATCAGTAAGTAGCATCAGCATCAAGGAATCATTGAATAAAGTAGCTGGGCTTAGCGCACCTTCTCTCAGGAGTTTCTTCACCCTCAAATCTCATCTTAAACCTCATCCCAACAGGCAGCTTGTGCTGTTTCGCTTCCAAATACTTGTTGAGACTGACAATGAATTCTGATCGACTTGTTCTGCGACAAACAGCATTGTTTTCGCATTAATTGGCGTGTTCAGAGAATATAAAAGTGCCACTCAATTACTGGGCTCTGGAGACTTAACACGAGTCCGAATGGAACCGTTACTGTGAAACCCAAGCATCTAGAAGAAGAGAGCATGTGAACAAGGAATATCTACAAATAAATTAGTACGTGCCGAAAAGCTTCTTTACTGCAAGGTTAGCAAGCAAATCAATTCGTCTACACAAATTTAATAAATCATGTATTCCGAAGTAAATCATGTCAAGTAAGTACGCATGGATGCATTCCGAAAAATTAATGTTTTTTATTTTATTCCATCTAGGCATTTGAATTATTAACAATGATTCCACCTTAAAACATACCTCTGAGTACTTCCAGACTTACCCATGTTGACTATAGTGTACCTCATATGAATCAAACCAGTGGAAAATCAACGAGTTTTAATGAAAAAGGACCAAAACTATCCCCATGACGGAGTACCTGTCATACATCCCCTCCCAGGTCCTGAAACTCTAATGAGCGAGTGAAGAAACCGCCATCTCCCCTCTCTAACACGGCTCATTGTACCCCAAATGGCATCCCTTCCTCACTGTTCGTAAATGGGAATTACGTGGAGTAATTCGACAATCTAATTTTGTCTAATTATTTACATCGTAACCAATGTTGACGCAAAATCCAGCCAAAGAGTAATAATTCATTCATCTATCCACTACTGTGAACGTGGGGTTATTCATCCTTATACTGAATGGAGTCAACGACACATCTAAGGGAATATTCTAAGAGAGCCTATCGGAGGGCTAAAAACTAAGGATAATGTAGCTCATAGGGGCCTACAGGGAAGATCAATAGCTATCGCTTCTCATTGATAATTTAATGACTTGCGTTGGAATCAAAAGAACCCCGAATTAACACAGTCAATGAGAATTAGTCCTACTCCTCACATCCAGATATGCCCTAACCTATCATTCTGTTTATTGAAGTAGACACTGCCATTGACATTGATCCTTCTTCAAAATCTCCTTTGTCTCAATCAAAGATGGTTTATAGATTGGCATACGATGATGGAAATAAGCTGAGTAATTCACAGAAAATGGATTCACGATGAATTTATAGCACCGCAAAAAGCATGCTTTTCCACATGTCACGGCCTTAAAATCATCTTAAGGGAGAAATGAAATATTAGAAAATTAAATGCGAAGGGTTGAGGAAAATAAACCTTGGCTTGTAGAATACAGAGAAAATTGTCCCAGTTTTAACAGCATGAGAAGCAGTAGCCAAAACACCAATATGCATGCTGGGTCCAGATATGATGGATGCTGGCATGTTAGTTGATTGTCTCATGAGCCGCCTCACGCCTACACGTAGCTCTCCATTCTCGCCTCTGGCAACCAGTCCATCAAATTATTTTCAGGAAAAAAAGAAGACCAAAGCACCTTTATGGTAAGCTGCAAGCTCGTGGAACTACAGCAGCTCAAAAAATGTAACTGTCACTTGCCTTAGAAATATAAAAGCATCACCAGCAACCAATCTTTTTGAGCTAACAAAGGCACTCCATCCTGTCGTAAGCAAGTGTCTCCGTGGTTGCCCTGAAGAAGAAAGAAATGAAAATAAAGGAAAAGCTTTTACGTTACCTTCTTTAATAAATACATAAAGTCAAATGTCAAACTTTGTTTTTACCCGTGCATAAATTATATGCTGATATTCAATATAACTAGTCATCAACAATAACTGTAAGTCGGAGATTATAAAAAGTAATCGGCATTCTAGTAATGCTTGGAAGGAAAAGGCAAAACCTCTAAATATGTGACGAAAAGGCCACTCATTGCCATGCAAGTCAGTGGCAACAAGATCTTGGCAAGGTGGTTGCTGAGTCATGTCCTGGGAAAAAAAAACAAGAGTAAAAACAGCTGAGCAGATAAAATTCCAAGTCACTCAAATCATAAATATGCATACGTGAACTCACAAGTGGAGGGAGACATTCATCAGCATGTCTCCGAAGAACTGAAAAACCACCATGAGTGCTTGTGTCTGAAGCCGTAAGTGTCTTGCAAAAAGAGTGAGCTTTACATTTTTCAACTTCAGGAAGCAGAGGATCTAGACTCGTTACTTCACTTTGCTGAAATGCAAAAGAAATATTAGAGAGCAAGTCATACAGAACAGAATGCACACAACAAGCAGGTAAACATTCTTGATTATCAATGTATCCAAATCTGAAGAAACTAGAGGCCACATAAGATAACTTCTTTGCAGTACTCTCCATTAAAAGAATCGACCCAAACCATTGGGATCATAGCTAAAAGATTTTTACTTTAATACTGGATACATCGAATATGCATTCATTTCCTGTCATTAGAGTGAAAATACTTACGTCGGCCTCGGGTTGTAGCGTGATCCGTGCAAATACTTCGTCTGTTTCCTGTTCAGCCTACAGTAGAAAATCACAGTCAAATCAAAGGAAAAAGGAATACCATTAATTAAGGGTGAAGAGAACGAAAACTGTACGCAAACATAGCAGAAAACCACAATCAAAGATCGTTAGAGGTCACCTGAAGTTGTACGTGTACTACTCTACAGAGAATTTTAAATGGCAAATCGAACAAGGGTATTTGCTGATCAAGACCTTGGTTGGTTGATGCCTCAAGCTGTAATAAATGAGAAAGAATACCGAATCACTATTTACCTAATGATCAAGGCAAAGTTCCCAAAGAGGAAACTAACAAGGTGATCAGGAGACCGCATCCGAAAACCCGATTACCTGTTCCATGTGGCCCTGGGGAAAATAATAGACACGCTCCCCCTCTCGAGGCACACTAACCAAAGGTCCAGCACAGGCATGCCAGAGTTCTTTGTACAGAACACCTCCAGTGGCCCCTAAAAGTTCAACAGAAGAAGGAAACCAATTACTAGACATGGCGCCACGAGGTTGAAAAGGAGGACTGCACCCAACTGTCTGCAACAATAAACACCATGAGAGCAATCCCTTACCTATGAATTAAATTCTCTAGGGACGTCTTCGTTAGATGGTGTGGAGGACTGTGCAAGAACTCTTCGAGAAAAGAAAAAATCATACAACTCGAACATGGAATACTTGCGGCAGACGACCAACGGAAGCTAACGCAGAGAAGAGACAGAAGGACGATATTTTTGAAAATCCTAAGTTAACTCGAGAAGGTGAAGCATTTCAGGGACAATAAAACCATTCATGAAAAGTAACACAGCTCTGTAATGGAAGACTGGACGTTTCAGCTTAAACGTACAAGTGATATCACGCAGCAGAAACGACAGGATGACAATATGGAAACAAGATGAAGCATATCCTGACCTGGACAATAAGATTTCGAGGTTGCTCTCGTTAACGCCATGGGAGGGTGATAGTATTCTTGGAAGATCTTCCACCGAGAGAGGGACGATTTGATCGGCTGAGACGTGAAAAAGAGGAGGAAGAACAGAAATTTTACGACGACCTGTTGTTCTTTCCCAAGACTACCCCATTCCTCGTCTCCTCGGCTTCCAACACAAGAACGGCTCACTGACTGAGAATTCTGCCACCTGCCAGAGCAATAAAAGCAACCTGAAGCCGGCGTCGAACACGTACAATAATAATCCAGGAAAACGGAAATTGCGCTTTATAGCCAGCTAGAAAGGGTACCTGAAATGGTGCAGACGCCTTGGCTCCGCCTAAAACGGAAGGTGCTCGATCTTTAACGGCTACCACCGGTTGTGGAACGTAAGGTATTTTCCAAGCTTTCGGAAAGGAGGGACGAAGATTTGGGGTTGAGAGTTGGGGAAAGGGGAGGGAAGGGAAGGGGAGAAGGTGTGGGCAGAGCGTTACGGACAGAGCTCTCAGCGGAAGCACGCCTTCCTCACGGCAAAAACTAGCAACAGCACCGGGAGGGCGACCAAAACACAGTAGCTCAGCGGCGGCCCATCAGTTTCGTCGATCCGAATGGGAGAAGGAAAGCTCGATCTGAACCCCTGTTCTTGGGGAACCAACGATGGCAGTGGGATGGATATCTTTGTTGATACAACTGTATGATGCGCTTTCCCGACACTTGGTTCCGCCGGGCACACAAAGGATCCGCCGTCTGCGCGTAATTTCAGAATCTGCTCATCCGAAATCCGCCTTCCTCCGGGAGACGAACGAATCACGAGTTTTACGAAGGCAATCAGCTTGATCTTGTGTAATGAATCAGCCTCCTAGAAGTATAGAAACCCCGCAACAGTGTCTCCGCTATTTCCAGCAGAGCAGAGGCGAGGGACCGATGGTACCGTCGACTTGAACCGCTGCCTCCCGATGCTAACGACGTCTCTCGTTGGCAAACTCAAGATTCCAGCCGATTACCAAGATGAGAAAGGACCGGACGACCGAATTAAACTGTAGCTCCCGCTTTCACCAGGAATCAAACTCGATCTGCAGCAGTGAACAAGCGGATAGGGAGGTCAGACATCCTGAAGAAGCGGAATAGATCATTCAGCACAAATTCGGCAAAAACGGCTACATGAGCAGGAAGGTTAAGCACGGGGAGTCTTTCTCCACTTCTGCTGCTGGTACTGCCTCCGCCAACCCCAACAGGAGCCTGTGACTTCGCTGTCTCCCCCCCTCCCTTGTCCTCGCCACTCTTTCTGCTTTCCGCGGCCACCGAGATCTCGCGCTTTGTCTAGGGTTTTCCCCCTTTTCCCACTTACCTCCGCGACTCCGCCCCAACTCGTCCGGCCATCGCAGCCCAATCAATCATCCTCCAGCTTTGTCCTCGGCACGACCAAACCGAAGTCGGAGAACGAGAAAATCCTCAGGTATAAAACTAAACTCAAGGATCCCAGTCCCTCTCCTCGACTGGTTCCACTGCCGAGTGCACCTCCAACCTCATCCAACCCGCCCGCTCTGAGGGCCTCGGCGGACGATCCGACCAATCACAGGTTTACTCCGCCATTCTTCGCAGTTACCCCCCTCGCTCACACGCGCGAGATTGACAGTGCCACAACTTTTTCTCGGTGACCTCGGGAGGTCAGACGACTTCGGCTTACCAACACCGCTGCTACAGTGAAGACGACAAGCTCACGCTGCGCCACCACTCGCCGGAGCCCCGCCGGCTCCCGTCATCGCCCTCCGCCCGCTCCAAAATCGCGGGATTGCCACCCCGCTGCCCCCGCGCCGACGGACCAACGGAGCCAAGCGACTTCTCAACAGTACCCCTCCCCCTTCTACATAAACAAGTGCGAAAAATTCCGACCAAATAGTTTCAACGCTCCGCCGTCCGCCCTTTTTGCATTTTCCCCCTTATAACCTTTTCTATTAGACAACTCCCTGTCTTCTAACCTCGTTCGTCTCGCCCAGAACGGCGGCAGAGCCACAGCCGGTAATATTCCGACAGGTAATCATATATCTCTGGTGGCCTTGGCCGTCCGATCTCCGATTGCCGAGGACATACGTAACTACTCGCCCGTCGTGAAATGATTGGCCAATTCTACGCACACTCCGTTGACCATTTGATCGGTAATATTTTACAGATGGCCATGAGGATAAGATTAAAATCCAATCGAGGCGTCTAGAAGCTGACGAGGGCGCGAGATTTTTTTATTAGCCCCTTTATTATTTATTAAAATATTTCAATATTTTATCTGTCTTATTATTATCCACATCCCCATCGGAATATACTGGGCGCGGCGTGGACCTTACCGGCCCATCAAACCTACTTTATGATTGGGCCACTAAGGGCTCTTGATGGGCCCGACAGCGTCACGTGGACGGAAATGGGCTGCCTGGGACTTGGCTGAAGGAAATACGTATCCCTCGTGTTACACCGGAGCAAGGTCCAATCGTAGGGGCGTAGGTTATCCTCAGTGATGATTAAATAAATTATATATTAATTGCCGACCTTAATGGGCCGCCACCGTGGGCTTTCTGGGCGATCAGAATTCGAAGGCCCAAAACTGGCGGGGTGCACACGGCCGGTTGGACTGGGCGTGCAGCACCTGTATCACGTGGCGACGGCGTCTGTGCCGACGAGAGGCGGCGCCGCCCGGCGTGGTGGCCGATCTGACTTGGAGGGCTAGCGATCGAACGGCTGACATTTGGAGTTCTGACGTTGAAGGCCTAGCGATCGAACGATAGCGCCGGTGCGGGCTCGCAGCATCACAGCCGTCGGAAGGTGGAAGTATGTTTTATAATACTGTCCGTCGTAATCTCTAATAATTACGTGTAGATATTTTCTAATTAAACCATCAGCCGTCTGATGGCTCCGAAATGATTTCCTGGCAGTTAATGACATATATTTTAAATCATAAAACTCTCATGGTGAAATGAAAGTGATATTTTGTGAGGGGTTTTTATACAAAGTGGAGTACGTGATCGATGAAAGATCCCAGGCCTGCTCTTGTAGCCTACGGAAGAAGGTGAGCGAGATCGCGTTCTGGGTAGCGGCGGAGCGATGGCGGAACCGGCAGGGCAGCCTCCTACCCAGGGTCAACGGCAGCAGGGGCAGGGAGGTATCGGGCAGTCGCTGACGGGAATCATCCGTATGGCAGTGTTCTGGTACTTCGCCATGAAGTTTTTCTCTCCGAAAAAGCCCGTCGAGCCGTCACAGCTCATCTCCAATCTCTTCCAGAAGGGTGACCACCTGGTAAGTCGCACACTTGACGCGGACGCTAAGACGGTCATGGCTTTCTTAACAGATCTTAAGTTTCCCTTCATCGATGTCGTTGATTTCTGGGGATAAACTTAAGTGTAGCTTCAGGCGACCGATTTCTTGCCTAGAAGCATGTCTAGAAGAGGATGTTAGTTAACTAATCTTGTCGGAACGCCAATCCAGAAATCACATGGCCACAGTTTGCCATCATATATGCAATAACGTGGTCGTGACCGTAGCCATCAACTAACTCCTCAAATACCTTCTCCTTTCGACGAAACCTAAATACTACATCAGGTTTTACGTGAATCCTATTTATTACTCCAATATTTTCATAAATCGTTCTACTATAGCCCCATCAAACAATTGAAGTAGGCCTTAGGTGCCATGCAGGCAAATACATAGATGGCTATGTCACTTTGAGGTTTTTAAGTTCGTTGTGATTGACTTGACGTTGAGCTACCCTTAGTCTGGCTGTTAGCCATTTCACATGTTTATTTGACTTTCGAATGATTCTATGAGGTGCGTCTCTACACTAGAAGATATAATTACTCTTTTGATTTTTCAAATATTAATGTTGTAGGATTCACTTAGGTTCCTTTAACTCGCGAGTTTTGTTTAGGGAATATGTCTCTTATAGATTTTGTGAGATGCAACTCAGTCAGATAGGGAGGGGGAGAGTTCACTACGATTATTGTAGAGATACCCATCTCTAGATTTTTGAAAGAGGAACACGTGAGGCCATATCATTGTACCATATCATTGTACTACATAGGAAATTTAATGGTATCACTAAGATATAGGTGCAGGGATGGTGCTGGGTAATCTTTTAAGTTATGTGAAAGATTCAACCATAACCTTTTTTGATGCAATAAAGGATTTGGGGTACACAGCTTTAGAGAGACATGAAATCATACTGTCATAGTATGATGGGAGGGTCATGAATGCAGTGAAAATAGTAAAAATGAGATGTCCTTGGTGAAAGGTATTCTTTTCTATGAAGATCACGGGAAAATGGAATTTCTTGTGGTTTTGAAGGCCTATGGGTGGCGAAATTTCCGTCCAAATAAGTTTTTGAATAAAAAAACGTGACAGGGAAGTGGATCGTGATGACTTACACCCCTTGGTGTGGGTTTGGAAGAGAAGGATAACTCCATTCTTCAATGTGTGGTTCTCTCTTCAATTTGTGTGTCGGCGAAGTTAAAATGTGTCATCACTGCCCTGGAGGTTATTTAATCTCACAACCTGGATTGATATACATTAGAATGAATACTGCAAGGTTATATCCAAGAGAGAAATAACCAACAGTGAATGGTCATTGGCATTGTCGATAAAATGATGGAAGAAATGTTATCAAGAGCCATAGGCTTTTCAAATAAGCGAGCAAATTTTCAAATCACTGGAATACAATGCGAAGTCGGATCTGCCATGCCTTTGCAGATATCCTTTTGGAACTTCCGGTAAAACTGTCATAAGTTCTGTAGGTTTGGAGATATAAAATGTAAGTTCTGTCGTACTCTTCAAATGATTGGGTCTGTGTCACCCTTAGAGAGGTTTAGTTGCTTTGTTTTAATTGTGAGTGCATGTGGTTCTGTTTCCTCTTTCAGTCTCTTACTTGTGATCTACAATTTGGTGGCCAATCAACCTCAATGTTTCTTTTGCCTATGCTTTTTTCTGCTATGTCAACCGTCAAATTCTTCATATGAAAATTTATGTTTGACTTGTTTTTCATGATTTCTTTTTGATTTACTAGCATTGAGTGTCTATTTTCTCATTAAGAACTACTGCTTGGACTTGGTTTACCATTATTTCTTGACCAGGATATGTGGGTTTATCTCTCAGAGAGAGAGAAGTTCAACGACTTTAGTAATGAAGACGCTCTTGTTTGGCACGAGTCCAACATTCCATATGCAATTTGGGGATCAGCTAGTACAAGGTCGCGCTCTTTACAATATTATCCGACAGAGGTACTACAGAACATTTTTCCTGTTGTTTCTGCATTAAATGAGTTTTCGTACCACTAGATGCATTATTTTTTCTGAATTATTTCAGGCGGTGAAACATAATGGCAGCCTTTATGCCCACATTTTTTTTGCACGATCTGGTTACAGTCCAGATCCTAGTGATCCTGAGTACCAGCCACTCTATGCATTTGGGAGGTCCCACCGTAAGTCCACCAGGGATTTCCATGGTCTCATACTTTTAGATGTTGCAAATCATGTGCATAAAATCATCACGTACTTATAAACGTACTTTCAGCTGTTGTGACATACTTGCCCAGATCAAAATCAGGAAAGAAGCGAAGTTTGCTGGGGAATGCAAAAGTATCTGAAGAGGAATCAGTGTCAAAGGTTTGTTTTTTCAGTCTCCTGTTGATTTCTACAAATTTTCAAAATCATATACTAGGAATGTGTGAATCTTCATGTATGCACTGACCTTTTAAAACCAATTCAGTTCCCACAGGCATGGTAAACTATGAAAAGGGTATATAAGTGATGCGATGCATGACTGCAACAAAAATGGACGACTTTCGGATTTATTTATTTTTTTGTGGGTCCCCTTTCTTACTTTTATCCACTTAATCCTAGCCTTGGTCTATCAGTGACAGGAGAGTAAAAAATGAATTTGCATTTACTTAATTTTGACTTCAGTTAAGAAGGAGATGATCCCCTTTTTTGAATGACTTCATCAGATGTAAGCATTGTGTTTGTGTGGGTGGAGGAGGTCCAGGTTGTTTATTCCATGGAGGTTAAAGGCAATGGCAGAATTGGAAATGCTGCCGGTAGTTAAGTTTTATTTTTCTTGTTTGGCACATCGGTGGTGCACAGTCTATTAATTCTCCTTTTCCTTCTCATTTCGTTCTTTTACCTGATGAGACAAACTGTGTCGTTGTTGCTGAATTATAATTCAATTCCCTTTTCTGCTTTGGAGAATTATGTTATAACCCACAAGTTTTTCTTTTTCATTGAACGTATGTGTGAGGGGTGGCATTGTGGGTCTTCTGTTTTCAATATTTGATTGGTAACGTTCAAATGTGATCATGTGGGTCAATTGATGGCCTTGTTTTTATTTTACTGGTGTGTTACGAGTTACAGTGCTCTATGTCGCTTGTGTACTGCCTTTGGAAGAAACGCATGTGGATATAGAAGTTTGAACTGTTTGACAAATATGTTTTTCCCTGCCCTAGGCTTCGGTGTCAATTTGTGTCACACCTTTAGTTTAATATTTGGGGAGATAACTCAAAAGTTGACTTCATGGCTTACTGTAGAAAATAAAAGGGTTCTCTTTTTGGTGGTTGGAATGGAGGGGGTGGTCGGGGAGGGGGAGATGGATGATGTTGGAATTTTTAAAGTTTTTATTCTATTTTTTTAAGCCTGCCTGCATACCTTTTTTATGGATTGCCATATGAATCAACTCGTCTTTTTGAAACTGGTGCTAATTTATTGCAGTTGAAAGTTGAGAACCAGGATGCTACCAATGACGAAGTTTTAGAATGGGTTTCATTTTGGAAACCTAATGTTACAGTTAATTTAGTCGAAGACTTTACAAGGTATGCTAACCTTTGATTCAGTGAAATATCAACCAACTATCATAAAAAACAAAGGCATCTTAATTATTGAAACCACACAAGTTGAATGAAAAATGCTGTCTTATGCGCAATCAGTAATATGGTTTCCTTGGGTGTCAACTAGTATCATGGGTCTTCAAAAACCTTTTCACATCCCACAGTACCATATAACACTTATGGAGGCCCATTCAGTCTCTCTAATTGGTTGGAGGCCTTTCTGAATTCTCATATTTCCTCTTGGGTCTGGGTGAACAGGTTCACAGTTAGATAAGTTTATGGACTTGATGTATGATCTGTCTTCTTATCAAATTCTAGGAATTATTGTTTATTCATCTTGTTTCTGCTTGAACTTTCTCTTGTTTAATGAAAAAATGAGATATCTCTCGCTGCTAAAATCATTTCTTTAGACAAATAATAATCTTATTGCGCAAAAGTTACACTGATTTCCATCCCATTTTGGCCAACATAGCCAGAAAAGCGTTGTCTAAATGTCCAAAAATGTAGTTTTGTGTTGAAAAGTTTTTATCCTTTTTACTATGCTGCCATTGTGCAAGAGTTCCTTTTCGTTTTTGTTTCCAAGGTTCTTGAACTTTTGTAGATGTTGAAGAACTTTTACTTTCATTCTTTTTCTCCCCAATCTCATTTTTGATGAGGCACTATATTATGAGAAAAAATGAACTTGCATCTCTAGACCGTGAGAGTACAGTGCCCATAAGAACCCATACACATACAGTGTTTGTCTTTAGGATCAGTATCAAATATGACTTGTTAATGGAGGTGGAGCTCTATTGGATAATGGCTTGTAGTTTGCATTAATAATATATTCATTTGAGCGGTTGTTGGAATATATAGCGGAAGGCTTTCTTTTTCACGGTCATATATGGTCATAATCTTGGATGTTGTAGAGTTGTGGCAATTACTATAAATGAGGGATTCATTGCTACTGGTGGTACCATATGTACATTATCACTTGGACACCACATGATTTTATCAGCAGTTAGGCAAAGACATTCTGCTCTGATATAAGGATATTATGCATTATGTGCTGCACCAGCAAAACCATCTTTTTAGCTGCATCCGATGTTTGGGGAAAAAGCATCAGCAGTATTCAAGTCTTGGTTTGTAGATAGGTTATCCATATCAGATAAAATTAAATGGTAGTGACTGAAAGCCGAAGCATGATTTCAAATCAGCGTTGATGCAGTTTATAGTGCGTGGCAAAAAAAATACGAGTCCCTCTTCCTAAGAAGACAATGGTTCATGCTTGAAATGTTTGTAACCATGTAAAAGTCCCACTGCAAACCCCAAATTTGAAGTTTGGTTTATGTGTGTCAACATACATGCACATGCCCATTTTAAAAAGTTATATGCATGTTTGGATATTCTCTATCTTTCATCCGTGAATAGCTTCTGTTTAGGTTCAAGATTCGTGGTTATCAACAAAATGTGTTTCGTGTTTATATAGTGCTGGTATTTTTTATTCATTGTCATCATCTATACTGACCTAGTCCGTGGTCAAAAGCTTCTGATCCCTTCTTTTAACATCTGCAGGTATCCCGGTAATGCCATTCCCCCAAATATTGCTGATTGTATCCTACAATTTAGTATTTTGTGTCTAAATTATCCCTGGAGATTTCCCATGTCTAACTTCTGTAATTCTTTTATCCTGAAGTTATCAAAATTGAGGTATTTTTTATTCATATTTAATTTTTCATTTATTATAAATGGATTGTGTATTGTTTTATGAGTATTTTGTTACATTTTCATCTTTTTTCTTGTTTCTGCTTTTCTGATCCCTTCTGTAAGATTCAGTGTGAAAGGATTATTTTCCAAAAATTTCAAGTAAGCTTATTTGATTTTTATTAACAAACCAGATTTGAACATGGAAGTGGAATCCCTGCTTGATTGAATATTTGGATCATCATTTTTGAAAGCTAGAAAACTTAAAAAATCTCAAAGTCACTCAGTAGCTTATCCACTTAGAATATTCTGTTCAACTCAAATGGTTCTCTGCTCTTGCACCCCCCTTGATGGTAGATGATCTGTGTTCATTTCTGATGTTACGAGTCAATGGAACTAGATTGTTATGTTTACCCAAAAGTGTTGATTTTTTGCGTTCATTTATTTTGTATTGGTTAGTCTAGATCATGATCACGACTAAAGAACTGCTGGCAAACGTATGATATGGTCAATAAATGGATTTCCTATTGTGGCTTGGAAGATTTGTGTGATCGTTAAATTCTTTATTTTACTTATGGTAGGTTTATTCCTCAATGACATTTTGGTATGCGTATATCTAACACTGTATTCGAGTAGTATTTTCCTTGACTCTAAACTTCTAGCCTTGAACGTGGAACCCACAACTGGGAACTATTATCCAACAGTCTACTTCAACGAGTTTTGGCTTCTTAGAGACAAACTCATGCCACTTAATGAGACTGTCACAGAACTGCCTCTTTATCTGGAAGTTGGTCCCATCAGCATTACCAAGTGGCAGTTGTTCCTTCAGATGGATCAGTCGTTCCAGATCCATCGTAGCTATGGTAGCATGCTCGAGGGTGAGGCGGACGAGCTTAAGGTGATTGACTACACAAGGATTATCTTGGTGTTACCACTTCTGCATTGTGCAACATAAATAAGATTTTTTGCCAATTTGCGAGTGATTTATATGATTTTGGTCTCTCTTTGGCTGCCTGGGAATCGTTGATGATGATTCTATCATCGATGTTAAACTGTCAGGCTTAAAGGTCTCAATATCTGGTAGAAATGCATTATATCCCTTAACATTGTCGTTTTTGGGAGGTCTCCATCGTTGTAATCTTTTTTTGTGGGAGGGGCGATGAGGGTTCAACAGAAGGATCATTCTGAGTACCAGATTTCCCCCCCCCCCCCCCCCCCCCTCTCCTTTCATTCATCATCACAATGGTGCCATGGAAAGTATGTCATGGCATAGAAGAGCGTATGATTATATTTTAAGGAGAGGATTCGGCGTGTCTGCATTTTCAATATCTGCCGCATCCTGAGAGATTTTTTCATGCTATGCTGGTTCTCTAACCCTTTTTTCCCTGGAATTGGACATTTTTTGCTTCAGCCGATTTCACTATGATTTTGATATTCAGAATATAGGGGTCATGTTTTTACCTCCTTTAGGTAACTGATTAAACATGGTGTCCACTTTTTTAAGTTCTCAAACGCGTTGAAAAACTTGATTTAGCCTGTCTTCTACTTTTTCATATGCTGCATGATTGGAATGTTGTATATTTATTTTAATGCTATTATGTTAGTTTCTTCATGCCATAACTGATGCATCTTACCATAAAGTGGGAACAAAAACTATGAGTTCCCTGCACAGTTTAGGGAACTGCGTGTGATGACTATGTGCAACACCTATTTTAGTTTGCAGGCTTGAGCATGTGATTTGTTCTCTCATCTCCTTTTTCCATGATTACTTCTGTCTCAGAGGGTATTTTTGGAAGGCAATCCGTATCTCCTTGGGGTGACAATGATTGTATCCTTGCTTCATTCAGTTTTTGATTTCTTGGCTTTTAAAAACGGTACAGACTTTTTCCCAATGTTGTTTAGACCCCAGATTTGGACTAGTCAAACATGGTTTACATCTTTACTAATGTGCTATTTGTGTTTCTTCTTTTCGTTTGTAGATATTCAGTTCTGGAATAAGAACAAGTCCATGGAGGGGCTGTCTGCAAAATCCGTCGTTGTCAGCTTTATCTGTCAGCTGATTGTTTTCCTCTATCTCCTGGACAATGATACCTCATGGATGATTCTTGCTAGTTCAGGTGTTGGCTGCTGCATTGAATTCTGGAAGATTGGAAAAGCTATGCACATTGAGGTAACAACGAATCTATTGTGCCTCTTGTGCTTAATTGCGTATGAGCAAGACTTGTAGTATGGGAAATATACTTTTGAACTTTGATTTAAATGTTGGGCCTCTGTGCTGGTTAATAGAATTTTAAGTCGTGTTTCAAGTCGATGGAATAAAAGGTGTCTCCAGATTAGGAGTCTAAGCCTTAGAATCTTCCATGTCCTGAATGCTCCGTAGCTTGTTGCATGCTATGAAGGATCTGGGAAGCTCAAGACTGGTCAGATTTGTGGTTTTTTTTTTATAAAGCTGAAGGGAAAATGACTGAAAAATTAAAAAAATAAAGTCGTATTTTCTTCCTTGGTTCATCTCTATGCGTTTCGTAATTATCTGTGTTTTTTTATAGATTGACAGAAGTGGGAGAATCCCCATGCTGAGATTTCGGGATCGTGAGACATACTCTGGGAACAAAACTAAGGAGTATGATGACCTCGCGATGAAGTATCTATCCTACGTTCTTTTAGTCCTAGCTGCTGGTTCGTCTGTGTACTCTCTCATGTATGAACAGCACAAGAGCTGGTATTCGTGGATACTTGGCTCCCTGACGAGCTGCGTCTACATGTTCGGTATGTACACATTCCTCTTCGGTTTTAATAATTATGGATGACCTGTTTTGCGATTCATAGATTATTCATTTGCTTGATTACCCTACATCACCATCATCATGATCCCTGCCATGGAGTATTGATTTGAGAAGAATTTCATACGCATTAATTTAAATAATAATAATAATATTAAAAAAAAACTAGTCGTTCAGAAAACCTCCAACAATCTGCCATTTTTACCCCGAAAGCATTTAATTTAAAGAAAGGAAGTTTTTTTTTTGGCTGGATACACGACTTTAATGGGTAATTTGTAAAATCATACCCATTTAATTTTCCCTTTGTTGGCGTGATAACTTTCTTTATAATTGATACAGAAGTAATGGGCAGAAGGCGACTCATCCTCTGCGCTCTATCTTCTGATCATCCTCTCGAAACCCTGTCGCACAGTTTCTTGCCTGATTTGTGCTGATCCTCCGAGCATGCCGCCTCCTTCATCGCAGTTCTAGCCAACCATTTTTTTATCTTTTCCTGGGCAGGTTTCATCATGATGTGCCCACAACTGTTCATCAACTACAAGCTCAAGTCGGTCGCCCATCTTCCTTGGAGGCAAATGACGTACAAGTTCCTCAACACGATCGTCGACGACCTGTTCGCGTTCGTCATCAAGATGCCAATCCTGCACCGCCTCTCTGTTTTCCGCGACGGTGAGCTTCAGATCGAAACCCTGCTTCGGTTATCAGTTTACGAAGCGAAGGGCATTATCTATAGACTGACGGCGTTCTCGGCGGCGTGATGCAGATGTTATTTTCCTGATATATTTATATCAGAGGTGGATCTACCCGGTTGATAAGAGGCGTGTGAATGAGTTCGGTTTCGGAGGTGAAGACGAGGACAGGGCTCTGGCCGCCGGTGATGCCGGAGCGGCCTCCGCTGCCGTGGGGGGAGAAGACAAGAAGACCAAGTGATCCCCGGCCGCGCTCTCTGTCGGAAGCGGAAGGAAGCAGAGCTCTTCCTTTCTCTCTCTTCTGGGTTATCCTGTTTCTCTCAGCCAGATCATTTCCCTTGCCTGGCTTTTGCTCGGCCATGTGTCTTCTGGCGCAATTTTATGGCCGAAATGAACTAATTAGTGATAGAACCTTGCTGTAACGTAACGAAGCGGTCTAAACCAGCCTCCATCCGCCGCCTGATGTGCCAAGAACGTCCTAATCACCAGGGCGACGATTGGATCGCCGCCAGCCCCCTGAACTGGTTTCCCTGGTCCTGGTCAGGAGAGAGAGAGAGAGAGAGAGGGTGGTTCTTCAATGGAATCCAGATCAGAGGGCACGGTGTTCACATGCGTTGGAGTGCAGAGGGGGAGATCTCCATCGAGCGGAGTCATCGTCCAAGTCCAAGATTCGCCCTGTTCACCAACCCGCTGGCGGCGGCGCGGGGTGGCGGAGCCGAGCGGCGCCGCCGAGCTGGGGCGAGGGGTCCCCTGGGCGGTGGCTGCTCAGAGCCCATGTTCACCCCTGCAGACCCCCAGCTGTCGCTTTCCGGTCAAAGCCCGCGAGTTGGATACAGCTGCCATCCCCGACCTTAGAGAGAGAGAATTAGATATACATATATCGAGAGAGAGAGAGAGAGGTTTATTATTATTTTAGAAAAAGTTCTCTCCTCTTTTCGAGCTGTCATCGCTAATACCGATTAGCAAGTGAGGATAGATATTCTTAAGCGCCGTCACCTCGGCGGGGGAGCGGGTGGATGAAAGGTGCCAGCTTCACCCACTCTGCAGCTGAAATTCCCCCTCCGTCCGACAGCTGACGGCCCTCTTTATCGCCTGCTTGCCGGCGTGGCCGTGCACGGGGTCAAAGCCAAGCCCGCTTGTCTCCCCCTCGACAGGCTGTTAAAGACGGCTCCGCCGCCGCTGCCAGAGCTGGGGAGCTACTCTTTCGACACGTGCGGGGGCCACCTGGCTTCGGCTGGACAGCTGTTATTTCGGCCCACCACAGACAAGCCCGGCCCATTCCACAATGCGCGCGTGGCCCACCCGTATCTTCTCCAACACGGGCTGATCTCAACCGTGTGATCGCCGTTGGTGTGGGGCCCACATTACGGACGGTTCAGATCATCCAGGGGAGCCCTCCGATGTGATCGCGGGATGCCGGTGACGTGTAAATTACGCTGACAGGCCCCGCCAACTCAGCGTCTGATGTTTTACATGCGGCTTCTCTGACTTATCGAAATGACGATTTCATCCCCCCTATAAAAGACGAAATCTGCCGCCGCCGCCGTAATGAGCGGAGTCAGTCAACGGAAATAACTGACGGCAATAGCAAATACATCCCCACCGCCGCCTGGCCTCCGCCCTGAACGACGGTGCAGTGGTAGCCGGTGGAACGGGAGCTGGTAGCGTCCCTGGTCATTACGGGCGGCAACAACGACGACCGAATCATTGAGAATGATTCGTGTTCCTGAGGCGCAAGCCGTGGAGCTGGAAGGGAAGAAGAAACCCCCAGAAATTTCTCCGCTGATAAATAATTAATCCTAATCCAGAGAGGACGACGGAGAGGTACCTCACAGTCATTGCTTGAGAGAGGAGGAACCGTTATATAATGAGGCCGTCCTTGAGGCCAGCGTCTTTCCTTCGGCCCCCACCTTTTGCTTTTCTCCTTCCCTCCCTTTCTTCCAACCCCCCATCCCCCCCCTCTCTGCTCTTCTCGTTCATCACCTCATCTTCTTCGATTCCTAGCCCTAACCCTAGGCAAATCCTTAGCTAAGCACCTTCTATATTGGGCGGGGTTTTTGCCCCTCCGGTGATAACTGGATCCGCCCTCACCAACTTGCTGACTCTTGGCCGTGAGAGTCCTAGGGCGCCTTGCGGGAAAGGAGGTGGTTTGGGGCGGGGGGCGGGGAATAGAGAGGGGGAGAGGGAGTCGAGAAGATGACACCGACGAAAATGGCGGGGACCTTCGGTGACACAACCTATACCAAAGTGTTCGTGGGGGGGTTGGCCTGGGAGACCCGGACGGAGACCATGAAGAAGCACTTCGAGCAGTTCGGGGAGATTCTGGAGGCTGTGGTGATCACCGACAAGAATACTGGGAAATCCAAGGGCTATGGATTCGTAAGTATTATGAATTCCCAGATCCTTTTCAGGTCATCTCCCTCGAACCTGTCGCGTCGTCTTCCGAATCTAACCGTCGATCTGGATTTCCGAGTTCATCATACTCGAAGTCGAAATCTCTGTAAAAAACCAACAAAACCAGTCGATAACTCTGGCGATCTTGATCCGCATGTTCACGAATCAATCAGCAATACCTAGCAATCGACGTCGAATCTAATTTCTCCGAATGCATCTTCCTTCAATCGTTCGTCTATTTCCGAATACGACTACGCTGCGGAGACGTTGAAATATTCAAGACTCCGTTCCTTCTCATCTCCCGCCATTTCAATTCCAAATCTCAGGTCACTTTCCGCGAGCCGGAGGCGGCGACGCGAGCGTGCGTTGACGCCTCGCCTGTGATCGACGGCAGGAGGGCCAACTGCAACCTCGCCTCTCTTGGTGTTCACAGATCCAAGCCCGCGACACCCCAACACGGTACGACGCTCCCTTTGCTGCCACTAATCTTACATCCAACATCATCGTCTCCTATATAATACCATATCTGCTTAAACTCAAATCCCCCTCAAAATAAGCACAGGTAAAGAACCACGTTTGATCTTTCCATCCTATTTACGCATTCAGTCGCAATGCAGAAGAACTGGTTTTTTTTCTCAGCTTCAGAGCTCTTCTTTTCTCGAGAGTATCAAACTATCTTTCTGGTTCTGGAACTGCTGCTGTAGATTATTTTCCAAAAATCTGTGCGTATCCCGCATTGGATTCCTCGAGAACTTCGATAGGCAATGCGTGCTAGGATAGAGTCAGTCGAACCTTTGACCCGCGGCCACCCATTAATCGCCGCGTTTGACCAATAAGATCCAGCGACGAGCAAGCCCATTTCAAGAACACCCAACTGGTAGCACATGCAATGCCAGCGTGAAAAACCCGACTGTGCCAACTGGGTCTTGACTTGTTTTATTTTTTTCGTGCAAGAACTCGAAATCATATGTGGGTTTTGCTTCTTCTGCAATAAAGCTTATTCTTTTTTCTTCTCTCAATTTTTTTTCTTGGTCAGCGGGAGGCAGGAACTTCAGGATGATGAAATCTTTCAACAGTGGCGTCCAAGGTGGAGCGGGAGCAGCTTTCCCTTCTCCTGCCACCCTCCCTTATTATGCCGTCCAGCAGTATGTGTATGGGTAGGTTTTTAAGAGCACGTATCTCGTAGCACACTTAGGCGTCGCACGTGCATATGCGCTTCCACTGGAAACTATTGGTTCCCTCTCTCTCTCTCTCTCTCTCTCCTCCCTCCCTGCCTGCCTCCCATTCTCTCTCTCTCTCTCCCCTCCCCTCCTGCCTACCCCCTCTCTCTCTTATACATACATGCCCGCACGTGAGGAGAGAGAGAGAGGGAAGCGTTACTCCCTCTCATTTTGTCTTGGTTATCCGTATTATCTTCTTCAATCTCCTGTTCCTCTCTTCTCTATCGCAGTAGAGAGGGAGGGAGAGGGAAGTAGGCAATATTTTCTTTTATTTTGCCTGAACAACCCATATTATCCTTATCATCCTGCTTATCCTCTATCCTCCCCGTCTATGTGTCGACTACATATTTATCTCGCGTCGGTAAGTTGACCAGCCCCTCTGTAAGTTGGTCAGCCTCTCCCCCAACCACCTCCCCCAGCAGAGACTACAGTGCATCTCATTGATTGCCATGGCGGCTATGGCCATCAATGCCCTCGGACGTGAACCATGAATACGGAAACCAAAGCATGTAGCTTCTGCCCATTCTACGTGAAAAACTTTGCATGAGCTTTTGTATATGCTGTCGCATTTGTTGTAATCTGCAAGTTATCGATCGTTGACCTTCTCGAATATCTGTGGACTTTGTACTCGCTCTTCTTATATGCATGCTTCCGCATTTCAGGTATTCTCCTTATTCCCTGGAGTATGCTTATCCAGCGGTGAGTTCTCTTCTGTCTGACATTGAAGAGGGATTCCTTTCTTTAATGGCTAAATCCTTGCTTAATCTGCCAGAACTACTATAATCTCTACGGTGGGGCAACTGCCACGTATCCGATGTACGGTGGGGGGGGTGGGTTGGTGACTGGCACCGCTGCCCCCTTCTACCCCTACGTCCAATTCGGCCAGGTCGGTGGGACGTCCGCCTACGCCAACGGGCAGGGTGGCTATGGTGTGCAATACCCTCACATGCTCCAGTACTCGGCGGTGGCGTCAACGGCTGGCCTGACTAGCTTCGGTCAACCCTATGGCGGGACGATCTCGCTTCCCCCAAGCCCCTCTTCCCAAGCTGGTTAGTACATGGAGTTTCATTTATAAGTTGCTCTCTCTCACTCTCTCTCGGTCGGTCGGTCGGTCGCTCGCTCGCTCATTCCTTTCCCTCCCTATCTCTCTCTCCCTCTGTTATTGTGGGTTCAGCTTGCTGTACTAACGTGTTTAACAGTGGCTTTTACTGTGAAACAGGTATGACGATGGCCCTCACGTCTCCTTCTCTGGCGAGTCCGACGCCCCATCACTACAGGCTCATCCCACCTCAGTTCGTCCAGGCAACAGCGTCCGAGCAGCCCTTGGCGTAACCATGGTTTTCTCTCCTCCTCCTCCTTTGTCCGTGCCTATCCCTATTAATTATCCGTGTCCTGTGCCGCCTGTCGCGTCGTTCTTTCCCTCCCGCCCTCCTCTCTCTCTCTCTCTCTCTCTCTCTAACAAAGCCCATGAAGCATGGCTGTCGCCATATCACCACCGCAGGTGGTGGATAGTCTTCCTGGCTTGGGTGGTGCGTCCCCATGCTTGTTGCTCGTAGGATGGGCATCAAGTATGCGTACCCCCAAAACTGGGGTCGTCGTCCTCAGTTCATGTCGGTCAGCATGTAGAGGGAGCTCCTACATGCATCACGGACCATCAGGTTCGGAAACAAAACCCTAACCCTGGCCCGCGGAAGGGCCCGTGACTAATCCAACCTTGACCCTGGCTCTGCGTCTGAGGGACTCCATCAGATTCAAATCCTGGGCCGATCTCCGTCAAACCTCTGGACCCACTAACCCCGAGTCTTCCAAGAACAGCTCCGGCTATGCCGAAGGTGCTCTCCCTTAGAGTGTGGGGCATGGAATGCCCTGGTCAGAGGCCTGGGCGCTTGATAAGTTCGAAAGGCTCTCGCTAACTTCTACCTCTGCACCACACCACACCGCACCAAATCCTCTCTCTCTCTCCTAATCTCATGAGAACTCTCATATCATTAGGGCTATAGGTTTTAAGAATCACTCTTCCCCAGCGAAAGGTAAGACGGAGTCACCAGTCAACCCTTTCTATCATTTACCTAGTATGGTTTTAGGGTACACTAACGTGGGTCGAGCTCTAAGGAGAGCTCAGATCCACCTCATGAACACAGTTTTAGGAGGGTCGGGGTTACTTTTTGGCATCGGGCCCTCCTCGACTGATTAACAACTCCAGGTGCAACTCCAATGACGGCATTGGGGTCGCATTAAACCTCCTCCAGGGATCTTGAGTTCTGATTCTCATCATTCTCTCGCATGCTCTTCGTCTCTCTCTCTCTCTCTCTCTCTCTCTCTCTCCCTAAAGGTAGGGCCTCTTAGGGTGGATATTTTGGTCCCCTGATTCTCCAGTCTCCTCCCATGTTCCACGACTATGGTTACAGCAAAAGGTTCGACGCTTCCGATCGGTCTCTCTCCGTTAGTGAAGCTTTTCCAATCAGTAGGCTGGATATAAACTGTTTCTCTATCATATGTACGGCATGTAATAACCAGGTATGTGACTCCTCTAGGACGAGCAGAGGCTGCTTATATTTCCACATCTTCCTAGTTAAGCATGATGGTAGCGCAGAATTTGGATGGGCTTATGATTATTCGGGGGTGGGAGCCTTCACTTCTCTCTCCTCCCAATATTTGAGGCCCCTCCCCTGGTTTTGGTTGTGGGATCTCAGCATGTCCACTTGTGGTTTATACAACAGCCTTAGACTCTATAAGCCTTTAAATGTTTCAAAACTTAGACTAGAAAGTCTGCTCAACTCATGCAATTAAAGTCATTAGTATTCAATATTTGTTGTTCAATGACGTAATACACATTAATCACATTTAGTAATGTGTATTAACTCAAGGTGTGACTTTGCTCTCCAAGTGTTTCTAACTAAAACTAACAAGCAATATTATTTTTCATACATGCCTTTCACATATATTATTAATAAATGAAATAGAAGACAAATACATCCAAATATGTTATTTATTTATTTATTTAATATATTAAAATATAAGTGATTATTGATGTCTTTAGTTTTGATGATTACAAAAAAAACATTATTAATAAGTTATTATTGATACATATTTATATGTGTTACTTATATGTTTTTAAATGTTTTAATATATTCAAAAAATATTATAATAATTTTTTAATTAAATAATTATGACATCATTGGTAATGTTTCAAATTCAAGGGTTTTATTCATGAGATTAAGTGATTTTATATCTTGTAAATATGGTTAAATAGTATGAAACAACAAATGTGTCAACATATTTGAGAAAATAAAATATTTTCATCTAGACTATATAAGATAATATATTTATCTAATTAAATTATTTATCAATTCTATATGATATTAGATAGGTTATATAAGCTATGACATGTATTAAATCAGTAAAAGAACAAAGAATTAATCAAATATTCAAGTTTGAAGGGGATATATCAATAATAACACAAAATTAGATGTTCTAGATTTGATGTGGACATCTAATTATTTTCTATCAAGTTAGCAATTTCTAGTTCGGATTTAAATTCAAAAGGCTATGAAAATAAAGAGAACCAGAGCTTGAAATGTCCAAAAAAGGTTACCATGTATTTTGAAAAATAATAATTTTTTGAATGAGTATTCTGAACATTAGAGGTCCAAGAAGACAGAAAAATTGGTACACAATGAAAGCATATTTATTTGAGAAGAGTTGTAGACCAAAAAATCAATGAATATACAAAGATTCAACCATTTTTCATGAAAAATATTTATATCCATGACCATTTCTCTTTATATTCATGAAAAATATTTATATTCTTTATCAATTGAATCCAACAAACAATTAATTTATCTATTGTGACCATTTCTCTCTATTAGATTGTAAGATAGCTGAGTGATGAAGGATTGGGTTGTAGAGACAAAATGAGTATGATTTTGATAGTTGATCTCATTAAGTTGTATTATTAAGAGAAATAGTTAATACTGAAGTAATTTACTCTTGGACTAGAATTAATTGAATGAATGATGGCAAAGCATAAAAATCTTCTGTTCTTGGTAAGAAAGTGCTGAGAGATCTTGGAATAATGTATGTGTTGACACATAATTTTAAGTAGGAATCAATTGAAAATCCAGAAGATAGCCAAAATTTCCAAAAACTCTAATTTGCCCCCACTCTTAGCGTTTCTACTAGTTTCATCATTCCACTAGTGATCATATCATAGATGTTAAAGATAACATTCATCATAACATTTTTTTAATTATGACAAACTCAATGAATCTTAAAATGTCAAGAAGAAATAACATCTTCCCAACCTTAGTAATATACATAAGATATATCATTTATTTATTACCTTTAATGATACATATGTCATCCTCAAAATTAAAGATATGGTTACATTCATCAGTTGATTCAACTTCAATAAATTATGAACAAATTTAAGAATGAAATATATATCATACACCAATTTATTCATCCCTAATTTTATTTGAACCTCAATGGTTCCAATAACTTGACATCTATTGACATGCCAAAACTTTGAAATAAACTTTTTCCCTCTATTATTTAGTTCTTATATGCACTATTTTAAGAGTTATGCATAAAGTAACTTGTCAATAGAGTCATAGAAGTAATAGATAAATGACCTTCTTTCATTACTTCTGTGATGTTTACTTATTATTTCATATTCTTCCAATAGTAGATTTTTTTGTGCTCATATTTTTTATAAAATTGAAAAATCAGAAGTTTATAATCCAGTTTCTCTCTTTTATTGATGCCTTCATCATGCTTATGCCATTTGAAATTATATTTATGAAGTCTCATCTACAATCAAAACATTAGTAGCCTCTTCAACTTTGCACTTTTCTTACCTTAATGTTGAATGTAAGTATTTTACTATACTTCTCTACTTTTGAAATCTCAACCTTAGCTTAAAATATTTGTTCAATTGACTATTATGTAAATCTTTTTCATCTATTCTTCATGTGTTAGTAAAGAGCCTATTAACTTATTTTGATAGTTAATAGATAAATATTTATATATTTTAATTATAATAACAAAATTATTGTGAAAATCAGAAATAGAAAAGTATAAAGTAATAAAGTTTGAACAAGAAACTAAAAACAAAGGGGAATGGACTTTGATATAAGTCATAATCTCAATATGTGATAACATTTTTAGAGGACCACCTCTCTCCTCTACACACCTTCAATGATTTTCACTATATAGATTTTATTTGGTTCATTTTCAAACAAAAATCTCATCTTCTCTCATTTCTCCTATAATCCAACCCTAATAACCCTATTTCTCTCATCCTAAAAATTTACAAAAATACCCTCAATTAGTTCTCACATGACCCTCACTCTCTCTAAGCCTATAAGGAGCATAACATTAATTCTTCCATGATATCTACCTTGTCCTCAATGTTGAAATTAGGAAAGTGTTGTTGGATTACTACTTTAGAATTCTATGAGGGTTCAAATATCAATAGTTTCCTTTGGTTCTTTTCATATATGCATTGAATTTTGTGAATGTCTTCACTTAATCAAGCTTCTCTTTTATATGTGTTTCGGTACTTTAAGCACATTGACATCAATTAAATGTTTACCTTATGATTTTTTTTAAATAGTCTCTTTTTAAAGATCAAAAGCTTCCAGATGATTTATGCATAATGATTTTGTACTTACTCTTTGGTATTATTTGTGATGAAGCACTAGACTAAATCAATCAATGTTGAAACTGATCTATCCCAATTGCCTCATGATCAGATGACACTTCAAATTCATATGTTATTACTTTATGTATATTTATGTGATTAATTGATTTGAAAATGTCTCCAAGGGATTATTAAGATTTGGAGGTTTTCGAAGATACAGCCCAAGACAATCTTTATGCTATGCTTAAAATGATAATGACTGGATGCCTTTAACTTTTAGTAGCAACCTTTAGTAGATGTTGGAGTAGATTAATTTGTATCTATTAGAGAAATATCTTTTAACTATTATTAAACTCTTTAGTATAAATGAGAAAGTAGGTATTTCCTCTCAACTCTTTGTCATAGTTTTTTCTCATACAACATCACTTCACTAAGGTAAAATGACAAATGATCCTAAGATTATCACAACAAAGATATTTCTTATTTCTTCAGTATCTTTACTCCTTTGAAGTTTCATATACCCATCAGCCTCATTTAACAAAATCGAGAGATGTTTTAGAAGATAATTTTGAAGAATATGGAAGCCATTTTGAGCTTTAAATGTTAACATAAATACCAGATCCAATATCTTCATTACTAGTGTATATGTCTCCTATCTCCTAAGAATTTGAGATTAGTAATCCTTTCAAAAGAATACAATAAATAATAATAGACTACCTTAGTTAGTACTCCATCCATTGCAAAGCTTGCTTCCAAGAGAATATGAAGCAAACTTCAAATAGCATCTTTATTTTTTTCTCTCACCTCTATTATTATTTTTCTTAATCCCAAATATTCCCTTGCACCATTGTGTATGTTTCATCAATGGATTTCTTTCCCTTAGTTCTGGTTATTTCTATTAGTTGGGTTGGGCTTTGCAGTCCCTCCATTATCTAAATTATTTGCATCATTTCTTGTGTCAAGGCTTCTAAGCTCTTCTCCATCCCCATCAGCTGCTATATATAACTCTCAATCTCCATTAGTAATCACAAATCTTCTCTCATCTCTTTAGTTTTATTCTCTAGTATTTTCATCCTTACATCATTGATTTTAGATACCATTGAACTAACTCTAATACAAATTGATGGAAACCATTAACAAAAAAGCATAAAGAAACTACAAGGATTGGACCTTGACAAAAACCCTAATCCCAATATATAATGACCTTGGTTGCTTATCTCCTTCACAAGTAGTTGCCTACCAAAATCTACTCCTCCATTCTTCTCATAATCCAACCCTAATAACTCACTTTCTTCCTTCTTAGATATTTACAAGAACACCTTTATTTAAACCTCATGTGACAATCATGCCCTCTTACTCCTAGCATAAAGCACATCACAGGCTTAACACATGATCAAACTTCAAAGGGTTGAACGGTGTCAAATCTCTATTAAAATATGATCAAGCCTCTATTATCATGACTTTAGTTGTAAGTACCTTTATTCATATTTTTTACTTTTCAAATCTCAACCTTAGCTTCGAATACATGCTCTACAAAAGTTTATATCAACCTTTTCATCTACTCTTTATGTGCTAATAAAAAGCTCATTAATTCATTTTGATAATAAATAGATAAATATTTAGTTTTTTTAATTTTGGTAAATATAAGATTTAAATTAAGAATTTTTATTTCAGTCATATCTTCACTAAAATTTCTCATTTGAATTAAAAATATTATAAACTTGAGAAAAAAATCGTGAACATGTATAGGGGAAGAGATGCTGAAGTAGACTAGCTCACTTAAGCATATCATGGTAGGTCTAACCCAATATTATCTTCCACACCCACACCGAACCCTTAAGTCATCAGGGCTATCTTTTCTTCCATCTTCATCTTCTAACTTTGCATCATCATTAATAGTCTGGATTCTTTGGCTTTGGATTGCGTTGATTGGAGGTAAGATTTTCGTCTTGACCCAGGCCTGTGTGAAGAGATGTTCATGTTTGGAGTGGATTTGGCAGGCACATGACATTTACTCCAATGTCACTAAGAACAAGAATTAAAGATGAGGCACGGATTGAAACAAGATTGTCTTATTTAGGCAATTGTCAAAAGTTCATAAAGTTTAGGGGATTCTCTCCCATTCCCATCATTTCTGGTGATACACGAATCTACTTTCGTAATTGGAATGCATTTTCTCAATGGAGCCGTTGATGAGGCTCATTTATTGTGTATTTTCCCTATGCTTGTGAATGAAACCATACATAAAGGTCAATACCTTCAACTCCCCTGTTCTTCTTGTGGCCCCCTTGTGTTCTGAAGAATTTGATCTAGGTGTTCCCATCTACCACTGTAAGTTTTTGTGGTCTTAAGATCTTAGTCGTCGATGTTCAATTTTATTTTTTTTCTGTTATTAGCATTATAATTTCTATATTCGATTAAAAACACATAATTGGACGGAAGTGCGTCGTTTAACAAATGTTTTATCATTTTTTTCAAGTTTTTTGTGAAAAAAAAATCTATCTTGTAATTTGATCCCTGAAATGTGGTTCATTGCGTGAGATGACCGGAGATCGAGGTGAATGCGTTACGAGAAGAGCAAGAAGCCTACTAGCTCTAGGTTTTTCGTGCTTTATTAAATGTCTCCTTTCCTCATTGCTGCTCCTCTCTCTCACTGAACTTTTTCACGAACCTCTGGGGGCTGGGCGCGAAATCTCCTCTGGTTCCGACTCTCTCCGGGTCGTTCAAGAAGGTCTTTGTGGAGCCTCTTTTCTGGAGATAACGGCGTAGGGGGACGGCAGGAGCGCCAGCGGATTCTTTTTTCTTTGTCAGCGTGGTTCTGCCGCGGTAGTATGGACTCTGCTCTCCTACCTCCCTCTCTTTTTACAACTTTTATGTGCATGCAAGTTCTGATAGTTCTTTTTCTGCTATTCTCGCGTTTTCTTCTTTGAGGGCAAGTTTTTCCTTGACATCGTTTCCTCTGTGCGTGTGTGCGCCTTGCTGTTGTGCTTTTACCTGCGTGATTCTTGAATTTTCTTCTTTCGGTGAGGCTACTTTACGTATAAATAAGATTATTTGCCGGCATTTGGGTATTTACACCTTACATTGTTCTTTCGGGTTTCCTGACGTCTCTATTTTTTTATTTATTTACATGGGTATTGTCAACTGGGACCAGATTTTATGATCTGATTTCATATCTATTTCTGGCGTCCCCGTCAAGCACACATTTCTTTTTTTGGCTTCTGGGGTCTACGACGGTCATAATGTCGTTGTGGTTATTATCACTGTTCCTTGTGGAACTTGTTCATACTTATCCCACTGTAATAAGTAATCTCAAATGGTCTCACTCTCATTAGCCTTACTTGCGCCTCTGTATCATTTTCTGACGGCGGGTTTATCATTTTTCAGATTACATTCAAAACAAATAATCCAAGTATCGGGAAATTAAGATGATTGGGGACGGGGAAAGAAAAGTTAAATTTTACATGTGATCTATCGGGACTTAATTGAGTTGTGTTCTCAAGATTGTTCTGGATTCTTTCTTTCGTAAAAATTAATGTCAGAATTTTATTGGTTTGGTCTGTTTATTCAATGATGAGGAAAATCTACTTATCATATTACTTCGTAGGTTGGTACTTGCATATCATGATATGTTGCGTAATGAACGACAATTCCTTACCTTTTGATGTTGGCCGATTGTATTGACAATAGAAATGCCATTACAATGCAAAGATCAGAGGGAACCATTATAAATTCGAAACAAGCAGTAAGTTTGTATCATAATCTTGATCCTGGCTACATCTCCTCTTCAAAAAATGGAGTTGATCATGGCCTATATTATAAACGGAACATATCAGGATGATGAGATGTATTTGTTATGTTGGAACCAAATGGCTTGGGCTATGCAATGTATTTCTGTTGTAAATAGCTTTTGCACCTCTTTCAGTGAACCTTCCTTTGATCTTCAATGGAGCATGCCATGTCAAAAAAGTGTTTCCTGGTTTTCTGAACGTGTGTCTGCATATGCATCATCCTAGTTACATATCTTTATTTTCATTTTATTGTCAATTCAGCTGCAACCATTCCTAAAGAAAATGAGGAAGATAGATCCATCTAAGTTTTTCACCTTGTTGCCAGCATTCAGGCATAAAATGGACTTTTCCATGCTTCCAGACAAGGAGAGGCCTGCCCATCTCTCTAATAACGACGGTGGAATGATGCACTAGGTGACACATCAGATTTTGGGGTCCCATCTCCTTTAATTAGGGCGTTTTTAAGGAGAATTTCACTTCCTGCCTGTGATCAAGAAGCCTATCACTTAGAGAGTATAAGCACTTCATGCAGTTTGTATGGAGAGGCAGCAGTCCTCTGCTGTTCCCTTCCATGGCCTATGGCATATCTGGCTGAGTATTCTCGGCAAGTTGTCGCATCCTGTGGTTATAAGATATGACGTTTGGGGGGGGGGGGAGGTTTTCTTTTTTCTGTAAGCTGATTCTGTTTATCTGTATATATCCCTGCTCACTTTTTTTTTATGAATGATTCATGGTCCGATCACCCTTAAGAACAATAATGCCAGCCTTTTTGGCCATCTGGTTTGTTTATGTATGTGTCAGAATTCATGTGCATTCCTATCTGGTGTACACTCTCTTTTCTTCACCTCTAAGCACCTACCTATTGCCCATGTAATGTTCTCAGTTGCAGGATGTGTTACTGACCATAATTCGAGAACAGCAATCTCTACTTACTATATGCATTCCTATTCTTTCTGATCAATGACGTACATTTAGATTTATGACATGTTCCACTGCATCTGCCAGCATTTTGTAAAGAGGAAATCAGACCATCATTTTGAACAAGTGGATAAATGCATATCTGGGTATCCTCCGTAGAGAGGGAATTTATGACTAGGAATCTCTCACCCCCTCACTTGCTGTATCTATATTATTGCAAGGTCTTTATATGCTAGGATGAGATACCAATGTTTTCTTCCCATCGCTTTTCTCTTATAATATTATGAGAGAATAATTTTATCATGATATTTTGCTGGTCTTATATACCCCGTGATTGTTTAGGTTCCTGTCTGAAATTTCAAAATGAGTTCAAAAAAAGGAGGAAGCAAGACCCCGTATGGGGCTGGTGGGGGCTTTTCACAACCAAAGGGAAAGGGACTCGAAGGCTCCAGGTCAGCAGAGAACGATTCAAGAATCGACCAGCTGTGCCATGGCATGGCATCTATGAACGCAGACAATGCACAGGACGGTGAATGGGAGTGTGCAAAGAGGTCCAAGAATCGTGGTGGTAATGCCGCCAGAGAGCGGGCTTTATCATCTCATGTTTCTAAAGCATGGGTTCCTTCAGAAGCAGCTCCAAAGACGGGCATGACTTCTAATCTTGGGACAGGAAAGCCTGTTGGAAAAAGTTGGGCACATGCTGTTGAAACTAGAAACCCAGCGGGGCGAGGAAACTGGAAGCCTCACTCACTTAGTAATGGTCGGGAATCTCCATACATGGCACCACCTCCTGCTGACATTCCTCCACCCCTTCAGCATGGTTGGCAGTGGGCCACTAGAAGTGGTGCATGTTCCCAAGCCAAGGCTTCCCCGGGGGGACTAAATGAAGGGTATAATTCTGGCTGTGATGGAGTATCTGTAGAACCTGATGGTGCTAGTGATGATGACGACTTTGTTGACTCTGATGATGATCTTAGTGACGGGTATGATTCTGATTTGAGCCAGAAAAGCCACGAGAACAGAAAGAAAAACAAGTGGTTTAAGGCATTCTTTGAAGCATTGGACGCCCTTACGCTTGAACAAATAAATGAACCGACTAGACAATGGCATTGCCCAGCCTGTCAACATGGCCCTGGTGCTATTGACTGGTACAGAGGTCTCCAACCCCTCATAACACATGCCAAGACGAAGGGGTCTAAAAGAGTGAAGCTTCACCGAGAGCTTGCTGAGCTGCTGGAGGAAGAACTGCAAAGGAAAGGCACTAGTGCTGTACCAATTGGTGAAGTATTTGGCAAATGGAAGGGTTTGAGTCAGACTACAGCTGACCACGAGATAGTTTGGCCTCCTATGGTTGTCGTCATGAACACCATACTTGAGAAGGATGACCACGATAAGGTAGTTTGTTTTGCATTACACCTCAAGAGCAATATTATGATCCCTGTGGCTGTCTAGAGATTACGAATAGTTTATCTGAGCTTTCATTCGTTTTTAACGAAACCGCAAGTCATCACTGTGGTGGGGCTGCATTATTTCTTAATGTAGTTGCCGGAAATCCTGTTCGACTGCAACATGCATCCAGTTGCCCCCTTTTTTTTTTGTTTGTTGAAGTGTTTCTAATAGTCCTTAATGATTTATGGAGAATTATTTCTATTTTAATATTAATTTTTTGGATTTTGACTCGACAGCACCATGAGAATCATTTATTTCCTATGCCGAGCGATAAGAAAAAAAAATTACGACTTGGTGACTTATGATAGTACAGTAATGATCGTGCTTAGTTTATTACGTTTACTCTATTTTTTTCGATCCATTGTTGGTGGAAGATCTCGATAATGATTTGAATATTTGTGGAGTATTTTATAAGTGCGTTCACTGTGACCATAATTGTTTCTTGAACCTATGTGCCTGTATGATTGTGAAGTTGCAAGAAAGAAGTAGACAACAAAGTTCGGGCTGTCTATAGCTAATCTATTATTTGGCTAATCATAAAAAAAAACTGGAACCAACGAAGTTTCTATTTTAATATGATGAAATCTGCAATATCACGTTCGAAATTGGTCAGATTGAAGGATCTATTTACACATTATATGTAATGTTTTTCTCTTGAATGTCACTAGATTTTCTTTGGCCTAGACTAGATTGGGGTTGGTAGTCGTCAGGTGGTTCATGTTGTTAGAAAATTAACTTAGACTGTGCATGTCTCTTTCATCCTCCAATCTCACTCTGTATCGGGGTCTGTGGGAGTTCTGAAGGCTATTAATAATGTTGCATTGGAACGGCATCACTAGTAAGTCTGTCTAGTAGGCTTATTACAATACTTCTAAATTTTCTGTTTGGAACTGTAGAAATATCCTTTTTTCTTCCTACATGATCAGCCTCTCTCTCTCTCGCTTCCTGGGTTGATAACACAGGCATGTTCTAGCCAGCTTCACTATTTCCTCATGGCTCACTTTGTTTTTAGGACCATCCCCGCGGATGTCTTTGTGTTTGAGTTGGTATTCTTTGTTCTGGCCATGATGTGCAGTGGATCGGGATGGGTAATCAGGAACTTCTCGATTATTTCCGAGCATATGAAGCTGTGAAGGCTCGACATTCATATGGCCCCCAGGGCCACCGCGGGATGAGTATCTTGATATTCGAGGCATCGGCCATGGGCTATGTGGAAGCTGAACGTCTGCACAAGCACTTTGTAGACGAAGGAACCGACAGGGAAGCCTGGGAGCGCCGTAGAAGGCTGTTCTACCCGGGAGGACAACGCCAGCTCTATGGTTTTTTGGCTTCTAAGGAAGACATGGATTGCTTCAACCAGCACTCTCAAGGTATTATTTTTACTTTATATACGTAAACTTGTCTATGTTGGTTTCCTCCACGAGGTTATAACATCTTTGTAGCCCATGCTAGCATCACAATCCTTGCCGCTCTTTTTCCTATTTCTTGGCCTTTTATTTAGTTGTAATGGGACTCTGTTAGGTAAATCCCGACAGAAGTTTGAGATGAGATCATACCAAGAGATGGTCGTGGGGCCGATGAAGCAGATGAGCGAAGATAATCAGCAATTAGTCTGGTATAAAAACAAGGTTGAAAAGCAGCAGCAGCGGTCGAAGACCCTTGAAGAGTCTGTGGGACTGTTCAGTCAGAAACTGCGCCAGACGAATGAAGAAAACAAGATCGTGAGGCTTCGATCCAAAGAGCAGCACGAAGAAAACAAGGCAGAGGTACTGCCGTGAAGCAGAGAACCGATCATTTTTCGCATTCATTTATTTTTCGTAATTAACTGGTCCCTTAGCTACCCTAAATGAAGGTATGGGCGACAAAAAAAAATGTTTTTAATTTATATAACTGTGACGCCATCTGTTCGAAGCAATATCTGTTGAGCCTCTAATGCTTCAGCGTTTTGCTAATCAGCCGTTACTACTTCACTGACTATGATACTCCAGAATTTCCTTTTGGCTGAACTTAATTAAAAATATATGGGCCTTCCATTTAATGTTTTTTTCTCATGGGTGTGCGAATTATGGCGTGTAGATGGATCAACAAGATCGCTTCTTTAAGGAGCAAATGGATAAGGTCCACAAGACCATTGAGGAGAAGGAAAGAATTTTCGAGAAGCTGCTCCAGGAGGAGCGCTCCAAGGCCAGACAAGCATTTCTGGATTCGGAGACGAAGCAGGAGCAGGGCCCCGGGTACTATATTTTCTTCCGATCTTGAAGGGTAGCGATCATCTGGTCCCGTTATCCAATAATTTCTTCTCTCTGTTGGGGATTCTCACGATGACGACATGGTGAATCTGTGAGCTTTCCCCTTGCTGAGCGGTGGATTTCCGATCTCAGGAGAGTGGATATCGCTCATATCATCGATGGCCAGGAGAAGGAAGTCCAAGAGTTCCTTGCGGAGAGAGAGAAGCTCGAACGGGCTCATGAAGATAGGAAGGCGGAGATGCGGCGAAGGCATCTGGAAGAAGAGATCAATCTGGAGAGGGAGTTTGACCACGCCCTCACAAAGCTGATGGAGAAGTACACTCCCGGAGCCTTCGAGGCGGCCCGCGACGATTGAAGGCCAGGCATCGTCATGCGAGGAGGGGCAGATAGAATTCCCTAAAGAACTGAATACAGCGAATGCGGTGACGTGCATCGTTTTTGGTCGGTTCATCGTTTAAAAGAACAGGCGAAAGAGAGATGATTCTGCCCTGGTTGCGTCATTTTTCATTCAGCTTGTTGCCCGTTCTACCTTTGTCTTGTAATCTACTAGGGACTGGCTACGCTCCTGACGCCGCATTCCTTTTATCTTCATGGTCGTGGTGGCGGAAGGTGATCAGAGAGAGAGAAGAGAGAGAGAGAGAGAGAGAGAGTTCTGCGCGAATCTATCCGAAGATCGTCTAGGTAAGGGAAGTTCGCGAGAGTTCGGTATTGGAACTTAACCGATTCTCGATTATGCTGCATGGAGTGGCGGAAGCCCATAGAAACGGACCTTATGCCCCCCAGATGATTCCTCTTCCACGGAAGAAGCAAAGGTCATCGGTACTTTCTCATCGAGGTCCTCGACGGCCATTGTTACTTGTCTGGGCGAAGTTGGGGGACTTGTTTTCACTCGCGTGCCTCCCGGGAAATCGGGTCCAGTCGAAGCTCGTGGCTCCATCCCTACAGAACGCCCTGCAGATGCCGACTGCTTCCAAATATGAGAGAGCGAGATGAGCCCAGTAGCGAGATAAGACTCTCTCTCTCTCTCCTTCTCTTTGATTGCTTGATAATCGTTGGAAGTTTTCAAGGACGTCTCTTGGCGAGTGCTTCATATCGTGTACGACTCGATGTGGTTCGGCGGTATGCTGTCACCTCACTCTCCGATCGGCGTCCCAAATTCACCGTCAAGAAATCCCAGTTGACTCAATCCCAGATGACCTAATCCCATACTCCATCTCCCAACACATCGTCCGTCCACCGCATCCTCTATTCGCGGTTCGGGAACAGATGAGAGGACGTAGCACCAGGCCTAACCTCCCTCTTCTCTAGATGGACGGTGCGTCGATAATGTGGGGTGAGAGAAGAAGAAGCAGGACGTCCATCCACCAGGGGATTATTGGCAGAAGATGCCGCAGGAGGAGGTGGGGTGGACTGTTTCGACGAATGGCTGTCGACGGCAACTTGCTGATGTGCGAGGAATAAAGCTGTTCCGCAGTGCAAACCAAAGTCTATGAGGTAAATGAAGGTGCCACCCGAGATGAAATGACCACAGCCGCATGCCATACTACGTCTCGGGCAAAGAGAGAGAGAGAGAGAGAGAGAGGGGAGAAGAGACGTGTGACAGATAGATGGAACGGATGAGGTTTTGATTTGATCGTTTATTCTCTCTCCTTGACTTGACGAGAAACATATCCATTTCTTTTCTTTGCCTACAACCACGTCATAAACGTGCCTGTAGGCCATTCGCGTCTGCGATCTTATGAGCAAGAAGATGAACTAGGAACGATCAGTCATATCATGAGACCACCAAAGGCGTCTTAATGATGTGGCCACCACCAGCAGGACCAGAGAAGACGTAAGCTAATTCTCGATCTATAATCCCTCTTCAGGCCCATCAGCAGCATTCACATAGGTACTCTCTCTCTCTCTCGCTATTTTCTGGGAACAGGAGAGGCCACTTACCTGTCCACCATAGGCATCCACCTACCTGCAAACACCACTGAGGCGCATGTCATCTCGATCTTCGTTGAAAATATTGGCAGGGGGGGATATGAAGAGGAAGAATAAGAAGAGACGTAAGTAACGGCTGTCAAAAGAGGTCTCCTAATGAGAATAATCAATACACAGCATGGGCCAATGGGTAGACTAAAAGAGCAGATTTTCCGCCAGACAATGCTTCAGCAACTGAGCTTCTTTTCTCTCTACCAGGCCTTTCTAGTAGTGCTCGACAAGAAGTCAGGTTACCACGAGGCTTGCCCCGGCGATAGCCTTCGCCCTCCTCCTAGACTTTGGACAGCCTCCGGAAAGGCATAAGCCGCCTTGGGCCTGATGCCCACAGCTCTATTGCCTCTCTTGTGTACAGGGAATTGCCAGCCGAGATCCATTAATCATCCTCATCAGGAAGACTCCGTGGAGATTTTGCCCCCACGCTGAGAGTGTCTGAGCGCCAGAGGGGCCTTCCGTAATGATAAATGCAGTTCACTGGTGGTGGACAGAAACGATGACGGCCACCCAAACCGCATGGAGGAGCTCCCTGGGAGTCCCACGCGGAAGGTTTTTAGTCAGAAGAGTCGTCTCTCAGAATCTCTTCCTAACCAGCACATAACAGTTGACGAAGATACGTGTTGTTGGTGTAATCTCCGTTCTAAATGTGGCAAGTGTGGTCGTTCTTCTTTTTCCGACGAGGAAGAAGACGGCGGTGGCGACTCGGTGGACTTTCCACTGACCCAACTTCTCGGCGTCGGATTCAAACGAGGGTTGACTTCAAGGACAACGTGACGAATGGACGCCGACTTTGCCGTCTTCAACGCGATAATATATGTAATGTCGGCTACTGATGTCCTGACGCCTTCAACTTCATCTCCTTTGGACTGAAGAACGACGGCCATGTCCGTTCTATCCCTTTTCTTCTGCGTTCGTCGGTAGACCAAAGCGGTGGTAGGGCTGTTGGACCCAGGACTCTGAGACAGCTTCAAAACTTCGGCCTTATGGAGCCAGGCTAAATCCGGGCCGCTTATCTGGTTTTCTCGCTCAGTTAACCGGGCCTGCATAGGTCGGCTACTGCTCTATAGCTAGCTCACCTATGGATTAGGAGGGCCGGTAAGAAAACCACTTTGATCAGAATAGAGAGGAGAGAGGAAACAGACCGTCGGCATTTGAGAAGATAAAGCTGTCGGCATTGGGTTGTACGTGGTCACGTCGTTCTTACAGCTTTCCTTCGTTCTTTTAGAGAGAGAGAGAGAGCGAGAGATAACAACTCCCACTCTAATCCCTTCCCTCGAGTACCGGCTGCACTCGGGCCGAATAAGCCTTAAAGGGGAAAGCTTTAGGTCAACTCGGCCCACCTCAAGTGGCCTTTTCGTGGGCCCAGCAGTGGCACTCAAAGTTAGGAGGAGACCGAGTTCATCCACTTGGGTTCACAAATGTCCCGTTCTGAATCGTATAGAAATAAATAATGCACGACCAATGGGGTTTCTCGCCGCCCGGTCTCTCCTCGTCAGCTACTACGTGGGTCTCGCCGCCGATGGGCTACGTACGATACATGGTCTCGCCGCCGTGAGGGGAATTGGCTATAACCAGCTCGGCGAGAGACTAGTCAACGCCAAATGTCTCGCTAGGATTTAGCCTTTTGGCCCGGCGAAGGCCAGGCAGAGTTGGCTGGATAGCTTTCCTCGCCGTCGCTCATGATGCGGTCGAGGAGAGTGGGCTATTGTTGGGCCCGTTCCTCGTATTTAAAATGCTCAAATGTCGATCCCCAGGCCGTATTGACCCAAAAGCTTGGCTTTCCCTCGCAGATCTTGTCGGCACCGCCACGGCCCTGGTCCAATAAGTATGAAGGAGCAATAGAGAGAGAGAGAGAGAGAGAAAGAGAGAGAAAGAGCCTCTTTTGTTAACAGCAACGTAGATGGAAGGAGAGTGGAAAGGGGAGAGGAGAAAATCTGGCCTCGGAAGAGCTCTTCCAGTCGACACATGTTTCTTCATTTCATCAAAAACTATGGAAATCATGAGCGGCTCTCGGTCTTTCTCCTTGCCTATGGGCAGAATGTGAGGATGGTGTATCAGGATAAGACTGTTTGGTGTCATTGTAGGCATGGCATGGTACATCAAAACTATATATGAGAGCCCCACAATGGGAGCCAGCCACTTCAAAGCGTTGCTTGGATTTTTCTCTGTAGGATTTTCACATAGATTAAAATCGAACTCTGAGACCGGAGAAATCTCGTCCAGTTGTGAGAAGATTCAACGGACCCTCCTCACCGCAGACCATCGGACCCTGTGGCCGACTGTCTACGCGGTGGAGAGGAATCGACGACGTGTAAGACGAGACACTCTAAATCATAGCGTCCAACCATGAAAAGAATGGGCAAAGGCTGCAGTAGAATGAAGAACAGCGGGGGGGAGGAGGAACCCGCATGTGGTGCTGATACGCGGGCGATTGAGCGAGGGAGGCCACATTCTCTTAAGAAGAGAGCAGCCCCGATGAGGAGACTCCCCTTTTCTGGCATTAATGACGTAGCAGACCGTGCTTAAAGGTTTTTTAAGCATGATTTCACGGGATAATCCGTGAAAGAAAACCACTATCTTGGCATTAACGCGATTAAAAACCTTTGTCCAATTGACATAACTTCAACAGCTGGATCAGGGTATCGAAGACAGTAGAGGGCAGGACAACCCGTCTAATCTCTATAATCGGCAAGAATATATTCATTTGCCCCACAGGGCAGTGTAAGATGCGATTTTTATATGCGCCCCAGTCAGGAACATCCATAGGACCCGAGCCCAAGATCAGGTAAAGAAAGATATGGAGAAAGAGCCGATCGATCGGAATGAATATATTAGAGAAGTTGCCTCACAGTAGCTGGACAGCTCGCAGCCGGAAACGTCCTATACGTCCAGTGGCCAGTTGTCTGAAAGAGGGGCCGACAGTCTCATTGTTACATAACCGATCTCAGGAACAACCGGTTGCTTGGACTGCCTCGCCGAGCGCCTTTAATAGGAGAGGTTCGTCCATATATCAGTGAAGTCTGAGAGAGAGAGAGAGAGAGAGAGAGCCAATGGTAGAAAGGAAGGGGCGACTCTACGTTATGAACCACCCCCTCCCTGGTCTCGTCGTCTTCTTCGCCTCGCTGTGAGAAGAAGAACGGCAGGTTTCAGCTGCTGCCTACTGCGGAAATGTGTATCCGTTACGTCTTCCTCTCCTCTTGATTATTCGCGTGACCCCTGTGAGAAACCAGGCAACAGACGGCTGGCGTGTGCCATGTGCAGCTCCCCGGGTATGAAGGTGAGCCGAGGCGAGGCCATTATTTTTTAAGGGTTTAGGATGGGGAAGAAGAGAAGAGGCGCGGAGGGCTTCGGCGAGGAAGGAGACTATGGGAAGTGGGGAGAGAGAGGGGGGGAGTGGGGGAGACCACCTGTCTGACTGCTTCCTCCCCCGGCCTGCACTCTCAAAAGCAGACCATACCCTGACTCTTGAACAGCGACCTGCACTATCATGTGGCTGGGCGAAGCCCGCCCATCCTTCTTTCTTGACACCAACCTTCCCCCACCACCACCCAAAATCCATCTTTCTCTCCAAAAGCTCCCAGAGGTGGATTATAAATAAATGCGCTCGGCCGGGCTGAAGTTGGCCGAAAGCTCAAGCAAGGGAAGGAGGGATTTTCTTGGAGAGAACAGATCATCGTGTTTCTCGCTCTTTGATATTCCCGTCGTGGAGAGGAAGCGCGCGAGGGTGGGTTGGACTAGGGAGAAGAAGGGGAGGAGCGAGAACGAGGATATTCGGAGGAAATAGTATCTCAAGGGAGAGTCCTCATGTCTGTCGCAGAGGTCGCCGTTGATTGGAAGGGCAGGCCATGCAGACCCAAGCATGGAGGGATGAGAGCCGCTGCCTTCGTCTTGGGTCTGATTCCTCTCTCTCTCTCTCTCTCTCTCTCTCTCTCTCTCTCACACACACACACACACATACACAAACACTCTAGTACATCAAAATTTTCAGGATTAACGTTTGAAATTATAACCAATTATTTCCAACGAAAGGAAACACGAAAAGAACAAATCATCGATCAGTACAAAGAGCTTGAAGTGAAGATCCAAATGTATCATGGCTCCCCAGATGTCCTACTATTGTTTTATCCCTTCTCCTGCGGGAAATTTATGCGTCTGGTTTCATTTAAATTTCTTTGGTAGTCTCTCCTGTTCTCATTCATTTCCCATTTTCTCACTTTATCCCATGAAAGATAGCCCTTTAGGGTCTTTGGTTACAATTTTTGAGCCAGCAGCGCTGTTCAGAAAACTAAAAGATTGTTATACGGGTGGGTTACCTATGATTTTTCCGTCTCATCTTATTGATGGTAATTGAGAAGCTGATGTAGAGAGGCCCAGGGCCACAGGTTCCCGTAATGGCCTTCGATTCTTCTTCTACTCGCTTCCCATAGCCGAAATTTACGCTCTGTTTTTTCAAAAGCTTAATGAATTCTCTGCTCTTCCCCCATGGGGAATTGAAGGATGCTCTCAGTTTTCTTCTGCAACCTGGCGCCATTTTCATGATTGACTTCTGTATCAATTCGTTTCGTTTTGAAGAATTTCCTATGACTGGAACTGACTGATTAAACGCGAACAAACAGATCTTAAGCTAGTCTTCATTACTTTTTTCTGGTCTTCCTGCTTCTTTCAGGGTTGCAAGGATTCGAGATCATGGCGATCGCTGCGATCGGAAACAACCTTATAACCTACGTCTTCAACGAGATGCACTACCCCCTGTCCAAATCGGCTAACATAGTGACCAATTTCATAGGGACCGTCTTCCTCCTCTCACTCCTCGGTGGTTTCCTCTCAGACTCCTACCTTGGGAGCTTCTGGACAATGCTCACTTTCGGCTTTGTAGAGCTCTCGGTGAGTCTATCCTTCCCAGTAATTAGCGTCGTAATATTGCGTAAGTCCTATCTTCCCTCCCCCAGATGGGAAAGCCGGGCCTTTCATCGGAAAAACGCCAAGTGGAACGGATCCATCAATGAAGAAAGGAAGAACTGGGTTATTGGGAAATGCGGAAACTGAGGGAGAACAATATCCAGAGCTTAAAGGAGAGAGATCTCATGGAATCAAAGTATAGCCCCACTCAAAAGAGACAGGAAGACGACTATCTCGTCTTCTTTCGAAAGCTTCATCTCACAGCCTTGACCTTCGTCCACCAAATAATCATTTCTGGGAATTGAGGAAGCTGAGATGTAGAAAATAAAACTAACTAGAATAAGTTTCGTAGATAAAAAGAGAGGGCATCACGAGGGTTTGTTTCTTGCTGGGTTCATCACATGGGTCCAGTTCTGATTTTCCAAATCTCTTCTCTCTCCCTCTCTCTACCAGGGTTTTATCCTGCTCACCGTCCAAGCCCATATGCCCCAGCTAAGGCCACCTCAGTGCAACATGTTGGCTGAGGGGAACCACTGCGTGGAAGCGAAAGGCTTCAAAGCCACCATCTTCTTCATAGCTCTGTACTTGGTGGCCCTGGGGAGCGGCTGCCTCAAGCCTAACATAATCTCCCACGGGGCCGACCAGTTTGCCAAGGACGATCCCAACCAGTCGAAGAAGCTCTCCACCTACTTCAACATCGCCTACTTCAGCTTCTGCGTTGGCGAGTTCGTCGCGCTGACGGCCCTCGTCTGGGTCCAGACCCGGTCCGGCATGGACGTCGGCTTCGGCTTGTCCGCCGCCGTCATGGCAGCGGGCCTCATCTCCTTAATCTCTGGCGTCCTCTTCTACAGGAACAAGCCTCCACAGGGCAGCATATTCACACCCATTGCCAGAGTAAGGCTCCACCGTCCACCAACCTTCGTGTCTTTCAAATGATAGACACTGCACGGATAAATATTCATCGCCGGTATTATCTTCAGATCCTCATCTCCGTTTAAAGTTGGAGCTTTTGGCTCAATCTACCGACCGACAGCCGGCCGTATAATATTCGTGCCCACCGATTTCTTCAAAGGAATCGAGATCTTCTTGGGAAAATGACGTCGTTTTTTATTTAATTTGATGCCATCCGTATCACTCCCGACATCCGCCTTCGTCCATTGCCCTTGGAGGAGCGTGAGCTCGTCCGTTCCGACGTCGACGCGAGATAGTAATCTATGTTTTTCTATTACAGCTCCTCCGAGCTCGACTTTTCGTTGTGGGCTTTAAATTATTGCTAGAACAGTGCCGAATCTGCGTATATTTTCACGTGTTCTTGATAATTATGGCCGTCTGTTGCCGTCGGAGTAGGAGTACGAGACCTACGTTCTTGTCGGATTATTTTATGAGAGACGAAAGTAGGAGGGAAAACAATAAGCCCACTCGTCTGATCGACGCTCGCCGTCGCAGGTGCTCGTCGCAGCGATCACGAAGAGGAAGCAAGTCTGTCCATCTAACGCGGAGACGGGGGACGGAAACCACGGCGGCGGCGATCCTCTTCTTCTCCGCACCGCGAAGTTCAGGTGAGGGGGACGAAACATGGCTGCGGAACCTTATCGACTCGTCCCCGTGGAGTCCAAGTGATGAGGGCGGTGGTGGGCTGTGCCGTTTGCAGGTTCCTAGACAAGGCCTGCATCAGGGCGACCCAAGATGGTGGCGAGAAGAAGCAGGAGGAGAGCCCGTGGAGGCTCTGCACAGTGGCCCAGGTCGAGCAGGTGAAGATAATCCTCTCGGTGGTGCCCATCTTCGCCTGCACCATCATCTTCAACACCATCCTTGCCCAGCTGCAGACCTTCTCGGTGCAGCAGGGCAGCGCCATGGACACCCGCCTCTTCGGTTCCTTCCGCATTCCCCCGGCGTCCCTGCAGGCCATCCCCTACCTCGTCCTCATCATCGTGGTTCCCCTCTACGAGACGTGCTTCGTCCCTCTCGCCCGCCGGTTCACAAGCAGGGACTCCGGCATCACCCCGCTGCAGCGCATCGGCGTGGGGCTCCTCACGGCCACCTTCTCCATGGTCTCCGCCGCGCTAGTGGAGGAAAAGAGGCGGCGAATGGCGGAGGAATCCGGCCGGGGGCTGCCCATCGCCTGGATCGTGCCGCAGTTCCTCATCTTCGGGCTGTCGGAGATGTTCACGGCGGTGGGGCTCATCGAGTTCTTCTACAAGCAGTCCCTGGAAGGGATGCAGTCCTTCCTCACGGCCATGACCTACTGCTCCTACTCCTTCGGCTTCTTCCTCAGCTCCCTGCTCGTCTCCCTGGTCAACAGAGTCACCTCGGGCTCCACCGGGGGCGGCTGGCTCAGCGACAACAACCTGAACCGGGATAGATTGGACCTCTTCTACTGGATGCTGGCAGGCCTCAGCTTTCTCAATTTCTTCAACTATCTCTTCTGGTCGAACTGGCACTCATCCCACTGCCCTTCCCCGCCCCTTCCCAGCTCGCCCGGAGACGAACCCCACCCCATCCCCTCTAAAGACGCCGATCCTGAAAACGTCCCGGTCTAGGGTCTCTTCTCCTTCTTCCTTCGGTGAAACTACTGTACTGTCCTGTATTCAACAGAGAAAATGGTAAACGAAGGGCCCCCATGGACATACAATCTTGGTCCTCTCGCTCTCTACAGTGTGTGGATCATTCTGGGCATGATAGAGAGAGAAAGAGCCGCTCTGGCGATTGCGAAGAAAAGTCTCCAATATATGTAGTTTTACATGCATGGATTCCTTCCATTCAGGCATCACCATATTCCAACCTGCAGGGAAGCTCCACTCTAAACTCGCTATGTTCTGTGGGGTGAAGATCCGAAGGACCCGGTAACATGAGCCCGTCACAAGCAGTCGCCCCGCAGCTGCAGTGGGGTCTCAGGTGGTCAGCAAGGCCTCACTGCTCAAGGTTGAACAGAGAATAGAACAGGAGCGTGGGTATTAATTAGCCTGTAGCATTAAGGAGAAAAAATTGTTCTAGAAGTGGCGTACGACTTCTCATCCTTGAAAAACATGAGAGGAACGTCAGGGATTCTACTCCTCCCCTTCGCCATTCGCTCCCTTCAGGTGCAAGTGCTTCTCCCTTTTCTGGAAATCGGTCAACCCTTTCCCACTGCCTGTGACGCCCACCTTACCCTTTGGATCGTCCGGGGACTTGAAGATGCTCTCCCGTTTTCGACCTGTGAAGAAACCAACCTGCACGGACGAGGAAAGATGAGAAACCAGGGAGAGATCCCAACTGATAAAACGGAATGCCCTCCATCGTTACATTGAGCATAATCGAAACAAGTTCCAACAAACATATATATATATATATATATATATATATAGAGAGAGAGAGAGAGAGAGATATACATATATATATACATATATATATATATATATAGAGAGAGAGAGAGAGATCAAACAGCACAATGAAAGAGAGAGACACTCTCCCTTGAGGTACAGCCCCTCTCATTGGCCAAATGAAAGGAGTCAATACAGATAAGATTTGAGGCCAGGGGTTCGATATATTTTTCGTATATTTTAAACCCTTACTTAACATGGGTCTCAACTTTTTCCCTTTTTTTAAATACCAGTACTCATGCATTGTTCCTTGAATTAAAAAAATTGGTTTTATACAGGTTAACTTAATCAGGGAGTCATATTGCTACAAACCTCAGAAAGCCATTCATACCAAAAAGAAATACTAAGCTTCTATAATCTAGGGTTCATGTAGAAGAATATCCCAGCATTCCCTCTTAAGACACTGGAAAAAAACAAGAAAATAGGCACCTCGGCCTTTTCATGAAACCCCACAAGAGATTTATACCGTCTCTTACTGTTTCATATCTTTATCACAGATTCAAGATATGACGTTATTACATTCCTTGTACTGACCCTCCTTAAGCCCGGAAACATCACACATTCATCAACTAAATTTCTTCCAAAATTGCAGAGATCATTGATTCCTTCCGAGGCGGACAAGGAATCGATATGCAGATATCATTGATTCCAGATGCATAAATGTCAACAGCTTTATTATGTGACCATACCAATGCAAACTGTTGGAAGTGCAATCTAGGCAAAACTAAGTGGTTGCAGAAATGTTCCACTTTTTTTTAATTGATCAGAAAAAAAAAACTATGCTGATTGACAAGTAACATGAATCATTTCCTTTAATTTTTTAACCAAAACCCATACTTCAAAACGGGAGCTACCCTAAAACTTGCAAATGGTACCTGAAGCTAATAGAATGTATAACGAAATCTCCAAGATGCATGACACTGATGCCAAATAGTATACAGGTTCCAGAGTTAAGATAAATTTAATGATAAATCTGTAGAACCAATTGGAAACATTTGACTACTAAATACAAAGTGCGGAAACCAGCTGGTCATATGGAGCAAAAAGAGAAAACTTACTTTCTTGGATTGTCCTTTTGATGTTTGGAACTGTTGCCAGGCGTTCTGACGCTTATTCTGTACCACCTCTAACTGCTCAAACCGAACTTTCGACTTAAATGCGTGTATCTTCTTGCGTTTCGCAGTTTTCTACAGGTGTTCGAAGTAAACAAAGCAAAATTAGGGTCCCTCCAAAATGAAATGATCGAGTATACAATAAAAATGCAAACTGGCATTAACCTACTGCATATATCATGTGAAGGAAGACGAACCCTACGCGTGAAGACTTATCTTGAGGTAGATTTTGGAGACTCATATCCCTAACCTGGACTGGTGACAGTCTTATGAACTATTTTGCCTCACTGAGCGCTAAGCTAGAATTCCAAATAAGATAAGCGCAAATTACAGAGACACTAGTAGTACTGGAAGACTAGTGTCCAATGAACTTGAACTCCTCCCTTATCCTGCGACTATGTAACCAGTGTATCTCGTGATAGACTAGAATACGAATACTAAATGGCAGAGCAACTACTGATACAGAACTGATAGGCAGAGGACAGGCAAACCAAAAGATTTGCCTGGCCATGAGAACATAGACAACCAATCTGAAGTCAAATTACACCGAATTGCTTGATATAAGTATGTATACCATCATTGACTTTGTAAATAATCTTGTAAACTTTCCAACAGCTTGGCAGAGAATGCTTGAAGAGGTACTTACCACATCTTCCGGGTCATCAGGATTTATCTGCAACTTTGCTGGGATAGTGCGAGAATTGAATTCAGCATCAGCTGCTTGTGCAATCTTCCTTTTGATGGCTAGTTTTGTAGCTTCAGCTACCCTTTCAGCTTCTCCCAAAGCATCAACAGCACCTTCTATTGGTCTGACATTAGCGGGATCAACCTAGTAGGTATACAAACCTTAGAGAGGGTACTGAGATTTTTTTACAAACGAAATACGTCATGATTTCCACCTAAATATTGCCAAATATTTCTAAATGATTATCCATACTAAAAATAAAATAAATAAACAAACAGATACCAACAAACGATGCCAGAGATGAAAACATACGTGAATGGCTTTGGTTCAGGGAAGAATACATCAGTCTCTTGCATTTCTATTTACATGTCATTTGATGATGCTCGAACAAAGATTTTAAAAATGTAAATCGATTGCAATGTGTAGATAGACATACCTCCTCTTTATTGCCCCATTCATCATAGCATACATAGTATCCGTTGGGAGTCAGAGCTTCAATTGTCGCATTGTACCTTAAGCAGTCAACTAGTCAAACACAAAATCATCGTAATAATATATTCAATCAATAAGAATAACTCCCCGTGGGCATACCATTCGCCATCTTCACTCCAAACTGCTTGAACTTTTGCCCCAACAGAAAACTCATGATCCTCGGAATGCAAACTTAAACCCTGAAAAAAGAAAAAAATTCAGCATGCCTGAGTCATTATTTCAGAGGCAATTTATGGATTCGAGTAGGTTAAGTATTGTTGTGACCAAGACTGGATGACCAGGTGTCGTCTCAATAGGGGGGATGTCCTAAATATGACTCATGTGATACTGGAAGGCTGTAACATTGTATAATTCAACCCTCTCTGGTACTATCAGTACTAGTTGGACTTTATCATGATGTTGATAACAAGCCAGGATCCCGAGATAGACTCCTGGCGTACACAAAGGTTTTAGATGTGAAAGTGCACCCATAAACACATTCTCATCGTCCAAGATAAACTCCAGGGGTCTAAAGGAAGTCTTTTACACAGTTCTCCAGATAAGATACCCAAAGATAATTCATCTTGGATCTTCTGTGCAATCAAAAACCTGGAAGGTCAACTTCGCACAAATCCGAAAGGATAGGTAAAAACCATAAGCAGTTTTGATATGTAGCCTAAGATCACTCACTTGTTCCAACTTAGATGCACTAGAGTGAAGCTGGCTTGGAGATGCTTCATCATCTGATTTGATTGGAAGTGCAGGAAATTCACCTTGCTTAGCAGCTGCTAAGAGTTCCTCAGTCAAGGTAATGACCTGCATGTTCAATAGTTTGATCACCATGGTCAAATAACATATTTAATCACCATGTAGCCACTGTTGAAAATCCCCAACTAGATTAAAATTTCAAACTTAGAATCTCAGCGTGAACATCTGAAATCAGAAGAGAGCAGGAAGGTTCCATCGCGACACAGCACCTACAAAAGAACCAAGATAAAGGGTGATGGGCATCTCGAAAAATCCACATTTTTAGATGCTGCTCTTTAATTTTTCATAGCAACAGCTCTATATTTTAGTAGGAGCTGTCCTCAAAAAGAAGTACCCATCTCACCTTTTCCATTATAAATAAAACAAAAATCTCCATGAAACTTCCCTTGCCTTTTGTAGACAAATAATGCTACCCTGCTTGGAAACATTTGGTGGCTGCAGAAAAACCACTGCGAAAATATGGGATTCTGATGACTAAATACCATATAAATTATAATATAATGACTAAACCAAAGATGTTGATGTCTATACATCAAATATTCAAAGTTTAACATTAGATTCATCAAAGGCCAGCACATTTATTATAAAAGTAAGCTACTTAAGGACAATGAAATAAGGTAATGCTCACCTCTTCAAGCTCTTTCTCCATGTCAGCATATTCAGAATTTCCAGGGTCATCAGATAAAAGTTTTTTAACCTGATTCGCAAGTAAGTAACCACATTTAGAAAATAATTATAATAAAAATAACAGCATTGCCAATAAGTTAAAAATACGAAAGCAACAAGAAATAACCATGGGCCACAAGGAGTCATAGTGGTTAAACTAATTATATTTGGGATAAATGGTTCTCCTCGGCGCTACCTGCTCTCATTAGCATAATATGCAAGCTAAATAACTATTGTCTACAGACACTAGCTTGCTTGAGGAGCTTGTGAGGCGTTTTCTTCATCCAAAGCTATCTTAGCCAAATAATTAGCATCGTTTCATGGAAGACTGACACCAGTCAGGACAACAGATCAAAAGAAGTGTCAAAACATCAGATGTATAAGTGATGCTCCGCAATGGAAAGGATGGTAATATTTAAGATCCTGAGTTTTTATGCCTCACTAAATCCTTCTAATGTCTATGACTCCAAGTATGCATGTCCTCGAGGGGAAAAAAGGGGCGATGTATCCATTAATTGTTGGATTTCAGAAAGAATCATGGATGGAATTCATTATCTATAAAGAAACGAACAAGCAAGAGGAAAAAGTAGCTTAAATTTGGCAGAAATGAGTAGTTCTATGTAGGGATATTGATTTACTATGCTGAAAACTTATTGCCAAAAAGAGAACCTCAGGAATGCGATATAAATTCAAAGAACATAAAGGCCCATATGCCCTGTAGCACGTGAAATTCAAAACCTAGATAACACGTTCATAAATTAGCTTTAAATTTCATCAAATCTCAACTTCCAACATCCCATGGGAGAAAAAAGATAGGGAAAGGTTTGAAAACCTTCCAAACCGCTTCAGATATCGTAGGAGTAAAAGATGGGACCTTGTGAAAATGGAAAACGAACTAAATTAAAGAGAAGGGAGAAACCTTTGTAAAATTAATGAATAATAACGAAAACGAAGCAATGTAGAGGCCAAGAATTGTTGAATAAGCTATCCATCTCGTCCTCCTCTTTCAGTGACACCACGAAAAAGTTGAAGAATGAGAAAGAAAATTCACGCCCATGTATTCGAGTGGGAATTGGGCTATTGACCCAGCATATATCAGGACAAGTAAAATCGGATTTGCGGGTAGAATTTATCTATTGTGAAGGAACACCGTGATAACGACTGACGCGGTCGAATCGAAGAAATTTCAGTAGGTTTCCAACGATTTCGTCCAATTTCAAAGTTTCGAAAATTATCTTTTTAAGTAAAAGATCACTGGCTTCAGTACATCTCTTTATTTCCCCATCTTCATTCCGAAAAGTTTTTTTTCCGAAAAGACATTTAAGAGACTCGTTTAAATGCATCAAGGGGCTCACACAGGTCCCTGAACATTCTCCCCATTCAAAAACAGATGTCGTAGAGAACGTAAAAATCATGGATATACGAACTTTCGTCGGTATTTCCGGAACTAGTGCAAATCACCCAATAAACACCATCGGGGAAACCCTAATTCCGGTAACAGATCCTCCCATCTACAGGCGAACATTTGAAGGCTACAAACAACACAAGTAAAATATCTCCAACCTCTTATTGGAGCACCTAAATTACCCGCACGTTGCACATGAACCAACCCACCGAATCAAATACCAGTAGCAAATAAATAAACAGGTAGAGCTCAAGTAAAACTCCAGAGAAATGAGATCACGCTCAGCGAACACATTCACGGCAAAAAACCCTAGAAAAGAGGAGACAATAATTGCAGAAGAAAAACGGCGGGAGACTAGGGGACAAGACAACCTGACGAAGCTGGTCTTTGTATGTTGAGAGATTGGAGGTGAGCTCCTCCAAGCTTAGCTCTTCCCCTCCCTGCATACTTACTGCTCGTGCGCCCCCACCCCCTGCCCCTTTCCTTCTTCGGCTTTCACTTCCCCTTCCCCCTCCCCTTCCCCGGCAACCAGATAGCGAGTGTAGATATCTCGAACGCCTCCGATAGAGGAGAGGAGCCGAAAAGACGAAGCAACACGTTCCTCCCACGTCAGATGGCTTCTTCGAAAGCTGTCCATCGTGCTCTCTTAAATGGGCCCAACATAATTGACCGGGTGCAGTAGCAGGACGGCCCGTTATATAGTCATCCCAGGCCCAGCTTCATGGCGGGTTGGAAGCCTCCCCTCCCCTTGACACGTGTCAACGTCTAATTACTTTGTCACGGTTCTAGTGCCCAAAATGACCAGGCCATTACTCTGTTCAGTTGAGTTCAGTAATTTCATAAATTATTTCTTTAATTTAATTCCAAATATATCTATGAATATAGTTTTTAAAATTCAATGAATTGTACAAAAGGTATCCCAAAAATCGATACAAATCTAATTTATCAAAAAAAAATCTATCTAACAATTTGATGTGGCATTTCATTCCTAAATAACCCTAAAATATTTTTTAAATGGGTATATTAGTTCAGTAAAATGGAGATTAACATGTAAATAATGAGCTACTCTCTTAGAAAATAGGTAGATAAATAGACTAAGGTTGCATGTATGACCATCCGACTTACCTTGTAGAGTCGAACGATATTTTATGACTTCAAAGGCTAAGTTGAAAGACATATCCACCATAAGTACATCAGTAGACCCTACCCCTCCTCACTTCTCTCTCTCTATCTCTCTATCTCACACACTCCAAGTTTTATTTGAAGCCCATTTTGTTAAATATTTTGGTAAGATTATTTCCTCCAACTACCAAGAGAAAGGTCAATAGACAAAAACAAGAAGAAATTGGGTAGATACTTAAGGAGAATATAAAATAAGCTGTAGAGGTAATCGAACATAGGAAGTAGTTAGATAAGCTTCCCTTCCCCTCCCTAGCTTGACTAAGTCCTATAACTTGTTTCTCCCAAAAGATGTCACTCTCGTTTATTTGATGTGGTCTTAATACCCTAACCTTGTAATGACCTATTTGCCCTTGTAACCCATTTACTTGACCCAATGTCCTCTATTTCTATCTTCAGTTATAAGTCTTGATCAAAACTTTATTAATGTTTCCCTTAATATTTCCCTTAGCAGATGAGTAGCTTCTCCCAAAGACTGAAATGTAGAAAGTCAACAAGTACCTTGAAAGCAAGTAGACATATCCACTGAACAAGACCTCAAGACCTGTTTAGGGTATGTCTATCCACTGAACAAGTAGACTCTCCAACGCCAGCTCTCCACGTGCTCTCTTGAATGGAATTGACCAGGTGTGGTGCCAAGCAGCCATCAGCGTCTAATGCGTTTGCATGGTTGAATTTTTAGTCCCCAAAATGGCTACATTACTTTGTTCGCTTGAGTGTGTTAAGGCCCAAGTTCTTGACACGTGTCAGGGCCTACTCAGTTTGTTGACTTTTTTAGTACCCAATGGTCTTTGTTCACTTGAGAGGGATAAGGCCAAAGTTTTCGACACATGACACGTCTAACTATTTTGCACGGTTGACTTTTTACTCCCCACATGGCTAAGCCATTACATTCTTCAGTTGAGATTATTAATCTCATAATTTCTTAAATCTAATTTCCCAAAATAACTAGGAATATATACTTTTTAGTCGGATTCAATTCATTGTACGGAACGAATCCCCCAAAATCAATAGAGTAAACTTGTTCCGTAAAAATGGAGAATAACATGTCAATAATGAGCTACTCTCTCTCTCTCTCTCTCTCTCTCTATGTCACACACACTCACTCCGAGTGTTCTTTGAAGCCCATTTTGAGAAATATTCCTAGGATGCAAAGCTGACACTTATAGCATAATTAGTATAACGTTGAGACAAATATCCCCATCAATATACATCATATTATCAACAAAATATTTTTCCGGAATACCTGCAAGAAACCTACCAGAGGAATTTCAGACTCCAAAGTTGTGAAAAATAATACCGACCCGGATCTTCAAAGCTTCGATTGGAGTGATATCTGTCGCAAGCCCACGCAAAACATATCATCTTGTTCATAAGCAACGTGCTTCTATATAATCTATACCCACCAGCACCTCTTTCAGGCGCCTTTACAGAATAGCACATCCGCCATTCTGCGCTCTCCTCCGCAGATCCTCAGTGTCCCTCTGAGCTTTTTCCAGGTTCTCTCGCAGTCGACGGATCTCATCATTTGATCTCTGTTGAGCAGCTTCCGCCAGCTCTTCAGCCTTCAGACGAGCGGCCTGTTCTTCGGCTAGCTGCTGCTCTAGCCTCTTCGTCGTCTCCCTTAGCTTCGTTTCCACCTACGGATATCACAATGAATTATTAGCGAAACAGGCATGTAAAAGTCAAAAGAAACCAAATAGGATAAGCTGACTGATCATAGCAAAGCGCAGATTCATACCATTTCAGTAATTCGCTTTAGTTGATCATTGTACTGTTTATACAAGTGGTCCAACAACTCAGATATCTCTGGTTTTGTGTATCCCTTCAGAGATTCCACCTCTTTCTTCTTGTCATATAAACTCTCAGCTCCTTTCTGTTGTAGACAGATTTGACCAGGAATACATTACCAAATATAACGAGATCATGCCGTCAGTATAAGTCAACTAAGCATTCATTACCTTGAGTTCAGCGAAAAACTCGTCAGAGTAAGGCTGCCCGTTGTTCTTTGCGATGACCAAGTCAACGAGGGAAAACAATTGCCGCATCTGTTGAGCTCGCTTATTCACGTCCTTTGTCTTGTTATCAAAAAGCACCACTCTTTGATCACACAAGTCAAGGAATTTCTACATAACGTTGCCAACGATCAGAAAATGCTAATAATCGTCAATGGTTCTTTACAGTTGACAAATATGGCATGCAAAACAATAAGGAACGAAAACCCAAATAAATGAACAAAATTAAAAGGGCCATCAGATCAAAATCTTCATCAATTCACTTATAGTAATCATAGGAACTGTAGAGAACATAAAAAATTAAAAGGAAGAAGTTCATTAGATGAATTTCTCAAGCACCCAGGGAGAACAACATGATTTAGGGAAAGGATAAGCATTTCCAAACAAAACATTTACTTTCTAAAAATATGGGATATTAATGACACTAAATTAGAAAATAAAAATTTGTGTTGAGCAAGACATCAAAATAATCACAAATCTGCCACATGAAACATGATCCTTTCTCTTTAATGCACCACATATGGATAGGATTGCGAATATATGTGTGACATGTGAATCAAGAGTTTTTCAGTTTGAAATGGAACTGGTGAAGAGTTTCCGGTTGATCTATGATGGGATATCAGATCACCATTGGAATGAGGAGAGATAGATGAGGGGAATTAATAGACCTGTAAAGGTTCTGGACACTCTTGACGTATGTAGTCCTCTAGGGACTCGTTGTTCTCTTCAAGATCATCTCCACCAGTAAATACCACGATCATGTAATTGGTGATTTTCTCTCCAAAAAAGGTCTGTAATGCTTGCAATGCAGCCTCTTCTTCTCTTGAAAAGCGGCCACGGGTAGAAAAGACCACAAGAACTGCATGGATACCATCCTTGGCAAGATCGATACACTTCACAATCTCTTTACCGACAAAGTCAGGTTCTGCTGAGAAATCAAACAGTCCTGGAAAAAATAAAATGGATCAACAATGACACACGTAAGATAAATAAATTGATAATCAATAAACAAGACTTAAAGTTTGGTATAGGTTATATGCAGGAAGTCAATGCAGGAGATAAGTCGTTATCATTTTTCTTTCAAGAGTACTCGGTTCTCAAAATGATTATCTGATATTCTAAATTATGGTAAACCACAAAGTATTCGAAGACCATTAATAAACTGATATCGTGAACAGATAGTGAATTTGCATTTTACATTTCGTAACCATTATTAAATAGAAATCGTATATGCGTTCATTTGTCCATACATGGTCATCACGTTCTTGCGTAATACGACACAACGCTAATGCAGTTAATCTTTAAAGGAAAGAAGGGAGAAAAAAAATCGGACGGATGGAGAAATGCTGTCCAACTCGTATCAACTTACGACCACAAGCGGGGATACACCCGTCCACTTTGTGTAGGTAAAATAAACTACTCTGATATATGGTTTTTATCAATTACATCTTTTTCATCTATATTCTGAAGCTCTCCCTGAACTACAGATTCCGACCAGCGAATACCCATACACATCTCATCTTTGTGGGATTCACTCAGGGTATAGTACTAATCTGAGAAACTTTTCAAAGCACGTCTTAAATCTCGCTCCAAGAGAAAATTAGGAATACAACATTTTTAATAATAATTCGTAGCCGCAAATCACTTTAAATGACGGATTTTGGTAAATTGTTTCAGACAGAAATCATAATGCTTCATGTTCCTACCTGCAGAAGCAACCAAAAGATTCAATAACTATACAATCCAAATTAACGAAATTATAGTCACAGTGAAAAATTCATTTAGAAGCCATTGTGATCTGTTACGCTTTATGATTTGTTATGCCTTCAGTACAAAATTCTTTTGTTATGAAAGCGGTATGCGACAAAAGAAATTCAAGAGCGATATGTCTCTGTACTTGCTCTATTCTTGGTATTTGCTGGACATCAGTGCAAGCAAATAATCGATGGCACTTAAGCCCTTACTATAGACAGTCACCAAATCGAGTAGATAATGTTATCAACTGTCTTTTCCGACTTCCGTTCTTCTGCCTTGTTTTTCCTATTACCTCTTAGGACCCAAATGGCCAGTATATTAACACATAAGAAGCTCGCCGAAATAAAAATTCTTTTACAGAATAAAAGCTCCAACAAGAAATCCTCATATAGTATTAAAAACTACTGCAAATTTTCTCTAAATACACATTTCAAGTTAAAATTCAATGGTTTCCTTCCTTATTTCGAATACCAGAAATTATATTCGATCAAGCACAAAAATGCTTCATAGCATGTTTTGCATGGATCATGATGGCATAAGCATAACACAGACTGGACAGAAAATCTAAAGCAAATAAGTCAGTGAGATACCCTGATTAGACAATTGATCACAACGAAACCACTTCAAATACTAATCAATTGATGGGTCATCTTAATGAAAAAAATGATGAATAAATACCATATGATCAGTACTCCATGAAAGTATTCCTATTTACAATAAAGCCAAAGAGAAAGCCAATAGCGTTGCCATTGTAGACCTACCAGGAGTATCAATCACATTCACTATTCGACCATCTTCTAGTACTGTTTGCTGTAGTTCACATGTACTGGTTACCCCTGAAAGACCAGCTCGGGATTTAAAAGCCCTCCTGTTTAAAATACTATTTCCGGTTGCACTTTTGCCATTGCCGGTTCGTCCAACCAACACCACGGTACTAACTTCATTAGATGTGGAAGTAAAGTCCCAGTCGTCATCTATGTTATTTCCACTCATCACGAAATCTATGAGAATTTGGATTTGGAGAAAAAAGAACAAGAATTAGTGAGATTGCATCATCTTCCAATAGCCAATACATAAAACGGAAATACGTCCAACCAATTGGTATATGTAAAAGTATAAAATCGCATATTAAAAAAGCTTCGGTGAATTGAAATAAGAAGCCCATGATGAAAGTGTCAAAAGCAAAGCAGCATGTAACCTTTCATACGAAAACATAAATCCTGAAGGAAAAATAATTAAAACCTTGAACACATATATGCAAAAATAAAAATAAAAAAACCAAACGAAGATCAGAGAATATAATTGAAGATGATAACGAGTCATATGAAGGTGATAACCACTTTTGCATTCCAAGTCTGAAAGCCGGTATATTTATGAAAACAAGATGGAACAAATGTAAGTTCTTTGACTATCAGAATCTTAAGAGCGAATAAACGTGTTTTATATTCAAATGAAATTGCTTTGAAAGAAATACACTGATTCGTCCGCAATCATTCATTTTTTTTCGCAATAATTTAGAAGGATGGAGTTTTTGGGATGGGTAATTTATATCCTTCATATTTCAGATGCTACTCTCTCCTCAAACAAGTTACTTCTAAAAATACATCTCAAACGGAATCGAATGGATGAGGAATTCCAGAAACTAGATTACCCATTTTTCTATTCAAAACACGTCACTTAGGAAGTATTTCCAACGGAAAGGAACGGAATTTTTTCAGGAAGAAGATAAAAGGTCGCTGAAAAATCTTTATGAACCACTTGAAAAATGGAAAGTAGTAGTAAAATCACACATGGAATTGTGGGATGATATAGGCATCTTTGGCCAATGACTTCCCAAATAGGGGAGCCACGACCAGAATTAGGTCAACGTTTTAATTTTTCCCTCGCTATTCATGGTTCGTCCTTGGTGGTCAGTCTAACTACCGTTTATGTTGCAAATCTTGGAAGGTACCCACCCAGATACGACCTAAGAGACGTTCACAGAAATGATCTTGGTGAAAAACCAGGTGATTTAATGTTTTTTTTGTTAAATAAAAAATAGTTCCTTCACGTAAAAAAAAAACCTTTTATACAGATGCTCGATACTGGATATCCACTTTAGTGGAAATAATCAAGCGAGAATCAAAACGAATTCGTTCACGAATTCAAAAATTCCGTATTTAAAAGTGAACATGAAGAAAAGACGTTCACGCTCTGCATAAATAGATTTGCGGAAGATGACGTTTGCCGCAAGATACCTAATACCCGATAAACAAGGGGCGTGCCAGCGAGATAAGGTTTAAATCAACCTTTAAACGTGAAAATCTTCGTAACGCACGAGCCTAATGAAAACTATTTTACACACACAACAAACTTCAGTTGTAGATGGCTGTGAGTATTCGTCAAAACAAAACATTTAAGGACGACCGAAATAGAAGAAGCTTGTGAAGATAATGAATAGATCACCGGAATTTGTCAGAGATATACGCAGACGACAATTCTACTACCCGTTTTTTTCGCGGGGGAAAGAAAAAAGAGGACATCAGGCTCACTCTAATGCACACTCGGGGTGCGCCGACTAACAAATACAAAAGCGATCATTAACTTATACCTCAAGACGATCGGAAAAGGAGATGCGAACGATAACTCCGAACGCTTCCCCCGATTTACTTGGATCTGCGGTACCAGGAATCCTCTGAGGCACTGCGGCACAACGACGTGTGACCAGCTTGATAGTATATGACAAGAGACAGAGGAAGCGTCCGTCCCCAATGCGCTTGACGGTTCGAGACGCGGAACGTACGCCGTGCGATCCGGCCATCGTACGGGATACCAGCCGTTCGATCTGCCGACTATCGTAAAGCAGCGACTCCGTAGAGTCGCAAATATCGCGGGAGTCCACGTCATTCCCCCCGGCAATAAAATGGCACGAATTTTTAAAAGATAAAATTATTATAAATTAAAAATAAGAAAAATGTGACGACAATTATCGACCAATTCAGAGCCTCCCGTGACGAAGAATTTGAATGCCGTTACGAATGTTTGGTCGACAGTTGCCAAAATGACGTCATTAATAGCCAATTTTCGTTTATACGATTATATGGGGTGGGGTGGGTCGGATTCCCGAGGAGTACATCGGGACCCGTGATGCTTTAATTATATTATATTTTCTGTGAACGAAATTTTTTACTACTACGGTGATTTTTTTATCCGTTATTTTCCAAATGTGGTAATGAATGACCGGCGATTTTCGGCACCGCATGTGAATTAATCAAATTAATATTTAATTACCTCCAAATAAAATATGAAAAAAAGGGTTCAAAACGCCATTAATTCTAATATTTCAGAATTTAGTGCTATTTTTTGGAGGGTTTTTTTGGTGTAGTTTCTGAAGAAGAAGCCGTGTACTCGTCTCCGAGAGACACGTCATTGACGACCAGGGGCTTTCGCGGATTAACCTGTCAGCGTATGATAGTTCCCGTCGTCTATCGTGCGCGGGGAAGGGACGCAACGTTGCCTCTTTTCTTTTTTTTGCTGGTTTTCCTTTCTTGCCGTTTATTATTCTCGTCTCTGTTATTTATACTTCCCCTCCCCCGTCGGCGTGAGGGTTTTCTCTCTCTATCTTCCCTCTCTCTCTCACTGTCTCGGGTCTCCTCGACTGTTTGGCTACATCTGCGGATCGGAACCCTCGATAGAAAAACCCTAGCACTGGAGGAACCTTGTATGTGAAATTGGTGGTGGAGGTGATGTGATTTCGGGGAGGGATTCCTCGTAGACGCAGGGTTAAAGTGGAGTTTTGTTCCTTCACTGTGTGGGCTGGCTTCTTCGAATCTTCTCTATACTCTCAGTCCTTTTTTATCTGGCGATTGCGCACATGAAAGATCCATTTGAGAGGACGAAGGTGGTGCTCCGGCGCCTGCCGCCGGCGATCTCTCAGTCCGCGTTGATGGAGCAGATCGACGGCAAGTTCGCCGGTCGTTACAAATGGTTTTGCTTTCGCCCAGGGAAGAACAGGTGAGGGCATATTTTCCCTTTTATTCGTCTATATGCTCAATATTTAGGTTTTCTCTTCGTAGTAATTTTGTACGTTCAGTCTACGAGGTGAATAGCACGATGCCGATGTTAAGGGGTTATAAATTTCTAGGTTTTTTTTTCTTGTCTGTTGTTTCTCTAACCAGGATATCCTTCGAGAACATCTGGGGGAAAAGAACATTGACCATTGGGGTCATAGGTTTCACCGTTAATCATAACGTTTACCTCTTCATTTACGTGAGTAGCACCGTCAGTATTGTGTTTCTCGTCCATATTTGAACAATTAGGAGCAATCGTCGTACCTATGTCAGTAGTATATTTTCTACAAAATGGCTGGGAAAATGCCAATTTTTATACGTGTATCATGAGCCTGATATTATTGTGAGATAAGTGATTGTATTAGAAGTGGGCAGCTTGTATTGAGTGGAACGGGATGGAATGATACAGACATTGTCGACTGTTGTCCAAAAATCGAGTAGCAATTTCTCGAAGTTTCAAGAATCTCGTAATATTCAGAAATTTTGAAGAATTACTTTATTATAAAAAAAGCTAAAATTAGATGTTTTTTTAAGAGTGATTGTTGATAATTTTTTATGACGTGGATAAGGCTGTTTCGTCTGAGAGTCTGGATATTTGATTTTTTTGTTTTTTTCGGCTTCTTGGAATCATATCCTATTGTTTCAAAGAATTTAATTTCTGAAGAGAGTCATTCAGTGAATTGTTGTACATTTGGTATGAAGTGGGTGGAAATTGAAGCTATCATCTCCACTTATTTCTCTTCAGATATTCTACTTATTTTACGGGAAGGACAAAGAAGTAGATTTCGTCTTCGAAAGTTATTCTTTGTTTTCGACATGTGTATGGTTCCATCATGAGAGTTTGCTTTATACCATTTCTGGGAATGGGAAAAACAAGGAGGTGTTTTCTGTGCCTGTATTTTTATTGAGGACTTTTAAATATATCCACAGGGGTGTTTTGAAACGTTGTACCTTATTAAATGTCTTCTTATCAGAGTGTAAGGAGTGAATTTTTCTTTTGTTGGACATTAACTTTTTTCACATTATCGTGTAGAATCTTCTCGATGATATGTCATCAATCTCTGATGATGTTTCCCTCTAATAAATGCAAATATCTAATCCGGTACCAACTTGACGTCGCTTGATGCTTTTGTTCTTAACTAAGAAAATATTGATGATCAGGACATCCCTTCCGTGTTCTGTGCGAAACCTTTTAGCTTGCATAGCTTGCTGTCTCAGGAAAGAAGATTGGTATATTTCCTTAGCCATCTCTGCTGAATATAACACCAGTTAAAATCCTTGTCTTCACATCTGGTTTCTCTTTTCAGAAAGTCACTGTCTTATATTATTACAATCAAGTAAATTGTGAATTGCCAAAACATTCCAATGTTCTTCATTCTAAGATTAGCTTTATTGATATCTGTATTCAGTCAGAAGAACCAGCGGCTTTCTCGTGCCTACATTGACTTTGAAAAGCCTGAGGATGTTGTCGAATTTGCTGAGTTCTTTGATGGACACTTATTTGTCAATGAGAAGGGTAACCTGATCTCCCCTGTCAGCTTCGTTTCTTGGCAAATCATTTGGTTTGTATTCAGTTTACTGCTGAAGGAAAACGAAAATATCTTCTTCTGTCGTCTCTTAAAGTTATTATTCATTATTTCAGGTACTCAGTTTAAGGCCCTTGTAGAATATGCACCATCACAACGTGTTCCTAAGTTATCCAAGAAAGATGGCCGTGAGGGGACCATATTCAAGGGTATCATTCTTTATTTGATTTTACCTTTTTTCGGCACTTATCCTAATTTTTTGGGCCGTGTAGTTTACCTGCTCCGACTCTCATAGTGCAGCCTTCTTCTGGTTTAATGACAAGCAGTTATTTATTGAATAACTAGATCCTGAGTATGCGGCGTTCCTTGAGCATCTTTCAAAGCCTGTCGAGAATCTTCCCAGTGCAGAGATACAGCTGGAAAGAAGGGAAGCTGAAAGAGCCGGTTAGTATTTTTTTATTAACTATGCGAATGGCCTGATACTTGGAAAAAGACTTCAAAAATTCTGTGCAATGAAACCCACAAGCCAGCATCATTGGCCACCACTCTAGTTTTCACCTGGGACTATCCAAAATTCAACAGGGTGCAGAATTGTACGAACCCTGACTTGCCTCTGATGCACAATTGTGTAGCAACGCTAGTCAAAGATATTGAACTTGCTATTGGTATTGATTTATAAATATCGGAGGTGTCAAAGAACAGGAAAATTAAGTTTCACTCGATTTAGGGAAATAAATCCTGTCCTGTGAGGGTTGGGAATTTATTTCACTATATTTTAGGCTAATGCTTGGGTGATAACAAGATATTATTTTCCATTTATGATCTTGTTAGGTGCAGCTAAGGATATGCTCATAGTTACACCGTTGATGGAATTTGTTCGACAGAAAAGAGCTTCGAAGAGCTCATCTCAGGTATAAATGTTTTCTTTCTGCACTACTTGCAAAAATCGTGGGTGTTGCATTTTCGTAGAACCTTGTTTTTGAATTGTTTATGATGTCAGTTTTCTTCTCACGTGTATGTAATCTTGTTCTTGAGTATGCGCTTTTTTTAGATAAGAGAAACTTCCATTCCTTTGTCCAATGTAGTGCCTGGTTATAAATTTAGATCTGTATGCAGTGACCTTATGAACTGAGAACTTATTAGTTCTCTGCAACATGGATAATTGGGGAGCGTGATAGGTTTTCTTAGACATGGCCTGGAATACACTTGACTATCTGAGGCTCAGGGCTCTGTTTTGCGGGGATTTTCGAGACATGATTGCTCTTTTGTTTTGAACTTATATCATAGCTAAAGTGTGCTTGATTAAGTCATGCGAGCAAGTTTCTTGGCATAGTCATGCCTTGGAATCTTGAACAATCTGGTCGGACTGTTTTTTTATGGTTGTCCTTGAAAATAGATATGTTAGTACTTTCTTGGTGTTTTCTAGTTTCTACTCTATACACATCGTCTTTCTGTTAAATAAGGTTTTCCGCATTTTCATTTGCATAAAAATTATGCCATTCTATGGTGATGGTTTTTCAAAAATCATACACTTGACATGATCTTGTCCATATGGCAATTTAGTTTTGGAGGGAAGGGCAGTTTGTGTTGGGAGGGGATGGAACAACTGGATAAAGCAATATTTCTGGGTAAGCAGATGTGTATTTTTCACGATTTCAGTGGTAAAGGAAGACTATTTCGTTTCCATGTGTGTAAAAGAGTTGGCACAAATGATCATGAGTAAGAATGCAAAGTTTTACAGGTTTAGTCAAAAAGGAATTCACGCCTTGAGAAAATACAATGTCATCCTTTGTGACTTAAGAAGATCAACAACTTTGAGGCAATAATCTCTGGGCTTTCTGGCTAAACCATGCATTCAGAAAATTCCATAGTTTATCCCATTAACTAGTTCTTAGGTTCTGATAGACCCATTAATGTCCTCCTTTATCTCTTTTTGTTGATCTGTTGATCTGATTGTGTTATACCAAAATGTCTCTCCTCCTATGAATATTGTTGAGACTGGTGAATTGATTCTTCATCGTGAATAATAGTTTTTGACGAAAAGCATTATGACTGAAGCTTCTCCAAGTGACAACAAGTTGGCTGTTATCTATGCGTGCCCTGTATTGTGCACTATCGAGTTTGTAGCTTCTCGTTCGCATGTTCTAACCGTTGTCTTGATACATATCAGAAGTCATCGGCTAATGGAAAGGCTAGTCGAAGATCTGGAGGAACAAGCAGCGCTAGTCCATTGTCATCTAAGCGAGCCTCTGAGAAGAAAAAGCACTCTACTCCTGTTGTAAGTAGCTTAGTTTTTACACTGATTTCAGTGATTCATAAATAACTAGGATTTAGGTTCTATAGTTTAAGTTGTCGCTGGTTTTTACCACGTAGTTGGATTCTTACTATTTTATTCTTCTCTTTGATTCTAATTAGGATTATGTATTTTTTGCCTATGTACTTTAAATGCTTATTGATTTTATATCTTAGTTGGAATCTTATTAGTTTAGTTTTCTCTTTGATTCTAGCTCATCGTCAGTAAATATCCTTATTAAAGTTTGTTTTAGGATATGCTAAAGAATAAAATCTGTTATAGTGTCATTGTGCCACGCTTTAGGAAGCTCTGACCCTTGTCCAGGTCGGAAAGACCCTACTGAAAGGTCTTGGTCCCACGTAAAGGTGGACTAGGCTCAGAGTGTCAGAAGGCTAACCCAAGTCAGCTGGATGACACCCTAATTTTCAGTTCATGTGTCCTATCCTTTTGTTTTAACTACCTTTACTTTCAGTATCATCTGCTTTTGTCTTTGTTTGTGGTTTGATGTATTCACTTCTTGGTCTTGGTTATCGATGAAGGGATGGGCCGGTTAGTGTAAATGGTATGCATACAAATAAACATAGACACAAAAAAATTAACTTCTGATCATGTGAATCTTCTAGACGGTCGGGTGCTAGGGATTCTACCATGATTTTGGGTACGTAAGTCTGTGGTTTTAAAATATGGTCTCAGGTTGGTATGTTACTCACAATTCTGGTGCTCATTGGTTCTCTGCATATTCGTGACCCCGAATTTTTTTTGAAACGAAACTTGACATTCAGGTTGATTTGGAATATATGTTATAAGATATTAACGTTGACCATATCTGACATCAGCCAGAGGCACAACTGCCTCAAGTAAATCTTTATTCAGCTTTAAGTATGTTTGCAAATTAGGTAGGGTGGTCTACCAATGTGTTTGAGTAAACATGGTGGTTTATGGTTATCAGTGGTTTAAGGTTGCTATGATTGGTTAATATGAGTGAATTTTTGCCGGTCAGAAGAAGTCCAGGTTCCTTATGCTTGTTAAATGACTCATGAGTTTGATTCCTTCTTTAAAGTAGACGAGAATTGTCACATTATTAAGTGGTCATTCTGGCGAAAGTGGAATGAGTCAAATCAGAAAACTTTAATCAAAAAGTATCCAGCTGTTAAAAATATTCTAAACCAAAAGTTACCACCTGAAAAATCAACATATTTAATATTGTGAAACATTATTCATCTGTGTTCCAAATTATTCATATCAAGCCCCGTTTTATATAAGATACTTTTAGGTGTGGATTTTTATTTGAGCTATACTTGGACTGCTTTTGTTGTGGTGTGGAGATCCGATATATTTTTTTTTGCATTGTCCCTTTCCTTCATACCTGTATACAGAAAATTTCTAAATTTCAGTCATGATTTAGTGGTTTAAGATTTTTTTTTGGTTATCAATCAGTCATGACAAAAATGAATTGTGTAAGATAGCATGGTTGTAGTTGTTGGCGGGTTATGATTGGTTGGTGCTGCTTATAAGTTGCGGGTGTGAATAGTGTCCTGAGCCTTTTCCCCTGCTGCATATCTTCTTTGGGTTTTGATTAGGTGCGTGAGATATCCAAACTGTCTTTGTTGAATAAGTGACTATGTAAACGGATGAAGTCTAGCTCATTGTTGATTATAGCACCACTGTAGGAGTCAAATGGCCAACCAGTAGCCAGAAGCATTTGCAATGCTTGGAAGATGTGAAACTTCTAGGAGACTCGGCGGCAGGTTTGCTACCATGGTGCAAATGGTTGTATAATGGCAGAAATATTTGTCATAATGTCTTTTCTTATGCTGTATAGAGTACAAGATGAGGAAATGTGCTCAAGTAATCTGACAACAAACTGCATACTACATACCTGGATGTATTTTATTTTTTTACATCAGTGATCTTTGGAAACAATAGCTTATGTTTATTGTCCCGCGCTTTATTTACGACTTTGAATCTACTGACGTGTGTTTTTGTCCAATACAAGGTCTTTTTGTCCGGTTTAAATTCTCTGAATACTGATGTATTGAACTCTAGTTTTAGATTGGCCCTATTGTATAACTTGGAAGGGTGTTCGTTTCAACCTATTAATATCTTTTTAAAAGAGAGTGAGTAAGCGCTCCAACATCCTCTATTACAGCCTCCTCTGTGTTTTCTATCCTTTTTGTGTGAATTCTCAGATGTGTACAGATACTTTTTAAAATTTTGGTTTATTGCTTATCATAATTATCTCGGAGATACTTACCGTTCTAGTTTTGCTTTGCAGTATGTACTGCGAGACAGCACAAAGGGTGGAAAGGACAGGTCAAGAACGATTTTAGTGCCAAGGAGGGATGAAGCTACGAGTAGAGAAGCGTTAGATGAGGAAACAGGTAATGCGAATTGTAATCTGCAATTTCAGTATTAATTACTCGATTCATTTCCTTTGTTAGGAGGTTACACGTCTTTCATGCTGTTCTTATGCTGGCCGCACGAATTTGTCCGTTATATGTAGAAGATTGCTAATTTTTTTGACAGGATCTACAAGCATTTAAACTTTGAAATCCCGAAATCCACCAGCTTACATATAAAGTCATCTAAGCTTTTAAGTGAGAAATGGGTGACATGATATGTGAATGTTATCTTAATCAGAAATATAATTGAGCTATGCTTATAACAGATCCTCTATGGATCTATATTATCCAGCATAGCCACGCCAAAGGCTACATAGATGGCCCAAGTTGGCATACATGCCTATGATATTATGAGCCATGTTAGATGCTTATTAAGCGTTTGGTGCTCCTCTGTTGGAATGTATGCTTGACGTAAGTGTGCCTACTTAATTCTGAAAAATGGTCAAAGTTTGCCTACATCAGGGAGAATGATCAATTCTGAAATCGTGGAAGGGGAGATAAGGGAAGGGGGATTATAGCGATGGATGCTTGTTAGGTACCTGCAGAAGAGAGATTGACCATAGAGTTGTTGACCAAGTACAACAATCTGACGAAGCACAGTTAATTGTGTATTACGTATTCCACTGAAGGTCCTTAGAAGGCTGGCTTTGTGGAGAAAGTAGACCATCTAATTTGTCAGATGAGGATCTAATTTGTCAGTAGGGAAACTAAATGATAAAGTTTAGATTTTAGAGGTGGATTGTGTCCCATTCTGTACGCTTCAGGGGATAGCGTAAGTGAATATATTGGCTCAGAATGGTTCGTTTATGTTTCCTAAAAAGATGGGAGAATGTTGGGGGGATGGTCTTGTGAGCATCGATTATAACAAGCTAAGCTCACCTTACCTAGTATTCCATAGCATTTGGTCACTGCTTAATTTTTATTTTTTTTTTCCATAGTCATCTGTCCTCGTTTTGATGCAATTATTCTTTCCATTGATCGATATGTAGGTACATATTTGTTGAGATTGGAAAATTTTCATTTCCCCTCATCGCTTTGCACCTTGTTACGAATTATATTTATAACATCGAATTCTTTACCTCCAGGGACCGGCTTGAGTGTAATAGCGACTGGTGCTACTGTAACTGTCGAGTCTGGAAAGAAGAAACTCTTACTTCTGAAAGGGAAAGAGAGAGATGCTTCTAATGTAAGAGATCTGCTATCTGCCACTCGTGCTTGCTGACTGTTCCCCGCCTTTCAAATCGTTTTTGGGAACTGTCCTCGTTATATTTCTAATTACAATTTCTTCACACAGGCGTCCCCTGGTGGACCACAACAACAAGCTGTAACATCTCCAGCACGGTCTTCTTCAGCGTCAACTACTTTTAGGCACAACCAACGTCATGGAGGCAGTGGTAAGATCGTCAAGAGCATAGTTTCTAAGGAAGCAAGACAAGTCCAATCACCGTCTGCCGTCAATAACTCCGACCAACATTCACAATTGCCAAATTTGGAGAAGGACAAGCGCCCGCCTCGGCCTCCAAACTCACGTATGATTTCAAAAGATCATATTGCCAGTAATTTGTCACATTCTGGTGCCCCTGATAATGATACCAAAAGATCCTCAGACGACAAACTTGTGGCAAATGATTTGCATGGCTTTGTCACAACTAGTGAAAAGCAAGATAGGCGAACTAGAAAGAAAGATAGACTAGACCGTGTTTGGACTCCACTTCGTCGAGCACAAGGATTGCATGCTAGTGATGATTCTCTTTCTTCATCATCTTCTCTTACTGCAAATGCTTTATCTGAGTCTTTGGATGGGATGCCCATTTCTTCACAAGTGGCTGCGGTTAGCAAATCTTTTGATGATGATTCAGGTAACCAGAGTTCTCATATAGGAGTTGGAACTGGTTCCTCAAACATGCATGAGTTATCATCGAGCCATATGGAGATGAAAAGTGAGATACCAGTTGCCAGCAGAAGTGGGGAAGGCAGAGGCCTTGGTAGCGGGCGTGGCAGACATTCTGTGACCGAGAATAGTAAGCTCTTGCCAGATTTCTGAAGTCTAAGAAAAGCCGTGTTATGCCCATCTCTTATTTTCTTTCCTTTCTCTTACCTTTCAATGTGATCAGGTTCACAGAAACATATTGGACGCCGCGGGCAATCTCATGGATTGAGGGAAACTGATGGGTCTCTAGGTTACCCTGAGCCAAAGACTTCTAAGCGTGGTCCCGTCGGCTATGGTTCGCATGAGGTGTGCTACGTAGTCGAATTTTATAAACCCCCCCCCCCCCCTCCCCTCCCCCCGGAGAAATCATTGACATCGCAACAAATGATTTCTGACTTCGGTTATGTTGCTGTATCTGCAGAAGCAAGTATGGGTACAGAAGTCGGGTTCTGGTTCGTAACTTTTGTGAGGTACGTCCCTTCGTCTTCGTATCTTTTTCTATTTAAAGAACAAAACATGTGGGTATTTTACCTTTCATTATTGTATATTTGCTTAGTCTGTGCTTCTGCATCATATATTCAGCACTTTCCTAACGTTTACAACTTGATGCGACTTATCATTTACTCTGGCAGACTGATTTTATTGTGGGGACTATTACCTTATCAGGTCATTCTTTGGTTTAGTCAAGCATATGAAATGTGCTTGGATATGGCCCTGGTTTTAATAGGTTAAGATGCCAGTTTCAAGTAGGGATATGTGAGATTACCGCAAGTGATTATTATTTGAAATAGAAATGTTTTCCTTTTATTATAAAGAGAGAGAAAAAAAAAATCTGTCTTCTGACTTATCTCTCTCTTGGACAACCCTTGTTTGGGCAGTCCCTGATATGTTTGATCATGTTGGTGTTCGTGAATCTTCCGACTGTTTCTTTTCTGTTTGTTGACTCTCACTGAATCGATCCCCAGATTTACCATCTTTGGAGGTGGTAAATCTCTGGTAGTCGCTAAGAAAAGAAACAGCCAAGAAATTGTGATTAATTTACCAGTTTTTAGCATGGTCAATTCCTTGGCTAGAAATCTTTGTGGGGTACATAGAAACATTCATCCCTTGGGCGAGAGAGAGAGAGAGAGAGAGAGAGAGAGAGAGGCATGCATGCATATTCAGAAGCTATCAAAGAACACGGCACCCTGTGTTCGGTGATTCCAGGATGGTCTACATTGTATGAGATTTCTCACAGGCGTGCTCCTGTTTGACTGCAGGCTAGCCGTCAATTTCATCTGGGCATCGGGCATTAACATGCTCGTCACCATGGATTCTTTCCCGTCAAAGTAATCATGGAGCTGTGCAGTGGGGGGTATGATTCCCCCCGGGCAAGCTTGGAAGAAGGGGAGGGGTGCGGCGCCTCAGATCACGGTACATTACATTACATTCCGAGTAGCAAGGTAGTGAGACGCACAGGTTAGTGGGTTCGCCAAGGCATGGGTTTTTTTCTGAAGAACAGTGGATACACATCGCTCTGATCTTCGTCAAGATGCTTCCATGCTTGGCGGGTGTTGAAGAAAATGCTCTGGCGTGGTTCTCTCTCTCTCTCTCTCTCTCTCTCTCTCTCCAGTAGATGGTGTCCTCGAGCCCCCTGTGCACAAGGGTTAGGAAGGGATCTGAGAGGATCCTTCGGCAAGGAGATGGACTTCCTGGTTCTGCTCTTTGGCTGTTTCATCCCTTGCAGAGGTGTAAATAGTCCAAGCTGGATGCAGTGAAGCTCTGTCGATAAGTCAACAGGTTTTGAAGCCCACTGCTGGATCAGCTGAGGTGTTTCTTCCTATGGAGTGAACAAGGCCCAAGCTCTTGCATGCGGCGGGTTTGAGGCTCTCCTGGCGCCACCTGGCTGACAGTGGAAGAGGGGGAAAGTCAATTCGAGGTGTGGAAAGATTGGATTGTGTTTCAGGGTTGGGTTTGTTTTGTGGCAGGATCCAATTGTCTTCTCTGACGAAATATAAAGTTATCGGCTTCGATCTTGACCATCTTGCTCTCACGTGCATCTTTTTTTTCTCTTTTTTCGGTTGTTGAAAGAGTTGACTTCATCGAGGTTCTTGACCCCGATTGGTAATGGGGTTTTTCTCTGTTCCAATAATAATTAAAAAAAATGGCAGGAAAAAAAAAGAAGAAAAGCCTGCGCGGGTTCAGAAAACGGAGGTCAACTGGGATGCGCGTGAAGGTCAACCGGGACGGAGTTCCATCTGGGTTCCTCGGATGATGCGTTGACTAGTTCCTCCGCAGATCGAAACAGCTTCTCAAAGAAAAACAAGAACACGGAGAGAGAGCCCTTTTCCTCGGCACCTTCTTTTCCCTCTGCGGCTAATAAAATTTGGTCAACGGAGATCGACTGTACAAAGATGGCACGATGCTCGGGGATCTGTACATGATTAGGGCAGCTGGGCGATCTCGAGCAAGATCTTGTGCAACGACTGGGGTTTGGAGAAGAAGGGGCAGTGGTCGCTGCCCTTGATCTTGTACACTCCGTGGGGCGGGTTCTCCCGGACGAGCTTCTCCTGAATGTCGGGAGAGAGCATGTGGTCATCGAGCGTCTGGACGAAGTACCTCTTGACGGCCCCGTACTTCTCTGGCGTGAGGGAAAGCTTCTCCATGATGGGTTTCAACGGGATTGGCCTCATCGATACGGCGGCCAAAGCAATGTCCTGTGTCAACAGCACGGGTTAGAAGAAAGCATCAGAGCTCAGAACAGTTGAAATGCATCACATTCTAAGAAATAATAACTGGATGCTGTAATTTTCATCTTGTGTAGTATTTTTAATAACATGTAGGACCTGTCGGATCCCACTTGACGAGATTTATTTATTTATTTATTTATTTCCAAAGGTTTCATTCAATCAGAAGAAATCCAAAGTCAAACAAGTAATGTCATTTTATACATTGAAATGGAAGGTTGAGTTACTGATTGCAGGCTTATCTGTCCCCATTCTGGGTTTTTACTCGTTTAAGACCTGTTTTTTTTTTTCCCGAAAGGTTTCATTCAAACAGAACAAATCCAAAGTGTTCTTAATCCATGCAGATAGAATTTCTATTAATCAAGTGGGTAGGCATACAGCAAAAAGTCAAACATTGGGACAAGTAAAGGTTGGCAGTTGGTCCAAACGAGGAAGGAATGCTATTTTTAGGGGTGAAGAACAGGCATACATTGAAATGGAATGCCGTGTTCTTTGGACGCACCTTAGGAGGAGAGTTGTTGAAATAGAGGCCCTTGATGTACTGTTTATCAAAAACAAATGCTGTGGGCGATCTGTCTTTGCCATTACCGTACGAGAGAAGTTGAGATTCTTGCATGAAGACTTCAGCAGATGCAAGCTGTAGAATATTGTCCAGATATCAGAAAGCCTAGGAAGACAAAGGCAAGATAAACAGGACTTGGATTCCTACGTTATGATTACCAACTTCTCTCATCCTCGATCAGAAGAACCCAAAAAACAAACAAAAAAAAAAGCATCTCCCATTTTTTGGGAGAAGGGGGAGAGAAAAGCTTGTTTGGTTAAGGGATATGAAGGCACGCCGTGATGTGATGAGAAGAACGGGACCCACCAATTATCACAGATATACTTGGGTTTCATCCATTATAAAACCTGTAACTATTTCTCACCATAAATAAATAAATAAATAAATAAAATAATTACATTGGTTGCTACCTCTCCAGAAAATACGTCAAAGGGTCTTTGACCATTAGATACCATCGTTGCAGAGAGAAATACTGCTTTGGAAATCTTCTTAGGATAATATTCTAGCGCATAAGATATGCTGGCGCCCCCGCAGCTGTGGCCAACCAGTATAACCTGCGCTGGCATCGATTATCATGAACAGAGATATTATAAAAAGAAGATCAAGGACCTCTGTAAATGGGTCACGGAAACCCTAATCACTCTCTGATCTCTCTTCTGTTCACCTTTTCGTCCTCCGGAAGACTCTGTAGGTAATCCAGTAATGGCTTCGCATACTCGGCCATTGTTGCTACGCCATTTGTGTCTGTGTGATCTATACCAGAACCTGTGAGGTCCAAGGCAATAGGCTGTAACCCTGATTCCTCCAATAAAGAAATGGACTTGTACCAGCACCACGCTCCAAATCCTTCTCCATGAACAAGAACGAACTTCTTGATTTCAATGTTCCCAATGAACTCTGCCACCTGAATAATTTCAAATTAAGTCCAAGAAAAGACACCGAAAATTTAGATTCAGAAGCTGACGACCAACCACCTAACGCATGACACACCATACAAACTGAAAATGGTCAGATGCTAGATATTAGTTATAATTTCCCCGGAGCTGTTAGACTATAGGATCACTTAAACTAATCAATACCAATGTTTTTTTCTTGAAAAAAAAAAAGCATAAAAGATAACTAATCTTTCTTAAAGCTAAAGAGCCTTAAGACCAAGGCCAATTGAACAGCATCCCATTCAAACCACCTACAGGTTCTTATTCTCAGATGGAGATGATATTTTCCCATGGGATTTTGTTTGTCTTCAAACTGTCCGGTAAGCCTCAGCTTTGCATGCTGTTTCAACTTTTCAGATCATTAACTTTACCCTTATTCATCATATCATTTGTTTCTTCACTTTAACTTTATGTGAACTACATATTTAATTTTGTCCATCTAGAGATTTTTAAAAATTATTTCAATAAAATAACGATTATATTTTTTGCAACCTTCGTTTCATAAAAAATACACAACTTGGTAATCACGCCACAGTAGATGTAGCTTATCTAAATAACACAACTGCTTTAGATCTTGTCACCTCCAACATCACTGATTCAAGCTGATAACTTTCAGGTTATGGCTCAAGAAACGGGAGGGCATCTCCACTGATCAGCCAAAAAAATTATGGCCAATCGTTCGGGAAAATTTTCCCTCATAATTTATCTTATCTGACGCCCTCTGAACCCGAACAGTGAAGAAGTGACAAAAATATATATACCAGAAAAAGTCCTCACAACACGAATTTCACATTCCCACGGGCAGAGTTTGGGGCACTCCATGACAAGCCCAAGGGCACAACTTTCGCAGATAGGCAGATCACGGATTAGCAAAGAGAAGGATAAGAGGAAACAATTCCCAAGATGTAAAACCTGAAAAGAGCAACTGGCCTACCGATCCATTCGACAGCTGGGGATTTTTTTTTCATGAAAGAGTAATTAACAGATGAACAGTGATCTATATTCTCCTGAGGAAGCCAGGGAGGGTTCTGAACTCTAGTTTCATAATTAGGGGAGGAAGAAGGACGTGATCTTGCAGTACCAAATCTGACTAGAACACAGACGGTAGGAGGGATCATCGTAGATTCATTTGGGACGAGAGGAAAAGGAATCCGGATTACCTATCCGATGAAAAAAATTGAAGCAAATATCATGGAGCGGCGATTGAATATCACGAACGTAACGGAGCATGGATGGTCATTCAAAACTGACCTGCCTTCCATTGGAGAAGTTTTCAGATAGATTCTTCCTCCGAGAGCTCGTAGATCCGATCCTCCTCGACATGGAACCGTCAAATCGCTGGGAAAGCTGGTGTTGCTGTAACACCATGGACAGGGCTTGCCTGTGAAGCATCTCTTCCTCCGACGTTGTGTTCCTCCCAGACCTGGAGTTCCTCTTGCTTGCGGATCTAGCAGCGCCTCTCGCGCCCTTCTTCGGCATACATGGCAGTGTATTACCCATAGGGGAGTGGACGGGGTAGAGAAGACGAGAGGGATTCCCGATGAATACTGATGGGGTTGCGATCAGCTTCAGTCTCTCCTATGGAGAATCACCTGCATATAAGTGGACTGTGATCCGTATCTAACCGTGCAAACGAGTCAATCGTCAACTGCTCATGTGGTCAAAAGATCATCAAAATATTCAGAATCCAAAAGCTCAAAAGCAGGAAGATAAGATTCTTCCGGATAGACTTTATCTTTGCGAGAAATTTGAAGTCCGAGAGGTAGCCCGCCGATGAAAAAAAGTGCGGGAATCATAAGGGAATAGAAGGAGGTTGACTGTATGAAATGGGAGACAGGAGCCGGAAGAGCGAGGTGACAGGTCTTCCATCCTCTCCCTTTTCAGTGGAAGAGAGGACAAGACAGACCGGAGACACAGGGCCTTCAGGACGGCGCGGGAGATGAAGGGGGAGATCAGAATCCAAATCCGACGTCGCTAAGAAGACCGAGCAAAACCACTGGAATTCCGGAAGAAGACGCGAGAGAAGAGATCGACGGCCATGGAGTCCTCACCTGGGATGGCTCTCGGAGGACGAGAAGACGGCGTACATGGAGCAAAGAAATTGAGCACCACGCCACCGGCGGGACTCCGAAGAAGACCTGGATGCGATTCCTCCCCTCCCCAGGAGGAGAGAGAGAGAGAGAGGGAGGGCAATTAATGCAGGGAGGAGGTGGGGATCACATCCACCATGGTAAGCTGATAAAAGCCCTTTCCGAATGGTTCCACAAACCTCAACGCTCCCCTCACGTCGTCCTCTCTACTAACTACCGGTCGTTCTGTTTCATTAATTAAAGAACGGCACTGCCACATCTCCGCCAGCCGGAGCCCCCGGAGTGGGCAGCGGGCGGCGGGCGGCGCTCCCCTCACCCCCACCCCCCACCCCCCCCCCGGAGCTCCGCCGGGGCCACTGGTAGTCAAAAGGAGGAGAAGAAAAGATGCTGGCGCAGACCGCTCCCGTTGCGTCACATTGGAGGGGACGTGGCACAAGCAGCGGATTTCACGGGTCAGCCCACTTACACACAAAGGCTTAACTTCTGTTCGCCACCCAATGTGCATACAAACAAAAAAACCCCCCTAGCGTTCCTTTTCGAGAAAATAACGATCGAACGGCTAAGAAGCAATATCGTGGCGGCGGCGTACGGGAATTTATCGGGCTCTGAGTAAGTGGGCCAGGGAAACTGCCGACGAGCCCAATGGACCGGTGTGAGAATATAAGAGTATATAAGACTCGATAATAATAATAATAATAATAATAATAATATATGGCCGTCGACTTAGATCGGAATGAGATGGGGGAGTTATGGGTTACCAAGCACGGATATACCACTTTGCTCTGGAGAGTCTAGAGCCAGGGATACAGCACACAGCGTAGTTGCTCGTCGGCAACGGTACAGGCCATCCACGGGGGGGCGGAAAATTTACACACTCTTGAAGACGGGGACGCAGCAGGCAGCAGGCCTGAAACGTGGGAGATATTATTAGTAATTACCGGACGGTTCTATGCATGAAAATAGCAACACAAAAAAAAAGGGGACCGGCACGCATGGGTTTGGTGTTGAAGCTCTTGCAGGATGCAGGTTCCTGGATGGAAGAGAAAGGAAAATCATAATTTCAGCTGTCAAGAGAGATTGTGTGGCAGAGGGAATCACGGATGACAGGGCTTCGTGTGCAAGATTGCCAGCCTATTGGTGTCTATACTCTTCGTTCTCTTCATCACGAATGCATGAGAAGATGGTCAGCACTTTAATCCTCTCATTCTCCGACAGCCAATCTAGTTCTACATAGATCAAACATTTAGAAAACGATTTCCAGTTTCATTGACAGGAGATAATTGCTATCGTTAGATGCCATCTGTGACCAGGAAGAGGAACAAATTATTAGATATCTGATGAGCAATCTTCACTGTCCCAGTCCATAAAAAGTTCCGAGAGGAAATGTAGTTCAACAGGACTAAAAAAGATTTGGTTTTCTTGGTGCAGATAACTTAATAATCCCAGTTAAACGTGGAGAAGGTTGATAGGTTTCTTTTTTTTTTTTTGTGGGGGGCGATAATCGTTTCCACATCTAGTTCGTCGTACTTGAGATGAAAACACTAGATTGTTTGTGATATTCTCTAGCATGAAAGATCAATTCTTTGCACATCCGTCCATTCTCTTAGATGGAGGAGCATGCCAATTTAAATTCCAACTTGTTTACTTGGTAAAATCACCTCCAGGAGCCAATTATTAGCAAACATTTCTAACAGAATGGAAAGTGTGCAACGCAAAAGGACATCCTACATTTTACGAATAGACACAAGCAAAAAGACGATTACAATGTATTTTCCCCTAACACTGGTACTCGCTAGATCCCGTCGCTCAAACAGAATAATAAGAATTTCAGGTTGTTCTGCACAGGTGACTACAGATGCCATAGAACTGATATTACAAATCGAATGATCATGCTCTTTCCGAAAGTCTATCACACCTGTACTGACTATATTTCTCAAAATTCACGTACGTAACGACAAATATTTGATGCGAAACATTCAGAAATACTTTCATGAAGAGATTCCGGGTAAAATACCAGTGCAGGGTACGATGTACTTTCACTCAACTTTGCTATGAACGATGATCATCCATAACATAGTCAAACCTTAACGATCAAATCCCCGAATCATCAGCAGTTTCCGTTTCTCATATATGACAACTTTCTAAGGATTATTATTCAACGAAGGACGAGGACAATAACAGAAACTACAAAAAAAGAAAAAAAAGACGGAGGCACAAGGCCAACATCTTTGCTAATCGGCACATAATTTCCCAAGCCATCCACTAAAATATATAGCATAAAACGGATGGAGATAGAGACCTTGTAGCTAGGATCCATCGCGATCGGTGCTAGTTGTAGTAAAGTTCGAGGCCCATGCCGTCATGGATTTCATAGTCCTTGAGCGTGATGTGATCTTTGTAGATGTTATACCACTTCTGGATGCGAATTTTCTCCGGCCGCGTCCCAGTCTGCGCCGCCACCAGCTTCTTCAAATCCCCAATCGTATCGTCCTCGTTGCACTTGACACGAACCTTTTTGCCCAGCCGATCGTTCAACACCACCTCGATCATCTTCTCTCCCGCTTCTGGTAGCTCTCTTCTCGGCAGGAAAGAGGGGCGAGAAGGGTAGCAAACGAAACCCTAACACCAAGCTTCCGATCCTCGACTTCTGGTGAACAAACGAGCGGGATCAGTATTTATTGTTGCCGTCTGACCGAGCAATGAAAATGAACCGGGCCGGTTTGTTTCGGTTTTCAAACCGAACCGGCCGTGGTAGGACGCTAGGACTTCTCTACCTCTATCTCCACTGACTAGGACGACCGGATGCCACGTCATCGTTTCTCTTCCTCACCGCGGGAAGAAGAACCCGCCGGTGAGAGGCCATGGCGGGCTCAAGATTCTTCAATATCGGGATTCGAGTGGTCTTCGCATCCCGGTTTACCATCTTCCCATTGAAGACTGGCTGCTCTCCATGGCTTCTGGAGCATTGGTGTGCTGCCTGCAAGGCCCCCAGTTTTTGTCCAGGTCCAGAGTTGGCCGGAGTAGAAGGGTTGTTTCTGCGCGTGGTTCGAGTGAGCAGCAGATATCCGTTCCCAAAATTCCGAAAAAACCATCGGATCCCTTCCCAGGTCGCCTTCTGACGTTGATTACGTATCTGTGCGTGTGTTTGTTCCCCCATTTTCGATATATAATCCGCCATCCCCTTGGGACTATCTTTCTTGATCCCTTGGACAGCGACTGGCTGAGATGTGAGGTTTAGGGGGATGGTGAAATAATGCCTGTGGTCGGAGGTGTAACATGGCGTTTACTTTCCTATGGCATGATAATTCCTCCGAATAATTGATTAGTTGCATCGCATGATCGAAGCTCATGGAATGGTAGTATTCTTGCATTTATTTTCTCTTTGGCGCGATTATGCGTTAGGTTTATCAACTCTTGACATGGGTATGCTTTTTGTCGGTAGAGCAGTTTCCTGTGTCAATGGATGCGAACGCGTGAGAAATTAGCTTCGACTGTAGTTGGGAAGTATGTGTCGACGAATTTTTCATGCCGGGGACTAATATAGCTTGTTTTCTAGATAAAGCTACCGAGATTTAGCTTCAAATTTTGGTTGAACAGTGGAGATTTGTTAGAAGGAAGTTTTTATTTTTCCAATCCCAAGTTGAGTTGTTTAAATATGAGTTCCGACTTTGTAGGCCTAGAATCATAATTTTTACAGATGATGAGACGAGCTCAATCCGGTTCATAACTTAAAAAATGATATGTTTTAGTACATTTTAGCTTATGTTACGGTTTTTTAGAAGCTTAGCTAAGTTTCTTGATCTTCGATTGATCCAAATATTCCTGTAATGTTATTCACAAGTCCTTCATTAATATTATTTTATTCGATTTATCGTCTCCTTTCTTTTGGATCCCCTAGAAGGTGCACATTTCTCTAACATGATCATATTTTCAGGAAAACCGGAAGCAGACGTCATTGTGATCGGTAGTGGTCTTGGAGGACTGTGTTGCGGAGGACTATTAGCCAGATACAAACAAGATGTTCTTGTTATTGAAAGTCACGACATTCCTGGTGGTGCAGCACATTCATTTAAAGTCAAAGATTACAAATTTGATTCAGGTCCATCCTTATTCTCTGGCTTTCAGTCAAGAGGTCCTCAGGCTAATCCGCTTGCCCAGGTGATTTTTTTGTCCATAAATTCTACTTTTTCTATGTCTCAAGGTATATAATAATTTTTCTGCACTGGAAAGAAAAACTATGAAATATTTTGAGTTGATACATATCAATGCATGTCGCTAATGTAGGCAAATTCCAGGTTCTGGATGCACTGGGCGAGTCAATTCCATGCGCTTCTTATGACTCTTGGATGGTTTACATACCTGAAGGCGAATTCTCATCAAAAATAGGCCCCACAGAGTTCAAGAAGGTCAGTTTATGCACCTAATCAGGAACGGACCAAAATGCGTGCAAAAGTTGGTCTTTCTAGGGACCAGTAGGTTGGTTTTTATGCAATGTCTGAACATAGACAATCAGTAAAAGAAGAAAGTTTTGAAGAATGTTCCTTGATCTTGAAAAATAGGTTATTCTTTACTTTGATTTTTGTATCTGTACTACTTTACGAAGTAGAATTAAAACCCAAGGAGATGTGTGAAATTGATTTATATATATATATATATATTTTTTCATGATCATTATATAGAAAATAAGTTTCCTATTCCCAAGGACTATGAATTTTTGTTTTGCATGGCCTGCTTACGTTATTGTATTTGTCATCTTTGGTCAGGACCTTGAAAAGTATGCGAGTCTGGATTCTGTACGCGAATGGCAAAAACTTCTTGTGAGTATTAAAAATTCTTCAATAAGACTTATCGGTACCTGAGTTAAACATGCCCACTGAGTTGCTGATTCAATCCAACTTGTCTCGTCTTTTTTTCCATCTCTAGTCACTTATACGACATCAAGAAAGAAACAATAAATTTCTTCAAAGTAACCGTTTTAGAGAGGTGCTTCGATGTTGGAGGCAGATCTCTCTCTCTCTCTCTCTCTCTCTCTCTCTCTCTCTCTCTCTCTCTCTCTCTCTCTCTTTCTCTCTCTCTCTCTCACTCTCTATCCATCCATCATATCTCTCTATCTATCTATGTGTCCCTTTATCTATCTATCTACCTATCTCTCTCTCTTTACATATGTATATTTATATATATATTTCACTTTCACATGTAATAGCTCATTATTTTCTCCCTACCTCTTCATATGGAAAAAAGTTCTTACAATCATGTTTCAGAAAGTATAGCTACTTCTATCTACCTTATGAAGGCAAAAATGTAACCTGTGGTATTCTCGCTGCCAATGTGGTGACCTTTTAATCCTAATATTTCACTGTAGCCATTAATTCGACTTTTTCCAGTCATGAAATTGACATTTATAATATTTCACTATAACATTCTGTCCAGAAAGAAAATGGTTTATATTCATATGTCGACAACGCCCTATGAAATCGGATTTCTGAGGTAGCTTCCATATTCTACTTCATTTAAAAGTGAATGAGCAAAGCCATTCAAACCATTGGATGGTCCTCTCTATACTTCGAAGTCATTTAACTTTAGTTTGGATCATTATGATTTGGAACCCCATACTCATCAGAATCATAAAACTCTTCTCAGCACGCGATGATCGGATGATAAGTTTTCCATTATAAAGTTTTTATTATGTTTGTTTGAAAGTGATCGATAGATTTACTGCTGGATTATTGACCGTGGTTTCTGATATTTCCATGATCATGTCTGTGTTCGGACTTGTTGTCTCGATGTCATGTCGTCATTGTTGAAACAAGCAGTCCTAACAAACACGGCCACCGCATGGGGTGACCGTGATTTATGATTCCTCTAAATATTTTTCTTCAATTAATTCATATTTTCTGCAGGATGGAATTCTCCCACTGTCTACCGCTGCCATGGCTCTACCACCTCTAGCTATTCGAGGGGATTTGGGCGTCCTATCTACTGCAGCACTTAGATACGCACCGTCTCTTGTGAATTCATTCATTAAGATGGGACCTCAAGGAGCTTTAGGAGCTACCAAGCTTCTTAGACCTTTCTCGGAGATCATGGATTCACTTGCGCTAAAAGACCCTTTTGTTCGGAACTGGATAGACTTGTTGTGCTTTCTCCTTGCTGGAGTGAAATCCAATGGTGCATTGTCTGCTGAAATTGTGAGTATGACATTGTGTTTTCATTGAAAATTTATTTTAGTTGGTGCTATTTTGTGTTTTTTCCGTGGAGAGACGCATGCAATTCCAATCAACGGAAAATGATGAATGCTACTGAAGATACTAGCTGCTTAATATATACAAGCTCACAACTTGAAGGTTGCACTCTGATCTTTAATGATGGAGATATTCGTTTCTGCATATCATTTTACCTAATGCAGGAAACATACATTTGAGTGCGAAAGAGATGCACTAATTCACGTAGTATGATTCCATAAGATAGATGCATATAATTTTACTGTTATCATAAATTTATTACATTTTAACTCTTATAATGAGCAATCATAAAAGTTTATTTTTATTCATAGTTTTGCTTAAACCTGTCCAAGAACTTCACATTTTATTTCGGCGCATTTCCAGGTGTACATGTTTTCAGAATGGTATAAACCCGGTTGTTTACTGGAATATCCTCTTCATGGAACTGAGGCAATTGTAGAAGCCCTTGTACGAGGGTTGCGAAAATTTGGTGGAAGGATTGCATTAAATAGTCATGTTGAAAAGATCATAGTAGAGAATGGTCGAGCTACTGGAGTGAAGCTTAGAAGTGGTCAAGTAAGTTGCTTAAAAAGTGTTTAACTTCATTGGTTTGGATGAACTATCAGCGTCTAACGTTCAATGGCATATTTTCAGATTATACGTGCTAAAAAAGCTGTTGTTAGCAATGCCTCTATGTGGGATACTTTGAATATGCTGCCACAAGACGTCATTCCGAGTTCGTATCAGAATAGCGTCAAATCCACCCCACAATGTGAATCATTTATGCATCTTCACCTAGCTTTTGATGCAAAGGTGAGAGCAAAGTCGACTACTTGTGCTTTGAATGTACCTGCTGTTGGCTTACTGCCCGTTTCATATGATTGTTTAATCTGCATGGCATACTGAGCTGCTATGATCTGCAAATCCCATTCCGTTTTTTAAGCTAGCATTCGACTTAACTTTTATCTGTGCTCTGTCTGCAGAATATTCCTGAAGATCTGCAAATCCATCACATAGTTGTTAATGATTGGTCTAGGGGAGTGGATGCTGATCAGAATGTAGTCTTAATCTCCATACCTAGCGCGCTTAGCAAGGACCTGGCACCACCTGGGAAACATGTTCTGCATGCTTATACTCCTGGGACAGAGCCATTCAGCATCTGGGAAGGACTTGATCGTAGAAGCTCTGAGTACAAAAAACTTAAAGCTGAACGGTCTGAGGTAACCCCCGTGATCATTGCATGCTAATTTCAGTCTTTCTTTGTCAGTCTTTTTCTCGTGAAAAAATATAAAGCTTTAAAATAATGCACATTGAAATCATGGGTTTAATGAAAAAGGTTGGGGCCTTCTTGGGGTAGACTTCATCACTTTAGTTTGAATGTGTGGATGTTGCTTTGATTCAAGTTTCATAATAATCCATGGATAACCGCAGGTGATTCATGATGGAAAAGAAAAGAAACTCGAGGAAAACCAATGAAGGCATTCGTTTCTATCGGTTTTTGTTCTTATTATCTTAAAATGCCAGCCGTATTTACTTGTCCCCATAAAAATTATGATAAAAACTGAGCTAAAGACTGCCCAAAAGCTACCGATGTCAGTATGTAAATCAAATTGGGCTTTTTCTGACCCTTGATAAATGAAAAGCTGGTTCCTTGGTAGTTCCTTGGTTGTTCCTTTTCTTAGATAGTACAAATGTCCTATCGAACATTCATGTCTGAGTCGAATGATCTCATTTTTTCCCGAAATAATTCAAGTTCTTTGCAATACCAGGTAATGTGGAGAGCTGTTGAACGTGCTCTTGGCCCAGGCTTCAACCGTGATGACTGTGAGGTTAAATTGGTGGGGACGCCACTTACTCACCAAAGGTTTCTTCGAAGAAACAGAGGAACATATGGCCCGGCCATAAAAGCTGGAGAAGCCACATTCCCTGGCCATTCTACGCCGATTCCGCAGTTATTTTGCTGTGGTGACTCGACGTTCCCAGGAATCGGTGTCCCTGCAGTTGCTGCTAGTGGTGCCATAGTTGCCAACTCATTAGTTTCAGTGTCCGAGCACTCCGAGCTTCTTGATGCCATAGGGATCTAATTTGACTGGTATGCAGTATATTTTTCCACATTTGTTTGTTTCTGCGAATCCTTATATAATATAACAACATGTTTTTTTCCGGCTTATAATTTTAGTTACATGTTCTATGGGAGTTTAGGTCTCCAATATTACCTTAAAAAATCTAATTGAGTGATTTTAGGAGATATGATTCACCAAAATCGGACATTTTAGGATTAGAATCAGCCAGAGCATGCAACTGTGAATAAATTATCTGGATTAATATGAATCATTGGTGTTGAAGCATAAATCATTACGAAATTTGCCTTCCAATAAAACGAAAAGGAAATTAATAAGCACAATCGTTTGTGAATGGGCGTTGTTTATAAATGAGTTTTTTTTTTCCTGGGTACTATGAATAGCAATGATTCTAGAAAGGCAGTTACTATTTGTCTTTAATTCTGGCCGGTTCTGAAACAGAGACAATCCTACTAGGACTGCATACAAGTGTTTAGTGTTTAGTGTCGAAATATCTAAAGTGAAACTCCAATTCACTCCACCAATGGCAACAATATTTACCATAGTCACAACTTGCTTCTGACAGAAATTGTAGGACAGAATTATCATTTTTCAGTAATTACATAACTGACCCAATGGGAAAAAAGTCAGTCCTGCTTCACATTTAAAGTAACTTAGCATCAGCTGTGAGGCAATTGCTTTCCCTTTTCTTTTCCTCTTGTGAGGGATAGTGCTGAAATTATTTGAGATACTGTTGAATGTTAGAAGCATGATCGCATGCTATTATCACAAAATGGCCGTTTATTACTCTTTCAAACTAATAATAATGCCAAGTGATTGATCTCTCGTACTAAAAAGCTTGTAAAATGAGGCAATCTTTTCTAAGGTTAATTGTAGAATCGTAGAATCATCTTTCCTCAACAATAGGTGACTCAAAGCTAATTACTTTCCAATATTTCTTCATTCATTCCTTCTTTCTTTTCTATAGACCAGCATTATTCATTTACAGAGAAGATCATGCATCTACGTGATCTGGTTAGGCGTGAACTTACTTCTTCATCCTTGACTTTTGGGCCTAGGTTTCCAAGTAGTCAATCGTAAGAGGAGAAAGTCAACTGAAGTATTGTAAGTATCTCCTGATGTTCAATACGGATATCTATTTGCAGTTGTTTTTTTATCACAAGAGCATGAGTTCTGAGAGAAAGTGCTCTCAAAGATAAACCAACAAACTGGATCTTCCTGTGTATCTGGTGAATAGATAAATAAATTATCTTTAATACTTCATTACATTAATCTTCAGGAATAATGATCTGTTCAGCAGCGGACAACCAGACAGTAGGCTGAAAAAAAATAAAAAATCAATACCCATTTCCTGATTTTCATAACAGATAACTTCGTTCGTGTGTGAAATGCGAGTTCCTATTTTCCTTTGACCTCCTCGTTCAAGAAGAAATTCCGCAAGTTGACCAGCTACTAATTGAATTGGTTGTGAAGCTTCGATCTCCACCTGCGACTAACTACATTAGACAGCACAGCATTCTATCATTACCCTTGTCAATTGCTGGAGCACAAAGCCTTTGTCTTAGTTTGTGAGTTTGATAGACTACAATCTCACGCTCTATGCTCTTCCATGTGCACTGGTATTCTGTGATTCATAAAGCTACTTCTTTTTATTCTATGTTCCGACTGAAGCAGAGCTCCATAAATTTGCCTTCAATATATTGTTAGTGAGTAATAAGCTGGTTGAAATCTGCGTACATTCTTAGAAATATATTCTCATTCCGGATCAAGAACAGTGTTCTAAGAATTGAATTCTGCGATTGGGATGAGATCCTTCAGGTTGGGATTAAAATGTACAGCCTTTTAACTCCCAAACATGCAGGGAAGCAAAAGAAACGAATCTGTAGGGACTTTTTATTGCAAATCTTCAACACCAATCCCCTGCATATCAAGAACATTCAGAAGTCATTGCAGAGCAAAGATTAGATCCTAATTTTCCTAGAAAAACCAAAAGAATCATACTTTGCTCATGGTAAATGTGATACTAATCAAATTCGTCTTAAAACAAAAAAAGTAGGAAAACAATTCGTAAATAATGGATGCAATACAAATCATAAACTTAAAGACGAAATTAATATGCAAAATTATGACTTAATTGCCATTTTTTTGGAGTAACATGGAGAAGACTTACACAGAGAAGACTGTTTGATCATAAGAACTCGGCGCCTCTTCCCAATAGGAGGATTGACCCACCATGGATCCCCTGAAACAACTTTATACCCTGCTTTTGAGTAGAGTTCTTGGGCAGCCTCATCATCTTCATATGCATGCAACACCAGGTGACTGCAAGCCCACAAGATTGAGAGCGCATCACAGGCTTTAAGCAGAGCGCTTGCTACTCTCCTCCTCCTGTCATCCATGATCTAGAGCTACTTGATCCATCACTTGAAGAAAAAACCATTTTATGATATTTTATGAAAACTCCGATGAAGATCTAGTCATTGACAATAAGTATTTGATAATAATGAAATACATTCATTAATTATCGCATAAAAACTGAATATTATATCTCAGGTACCGCTTGTTTAGTTACCTGAAGCTCTTCAGAACTGCAATCCCAGACACATAGAGGTACTCCTCTACACCTTCAAGATGCTTTAGAACATCCCCATCCCTCTGGATGGAGACGTCTACGACCCCCACAAGCCCCTGCAGTGAGGTGGATAGCAGATTAGATGCATCCATGGGCTCTGCGACCAAACAGGCATACCTGCTATCCAAGCACTGGTTCAGAGCATATTAACTCCAAAAAAAAAAAAAATGCTCACTGGAGAAAGGAAATTGAAAAAAATCAATCAAACGATCTGTGCTCATATGCCCTGAGAGATTTCATTGTTTTGTCAAGGACTTTAAATTTTTATTATAATTTTTCACATTTTAAAAGAAAATAAAATCTTCACTAGTTCTTATGGACACCCGTGAACTGAATTGCAGAAACTCCTGGAGATCCTGGCATGAACATGTTGAATAAGCTAAATCGTATTTTTAATGGAATTTATAATTAATCACACTGGAGCTCTTGCTGCTGCATGGTAACAACATATTTGGAGAATTTTCATTTATAATCAAATATTTGGAGAATTAACCATGACAGGAGGCAAGATCCGGATAATTTCTTCACCTGTCTGGTGGTGAACTTCTCATTCTGTAGATCAGCGCCTGAAGAACGTCGGCCTGCATTGCACAGCGTTGGAAGGGATCAGACACGTAGAACTCTTGAGGGGTAACAAGAATTTGAGAAAGTCAACCATGGCTGAATGTTTTTAATTGACACCATGATGAAGTTAGACGGAGAAATGGGAGGCCCACCTCGAAGAACTGGAAGAAAAAGTCGTCGAAGAGACCCAGAGGTTCGTGGAATGCTTCGGCCTGTATGTGAGCCACCACCCTCACTTCCTCCCCAACCTTCGTCATCCTCCTCACCCCCCATCCGTACTCCGTGACAAGATATCGCTGCTCTAGTTCCTCCCCTCCGCTCGCCGACCCCACCTCCCCCGCCGGCGACGGCGCCGCCTCGATTCCCCCAAATCCCCTCTTCCCTCCTCCCCTGTACCGGATTGAAAGCCGCCGATCAGTCCTCCTCCCAGCGCCACTTCCGATTCTCGTCCCCAATTTCCTCGTATTTCCGGGGACGGAAGTGCTTCTGAAGGAACCCCTCGAAAGCATGGCGGTGGGGGGCATCGCTGTGCTGGCTTTCAGGTGAGCCATCTTCCTGGAGCCTTGCGCACCTCCTGCAAGAATCGAATCGATCACGGGAAGCCCCGCTGCCGAGGCATCTCCATGAGCTCTGGTCTTCTCCGGCTGTCCGGACAGCGCAGAGCTGGCTACCCCCCGCGAATCGAGGACTAGTGGCGGAGATCGCTTTCTGGGTAATATGGCTGTGGTTTATTGTGGGCGAGGGGAGGAGGACGGAAGAAGATAGGGTTCAGAATGCGACGATGGTCAGTTGATCTTCCGTGGATACATCTAAATGTGAGGTAAATTTATCTTGACTTTCGTTGACTATGAACACAGTAGTCAACCTTTGTCGGAATAACTTCAAGAACATTATTTGATATTTAAACATCACATTTAAAAATAAGCTAAAGTTTCTAAATTTGTCTCCAGTTTCTATTTCTTTATAGGGTATATAAAGATTAAAGAAGTTCCATTTATGCCTATGAAAAGGACAGTAAATGGCAAAACCCTACTCCGTGTCGATGCTTTTCACCGAGTGCAGAGCGCCGCCGGACGGTGGAGGGAAAAGCAGCGATCTTGAACGGCCAGTTACCATCTCAAACGGCCCTCTGTGTCCGCTTGCGGGGGCTTCCGCTGATGGCAGCGAAGCCTTGAAACTCACGCCGGGGCAGCCCGGGGCGTTTACTCTGCCGTGGAGGCGTAGAAATTGGGACGCCGCTGAGTGCCTCGCCGCTGTCTCTGGCAAGCCGCTCGAGGAGGGAAGGGGGAGGAGTTCTCTGAAAAAGGGTAGAGACCAGGAGAGGCGCTCTGATCCTGGTACCAACTGCTCTCTCCCTCTCGTTTCTCTGGCTTTCTTCCTCTATTGGGCGATGGTTTTGTTTTGGACGGAGCCGTCCATGGAGGGGGAGAGACGATATCTTCTCTTCACTAGACTTGACGGGGCGCCTCTGTTGGGTGTGGTGGGAAGTGAACCCCTTCCGAAACCAGCCGTCAAATTCCATCTTTTCCTCCGGGGGCTATCGTTCAGCTTGATCTAACTTCTGGGTTGGAGGGAGTAGGGCAATCCATGGTGAACTTGTTCCGACAGACGGTTTTATTCGTCGTCGCTTGCGATTCTCTGTCATCCAGAATGGCTTGAACTCTTCTCCTTCCTCGTCGACTAGTCGAGTTCGTGTTTCGATCTGCTACAATGTCAGTGGCGTTTTTTCGATCTGCTTCAGTCCCACTATCCGATCTTTCCCCACCGATGTCAGCCATATTTTTGTTCCGATGGGAGCTTTTGCCCATGCTTTGTATTATTTTGTATCAGCGATGAAGCACCTGCTTTCTCTCCGTTCAATCAGTGATTCATCTCCTTTTACTCAGATTTCTCCCCGTCTGTGATCGCAGGAAGTCATGGCTTGCCTTGCGCATGGTACCCTCGTAAATTCGGGCTTTCCAGAAACCCGAAGTTCGATGACCTCTCTGAAGAACCGCCTCCATTTCAGCTTGAATGCTTCGGCCTCAATTCTCAGCTGTCAGAGATGGAGCTCTCTTTCACCTCTCCACGTTAGGAAATCTCATGTGCCCTCTTGTTGGAATTCTGCTGCGAGTGTCTCGAATCTGTCCAACGGTGTTCTTGGCGTATCCGCTTCATCTAGCAACGAAAATGGAAACGCCACCGGTAAGAATGCTAATCTTTTTAAGCTATGTATTGGGCAAAATTATCCTCCTTTTCTTGTTCTAAAAATGCTAATCTTTCTTTTCTGTAATACGTCCGAATGGCCAAAATTAGTTATTCTTCTCGGCAGCTTGTGAGTTTGAGTAGCATTACTAGCTGTTACTCTTGTTCTACTGACCCATAATTAGCCCACCAATAGTCGTAGATTATTGATGCCTTTTTATGGTAATCAAGCAAGAACACAAGAACAGGTCCACAAGTGATCGCCCATAAGAGAAAGTCGGCCTTTTCCTTCTTGATATATATATATTAGTTTTGCATGAAAACCGAATGATCTTGGGCATTCACTCTTGTGAAAAATGGAATGGTATTTCATAAGAAAATCCTCTTCGCCACGAGACGTTGACTTTACACATCATGATATTCTCCAGCATTCATCCTGGCAACAACCTTCCCCTGACAATGTCTTAACCCTTCACTTCTAATGAAATCCAATTTTTGTGTGATCTGTACTGTAGAGGACAGAGTGTCGGCGCTGGTCATAGGCGGCGGTGGCAGAGAGCACGCACTGTGCTACGCCCTGCAGAGATCCCCATCATGCGATGCTGTGTTCTGTGCCCCGGGCAACGCGGGCATTTCCAGCTCTGGGAGCGCCACCTGTTTACCAGAGCTTGACATTTCAGACAGCTCAGCTGTGGCCTTCTTTTGCCGAGAGTGGGGAGTTGGCCTGGTGGTGATCGGACCAGAGGCCCCCCTGGTTGCCGGCCTGGCGAATGACCTCGTCAAGGCAGGGATTCCCACATTCGGCCCCTCGGCGGAGGCTGCAGCATTGGAGGGTTCAAAGGACTTCATGAAGAAGCTATGCGACAAATATGGGATTCCCACTGCTAAGGTAGATTTTTTTATCCCTGATTCATTCAAACAACGATGGAGTGCGATTTTTTTAAAAAAATTGTTAGAAATTTATAACTACTATTATTTTAGTCATAATAATGATGAGAACTTGCTGTAATAGGATGATTATGGCGTGAAAGTTTACAATATTTTATAATCCGATGAGTTCTCTCATCCGAATTTTATCTATATTATTTATTAGTAAGCTAGTTTATTATTGATCATCTGGTTTGATTGCCTGGTCTTCTTCTCAACTAAAAAATACGATTTTTTTTATTTTTCTTATTTTTTTCCTGCTTGAGTTCTGAGATTCGAATCGTATAACTGAATTCTTCATCTTTTTCTTTTTTTTTATTTGGGGGGGGTTTGGGGGTGGTGATTATTTCAGTACCAAACATTCACAGAAGCATCGGATGCGAAGAGCTACATCAAGGAGCAAGGAGTACCGATTGTTGTCAAGGCCGACGGCTTGGCCGCCGGGAAAGGCGTGGTGGTCGCTTTAACCTTGGAGGAGGCCTATGAAGCTGTGGACTCTATGCTTCTCGGCGGTGCTTTCGGCTCTGCCGGATCTCGGGTCATCATCGAAGAGTTCCTAGAGGGAGAGGAAGCTTCCTTCTTCGCCCTGGTCGATGGCGAGAACGCTCTGCCTCTTGAATCTGCTCAGGACCACAAGAGGGTTGGCGACGGAGACACCGGCCCGAACACTGGCGGCATGGGTGCCTACTCGCCCGCGCCGATTCTGACCAGCGAGCTCCAGTCTCTAGCCATGGACTCGATCATCCTTCCCACCGTAAAAGGGATGGCCGCAGAGGGCTGCAGATTCGTCGGCGTCCTCTATGCCGGCCTCATGATCGAGAAGAAGACCGGGCTGCCGAAGCTCCTCGAGTACAACGTCCGCTTCGGCGATCCCGAATGTCAGGTCAAAGATCTAACCAAGAAAGCTGGCCTCCGCAGATTGTTTTCTATGCTTGGGTGTGTAATGGTTAACATCCACAGGTTCTGATGGTCCGCTTGGAGTCGGACCTGGCGCAGGTCCTCCTGGCAGCATGCCGAGGGGAGCTGCCCTCTGTGTCTCTGAAATGGGCTCCTGGGTCGGCCATGGTCGTCGTGATGGCGAGCAGGGGCTATCCAGGCACCTATGAGAAGGGGACGATCATCAAGAACCTTGACGACGCAGAGCAAGTTTCTCCATCTGTGAAGGTGTTCCATGCAGGCACTGCTCTCGATGCTGATGGCAACTTCGTTGCGGCTGGCGGCCGGGTGCTCGGCGTCACGGCCAAAGGGGAGACCTTGGAAGAAGCCCGCGAGAGGGCTTATGATGCTGTTGGAGTCATCAGCTGGCCCGGCGGGTTCTACCGGAGGGACATCGGCTGGCGGGCTCTGAGGCAGCACGTTTCCAAGTAAGCCACCTTGCATGGGTCTCTTTCATTGGTGATGAAACATATAGTTCCTCCGAGAAATAAGTTTTATGAAAACTTGGGGAGTTCTTCCCCTCGTGAGGCGGGGTTGACCCAACTTCTTTGGAGAAGGTTTCCAGAGTCTGCTCTGAAAAGGGTAAATTAAAAAATTAATTTTTAATATACTCTATGTTTTTTTACTTGTTTTAGAGAAGCAGATGCAAAATCAGGTGCCTTTTTTTTTCTTATTATAGACTGTTAACCGTTGACCTCACCCGTCGTACGTGACACGTCCCGTATGTGGTGACGGACGGGGGATCTAGGGGGCACGTTGTCTCCGGGCCTCTGATTGGGGGCGTCGATCACGTGGCCGCAGGACGCGCAGGCTCCGCCGTCGCTGCGCGGCGTGTGCACCGGCGAGTAGTACCTGCTCGCGACGTGGAGCGGTGGCGGGCGGCGCCGCCCCCCCGCCGCCGCCCCCACGGCGGAGACGACCTCATTCTCTGCGGCGGCGCCGCCGTGGAGTCGATGCCGGTGGTGGCTCTGCTGGGGGCCACCGCCGCACAGATTGGGGGAGCTGCGGACGCGGTGAATCTCCGGCGAGCCCCCCCAGCCACCGCGGCCAGTCGCCGCCGTTGACCGCGGGGACGACTCCGCCGGGGAAAAGGCGAACACGGGCCGCCCGTTGACGGCGTCGATGTACCGCTGCTCCAAAGCGATCGCGTGGTGGTGCTGCGGGTGGTGGTGATGGTAGAGGGGGCTGTCGTGGGCGGCGGCGACGGAAGGGAAGAGGAAGACCCGGAGGCGGGCGGCGGCGCCGCAGTGGCAACCCCCGTCGTGGCGGTCGTACTCGTCGAGCATGTGGTCAACGTCCTCGTCGCAGGTGACGGAGACGAGGGCGTCGAGATCCTCCGAGGCCAGCTGGTACTTGATACCCACCTCCGCGTTGAACACATTCTCTATCTTCTTCCTCAGCTCTGCCCACCAACCGGCCGAGAGGTTATTCAAGGGAGCCACCATTCGAGGGTCCACCGGCGCCGGCGACTAGTCGCGTGTTTTTGGGTACCTGAGAAGGTGGCCGAGCGGCGGACGGCGACGACGCGGGTCTCTCCTCCGACATACTTGAGCTGCCTGTCCGATGGGCGAGGAAGGATCTTCCCCCCGAAGCTGCACAGGAACTTGACCCTCCTCCCCTCCGGTGACGGGGAGGGAAGCTCCCCGTCGTCGGCCATCGGAGGAACGCCGTCGTCTCTCTGCCGCTGCCCTTCTCCCCCCCGGTAAAGATAGAGATAGAGATAGAGAGAGAGAGAGAGAGAGAGAGAGAGAGAGAGAGAGACGGGCACGGAGGGACCGCCGGCGGGCTCTCCGGCGAGAAAGGAGGGGAGGTGTTTGTTTTATAGTGATCTCTCCACCACCGCCAGTCTTATTCTAATCCTCCGGTCGAATTATCGAGTCATAAAAAGAGAGATTTTCTGCTCAACCCAAATTTGGTGGGGTACCTGCCAGGCACCAAAAAAGGCCCAGAGTAATCCTCATTGGTCTATGTCAGCGCTGGTAGGACGACTGCGTAACAGTATCAACCCACGGGGTTGCGGAAAATCCTCTTCTTCTTCTTCCAGCTCGAGGAATTTCTGCACAGAAACCCTAGAAAGTATGGCGACCACCGTCGACAAGTCAACCCGCAGAGATCGTGCCTGATTATTTAATGAGACGAGGTTAACTTTTTCTTGGGGCGGTGGGGGAAGATGGAGGAAGGCGAGGGGAAACAAGAGGATCGGTTGAAAGATCTTGTCGGGGAGCGGGATGATCCAGTCCGGGGAAGCTGCTCTCCCCTTGCCGACGATTTTACAGAGTTTCAGTCCGCCGTTCGTTGGAGGAAGAACAGACAGAACCCACCATGGATGGTGAACGGAGGTCATACTCGTTCGGCACTGGATGGATCACCAGGCATTCTCTCGTAGATTAATCGCCATGGATGAGAGCGGTAGAGAGAGAGAGAGAGAGGGGAGTAGGGGGAGGAGGGGCGGGAGAAGGGGGAAGGGAGAGAGATCCAGGAGATGTTCGAGCTTGAAGATTCCACCGACCCAGAAGGCTAGAATCCGAAGAGGCGCTTGCAGGCGCCCAAGATCGTCCCTTTCTTCTTCCTCGGCTTCGTGGCCTTGCGGGTCGAATTCATATCGACTTCATCGTCGGCGCCGGCGTCGTCGCTGGCGGCTTCGTGGATCCTCCGGTAAGCGTCCGTTGCGGACGAGGAGGGCTTCCTCATGGAGAAGGCCCTCGACATGGCGGCGTGAAGAGCGGCGGGGCCGCCGTGGGTCTTCTCGCGCGGCCTGAACCGCTGCGAGGCGGAGGAGCGGTTCCTCTTCAGGATCACCCCGAACCTCTCGCCGGGGGCGACTTCTTCCTCCTCCGGTGGGAAGGGGTCGCCGGCGGCGGGCTTGGGATGATGCTTGGGGGTGAGAGGCGGGGAGAAGGAGAGGTCGGAGAAGTCCATGGATCTCCACTTGAGACCCGCCATTTCTTCCTCCCTTCTTCTTCTTCTGTTGCAGAAGCTACCGATGGAGTTGGCGGCTTCTTCTGTGCCGAAGCTGGCGACGATAACAGGTGAAAGCAACCACTCGCCACGGTCGAGAGGCTTCACGGGGATGGTAGCAACCACGGTGTGTAGAGGGAGAGAGAGAGAGAGAGAAAGAGGGTGTCCAGTTTTCTGACAGGTAAAAATAACGATTGAACGGAATGACGTCAGTGTACAGTAGACAAACTCGTCCCCACCAGTTACACGGATGGAAATCTGGCTAGAACTTTTTCAGTGTAAGTTTCTGCGACGGGTCAATCGCAATCAGTCTAAGCCGGGCCCATCCACGTGAATCAAGGCACTTATGCACGCAGCCCAATGGATCTAGCCCACTCTCTCTCTCCCCCCCCCTCTCTCTCTCTCTCTCTCTCCGATCAGGTTCAGGCCGGACTTGACAAGGCCCGAGCCCGAGTGGCCAGCAGATACCCCCTCGTTCAGAGCTTAGCATCTACTTCACTAATGAATCCATAAAATCCCTCCGCCATAATTCCAAACGCGGCATATCAATATCCCCGGCCATTATTTCAATAGCACCCACCATCAATACCTAGAAGAACGACACCAACCATCACACGATAGTTGACTAATCCCCGTTGACCTTCTCCTAGTTCACAAACTCCACTCCGGTCAGCTGAGCCCCAGTGTGCAGCTGAATAGCCAGATCCCCCACAACCTGCGGTTTGACAGATATAGAGGTGAATATAAATACATATAGTTATAGAGAGAGAAAGAGGGAGAGGAAGAGAGAAAAATGGGAAGATTGTTCTTGGAGGATACCTTAGCCATGGTTCTGTAGGAATATTCAGTGACTCCTGCGACATGGGGGGTGATGAGGACATTGGGGAACTTCAGAACCGGATCATCAGGATCAAATGGCTCGAACCAAGCAACATCAATGCCCAGGCCACCCAAGTGACCCGATTCCAGGTTTGCAACCACAGATTTGTAGTCCAGAAGGCCTCCTCTGGCGACATTCACCAGAAGGGCACCCTTTGACCAAGTAGAGGGAAACTAATTAGGACTCTGCACCAGAACTAAGATCCATGATGATGCCAAGAAAACTATGGAAAGAATGGAAAGCATTTTCTTGGTATAATCTGACCTAGATAAGTTATAGGGTACTTTCTCTCTCTGGGTCTTCTCCAAAGGGATGATTCGCCAAGGAAAAAAGAAAAGAGAATCAATAGATATCCACATGAAATGGGTTCTACCAATCAGTGAGCTGCTTGTCATACAAACGGTGTTAATTCTGGTCTCCTACATCCTCTGACCTATATGAAGCACAAGATGCTTCTGACTAGCAGTTTTTCGTCAAAAAATGTGGTTGCTGTGGAATTCTCCAACGTTTCCATTTTTAGATGCTGGATGATACGGCCCATTTCATCTGAAATGAGCCAAAAATGATAGAGACTATGGTAAATGCTCCATATTAATCATGGTAAAGTACCTTCTTCATGGAAGAGATGAACTTGGAGTCCACAATGCCAGCCTGAAAAATGTGCAAACAAAGAGTTTCACTTGGGAAACAAAGAAGAGAAACAAAATAGAATGCAGAGAGATGAGAGCGACCGTGTTTGCATTCAAACCCAAGCAGGTGACGACTATGTCAGCCTTGGAAGCAAAACCATAACGCTCATCAGGGCCACCCTTCTCATCAACCAGGCCGTCGATCTCATCGTCCAGACCATCGCTCTCATCGTCTTTGTAGCCTGATACAGAGGATGTAGGAGACCAAGAAATCGAATTGATGGGCATTGAGATTTAGTCTGTCCTCCATTTGTACGTAGAAAGGAGTACAAAGCCCTCATGTACCTACCATTTAGCTGTGAGTACCCTGCAGCAGTCCATCTCCTTTTTGTGGCAATGACTTTAACACCAAAATGGCGCAAACGCTTCGCGAGATCAACCCCAATGGCCCCAAGTCCAAGAATAAATACCTGTCGATGAAAGAATCCTCTGCGTTATTTGTTAACTAACAATTATGTGAAGTAGACACTTAGTTCCCCAATGGGTTCCTCTCTCTCTCTCTCTCTCTCTCTCTCTCTCTCTCTCTCTCTCTCTCCCCTTCCTTCTTATATGTGTATAGCATATACTTAAATATATCTAATCAATGCAAAATAATGAGAAAAAATTTAAAAGATTAGACACATTCCTCTGTCGGACTCAAACGATATCCCTCTTCAAAGGTCTGGGGCCCCTTTTAAAAAGTCAGTGTTCTCCTAGCTTGTAATTCTAGCACAAAAGCTTATAGAAAGCAATGGTGAAACTAACGGCTTACCGTTTTCCCAAAGAGTGTCTCTCCCACTGGTAATCCCAAAATTTTGTTCCGTACAGCAGCTTCCATCTCTTTCTGTGGGAAAACGTCATGGACATCATCACGGCTCACAGAAAAAAAAACGCCGCAATCTGAACTAGTTAGCAAGAAAAATAGAGTAAACATTTCACTGGAGTCATAACAGAGTTAAATGACCATCTACTACAATGATAAATTAAGTAATCTTAACACAGCCTAATTCATAAAGTTCCAAGATATATGGAAGAATAATCGTCATGCGTCGAAAACAAGCTCACTCAAGAAAATATTTACACATACCAGAATATAAGAACAGGATATTATCCCACCTGCTTCCGAAGAAGACCCAACATCAGATATATTGCCATTTCCGCACATGATACAGAGTTTCCAGTCATGTTCCCAGGGATTCTCGCAACTTTGATTCCATGCCGCGAGGCAGCGTCAATATCAACACCTGCAAATGAGAATCGGTTAGATGAAGGCTTTACAAGTCAACTAAAAAGTAAAATAAAATATTAAATAAATTAAAAAAACAGTTCTGAGAATAAATGAATTACCCTCCAGTCCTACACCAAACTGCATTATGATTTTCATCTGATTTGCCTCTGCAATAACTTCAGAATCTATACGTCGACTTTTCACCACGCAGATGTGGTAGTTGCCGATAACGTTGGGCACATCATCTAGTGGTACATCATCAATCTTACAAATATAATGACAGAAAGTCAACAAGGTAAAATTTGCATATCCTTTTAACAAAAATGGAAAGAGGAAAAACCAGAAAAAAAACATATCCTTTAGGAAGATACAATTCATTTGCGGCTGAAACAAAGTCGTAATAAGAATTTTGCAACCATGGTTACCATAAATTTCAGCATGTTACAGAAAAATAACGGCATGATAATTTTTTGGAAAATATTTCGATCAAGATACAATCGGTTGGCCATTTTAATGGCGAGGAAGAAACTCAGACTAAAAAGGAGGAATCACAAATAAAAGTAGATTCTTGACCGTGAGATTAACACCAGGAGACAGACTTGTATGAGTTCAATATATTTCAGAAAAACCCACTCCTATCAAGACTATACAGTTAAATAACTTCGGGATATAAAGCAAAGAAATGAGAATGAAAAGTTTACAGCATAGTTTGGACTGAGAAAAATGACTTCTTGAACGAACACAAGTGCAATGCTGATTCTATATGGACAAGGGATGACAACAATCACTCAGATTAATGTTTCTTTTAAAAAAAAATAAAAATCCAGGAGCAAAATAAGAAACAAGTCTGATTCAATCCAGACACATTCTTTCTCTCACACGACTCTTTCATTTGAGGCTGTGACCTTGACCCATTGAGCTGATTCATTCGGATTCATACCAAAACCAGCAGAAGTGAACCAGTCTTCAACGAAGAATATTCACATGTTAAAAAAAAAATTAAAAAAAAAAACGGCTATCTATTCCGCTTCCAGCCACACCCACGAGTATGAATAATGAAAGGGCTTCACCTAGGTTTTTCCACCAACTGGTAATGTACACACAAAATAAACTTGAAAGGGAGGAAGTTCTAATCAATTCAAGAAGACGACAAGAGGATTGAAAACATGAGCATCAATTCTTGAAGCGAATCAATAACACGTGATTTCGTAGATAAAATCGAGATAAATATCATAAATTTATGGAGCACAAAAACGGACCAAATCATTTTTTAGGTACACATGCAAACGATCTCCCGGTTCAAGATGATGATAAATCTCACTTATTGAATTCCCGAATAATTATCACTGGTTTTCTCAGCAAATATGAGCTCGAATCACATGAAACATAAAGCACCTGGATATATGGAAGATGCGCCACATATTCTCGAGTGTAAATGTGAGAAGCCGGAAAATGAGGCCCACAAAACAGCACCCGCGTGACTTTATCGTCACAGTTCGCCGCCATTTTCCCTCCTGTCTGCGTGATCTGTACCAAAGAACTCAAAGTTAATAAGTCCAGGGGGAGAACACAGAGAAAAACTGAGACAACAGCAAACAATCACAAGGACAACAAAACACATCACAGATAAAAGCTGTGAGGATAACCAGCAATCGAAGTAGAAAAGAGCTCTGGTAGATGTCAGAACTGAGGGAGGAGCCGACCTCCGGGGAAGCGAGAGGGGAGAAGACGGCTCTCCCGTCTTAGCCGCAGAAGCTCCTCCGCGTTCTGCTTGCTCCTGCGACAGAGCGTTCCATTACCCGCGGCGTGCGGCGCCTCGTGGTCCCCCCCACCACGGAGACTGAGGCGATCCACAGACGTGTCCAGTTGCAAACAAGCCCTACATATAAAATAATCTGGCAGACGAGCGGAGATTAGCGATTCTTCTCCCCGCGCATTGATGGGTTCATCTGTCCTTCTTCCGGGCATTAATGGGTTTTAGATATCGCTAAATTATCTTCTCTTGTTTTGATTTTCTCGAAAATTTAATGGCATTAACCATGATCAGTTAACTAAAAGCACTCGAAATGGGGGGGGAGGGGGGGGGCATCGATGAGATCATCGTCGATTTTCAAGCAGAGTGAATTAATTCTTAAAAATAATACAAAGCTTAATATTTTCTGGTTGATTTTCTAGGAAATGAAAAATCATGACCTTTTTCCCATATGCCCCCCAGGCCCGATCAACCCCTTCAAAATCCCCGAATCCGAAATGGGACTGAAGCAAATCTCCAACTTTCCCAGGAACAGATCACCCTCCAAGGCAGGTGCTTTCGAGGTACTCTCCCCACATTCTTTCTCCCTCTTCTCACTAAAAACCTCAGAGCCCCACGACGAAACTAAGGACTTGGGAAAACCATGCGTATCCGATCCGACAAAGAGCGTTGACCATCATGATTTCCTGATGTTGAAAAAATATGCGATCTTGCATGCAGTCCTCTGGTGGAAATATCGAGGGTAACACAGACCTGCAAGCGAAAGAATTTCTTCATCACTCCTGGATTCAGTCTGGTCAAAGTGGGAAGAACCCTTCATGGGAGCACTTTCCTGGCCTCTGACTTCGGCGACTCTGACTAATGTCAACCCACGCTGAAAACCAACCCGGTCAAACTTGATCTACCCATCTTTGTGCTACTCAAAGCTGTACAAAAGAGAAGAAACAGTTTAAAACTCAAATAAATCAGAAAGATGGCCATTCAGATCAAACATGGAGAAGTGAACAAAATTCTCATCTACAAAAGAAAAAAAAAAATCTGCCTCCCCAGTTTCTAAAACTAGGGCCCAGTTGAATGGCCCGATTCTCACCGAGATCAAGGATTGTCAAGAACCCAAAAAAAAAAAAAGTAACTGAACCAAGAAATTAACAGTCCATCGTATGTGAACTAAAAGAAAGGAAAAAAAAAAAAACTAGGAAACTCATTTTCAACATGAAATCTTTGCTGTTAAATCCATGGTGGTAAGCAAACTGATCACTCCTTCACGGGATCTTGGATAGTGGGTATTTGAAGATATCTACGTAATCACAATCCCTGACTCTGTGATATGCCTAACTGATGAGGAGCAGACAGAATAAACCTAAAAAAAAGCTTTGATTTTCTCCGAGAAGAAATAAATATAATAAATTGAATGAAATAAACGAACCCTTTAACAAGATAAGGACTGCCAGCAAGCCAAAGTGGCGCCCGACTGACCTGGTCATTCAATGAACTTGCATTTCCCACAGTAGCATGTCTTCACATTAATCCCAATACGGGCAAACAAATTATAAATGAAAAGAGGAAAGATATAAGGTGTTTCAAATCCCCATGGATAGATGCGGCGCCATGAATCATCAGGATAATAGATGATGATAGGTTTGATTGTCGAGTACTCCCATTATCCGGCATACCATTCAGACAAAACTCGATCGACTGGAAGAGTAATCACAAAGTGAGATGTCACGGCGACTACAAACGCTATCCGCCAATCTGTAACCATTAACAATATTCCACCATGCTCTTCGATCATCTTTTACCAAGTAATCATTATGGAAAGCATTGTTTCAGCGACATCATTGATCAGACAAGCTCGAACACCAATACAAGAACAGAAATATATTCTTTTATGCACCAATCGCGAGTCCGATGAAGAACCCCTAAAGATTGAAGGGCGACAGAAGAGTAGGAATTCAATTCTGGTTTGAGGCAAACATATGGAGTCACCAAAAAAAAAAAAAGATTTCGCGCGATCGCGGCAATCGATGTCAGTGCCCACCCCCGTGGGAGGAGCAGCAGCCGCCACCGTGCCCCTTCTCCGCGCTACCACCGACATCCGATCCGCCGCTGCCATGGTCATCGTCGTCGCTGTCGTCCTCATCGAAGGGCTTCTGCTTGTGGAAGATACAGCATTTCTTGGAGCTCTTCCTTCCCAATAACTCGTTGTCCACCGTGCCCTCTTTCCAAGTCACCTTCTTCTTCGGCCGGGAGAGGCGGAGCACGACGGTTTCCGGCCGAAGAGAAGAAGACGACGCCGACGATGAAGAACCCTCTTCCACGACCAGGGTTACGGTCCCGGCGGCGGAACCGGCGGCGGTTCTAGTCGCTGCTCTGGTCATCTCTCCCGAACAATCTTCCGTTCCTCGTTCTTCCTCCCCCTCTTCCCCAACACGGACGCGTTAAAGGGGCCGCGACCGGAACGATGTCCCGCGGGTGTTATGTAAGCCCTGAACGACCCAATCTAAGGAGAGACTTTTACAAAATCGACGTATTTTCCTTTTCGCCCTCGCATGACATCGTCGTCCATTTGATGGAACCCTTGGGAGGAGTCTTACGTATCACAGCCGTCTGATCTATGAGGTTTAACGACTGCTACTATGAAACAGGTTTGGTGGGTTGTTGTTTTCTCCCAAAGAAGACTGCGAGTCAACGCGGGTTGACCACGAGCGTTTCCCAGGCGAATGTGGAGGAGAGAGAGAAAGGGAGGGAGGCGGGCTGGAACACGGTCGACGAAGTTGTCTTCATCTAGATCCGCAGGCTGGCCAGGAGTTTCCATCCTCCTCCTCTCTAGTACCAGGTCCATCCTATGATCCTCCGTCCCCGATTGGTGTCCCGACTCTGGAGCGGGAGAGGAATGTAGTGCTTGGTCCAAGTGGAATCTGCGGTCCAGCTGTGGGTTCTTGGCGTGATCGTCGGAGCTCGATCTCCTGAGGATTTAGCTTGCACTGTGGACGCGAAGTGGGAGTTTGGAGATTGAACGGGAAGACGGGAAGGGTGGATTGCCCCTCCGGCCACTGTGATGTTGGCTCCTTCGAGAACGCGGCTTCCTGCATCGAGGAAGGGTGATTTTAGAAGAGGTGTTCCCTGGTAGCATTGGGGAGTTGGGGCTCTTTTGAGCGCTTGCGGTTTCTGTCGTGCGAGCGTGGAGCTCGGGATTTGAGCCCGGCTGGATTGGAAACGCGGATCCTGGCCGTTGTGGAGACCTGTCGGGCGTTGAATGCTTTCTTGCGGAGTTAACAGCCGCTCTTCTCTAGATCTATTTGCCGTAGGAGTGGGTTCAGATTAGGAAATCTTCAGCACAACCTGCGAAGGACTCGTTTCGCGATCTCTCAGAAGACCACGTCTCTGAATTAGGGTTTTGGTACTTCTTCCGTGAATCTGCTTATTCCGCCTTGTAAACTGTATAGTTAAGAAGGGATACCTTTCATAGAAAATCAGTGTGCTCCAATATTAAGATCATTAAAAATACGTATATATCACTTGTGTTGCATTTGGGATTGAGTGGAAAAGGAGACTGATGATTGAGCAATGGCCTTGAAGTACTCACCGTTGGAAGCTGCTGAGACTGCTATCCGCTCGATTGGTCTAGGTTATGACATCTCTGCTGATCTCCGACTTAAAGCCTGCAAGTCGGGGCTTCCCGATCCATGTCTCATTGAGCTTGATCAGGATAATGGGCAGGAAATAGTTGTGCCAGGGGGGGTATCGATCTCGAATGTGTCGACATCTATAAAATGTGATAAAGGTGAACGGATGAGATTCAGGTCTGATGTTCTCTCTTTTCAACAGGTTCGCTTCCTTATCCATGTCATTGCCAGTATCATTAATCTTCGTGTGATTATATTCCCAATGCCTATTTTAGTAGCTATTGTAAAAAGAAAGATGATTCTATGGTTTCAAAGTGCGCAATAGGGAAGATGTTGATTCATACTGTTTAGTTCTTGAGCAATCCATTTCATACGACAACGTGATACATGCAGCTATTTAAGTGCGATGGGTAGTGAAATGTTGACCTCATAGAATTGCCTCCTTGTCCTTTTATTAAATTATGTTCCTATTTGGCATTGATAATTATGTACTCCAACATCATCACTATTGGATATGCATATGATTTTACTTTTTCTGGAAATCTTAATGTTTCAAATTAGCATTCCAATTCGTTTTCTTAATTCCTCCTCTTGAAATGTTGATATTAGAAAAAATGGCTATCCTGTAAATTCAATATGTCTTCACTTTTTGCAGATGGCAGAGCAATTCAACCAGGATCTTTCTTTATCTGGAAAAATCCCGTGTGGGGTATTCAATCATGTGTTTGGATTTTCTGGTAGTTGGCAAAAAGATGCAGCAAATACAAAAGCTCTTGCCTTTGATGGGTGGTTCCTTACCCTATACACTGTTGCATTGGCAAAATCACAGATTGTCCTTCGTGAGCACGTTAAGCAATCTGTTCCATCATCATGGGATCCAGCTGCATTGGGAAGGTGAAATTCGCTCCTCTTTTCTTGAGAAGAAGTAATGGCAATATATTTTAAGCATTATGGGTTAAAATACTCTGAACATACGTATTACTTCTTTTTTCGGCGAATAGTGGTTGAAATATTTTATCACTAGATTTTCCATTAAATGACTTCCCCTATTCTCCCTAAGATAAAAAAAGAAGAAAATTTTACAATTTTTTCATTCCTTCTAGAAGATTAAAATTGATCAGCCTGTATCACATGGTTTTTGCCACTCAGTCTCCCCCTTATCAAAACTCCGTGCATACTCAGAGTAGAAGATGGCGAGCCTTCTGGTGGGAACTCTTTTGATTTTAGAATTATCTGACTAGATATAAAATTCCATTTACCTTTATTAAAAGACTGTCAACTTATGGTAGAAGTGCCTGAAAAAATCATAGGTGGTTCAAGGTTGTTTTGATTAGTTCAGAGTCCACAAGGTCTCCCACAGTCTTTTCTTAAGAGTACATTGATGCTAGGTTTCCTTGTGAAGAATTAATGGCCTAAGATTCCATGTTATGCAAATACATGCATACAATGAATTAAGGGCATGCTAATTTGGGGTCAGTGCTAATGTTCAGTAGTTCATACTGCGCTACTGCTAACTCACAGGCTCATGCAACTAAACAAACGTGATTTTATTTCATTCCAATGTATTGAGATTACCCTGAGTATCTGACGCTGTCCTTGTTTTTGGCAGGTTCATTGAGAAATTCGGCACTCATATAATTGTCGGTGTAAAAATGGGAGGGAAGGATGTAATTTATTTAAAACAGCTGCATTCATCAGTTCTTCAACCTTCTGAGGTGAAGAAAAGGCTTAGAGAAATAGCTGACAAAAGATACCTTCATCAGGATGTGCAGAATGGTGTGGATCTCGAAGAATCACATGCAAGAGATAAGGTCTCTCTCTCTCTCTCTCTCTCTCTCTCCAGAGTCAGGTTTGGTGCAATTTTGTTCTCTGTATCCATCACCATTTTAAATGTAAGCCGCCATGGCTTGGTTTATAGAGTATTTAGATTTGCCCTTTTTTATCATGCATATTATTTTAAAATATAATAAGTGATGAGAACGAAGCATATACATCTGTTACTGTTTCATCCTTGGATGATTGTGTTCGGACTTCATGATTGGGACTGGTTCTCAGGCTGGCTGTCTGAAGAAAATCGTCGGAGAAGTTGAAAGTTACAATTTTTAAAGTCTTCCCTCATTCATCTTCCTTGAGTTTTCTGTAAGTGTTTTTGAAGTGAATAAGGGTTTTCAGAGAAATCACACAACGGAATATCGGCCCTCAGTTTACATAAGTTGCAAGTTATGTCACTTTAAGATCACCTTTATTACTGGATAGGAGAGCATGTGTATCATCATCAAACGAACCAGTGAATAATGGTTGATTATATTTTTGAGTTATATCCAATGATTTTTGGGAATTATTCGTGGTGCAAGGGAAACTTTAATCAGGTGGCTTGGATCTCGTTCTGGGCTTTCCAACCGGAAGGTTTCTAACCTCACAATCAATGTTGTTTCATGCATTCGAGGAATGCCCACTTGGAAGATATTTTTTCGTATATTCTGTGATCTGTCCTTTGGATTGACTGTTTATTCCATTAATTTTAGTTTCGACAAGAAGTTACTGAATATTCTCTATTCTCTAATTCTAATTTTCTTTGGTTCAGTTATTAGTCAAGGAGCAACGGTTAAGGTTTGCAGAGTCCAGTCCATCAAGTTCTTTCTTGAACAATGAGGTGTAAATACCTAGCTCTAAATGCTTTTCTCAATTTTCACAAGATCAGGGGGGAAATAACTTTTGACTTATTATTCCTTTTTTCAAATGGCAGCAGGATATAAAGATATCTTTCAAGAGAAGAGGAGGAAGCACGAACAATGATCTACCCCATAACCAGTGGCTGAATACAGTTCAATTTGAGCCGGATGTTATTTCAATGTCCTTTGTTCCAATTACTTCTCTGCTGAATGGGGTGCCTGGAAGCGGATTCTTGAGTCATGCAATTAACTTGTATCTACGCTGTGAGTTTTCTTTTTATCTACCCCCCAGTCAAACCCCCATTCAAACAGGTTTATAGATAAAATATCTAAGACCCTATTATCTTAAAAGTGGGAAACCTTCTCTTTCACGTTTCAGCACGAATTCAATGCGTTGAAACAGGTTTTTTCTCGAAGGTGGCATCTTTCTTTTGACATCTTAGCTGAGATTTTTGCTGCAATCGTACAATCTGGGGAAGCCAATAGCATATTTAGAGTTCAAATGAACGCAATAGTTGATGACCAATAATCTGGCTGTAAAAGATGAATAGTAACAGAGTATGATCCATGTGATCATGATCATTTTGCTGATTAACATAATGACGCTGGTATTTTGTCAGGTGCTCTCTTGCCGTATGGTTTTGTTTAAATTGGCCAACTGCTCCGCAACAATGCTAACTGGCTAGGATCATAATAATATGCCATGGCCACCTTTGTTTATGTAGATTACTTGGAATCTTGTTAAGAATTATCTCGCATCTGATGAGTGATGATCGGATCATGAAACGAATATTTCAATGTTGATCAGAAGCTATATTCTCATGTGTCCACAGATAAGCCACCAATTGAAGAGCTCGAACAGTTTCTTGAATTTCAGCTGCCAAGGCAATGGGCCCCTGTGTTCAGTGACCTTCCTCTTGGTCCTCAGCGGAAGAAACAGAGCAAAACTTATCTGCAGTTCTCTTTCATGGGTCCGAAACTTTTTGTCAACACTAGTCTGGTACGGCATTCCCTGAGACACTCGCTCAGTCATACATCGCTATAGAATGATTTGCCTAGTAGACTTAGCATAAATTAATCTTTATGATGCGAAACTATTGAATGAAATGGACAATGAATAATGGCTTGGCTTACCCATTTTCCATGCTAATCCGTTGGATATGATGCACTGGTCAAATAATGTGAAGGGGCTCTCTAATTGGGTTTCTAATATGCTCATGTTGAGGATTATTGCACAGATCGCACTTTGTATATATTTTTCTGGGTTGTCTTCCGATGATTAACATTGCCTTATCTAGATCATATCAATTAGCCATATTGTGCCAGCACATGTATTAAAATAAATCCAAGGATGTGAACAGCCTATCTCGTCAAATCCAGTTCTTATGCTGTCAAAAAATTGCTGAAGAGCAGACTTTGAACGCGGACGTCATCATTTTATTCAATTACTTGAATGCGTAGTCATTTATAAAAAAGGAAGCGACGAGCACTAGGGACCAGGAATTTGATTGAGGTGACATCTTGTGGTCCATCATAACTTGAGAAAATTATTGAAGTTACAGGGAAACTGATACAGTAGGAAAGAAAAGTAGAGGTGACTACTATGAGCATGCGCATCTCCTCATGTATCTTATGCCTTTTCAAGATTCATATTTGGCTATATTTTAGCCTTTCCCGGGTTCTAGGTCAGATCTTGGGCATACTGACGTGATAACTCTCTCTCTCTCTCTCTCTCTCTCTCTCTCTCTCTCTCTCTCTCTCTCTCTCTCTCTCTCCCCTTTTTCTATTATCTGTCCTTTGTCCGGTCCGTAGGAGTGGAAGTCTATTCTTTGTGATTGGGCCCGTAGGCTCTCTGTTGATGTTCATAAAGTTCTCTCCTTCTTCTTGCCAACCTACAATTGAGGCCTTTTCTGCAGGTTGATGTAGGCAACAAACCAGTCACCGGGCTCAGGCTCTACCTGGAAGGGAGAAGGAGCAACAGACTGGCCATCCACCTCCAGCACCTCGCCTCCTCACCGCCGAGCTTCCAAATCCAGGACCTCCCCGACCACCTCGCCCCTTGTGACTCCTCCGAAAGCAAGTACTACGATCCCATCCAGTGGAGGAGCTTCTCTCACGTCTGTACCGCCCCTGTGGAGATGGACGATGAGAACTCCATCGTCACCGGCGCCCAGCTCCACATCGGCCATCACGGCATCAACAAAGTCCTCTTCCTCCGGCTGCGCTTCTCCACGGTCGTCAATGCCATCCGGGTCAAGAACGCGCAGTGGGCGAACTCTCCGGCGATGAACCAGAGGTCCGGCCTCATATCGACCCTGATGAGCACCCACTTCACTGCAGCTTTCCTGAAGCCGCCGGCGGCGCGGCCGGTGGATGTGAACATCAACTCCGCCGTCTACCCCGGCGGGCCGCCGGTGCCGGTGCAGGCGTCGAAGGTGAAGAAGTTCGTGGACTGTGCAGAGATGGCGCGCGGCCCGGAGGACGCCCCCGGCTACTGGATGGTCTCCGGGGCGAAGCTGTGCGTGGATAGGGGGAGGATCTCCCTCCAGGTTAAGTACTCGCTCTTGACTGCCGCCAATGAGGAGGTGTATGGATTTGATGGGGCCGAGCTCGGGAACTGATACCACAGAGGAAGATGGACGTCGCCGGGCTCAGGATGTATTATAGATTATGTACTCTCTATGTACTCTCTCTCTCTCTCTCTCTCTCTCTCTCTCTCTCTCTCTCTCTCTCTCTCTCTCTCTCTCTCTCATATGCAGGGTCAGTTGGGTCGGGAGACTCTTTTGCCAAGTTCGCCTCTTGATCCGTCCGTCCATCTTCAAGAAAGTGGTGCCCCAGGTTTTATTACCTCTCTTTCCATGTGAGAACGTTTGGTCTTTTCAGATCTTGCCGTCCGATGATCTCGTGTCTATAAATAACCCTTTCTTGCCCCCTCTGCCCTCTTCAGATCCTCTTCAGAACCTCTTCAGATTCTCATGGGCTCATCCTCGGTGGTTCGACCCAATATGGGCTCCCAACGCACAGCGAGATAGAGATAGATACAGAGAGAGAGACAGAGAGAGACAGAGGAAAACTATATACCACATGAGAATCCGTATGATACACGGGGGGGGGGGAGGGGGAGGGGGAGGGGGAAGAGCTTTAGTGGGGACACTGTTGCTGAAGAAAGAATGAAGGAAAACCACCAGTCCATTATTCACTAATCCCCTCTCCGCCATGCCAACCCACCTAAAGCTAAGTCGCAAATCTGATTGTGTGTATACGCAAATCGGTGATACCTCTCCTCTGCACCTCGAGTACTCCCGGAAGCGCGAGGGTTTCTACTCTCAGTTGAGCAGGTCCGGGAAGAGCTTGTAACAGCTGTCGTTCTCCTTGTGGATGACGTCCACGGCGGAGGACGGCGGCGCGCGCTCCTCGTGGGGATGGCGGGGGAACTCGGACAGCATCTGGACAACCTCCCGCATGGTGGGCCGCTCGACGCTGTTCTCCTGGACGCAGAGCATGGCCACGAAGAAAACGTGCATGGCCTCGCCGGGCGGTGCCGCCGCCCCAACCCGCTTGTCGACGATCGCCGGCGCGTTCTCCTTGCAGCAGCCGGTGGTCGACTTCGCCCACTGCACGATGTCCACGCCGTCCCCGAACTCCCCCACCGGGCGCCGCCCGGTGAGCAGCTCAAGCAGCACCACCCCGAAGCTGTACACGTCGCTCTTCTCGTCCACCCTTAGCGTGTAGGCGTACTCTGCGTCCAAATCAGTGGAAAGATAATCAGACCCAAGATCTAGGAAAATTGATCAACCATGGAGATCATGACTGTGTAGAATCCGAGACGGCGGCCTTGTCGGAAAATACCGCAGAACTCTCTTACAAGCGGTGGCCAGAGATCAGAATGTTGTGTCAGAGTGACCACCTCCACCGCCGACCCCGCCGGCAAATCTGATCCCGACGTAGGCCAGGGAGGAGGTGGGGACCGGTTGGGCGTAGCAGTGAGTAGCCCGTAGTTTATCAGATTCCGGCCATCTCTGTGGCGGAGGACGGACGGGGAAGGCAGGTTGCAGTCAGGTTGCAGACCTGTCTCCGTCAAACGCCGCTCAATTGGGAAACGACGAGGAGTAGGGAGGAGATGGAAGGTACCTGGGGCGATGTAGCCGTAGGAGCCGGCGATGGCGGACATGCACTCCGAGGCGGCGCCGTCGCGGAGGAACTTGGCCAGGCCGAAGTCGGCGACGTGGGCCCGGAAGTCGGAGTCGAGGAGGATGTTGTTGGACTTGACGTCGCGGTGCACGATCATCGGGCGGCAGTCGTGGTGGAGGTAGCAGAGTCCCCGAGCGGACTCGACGGCGATGGCGTACCGCCGGTCCCACCCTAGGGGGGCGGCGCCGCCGCGCTTACCGTGGAGCGCCTCCCCGAGGCTCCCGTTGGGCATGTACTCGTAGACGAGGACGTTGGTGTTGGTACGCGAGTTAGAGCAGAAGGCCAACAGCCTCACGATGTTCCTGTGCCGGATGTTGCCCAGCGTGCGCACCTCCGCACGGAAGCCGTGGTCGTGGCCACCGGCGGCGCCGCCGAAGCCCAGCAGGCGCTTGACGGCGATCTCGCCGCCGCCGCCCGTCCTGCCGAGGTAGACCACACCCGCGCCGCCGCGTCCGATCACGTTGGAGTCCTTCATGCACTCGACCACGTCGCTCACGCCGAAGTCGAGCTTCCGGAAGGCCGTGAGCTTCCACTTTCCGCCGCCACCGCCGTCTGTTCGCTTGTAAGAGTGAGCCTTCAGGATGGCGGCGCCGGCGAAGAGCAGGGAGCAGACAAGTAGACCGAGGGAGAAGACCAGCTTGAAATCGCCGGAGACGGACTTCGCCGGCGGGACCCCGCCGGCGGAGTAGTTGCAGGGGTTGTTCAGCGCGGGGCCGCACAGCCGCGGGTTGCCCGCGAAGGAGGACGCGTTGAAGTACACGAACTGGCCATTTTCCGGCAGCCTCCCCGACAGGTCGTTGAAGGAGAAGTCGGCGGCGGTGAGGCTCTTCAGGCCGCCGATGGACCGGGGGATCCCCCCCTGGTTCAGATGGTTGCGGGAGAGGTTCAGATAATTGAGAATCTGGATGCTCGCGATCTCTGGGGGGATTGCTCCGACGAGGTCATTCTGGCTCAGGTCGAGGTAGGTGAGCTGCGAGCAGTTCCCAATCTCCGGCGGTATCTCGCCGGAGAATACATTCGAGCTGAGGTCGAGCTTGACGATGCGGCGGAGCCCTCCGACGGAAGAAGGGATCGGGCCGTCGAAGTGGTTGCCACTGAGGAGGAGGGTCTGGAGGTAGGAGAAGTTCGAGATGGAGGAGGGGAGATGGCCAGTGAGGAGGTTTCCGGAGAGGTTTAGCTGCGCCAGCTGGGTCGAGCCGCCCGCCGCCGGGTCGGGGTTCTCCGCCATCGTCCCCGACAGGTAGTTGTTCTGAAGCTCGACGAGGTTGAGCAGTGGTAGGTAGAGGAAGCCCATAGGAATGCTCCCGTTGAGGTAGTTCTGCCCTAGCCGGACTCTGGTGAGGCTCCCGCAGGTGCCCAAGCTCTCCGGGATAGGCCCGAACAGGAAGTTCTTCAGCAGGATGAGCACTTTCAGCTGGTTGCCGGAGCAGAGGTTGGGGGGGATCACGCCGGTGAGCTTGTTGGACGAGAGGTCCAGCGTCCGGATCCTGCCGTTGGTGCCTAGCCTCTCGGGGATGACACCAGTGAGGTTGTTCATGAAGAGCTGGAGAATCTCCAGGTTGGGAAGGTCGGCCATGGATTCTGGCAGCGACCCGTGAAGCCTGTTCATGAACAGGTTGAGCAGGGACAGCCGCCTCAGCCCAGCGAGCTCCGGGGGAATCTCTCCGACGAGGGCGTTGTTGGAGAGGTCGAGGGAGACGAGGTTGGTCAGGTTGCCGAGCGAGCTGGGGAGGGTCCCAGAGAAGAGGTTGGTGTGGAGGAACAGAGTCTCCAGGGCCTGCAAATTCCCCAGCTCCGGCGGGACCTGCCCGTCCAGGCCGCAGCTAGAGAGGTCCAAGACGACGAGGTTCTGCAAATCTCCGAGCTCCGCCGGTACGCCGCCGTCGAAGACGTTGAAGTAGCCAAGATAGAGCTCCCTCAGACTCGTGAGGTTGCCCAGTTCGCCGGGTATTCCTCCCCGGAGGTCATTACCGGCGAGCTGGAGGTATTCAATGGCGGCCCAGCTTCCGTACTCCGGGGGGATCTTCCCATAGAAGAAGTTCCCTCCGAGGTCGAGGTGGCGGAGCCGCCGCGAGTCCACGGCGGCGAGCGGCAGCGGGGCGGTGAAGTTGTTGTCGTAGGCGTCGAGCACCTCCAGGCTCGGCAAGCTCGAGAAGTCCCAGTCGAGGCCACCGCTGAACTGGTTGCGGGAAATGTTTACAGACCGGAGGCTCGTCATATTGGAGAGCTTGAGCTCACCGGCGAAGGCATTTCCGGCGAGGGACAGATTGACGAGCCGGTGGAGGTCGGAGATCTCCGGGGAGATGGAGCCGGAGAGGTTGAAGCCGGAGAGGTCCAAGGAGACGACCCGATCGAGCTCGCACGTCACGCCCAGCCATGAACAGACCGAGCTCGGGCGGGACGAGTCCCAGCCATCCAATGCCGGACTGAATGCCCGGAAGCCCTGCTTCAGAGAGGCCAGCACCAGACCGTCTCCCACCGGGGAGAAGCTAGAGAGAGAAGAAGAGCAAGTGCCCAGAAGAGAAACCAAAAAGAGAAGAAGAAGAACAACAACAGCGACCGTTCTCCCCATCTCCTCCGACGATCCCTCTCTATCGCTCTTCTTCTTCCTCTTCTTAGTGGGATGGGGATGGGCTTCTGAGAATTGGGTTCGGGGAGAGCAGAGAGATGGAGGAGTGACTGAGCTGAGGATGGGCGATGGCTATATCGGAAGGACGAGGGAAAAGCAGGGGAATCTGAGAAACTTCATGCGGGTGGTGTGGCTTTGGCGAAGGGGGCATCTTCCAATGAGGGACACACTCCGCATTCGAGGGAGAGAGACCGATGCCATGCTCCTCCTAAGTACCCCCCCTTCTTCTTCTTTTGCCGCCTGCCTGTTCTTCCTCTTTTAGAGAGAGAGAGAGAGAGAGAGGGGATCCTTCTTCCAGCCCTCGTATTTTAAAACTCGCCACGAGAAAAAAGGCCGTGAAGGGGGAAGGGCAAAAAAAACAGGCCTTTGGCTGCAAGGCAAAGGGGACCGGTCTCCGTGGCTGAAATGACGAAATAACCGTCTCGACTCCCTAGGGTTCGACGGCCGCCATCAATCGTCCTAGTATGATCGTCCCTATTACCATGATTGTGAGAATAATCTGGGTGTCTGATGATATAGTTCCTGTATAATGCGAGGCAATCATTGAAGACTCCGCCGCCCGGTTGGGTCCTCCTGGGCTGCTTTGACCCACTGGCCGAGTTAAGGGTTTAGAGAGAGAAAGGGAGAGGGATGGATCATGTATCGATCGTTCCCCCACTGTAAAAGCAGGGGTGGGGAAAAGCAAAAGAGAGAGAAAGGGTAGAGAGGGAGAGAGAACCCATGAGTTGTGACTCCTTGCACATGGAAAAGAGAGCTCTTGGATGATCTCGGTTTTGGGTTGTTCACCCGTTTCTCTCTCGTCCTCCTCCACGCCCCTCTGTTGGCAAAGAGGCCCTCCTCATTCTTCTTCCGCCTAAGCAGGGTGCTGTAGTCTTCTACTCGGGCGAGAGATCCCACCCTCTTTCTCCACCTTCCCTTTGAAGTCTCCCCCTCCCCCATTTCCTCGCTCTTTCTCTCTCAAGGGCGCTTCTTGACCTGATAGAGGGTCTTGCCCGACAGAGAAAGGAGGGCTCGAGTCGGCCTCTGGTTTCATGACTGTATAGGGTTCCTGATGAGCTGAAGAAGGTACACCAACAGGAAGCAGACGATGGTTCCTTTTCCAGGGCGTAAAGCTCCAATGACCGGGCTATTCCGGCGAGCCCTCATTGAATAATGGGCGTCTCTCTCTCTCTATCCATTACCATGCTTGATCTAGACCCTCCTCATATCTGGTTCTGGGGATCTGCCCTGGGTAGGGTTGGACTGGTCAGTCGCCTAGTTCGAGGAAGTAGAGATTGCCACTCTTCTCCCGGCAGCTCAGCGATCAGAGACTACGATACGTTTGCAGCACTCGTCACAGAGTAGATGTTCGGGCATCTCTCTCTCTCTCTAGATGTGTGTAAAATGCTAAGTTATTTCGGGGAAGAAAAGCCGGAGATGAGATGGGGAAGGGAGAGAGAAGACAAAAAGGAAAAGGAGAGGACTAAAGAGAAGGAAAATAAAGCAAAAACGTTTTGCTCTTCTTCTTTTGAGGCATTGAAAGATCTCACTGGCATTCGCTTACAGGACAAGGGAGTCTCTTTCGAAGGTGCCAACTCTCTCTCTCTCTCTCTCTACCCCTGAGCGTGGTGGATGACACGAGCGAAAAGAAGGCATCTATTTGCCAAACCGAGATTGCTGCGAAAGTATTTGTTCTCCTTTGAACTACTCGCGGGGCTGAATGCACGCGTCCCTAGTACGATGGCAGGAGGCTTCCACTTTGAATGAGTCTGGACTGTTACCATCTCTCTCTCTCTCTCTTTCTGCGCACATACACTGCATGGTTCGCAGCAGAGTCCTGTGATTACTTGTATGATTCAGGCGTCTCAAAAGCCTCGATTCCGGACGCATCGCGAGAGTAAGACAGGGAAGAGGCAGTGCATGTTGGAGGCGAAGGTCCCTCAAATCTACTCACCTGTCGGCTCGACGAGTGCAGCCATCTCGGCACACGTGCTCTGCTAAGACGAGAAGGAATTCTGAACCTCTTCTCCATCTGTCTTGATTCTCCGAGCCCCATCCAAGCCACCAATGATCTTCCCACCCACCCCGCCTCTCTCTCTCTCTCTCTCTCTCTCTCTCTCTCTCTCTCTCTCTCTCTCTCTCTCTCTCTCTCTCTCCTCTCTCATCTCTCTCCTCCTCCCTCCCTCTCCTCTCCTCTCTCTCTCTCTCCTCCCTCCCTCCTCTCTCTCTCTCTCTCCCTCCTCCCTCCTCTCTCTCTCTCTCCCTCTCCCTCTCTCTCTCTCTCCTCCCTCCCTCCTCTCTCTCTCTCTCTCTCCTCCTCCCTCTCTCTCTCTCTCTCTCTCTCCTCCTCCTCTCTCTCTCTCTCTCTCTCTCCTCCCTCCCTCTCTCTCTCTCTCTCCCTCTCTCTCTCTCTCTCTCCTCCTCCTCTCTCTCTCCCTCTCCCTCCCTCCACCTCTCTCTCTCTCTCTCCCTCTCTCTCTCTCTCTCTCTCTCTCTCTCTCTCTCTCTCTCCCCCCCCGGTTGTCGTGTCGTCTCCAGTGAAGGTACTGTGGAGATGGCGGACGGCCAGGAGGGATCGACGCATGGGAATCAGCGTTGATCGACCCCTGGATTGAGCAATCGGCACCTACGTCCCGCGGTCTGAGAAACGAGGATATCCTTCTTAATCAGACGACACTACCTTAAAAATGGAAGATTAAATACACAGAGCGACTTCTCGGATGAACCCTAAGAGGAGGTGCGGCTACTTGCCGAGCCTATGCGCTGGAATAATGCGACCCCAACAACGTCTCCCCCCCCCACCTCCCTCCTCCCATGACTCCTACCGAACTTTTTATCCTGCCTCCGGCGGCCCACTGCCCACTCTTCGGCCGTCTGGTTCGCCGGCGCCCACCAGGTTCCTCCCCACCTTCTGCGAGAGTGCAACTCTCCTGCTCAATCATGGCTGCTTCGACAGCGGAAAGTGAAGAGGGAGAGAGAGAGAGAGAGAGAGCCAGTGCCCATAGCTAGGGGGACCGGAGACGATGTGGGAGAAGCGCCCCGCCGGTTGCTGCCGTGGGGCCTCCGCCCGCCTTTTGCACCGGGAAGCAGCGGCAGGCGGAGCTCGGCGCCGGCCATGAGCCTTTTGCTAAGTGGGCGTAGGCCTATTGAGGTTGTCTTTTCCTCTCCTTTGCGGTGGTGGAGGGATTGCCTAGAGATAGATATGCAGATAGATCACCACACAGCAAGAGCGAGAGAGAGAGAGAGAGAGAGATGATTGACCTTCATTCCAAATGCGTGAATAACATCTAGATGATGAGCGACACTGCCAATCACAGACCATCTAATGCTATTTGAGATAATGTTTTAAACTTTACGTTTTTATACAGACTTGCGTTCGTGTGGATATCTTTCTCCATACAGCACCACCCATATATAGTAAGCAATCTCGCGAATTCAATGAAGCCCAACATATCCGACCTCACTTTTGCTCCAAATCAGCTGCCAAGCTATAGATATTATCACGTCTTATAATCGAGTGTATGAACGTTCTACAAAGATCACGTTCAACGCCAATTAAGTCAACGTTCTATTTCGAGACGTTTTCAGAAAAATATCAAACGAATCATGGGAACAGGAAAACGAGTTTGACTGCAACTTTTTTTAATTTTTAAAAAAACAAATTAATCTGCCGTCTTGAAACCTCGCCTCAGGCTGGGCCCGGCAGGGGTTTCATAACCTAGAGTTTATACGACTGGGTTTTCTATGGTTTTTAAATATCCGATTAAAGTTTCAAACTTTGAAAAGGGGCGAACTCGGCAAGGCCCAAATCCCCCCTTACCCCGTTGACCAAAGATGAAAGTCGCAGACAAGCTCGAAAGTAAGGTAATGGGTGAAGGGAGAGAAGTGGGTTTTTGTCATTGAATGGGGAAGTCAACTAGAAGCCAAACGAAGAGTCAACCCGTCCTAATCAAAAACCACGTGTGATTGGGTCCCACCCGCACACGGAATAGGATAATTTTCAATTATCGATAATAACATAACGCATCAGCACCATTAATGCCAAAAAAGGGAAAAAAAGCCTTCAGGTGTGGAGTTATGGTTGACATTATTATTGACCCTAATAATGTTGAGTCATGATGTTATTTATATTGAATAAATATCTTAGTGCGATAATTATTGATGATTATATATATATATATATATATATATATATATATATATATTCGTCAATCTCGGATGATAACTCCCATGCATTCCTAAACTTTGTAATATTTTTTTAATCAGATGGGTGCGGAGTTAAAAGTTCCGTCGGACAAATGACCGACCGTTCAACGGGGAGTCTTCGGTCATCGTCTTCGTGTCCTTCCTGCTGTTCTGCATGCCTTCCCGCCGGCGGCCGCCGCAACAGGCCGGTGAGCTGTCCTCTGAAAAACCCTTCCACGTAGACTGGCGGATGAGGCTTGCCGACACGGGCGATCGATGGTGGAGAGTGCACGACCGGCTGGATGGCTCGCTGATCGTGGGGTCCAGCATGAGGAGTCCCGTGAAGCTCACTCGTAGACCGGACAACCGGCGGCCGTATAGGCCCAATGGGCTTCACGGTGGTGGAGCCCAGAACTCTCTCAAAGGCCCACCGGAATCGAAGTGGGACCCGGGGGAAGGAAACGACAAGAATGTACATGAAATGCGGGCCCCGAACGGGGAACAAAAAGAGCCGCCTCCGCTTCGCCGTCGACCATCCGCTGCTTCCGTGACGCTCTCAATTGCCGTCGTAGACGTCATCCGCCGCCGCCGCCGCCGACGGGCTTCCTTGCCCCTCCCTTGAATGACGTCACCAGGGAGACCTGAGAGATTTGATTCCCCTTCGGTGGAGATGATCTGCGGCGACATTGAGTGGACCGGAGAAATTCAGAAGAACGACGAGGATCTCGAGCTTTATCCACCGAAGGCGAGTATTAGAGGATGATTCAGAGGCCACGGCGGATTGCTAGATTAGTTGAATCGTTCGGGAGATCAGTCTTCGCTCATTCTCGGAAGGAGAAAGGTTAGAGGACTTCATTCACTCTGCGCATCAGTGCTGAATTCTCCGGATCAACTGGACTTCTCTCTTTGTTGTTCTTCCATTTTCTGTTCTAAATCTCTTGCGACAGGTTCTTCTCCATCAATGGAATCTGAACAGAGGCAACCGAAATTGTGGCCTCTTATCCGTGTCTTATCCCCAGGAATTTGGGCAAAAGCTTCTATGCTTTGTTTGAATTTCGTGTTCTTTCTTCCTTCTCCCCTCATGAGACACCTCTCCGCCGCTCGATTTCTCAGAACAATTCCCAGACAAGTGAACTGTACAAGTTCTAGGTTTATCACCATCCCCTCCACAGTGTCGGCGACTGTTTTCCGGAAAACCTACATCTCTTGATCGATAAGATCCTTCCTCGCTCGCTTCAATTGAATCCTCTGATCCATCCTCCGTAACAGCCGTGTAGCGTCGGCGTGGCCGGCGAGCACGCCACTTTCTTCATCCTCATCCTCCACACCCGTGAACATCTTCAGGACCCGCCGGAGGGCTCGATAGGTCCCACCCGGCGAGAGACTCGTGCAATGGGGTGGTCAACTTTCCGGCTTCGGATTTGACCAGGCCGGTCCACCCACGTCTGAAGATATCTTTGACCCCATGATCCCCTCACCACCGTGGGGTGTCATAGTGGGGATCGTGGGAGCCCTGGTCTAAGAGTTTTCGATCATTTGGTCTGTTTTTCCCGCGATTCACCACGGCGGGTGTTCTTCTCTGCAGGTTGTCGAGGTCGTCAGGTTCTCCAATGGCGAAATGCTCCCTCTCTCTCCGATTCCCCACCACCTTCCTCCTCCTCCTCCTCCTGGTCTCCCTCTCACTGGTCTGGAGTGGGCAGAGCCAGGCGACCACGGAGACCCAAGTGCTCCTAGAATTCAAAAGGCGGCTAGAGGATCCCTCCAACCATCTGGGAGACTGGGAGGACTTCCCGTCTCCATGCAACTTCTCGGGCGTCACCTGCGACCGGGTCTCCGGCGCCGTCACCGGGATAAACCTCCAGAACCTGTCACTCTCCGGCGAGATCGATCCCGTCGTCTGCGAGCTCCGCAGACTCAGCTCTCTCTTGCTCGGACAGAACGCGCTCACCGGCGGCGTTCCTCCGGAGTTGTCCAGGTGCACTGCTCTCCAGTTTCTCAATCTGTCGGTCAACGGTTTAACGGGGCAGTTGCCGGATCTTTCCTCCCTCAAGAATCTCCTCCTTCTTGACTTATCGACGAACAAGTTCGTCGGGAAATTCCCATCCTGGGTGGGAAGTCTCAGGGGCTTGGTCTCCCTGGGCCTCGGCGAGATTCAGTTCGACGAAGGCTTGATCCCGGAAAGCATTGGCCACCTGAAGAACCTGAACTGGCTGTTTCTGGGGCAGTGTAATCTCGTCGGGGAGATCCCTTCCTCCATCTTCGGGCTGACTTATCTTGGAACGTTGGATCTCTCCCGCAACCACCTCTCCGGAACGCTCCCCAGGACGATTTCCAATCTGCGCAACCTGTGCAAGATCGAGCTCTACAACAACAACTTCACCGGAGAACTCCCCGTGGAGCTTGGAAGGTTGACTCTTCTTTCCGAGTTCGACATTTCGAAGAACGGGTTCACCGGGAAGCTACCGGAGGAGATGGGCGACCTGAAGAACCTGACGATCTTCCAGCTGTATCAGAACAACTTCTGGGGGGAGCTGCCGAAAGGGTTTGGAGATCTGGAGCTTCTCACGTCGTTCTCCGTCTACGGCAACGCCTTCTGGGGAGAGTTCCCCGAGAATTTGGGTCTCTTCTCCCCACTCGACACGATCGACATCTCTGAGAACAGGTTCACTGGGCCATTCCCAAGATTCTTGTGCCAGAACAGAAGACTAAAGTTCTTGCTTGCTCTGGACAACAACTTCTCGGGCGAATTTCCAGATACTTATGGGGATTGCAAGACACTGCTGAGGTTCCGGATCAGTCGCAATAACCTGGTGGGGAGAATCCCAGACAGGGTATGGGGCATGCCTTCTGCTGTCGTCATCGACTTCTCATACAATGGATTCACCGGCGGAATCTCCTCCCACATTGGAGATTCTACCAGCTTGAACCTGCTGAGCCTGGAGAGCAACAACTTTTCTGGTGAGATACCCGCAGAGATTGGGAAGTTGTCGATGCTGCATAAGCTCTTTGTTTCTGGCAACTCGTTCTCCGGCAATATACCTCCTCAAATCGGAAGTCTGGACCAACTGACATCACTCCACTTGGAAGGAAATTCTCTGTCAGGCGGGATACCATCAGAACTCGGAAAATGCGGCAGCTTGGTGGACTTGGACCTTTCGAGAAATTCCCTCAGTGGTGAGATCCCCGAAGCACTGTCCTCCGTTGCCTCCCTGAACTCCCTCAATCTGTCGCAGAACAGGCTTACAGGCTCGATTCCGAGGGGATTAGAGCAGCTGAAGCTGAGCTCCATAGATTTATCTGGAAACCAGCTATCTGGGAGCGTCCCGCCTGGGCTCCGGTTGATCGCCGGAGACGGTGCTTTCTCGGGGAACCCAGGACTCTGCACCGGGAGTAACCCTGGGGGGATATGCAACTTAAACAATGGTCGCAAGGATGCCATGGGTAACCATCTGCTTATCGTTGCTCTCGTTTCGTTGACCTTGATCGCCATCTTAACCGGTTTCATCTTCATGAGTCGTCGGAGTTTCATGCACGAGAATGCCCGAAAGGAGAGCGATCTTGATGACACAATGTGGAGAATGGAGCGCTTCCATCGGACGGAGTTCGACGCAGAGGAGATCCGCAACCTTCGGGAGGAGAACCTGATAGGAAGCGGCGGCACAGGCAAGGTTTATCGGCTGGACTTGAAGAAGGGCGGTGGGCCGGTGGCCGTCAAGCAGCTGTGGAAGGGGCCTGAACCCAAGATCTGGACGGCGGAGATGGACATTCTGGGGAAGGTGAAGCACCGAAACATAGTGAAGCTCTACGCCTGTGTTGCCAAAGGGAGCTCCAACTATCTCGTCCTGGAGTACATGCCCAAGGGAAACCTGCACGAGGCTCTTCGCCGGGAAGCCAAGGGAGGGAAGACGGAGCTGGACTGGCAACGGAGGCACAAGATCGCCCTCGGCGCCGCCCAGGGGATCATGTACCTTCACCACGACTGTTCTCCGGCCATCATTCACAGGGACATCAAATCTACTAACATCCTGCTCGAGGAGGATTACGAACCAAAGATCGCCGATTTCGGGATCTCGAGACTCGCGGGGGACGCCGACTCGAGCCGCCTTGCCGGCACACTTGGATACATGGCTCCAGGTGACCTTCTCCCCGCTGCTGCCTTCTCTCTCGACACATCCTGAGTCGTGACCCTTCTTCTTCCTCCCGTCTTCGCAGAGCTTGCCTACTCCATGAAGGCGTCTAAGAGGAGCGACGTCTACAGTTTTGGGGTGGTGCTACTAGAGCTGGTGACGGGAAGGTACTCCGTCGAGGAGGAGTACGGCCATGGGAAGGATATCGTCCACTGGGTATTGAAACACGTCGGTGGCGGGAGGGCAATGGAGGTCCTGGATCCCAGAGTCGCCGGCGCCGACGTACACGGCATGATTAAGGTCTTGAAGGTCGCCACCCTCTGCACCACGAAGCTACCTTCTCTGCGGCCCACTATGAAAGAGGTGGTGAACATGCTTATCGACGCCAGCCCACGCCAGGCGGCGCGCTGTGAAATCTGATAGATCTGTGGGCGGCGGCGAAATGCCGCCCGCTATGGCCACTTCAACTGTAAAAAAGTGTGGACACCGTTGTAAGGACTTCATAGTATCTCTCTCTCTCTCTCTCGTGATCGTAGGAAGGACAGGACCTGAGATTCTGGCGGCCCGGACACTTGGGCTTAAGCCGGGCTTCCCAAAGCCAGGTCCTGGCCCAGCCCATAAACACTATGCTCTCTGGATAACAAAGTCAATAGGTGCTTTTGCAGCACATTCGTCCGATTCAGAAGAACCAAACACACTCGGATGGACCGATGATGAGGATGGAGTGATCGGAACCGATGAGAGGGAAATAGGACGACAAGAGAACGTGTGGACAGAGTTGACAGCAAGTCAAGGATCGAATGGAGGTTATTGAAGGGGAGAAGAGGGTCTACATCATCGGGGGAGAGGCAACTGCTTTCCCATGCACGTCACGGATGAACAGTGCAACCAGATGCATCCACTTGGACGTCGTCGAATTGGCCCGTCCCCCGTTGACAACTCACCTTTGTATGATGACCAGATTAGTCCGTCTGAATTCCAAAGAAACGACCAAGAAAAAAGGGTTCCATATCGACCAGTGCCCGTGTTTACGCAATGAAGTGACTTGCATTTATTAGATAAAATCATCGACGTCATCGCTCGTTTTAAATAATATTAAGAAAAATTGGAAAAAAAGCAGACATGGGCGCCAAATGGGTCAATGAAAACCAATATAAAGCCGATATTTAAAGTCTTGGAAATAAAATAATCAAGTGAGAAGTAAAGGGGGTCACCTACATCCAGTTGTCACACCCCTCGCCCCCATGACACAAATCCTTAATCACTTGTTCTCTCTCTCTCTCTCTCCGCCCCCCCCCCCCCCCTTTCTCTCTCTTTCGTAAGTGCTGACGCTGATTGTTCTCCGACTCTTCTGGTGGCTCAGGTACGGTAAGATACTTAAAATTCTTCAGGTTGAGCTGAAGAGGCCCCGCCAGATGCAACCGAGGCTGGTCTTGTATCTTCCTCTTGAATCAATTCAGTACATGTGCAGTACCAGTACTAAGATCTGGATCGACGTGAGACGGAGTCCCAAGGAGCGTCGGGCGTCTCTCCTGCGGTTCAGTACGGCTTCGTCCTCGTCCCCCTTACCCGGCAAAGGGGTTTCTCCCCCACTGAAGGCTGCGTCGGACCTGCTCGTGGTCGAGGTCACGTCATCTTCCGGCATCCTCAACCTCCCCTAGGTGCTTGTCGACGAAGATCCACGGGCACTGGTGGGTTTGGTTGGAGTAAGTAGTTCTTTACTGGTTGTTGCCTTGTCACAGTCATGCCCGGCTTGTGGTCACCTCCCTCCCTCTCTCTCTCCCTCTCTCCCTCTCTCTCTCTCTCTCTCTCTCTCTCTCTCTCTCTCGCTTCTGTTCTCTTTCTAGAGGCCCGAATGAAAGAGATTAATGACGGGGGTCCTAAATAAGTCAAGGTCGTTCGGGGAAGATACATCAGCCGCCGATAGATTGGCTGGGACGGCCATCGCAGCTCGTCCGTTGAACCGTCTCCTTCTCGTTAGGTCGGGACGGAAGATCCGCCCTCGGCTCGAACCTCACAGGCTGTGATATCTGTCATCTCAGATGGTGGTAGCTATAGGCATTTTGGCGAACATGATCTTTCTCCATTGAGATGACCGTCTCATTAAAGAAACGATAGAGACGGCCTAGAACCAGATCGAGAGCATCTCTCCGATCGCGATTCCGAAATTCGACTCTCAGCCACGGCTGCGGCTGGTGCGGCCTCGGAAGTGGGATTCCAGAACTCAGATCCTTCCTCCCTCGGCAAGCCGTATTATTCATATCAGTAGTAGATCAGGTAACCTAAATCACACGGATTTCGTAAGGTGTGAGAAAAGTAGATCCTGTTGGAACTGTGGCCCAGAATGACTGCGATCTCTCCGAATCTAGAAGCGTTTGCAGAGAGTTTCTGGTAATAGTGGTTGGAGAAGGTCCTTCTCCTCGCCACCCAAACAAAATCGGGAAAGGAAGCAAGAACCCTAGTGCCCATTCAGATCAGAGGCCACCTACTGGTTGCCTCACTGGGAGGGAACGTCTCGCCGGCGGCTATTAACCTAACGGACGCCTGCCCGGTTTCGTCTTCCTGCACGCCAACCGACCGTCCCCGAGGTCGACCAGCGGGATATTTTATTTCTCAGTTTGAGGAGAGGCGTCGCCGGCATATGGGCTCCTGGCTTCGCCGTCTCCGATCTCTCTGAGATGCCGCCGGGCACTAGTTTATTACTAGTACTCGAGGTGGAAAGGAGATGAGAGACCCGTCGTCTTTCTCTTCTTCCTCCACCCATCCTCGTGACTGAGACGGGGAGATAGATAGAGAGAAAGAGAGAGAGGGGGCGCTGGGCGGTCGTCATCACACTAGAGAGTCCAGAGGTTTGGTTTTTTGGTGGGGAGGGCGGGGACAACACTTCTCGCCTCTCCTTTTTTTTTCATATCTCATTCAGGTCAATCTTGATCTGAATGTCAACGCGTTTCTCCGGCGCGGTTCCTTTCTCTGGCGGTCCGTCGTATGTTGATCATCCGCCGATTTGCCTTGATGCGTGTAAATAGCTCGCACGGAGACGCGTTTCCGACTCTTCTCTTGGTGATGGGGGCTTGTTCAGGGGGGGAGCATCGGTGAAACATTGTACCGTGACACGTGTCAAACTCCGGTTGGATGGTCTTGTCTTCTTCCTTCGGCCATTAGGTTAGCGGATTCGGAGGACCCAGTCTCTCTCTCTTTCTCGCTCTCTCTCTTTCGCCACCGGGTCAATGAAAGGCGCGTCCTCCCCCAACACGACGTCGTCGTCCCCCTCTTCCTCCGCGTCTTCTTCCTTCGAGAGGGCAGGGGAAGCAGTGTCCAAACCTGGTCTATATGCTGCTCTGATCATCTCTCCACTCCCTTCTTCCCACCATCGCTTCTACTACGATGAGATTCCCAACCTCGACGACATCTCCTCGATACCCACCGGGCCGATGTCTCCGGCGAGAACCACTGCCCTTCTCTTTTGTCTAGGCGTCCTCTCCATCTCGTTTCCCCAGCCGGCCGCCGCCGCCCCGCTCGCCACCGTAGCCATCACCCACATCTCCAATCTCACGGTGATTTGCGCGATCATCCCCTCCAGGACCAACGGAAACCGATACGATATCAACTGCACCGCCCTCCCCCTGGGGATCCAGCATAGTTACCCCTCCGGAGTCGCATCGTACACCGCCATCGCCGCCGGCGATGGGTTCCTCTGCGCGCTCACGTCCCCCCCGTCCTCGGGGCGGACGACGATGAGGTGGTGGGACCTGACGCATGAGAGGAACGGCGAGGAGCCGAAGGCGAAGAGGCTCTACTTCGGCAGTCGGCTCTCGGAGCTGGGCGCCGGCGAGTCCCATGTGTGCGCTCTCGTCGGCAACACCAGCGAAGTTCGCTGCTGGCGATGGACGGAGTTCGCCTCTCTGAGAGACAGGAAGCTTGCGAGCATCGCCGTGGGAGGGAGCTTCCTCTGCGGCTTGTCGCTGGAGCAGGCCATCGAATGCTTCGGAAGCGACGGCAATGTGGTGGGCAAGCAACCCTCTGGGAGATACAGTTTGTTGGCCGCCGGCAGACACCATGCATGCGCTGTGGCGGAGAACGGATCCTCCTTGACCTGCTGGGGCTCGGGAGCGCCACAGGTGGGGAGAATCGACTTCGAGGTCACCTCTCTGGCGCTGGGGGATAACCGGACCTGCGCGCTCAGCGGCGTCGGGAGGGTCCGATGCTGGGGCGCTGGCCGGAACATGCCGGAAAGCCTGCGGAGCGAATTGTTCCTCTCAATCCATGCCCAGGGAAGCTCCTTCTGCGGCGTTCTGAACAAAAACTTCACCTTGGTCTGCTGGGGGAGCGAGATTTTCACCAGGAACCGAGTTGTCTTTGGCAACGTTCTACCGGGACCCTGCAGGACGCACTGCGCCTGTGGGTTCATCGACGGCTCCGGGAACCTCTGCCCCGACGGCGCCGTCATTTGTCGGCTGTGCGAGGTGGAGAGCATTCCCATCTCTCCGCCTACTGGCCTCTCCAACTCGAAGAATTCCCAAAATGGCTCCGGTGGCGGCGGCGGCAGAAGGAGGAGGGTCGCCTACGTGGTGCTTGGCGCCGTCGGACTCGGGGTGGGCATCGCCGCCGTGGGAATCTGCCTCTGTGGCAGAAGTGGAAGGTGGCTGCAAGTGCACGACTCGGGCCCTGCAGACCAGGAGGCTGCCAGCGGCCGCTCTGAGCCGCCGCCGGCTTTAGCCAACGGTAGGACGCCGGTCGACCCAGCCTCCGTTCACCAGAGACTCGGGGAGTTCAGCCGCAAGGGCCACAACAGCACCATCGAGGAGTTCCCCCTGCAAGTGCTCCTGGAGGTGACCAGCGGCTTCTCCGAGGAGCGCAAGATCGGCTCCGGCAGCTTCGGGGCCGTCTACCGCGCCACCCTCGACGACGGCCGGGAGGTGGCCATCAAGCGCGCCGAGATATGCTCCTCCTCGTCCCACCTCGGCGGGCACACCAGGCGGCAGGACGACAAGGAGCAGGCCTTCGTCGCCGAGCTCGCCCTCCTCTCCCGTGTCAACCACAAGAACCTGGTGCGCCTCGAAGGGTTCTGCTCGGAGGGAGGGGAGCGGGTGCTCCTCTACGAGTACGTCGCCAACGGCACCCTTAGCGACCACCTCCACACCCTGCCGAGCTCGCCGCTGGCGGCGTGGGACGCGCGCCTGCGGGTGGCGCTGGACGCCGCCCGCGGCATCGAGTACCTGCACCGCTACGCCGTGCCGCCGATCATCCACCGCGACATCAAGTCCTCCAACATCCTGCTCAGCGACGTGTGGACTGCCAAAGTCTCCGACTTTGGGCTGTCCCTGATGGGCCCGGAGGAGGACGTCTCTCACATCTCCCTGCGCGCTGCCGGCACCGTCGGTTACATGGACCCCGAGTACTACCGCCTCCAGTACCTCACCACCAAGAGCGACGTCTACAGTTTCGGCGTGGTGCTGCTGGAGCTGCTCACCGGCTTCAAGGCTATCCACCAGCACGACGAAGACGAGGACGGCGACGGCGACGGCGATGGCGGCGGCGGCGGCGGCGGCGACGGCGTGGCCCCGAGGAACGTCGTGGAGTTCGCTGTGCCCCACATCGACGCGGACCAGGTCCACGTCGTGCTCGACGGGAGGCTCCCTCCGCCGAAGCCCAGCGAGATCGAGTCGGTGCAGTGGCTCGCCTACCTCGCCGCCGACTGCGTCAGTCCAGAGGGGAGGAATCGCCCCACCATGACGGAGGTCGTGAGCACACTGGAGAAGGCCGTCGCCGCCTGCGCGGCGGCGGCGCCGCCCCTTCCTCGCTCCATGTCGACCCAGTCCCTGTGAGCCTCCATTCACACGAGCGAGCGGGGGCGTTCTCGGACCAACCAACTGGCGGAGAGATCGGCGGCGCCGCGTGATCCAGGCAAGTGGATCAGCTTTGAACTGGCGGATTACGACCACTAAAAGTCAGGGAGTACACCGAACTCGGGATGTGGACGTCGCCACGCCGGGCCGACACGGGCCGGTTGAATTTGGGCTCGGGCCGAAAGCCCAAGCCGTGTATAGGTTCGGAACGGGAACAGGCCCATCTGTTTTCAAAGGGGTCCCCAAATAATAATGGTGGATGCCTTTCCAGCTGTTCGAGAGAGACCTGACCATATCGTCAGGTATATTTTCTTACGGCCCATTTGCCGTCAAATTTCCAAAGTCCCATTGACAAAGTATATATAGACTGCTCTCTATCTCTCTCTCTCTCTCTCTCTCCATCTCTCCCTCTCTAGAACTCACGATGTGGCTAATATGGCATCGGTGATCATTTAACGATCGAAGTCAAACCTAGTACACCCCAAGTTTTCTCACTAATTATGCGTCCTTCAGGCCGGGTATGCTACGACGACTGGATCCGGGTCTTGGGGTAGGTGGGCCCGTCTGTGTGAACTCAAACTATTACTTGGTCAAATACCTGGCCGAATTAACCAATAAAAAATTAGTGTTTTAACGCGTGAAGTCAAAATTCTACATGTTCAGCGTCCAAGAAGTCATTGCCGTCAGCGTATCCAAAATCCTCGTTTGACCCCGTGTCGTCGTTCTAAAGTCAACACGGTCTAGAATATGCAGGAGTGAATGGCAAGTTTCTGGAATACCATAGAACATACGGAGTAGACCGTTATCGAGGATTCTCGTCTTCCAGTAGCCTATTGCCCTAAAGAGGTCAGCTAAGATGACTTCTGATATTTATTTTAATGTTATATCCTGCCAATCGGTGATTCGGTACAGTTTAATGCCTCATGCTCTCCATGTATGGTACTGTGACGAGGTCTATGAAGGCCTTCTAGAGAGAGAAAAATCTGCGAATTCACTGGTCTTAGTGATGGAAAACATGAGTACTTGGATGACAATTCTCACCCATATCACACCTTCTGATTCGTCCTGCATCGTGATCAGTGAGTCGAACCCAAGATTAGGGTTCTAATGTCTTGTAGAGAGAGATGGCCATGATACGGGGAAGACCGAGGATGGAACTCAAGGACGGCAGCATCATTGAGATCACCATCCTCGGAGGCACGAAGGCCGTTCGAAGGAGCAGCTTTCCAGCCATGAACCGGAAGGGCCTCGCCCCAGAGAAGGAGAGCCTGTAGAAGAACGGCGAGTCCGGCGACCTCGAGGCCAAGTAGACCGACAAAGGAGTAAGCAAGCGACATCGCTGCATCTATCGACGATGTCACTGTAATCTTCTCTAGGTTTCCAGGGAAATGGGACAAGTAGACCTCCCTCTCGACAACTCTAGTATGATGCAGTTTCCCCAGCCTAAGCAGATCATTATGCTCAACAAAATCGCCATTTCCGGCGAGATCTCCACGGTGATGGCCGCGGCGATCGTGTCGCTGACCATCGTCACACACAGCAACGTAAACTGCGCGAGAGCGCACAGGAAGACGTCCCTCGAGCCTTCTATTCGGCGCCCGCCCACATTCAGCAAGAAGAGATGGCCACAGAACTTGTGGTTCAAATCGGAGCAGAAACACCATGGCTATCGAAGGCACGGAGGACAGCTTTACCTAGCCATGACCTCACGGCTTCCATGCATGCGCAGTTCCTTCTCCCGACCTCGGAGTCTGCATCAGTCTGAGAGAAAGCACGAGTGTGCAGTATGCGGCATCTGAGCAACATTCCATGGCAATGCCAGTACGCCGGAGCTGGTAACGGTCTTTCTTCTTTCGACTGCTCACTTCCATTTCTCAGCAGTCGATCTCGAAGAAAAATTGATGGGCCGCGTTCTAAACTATGCGGGAAGAAGAGGCGGAGAGTGATGCGAAGGCGTTGTTCGTCTTCTTCCCCGGCTAGCAGGTGGCCTCGTTCGCCGCCGGCGGGAAGGGAACAGAGGGCCATTCAATGGGCTGCCCCAGGTAAATGAATGCCCAGTGGTAATGTGCCCAGTTTGGGTTGGGGTTTCTTACTCCCACGGTGGGATGAGTCTATCACTCATCTTAAAAATCCACTGTTTCTGCCATAATTAGAAAATATTCAATTTTTTATTTAGGCCCAGAAAAAATGGGTTGCCTTTATTTTTCTTCTAAAATCCAAAAAAGAGGTCAACGCTCGCGTTAGATCACCATTTGGACTGTGCATAAAAGCGAGTGAAAATCATGAAATAATATATATTTCCAATACGCTATGAATATTATTGATAAATATTCAGCATAAAGTGGTCGCTCATTATGTGCCACCATCTCTAACTATAAAATCCAAATCACAAGGCACTAAGTGTCCATTAAATTAGCGTATAATTCCTAGAAACGTCGAGTATTAGAAGATAAATATCTTAATTGCATAACCCAACTTTGATCGATGAGAAATTAGATAATGAGCCAACCATTTTTCCATTTCACAATAATGGTTTAAGCTTCCTACAAAAAAAAGTACCTATACTTACACGTTGAAAAGAATGAGAAAGAATGAAACAAAGAAGGCCAAGAAAATGCGAAAATTAAACTTTATATATATAAAAAACAGTATATTAAATATTTGAGTCCTCCAAAACGATGAAATAATAATGCTTATTTGAATCTAAAAGCATAGAAAAATATTTCTAGATAATCAAAAATTTCATTACTGCTTGTACTGCCGGATGTCTTAAGCACGTGGGCAATAAAATAAACCAAGATTAATTATTACTCTCTTGCAACGTAGAATCAACTAAAAAAACGAATTAAACAGGAAAACAATATTAATCATACGAAACTACCAAGCTATCCGTGTGTTTTGGGCCTGCTAAGTTGGATTATGGTCTTGAACGCATTCCAGGCTTCCAGACCTTTGTACTTGATGCTTTCACATTTCAGTCCATCTGGGCCACTAGTCTAGAGAGAGAGAGAGAGAGAGAGACTATGATGCGTTTGATAAAGCGAATTCCTTTGAGGTGACGTTTCCCTTAAAAGAACTTACAGATGCAGAAGGGGGGATTGTGTCCAGATCTACCGCCTGATGAACGTTGATAGCGCCGCCTGGATGGGGCTGTGGCGCACCAGGGCTTGCCGCCGGTTCAGAGAATGCGGGCCCCTCCAGACAGACCTGGAATCTTTGCTGAAGAGCGTCCGGCATATCTGCAAGACCGCAAGGTTCTCCTGATGCAAGGGATCCTCGTACAAGCTGATCTCCCCACCATCCGACGCTGACTCCTGCAGCAAGTCAACCTCCCTCGTCAGCCACTGATCGCCCTGTAAGACTCACAAAATTCTGAAACCCTGGTAGAAAAAATCACCATCAGCTCATCCTCTGTTTCCTCCCGAAGCCCCCCGAGAGTTTGCAGCTGCTCGTCTGCAGAAGCTCCTCTCTGGTTACCAGCAAGCAGCAACTCATCCCCTGTGATGGGCTCTTGTACCTCGACAGGTTGCCCAAGGCCCTGTGAGGGCTCTTCGTCGACAAGATGCCCGGAAGCTTCCTCACCAGTGTTTGCTATTCTGAGACCCTCGCTTTCACTAATCTCTTGCTTCACTTGTTCGCCAGCAGGCGGCTGTTCAGGGGTAGTAACCGCTCCCTCGTTTTCAGCTTCGTCTGCATCTGCAATTGCATCGGGCTCCCGAGACTGATCCAAGCTTGAGGAAGTATGATCACTGGGGCTGTTCTCCACCGGGTAGCTCTTCTGCAGGGTAAGGCCAGGGATTCAGACATAATCTTGGGGCACTAGATTATGTAGAAGCCGGAAGAAGTAATTCAAACATGCCCCACGAATAAAATAATATAAAGTCGAAGGATGTACAAGATATAGATGCAAAGTTATTCAGAAAATTACACATATGATTATCAGAGATCTCAGGTTTGAAGTTCAGAAAAAGAGATGGAATCAGAGACAATCAAAGAACCGCGGATGAGCCTCACTAAAATAAAACTATTTATGTTATTCTTAAAAAAGTAAAACTTTCTCAAAATATGCTCCCCAGCAGAGATCTGAATCCTTTAGATAAACAACGCCATGCTCCCCATGCCCTTCAGAATCATACAAAGATATAAGGGAACAGGCATATTCCTACCCTCTCCTTAGTCAACATCAAACAAATCCATATTACATTTGTGGAAGAACATTGCGAAATCTTCTTTATCGATGAAATATTTTTTCATTAAAGTGTTGTGCAGACTGGAATGAGGGGTTCTTGTTCTTAGATTGATTTAGTTGATATAACTATTCCTAGACAACGTTATCCAGCTTTGGTAGGGATGACAGAAAATAATTTAAGGTATTATCTGTGCTCCAGATTATAAAATAAAAAAAAAACTAATGTCAGGTAAACCTCTTCCTTGAACTCTGGTCCGAGATTATCATCACATGCTTCCATCTGTCTCTCGGTCGCCTCTGACAGTCCTTCACGTTCTCTCCTACGTCGCCTCACAACACAAACAGCACAGAGGCATCCACTTTTGTGAAGATCAATTCTGAATAAAAAGTGAAACTTCGTCAGTAGGAATGGTATCCTGGAAATTTCCCCAGCATACTGCAGTAATATAAAAGGTGGTTTGGATATCTGTCGCTGTGCAGATTAGAAGAATATAGCATGGTTTTCTCTTCCCTGGGCCCTCTATCAAAATTTCAGAGATGAGGCTACTGTCAAATCCAACATTAAATAGGATTATATTGCCAGCAAACAAAGAAAACTGCGGTCGGTCCTAGAATAAACATTAGCTAAGTAAAAGAAACGACGCTCCATGGCTCTTCATTTCCTCCGAGTTATATAGCTGGGAGAAACACAAATAGCCTTCTTATTGGAACTTCCCTCGCACCTTGCAAAGAGAGTCAGGATACAGAGCAACAGAAGAGAGAGACCAAAATATGGAAGGCGCATGTCCCACTAGGTGAAGGCAAACTCGAAATTTTGGGGACAAACCCCAAACCAGGGGCAAACAGGCTGCTCACCTGCTTCAAGCCTTTCTCCATATATCCCATCATAGGATCATGTGCATGATAAAAAGCTCCCTGAAGGGAGTGTACGTATCCAACCTTCCAGTAAATAGAAGTATTAGAACTGGAGGATGATAGCTTTGGCACTAAGTTGAAGGGGTTCTGCATTGTCTGTTCGCACTGCCCTCAGGGTCTGTGGGACATCAATCCAAGAAGAGCCACAGGGGCAGTGCATTAAAGGAAGAAGAGGAACGAACGCATGCTGATAGAACTAGGACCAAAGGATAGGTGCAATGACCCCACGTTGGGGGACATTTGCACAATGACCTCGTGGCGGGATGTGAAGAATCCATGACGATGCAGTTGCTGACTGTTTCAGTTCCTCTAAGGCAGTCACATGGCCCGGCAAGGAAAGGGGGAGGAAAAAGGACAATGCTAGATCAAAACTTGTCTTAACAACATGTATTTATTTTAACATATCACTTTTAATGATATTCGTCCACTTTAAAAAAATAGTTAATAACTCATTGTTTCTCCAATCCTTGCATAATTTAAAAGATAACCTTATCAAATAGACTCCAAATGAAAAAATACTGCACTTTAAGATTCAATGATGTCTTCACAATGGAATCATACGAATCTTCCCCTTGAAAAGTCAGACATTTCTCTAAGCTCAACAAAAACCCACAAATCTCCACGTGCCAGTTAATTCTCATGCTTCCCAAGTCCTAGAAGCCAATACAACAGAGTATATAAGATTATTGCCCTCAAACAGTTTAATTTACAGAAGAAGTTGATTGTACATTTTGAAAGAAGCATAAAAAAAAACGACCAATTGCATCTCCTTCAAGTAATGGAGAAAAGGTTGATAAAGGGTTAATGCCAGTCCCATATTAGAATCCTACCCTAGAATCTTAACTGAGCAGTACGATGCTAAAATTTACACGGGAAAAAACCAAAGTAATCGAACGATTCTGATGATCAACAGTCTGAGTAGAAAGCAGAGAATGGCATAAAATATGTGTTCATCAATTAGAATAAAGAGCATCATTTGGCTGAGAAGACTAACATTAAAAATACAACGGATTAGCTTCAAACCACTAAAACCATAATAAAGAAAAAAAAACCCACCCATGACGCTTCCGCTTAGGCTTTGAGGATTTTCCTTTTAGCTTCACATGTCCCTTCTGTGTGCCAGACTGTGTAGAATTCTCAGCCTGCGCGCTTTCAGTGGGACCTGAATATGAACAAAAAACCGAACAAGTCTAAAGAAACATGCAATGTAAGAAAACAGGAGATTAGACAGTAAAAGTTATTGAAGTATCACAGTCTAATGTTGGTGTGAGTATGCATCTCCAACGTCTGTATCAAGGGAATCTAATCAAAAAAAATATCTCAATGTTTTCTCAAGGCGGACAAAATTGCAACGGATCTATCAAGGTCAACCACAAATGAGATAATACACCTCCCTCCAAATATACGAGGAAATCAAGCTTCACACAAGCATTTACCTCAGCTGCTACCATCCAGTTTTCTAAGAAACGCTACCCTCTTATAAAAAAGTTAGTAACCAAAAAGATCAAATCCTAAACTTCTTTGAATAAAGTACTGTTCATTTCATTTATCTATGAGAGAATGATTGAGTTGGACTCCATTTAGCTCAAGTTGTTCGGTAGCGAGGAGTCAAAGCCATAAGGTCATAGTACTTACTGGATGACAGTTTCAGAGTCCGGAGTACAATTCTGAGTGAGTTTGGCAAACTTAGTTAAGGAGCATTTCCATGATTACCCACAATTATAGATGTAGTTAACAAGAAAACATTTGGACTCGAAAATTTTATCAAAGAACATGTGGCTACCAGAACCATAATTATGTTTACGGTTTGCAACAAATAATTTCAAGCATACAATCGTTTGCCTTTAATAGCGAAAAATAAAAACATATAAAATAGGAAATATAGACGATTAACGTTAAAACTCTATGTTTCTAGACAAGTAATAATAGACAACCCCAAAAAAAATAGATACAAACAGAATTATTAAGGGGAATACTAGAGTCTGCAACCAAAATCTAGCTTTTATATAGTGAACAGCGCTAACTATTTAGTAAGAAAAGTGGTTGGATAGATCCATTACCAGTAAGATCAGTGCTCAGTCCGGCTGCTGTCCAATACTTCATAAAATTCCGTTTCACACGTTTCATAAGGTCCAGAATGTAATCACCCTTATTGTTGTACTTGTAACAATTTTCCCAAATGAACTGCACGTCTTTAAAGATATCCTTGGAATTCAAGTACTTTTGGCCATGTTCAAGATCTTTGCGTATTGTACCGAAATCCATTGGTGTTTCTATGACCTCAAAATAATCCTGACCCAGATGTATGCAAAGAATCCATAAGTGCAAAGAGGGGAAAAAAACTATGTTCAAGATCTTTGCATGTTGTAACAAAATCCATTGACGTTTCTATGACATCGAAAAAATCCTGACCCAGGTCTATGAGATGAATCCATTAACGAAAAAGACAAAATACAATGCGAAATCTAGCAAACCTGAACATTCAGTTCGACTCACAAATCGTTATTTCCATCTCTTCACTTACATCCATTAAAGAATATCTCCTTATGTCACACTGAGAATCGACAGTGAGAGCTTTCTGTCCCAGATTAGAATGCCAACACCATCAAGACAAGAATGCCAAAACAATACCTTGTCTTTGGCCTATTTATCAACAATTCCGAGGTATGGACAGTCTTTTTCTTATATATGTAGCTTAAGTATGAAATTAATTTTCAAGAAGTAAAATTGAAATATAAGTCAATAGTTCAAGATCAAAAATATTTTAAAATTTAAAGCAAATATCTGTAAACAACACAGACCCACAATGTCACATCTTCAGTGATTTTACAGACGATATGCACCCGACAAAGAAATAGAAAATAAATAAAATTTTAGGGTTTAAAAAGACTAAGCATCAATAAGATGGCATTGAGATATTTTGGTTAGCCAAAAAAAACTAAAATACGAAATAAAAATAAACAAGATAAAATATCAAATAATACCGATTTCAACAAGATAAAATATCAAAATGTACCGAATTTTTTAAGTATACAAATGACACCCTAAGCAAAGCATATGAATAATAAAGATAAATGGTATCAGCAAGAAGCACAGAACTACACTCTACTAGTGCAGTATTTCTATAAGTGACGCAAGCTTCTCAACCGGCCCACATCACAGAATTATACATCAATAGAATCATGGCATCATTGGTGTTAAACTTCTAAAGATCTTATCTAGAAAAGAGCAGTGGAAATCATAATACCCTATCTTGTGCGTGCAAAATGTCCTGAAATATACATTCAAAAACATAGCAGCATAACGAATTCAAAGGTGAAGAATCACACACGGAACAGGAGAGGCCATGATACAGGGATACAACACTCTCCTCCGATATTATAACAATTGAAAATGATACATCACAAGTTGTGCATAAGTACTAACAGGTATTCCAAGAGCGACTGGATCTACAGGGGCATTGAAAGGCTCAGCAGCCTCCATCTTCATGATTTTCTTAATTACCTGAATTTTAAGAAACAAGATAGACGAGTTAACCTTGTACCACATTGAATGAAACAAGGTAAGCTCATGAGCAGAGTTCACAGAAACCTTGACTCAGATATTAAAGATCTACAAAGTGATTTATGAAAATAAGAACTAAAGTGATTTATGTTAAAGTTTCCCTAGCTCACCACAAGGGCAGTTCTCAGTTCATTTTCATCATAGCGGGGATCAACACGAGGAGCAGACGTGTCTCTTCGCCGATATTTTATATGAACTGATGATTCTGCAGTCCGTTCGTTGTCAGAGATCCATCGTTCCCTCTCACCTTTAATTTGCAAAGGACTGTTTGCCTTGTCATATTCCTCTGCCATCCCAACATTTGAAGGACGTATTACCCTGGAAGATATGATCTTTATGCTGCCTGCTTTCCTAGGCGATTTACCAGAACTTGTAGGTTGCAAATCAGAGATCCGCCCATCGGAATAATTACTCCCTTCCTTCTTTTCAATACAAGTTTCAGAGGTTGGTAAGACTGGTTTCCCATGGCCTTTTTCTGTCTCGCCCATCTGATTATCTATATTTGTTTTCGAAGGCTCTAATGTTCGTGATGACTTAAGCTTGACTTTCACACGACTGTATCGTGGTTGACTCAATGATGCTTCGTTTGTCGTAATGGGATCAGAATTTGCAGGATTGCTCGTTTCATCCGGTGAAACAGAAGGTAATTCGACCTCATTTTTCGAATTTGTTGGGGAAACATCTCTTTCATCTAAACCCGCATCTTCATCCCCGTTCACGTGAGATGGAGATGACGCTGGATCACTTAAAACTGTTACTGCTTTCTTTTTCCCTTTCTTGTTGCTAGATTTTGAGCCCCTTTTGCGCTTCATATCTTCAAATTTCGCAAAAGAGGAATTTCCGGATATTAAAATATGGACTATGCCAAACTGATGAATTTCAAACTGCCAAGCGCAAACACATCTACCTGAAGCATTTAAAGCTTGTCAGTAAAGACAAACACGCTGAACTAATGAATTTGAAGCCTTAAACAACTAAGGCAAATCGGAAGCGTTCATTCAAAGAAAACACTTACATATGCATGTACTACAAAATAACTAATACTTTAAAACAAACAACAATATTGCTGGATCTGGCTGAGACGTAAAGTCAGCGAAACGGTCCAACGACTACAGAACCAGACCAGGAAAAAAAGAGAGAAATAAATCAACCGGATAGCGACAGACATCCAAGGAAAGGTCTGGCGAACTAGAGAGTAAAACCCTATTCAGAAAGATTCAGAGACCTCCAACGCAGGATTAACCGACGTTTCCGTTCCCTGACGAGAAGAAGTAAACAAATAATTGGACAGAAACCTTACTCTCTAAAACGTAATCAAAAGAACGAAGAAGAAGACGACGAGAGGCTGTGAGAAATCCGTAACCTGGAAGACGAAGGCGACGAGGGAAATTATCTGTATCGAGACACAAAGGACCGATAGTCTGAAGAGATGGTGGCGACGATCAGCATTCCACTGCGTACTTCCTCGACAAGGTTCCTCCTGGGTCGGTGGATCGGGAGGATGGAGAGCACAGCCGGAGATGAAAGGGAAGGGCGGGGCGGCGACAGTAACGGTACTGAATCAATCCCCCGCTCGTTCGTTCCGTACCGTGGCTAGGCCGACCAAAAGGATTCATTATTTCTTTATTGGGCCCATTATGCTCTTATTAGGCCCATTTACTACAGAGTATTTTGGATAATAAAGGTTTTCGATTCAAGGCCCATTTAATTTAATGGGCCTGGATTTACGGTCTCATTCGCCTCGCTGGGCCACATACAGCCGGACGACAGACAAGGAAGCGTCCAACGTCATCGACTCTAATATGAAACGATCGGTCTGTAGGTAATGACCCAGTTTCCCCTCCATCATATGACTGCTAACCGGCCCATTAATATTTACCCTAAATTCCCCAAAGTTGGGACATTAAACTTATTTAACGAGCTGGGAATAAAATCATCTCTCTCTCTCTCTCTCTCTCTCTCTCTCTCTTCTCTCTCTCTCTCTCTCTCTCTCTATCTATCTCTCCCTCTCTCTCCGTATATATATATATATGAGCTTTTATTTGGATATAGAAGAGGACAAGAGTTATGAAGATTAACATAATGTTCTTGAAAAATTGTTTGATAACAAAACTAGAGCTCTTTAAATAAAAAAAAGGAGAAGATTATATCTATTTATATCCTTCTTCTGTCTCCATGCTCCAAAAGACGGCACTACCCTTTTAAGATGCTCCCTTCGGCTGGAAAAATAAAATAAAATAAAATAAATAAATTTATGAAAGCTGATTAAAGGCGTGTTACTCTTTAAATTAATATACCTGCCGTTTGATCACTTAAACTCCTCGTAATGTAGAGCCTTCTCACAGACCTTGTGAACAATCTGCATCACTTATTTAGTTAGGGAATTTCCCACACACAATAGATGGACATAAATTTCTTGGGATTTCATGCAGAAAATATAAATGATAAAGAATAATGATGATATGAAGATCAAGTTACATACTCCCAAGGTACATCCCCAACAAGCATCTGATCACCCTCATTGTCTTCGTAGAGGATGACATAGCTAGTAGAATTCAGCTCATCATCTGGGCTAAGCTCAATGTTGCTAGAGTAATCAACTGAACAAGAAATTCATCAACATGATTGTAAAGCATGTAGTAGAATAATATCTACATGCAAAATAAACACAAAATTTCATGTAAAATTTTCATATTGACAGTTTTAAGATGATAGTATAAGAGAATAATAATTTATTTATTTTTACAAAATAAAAATTGTCAAAAAATAGATAATTCATAGTTTTTTTATGGTATATTCCAACACCCACTGATTTTTTTTGGGCAATACGGCTGTCCTCATAACGAGGAATTTATTGGAAAAAAATGTTTATTCTAAATTTTCAAGATACTAAAATAGATGAAAACCCACTCACCAGACAAGAAATTATGCAACATACTGTGGAGTGCACGAGATAGAGACCCATAATTGGTGTGGGTCATGAGGTCGATTTTTCTTCCCACCCTACATCCTTCTACTTTCACCTTGACGAACATAGTAGAGTTCGAACTGGGCTTCGCCATGTTCTTGGTGTCTGACTTCTTCGATTCTTTGTCAACGTCAATTTCAATACTTGGCCGTAGTGGAGTTGCCAAGTTCTTGCGGAAGGCACGCAGTGGGGGCCATCCAACATTCAACGGGCGTGTGGGAGATCTAGATGATATTATCAACGAAAAAATAAATTATGTTAGAAAATCAACCGTACTCTCCATAAACATAAAATTAACAATATTTATACATTTTTCAGCATTAAAGGTCTAGACTATTCATTCTCATGTTGGAGAAAAGCCCATAAATTTTGCTCCGAGGTCGTCCATTCTTTCTCTCACCTCTAAATTTTTTCGCGTATATTCAGAATGTCTAATTTACGCTCAAAAACCCTCTAACGAGAGAATGTATGATATGTGCCCTTTGTTCAATATCTACAGTGCGCGAGTGCAGTGACGCTGCGCTTGGTCCGAAACTACGCAGAGTGTCAGAAGATGATGGTGTAGCAGAGAAGAGAGGAGGAGGAGGGAGGACGACCAACCTCGGTGTTATGAGGCTATGGTGGTAAGCCGACGAACGCTGCTCCATGGCCGCCGCCGTCTGCTGCCGAGCGGCCAATCTCCAAGGGTCGACGGGACAGCTCATGGCCTCTGAAAACCCCCGCTTGGTTCCAGGGGAGCCACATCCGCCCGTGCGCTGCGGCGGCGCCACCACCGTAGAGGGCCCGCCGCCGCCGGTCGCGCCAGCTTCCCCGCCTTCGCCGCATTCCGCATCTCCAAAACTGTTCGAGGAGATCCCAAGCCTCAGTTCCAGGTGGCTCTCTCCATCCGCTGTCGCTCGTCCTTTCTCTCCTTCCTCGGCGGGCATTTCAAGCTGCCGCCTCTCCATGGTTATCCTCCGGTGCACCTTTCCAGGGGGCAAGCGGGGGCTTGCCACCGTCTCTATCTCCTCGAGGAGGAAGGAGAGGATGGCGGGCAGAGTTAAAAGGGGGAAGAAAGCTCCTTGGGGGACCCCGAAGAGGACGGCTGTGGCCACTAGACCTACGTGGGTCGGGGCGAGAGAAGGGGGGGAGGGGGGGTCCGGGAGGAAGAGGAGGGGAGGTGACGCACCAGGCTTTTGGCCTTTTGCTTTCCGCTCTGCCATTATTCTGTTCCCGTTTCTCCTTTTCTACTTCGTTTGCTGGTTTCACTCTCCTTCACCTCCGAGAACAGTGGCGACACATTTACAGTGCGGAGGCACGTTGGCTCTCGTTGTTTCTTGTGATGGCAGCGTTGTGGATCCCGTCGCAGCAGCTGCCATGGAAGGGGAGGCCCGCTTATGTGACAGGGAAACTCCTACAGTTGTTTCACCGTCATCTCTCATCTCCCACAGTTCACGCAAGGGGAGGAAGCCCACTCCGGTCTGAGATCGCCATACCCGTCGCTTTACGACGGTGCGAGAGCTGACGGGCAGCTCGAGCATCCACTCTGAGTCACGCCGGTGATGCAGAAAGTTTCACCGGCGAGCTTCGCGCCGCATCAGCAGGAAGACCTTTGCGGAGATTTGCGGCTGCTCGGAGATGTGGTGTCCTATTATCTCTATCTTCATCTCCAGTTCTCGAGGCGCGCTAATATTTTACTGCACATTTCATCAGATAAATTCCCTCTTTTGGAAAAGTTTATCCGTTGCATCAACCATTCACAGTTCAACGATATGACGACGATGATCTTTAAATCATATCTGATCTAAAATAATCGCCAAGGATCAGCACGTGCCCTTGTTTACGAATTCCTCTCTCTCTCTCTCTCTCTCTCTCTCTCTCTGTGTCTGGCTGCGGTCTGTGAAGTTTGACGAACAAACGTCACAAGCGGCTTCCATGGGAAAGGAATCGCGGGGGAGATATGCAGGTCAAAATGGCAAACCAATGGGATGCTCTAGCTCGAAAATAATAACGCAGTAGAGAAGACTTGAGGCGTCCTTCTGTGCACCGAACAAGATTATCTTCACGCACTCCCAGCGAGCTCTTTAACGTGCTCTAAGACTAGTTGGTACCCTTCAGATGACGATGAAGAGGACGTGGCGATTTTCTTAGTGACGGGTCGATCATGCTGATCGAATCAGACACGAGATGACCGCGCGAAGATCCCTCGGCAATCGATGAAGGATTGGCACTCTTCTCTCGGAAGATTATCGTACTTAATCGCTTTCAAAGTGATATGATAGTTCGGAAGGTGGCTTTGGATGATTCGTTCTGAAAGGAAGAATCGGCCGAATGGGAATCGATCTGGAGTGAAGCTACTCGATCGACCGAAGCTAGGAACTTAGGAAATCTTTCTCGAGATAGCGCTTGATAATATATTTCTCCATAAAACGCACGCTCGATGGGGTGCGATCACGACGGAGTAGATTTTGTCGGTGGGTATTGCGGATTCGGAAGCATCATTCACTGTACATTTCTTATTTATTCAAAAGCTTTCCCCGCGGTCCAATAATTGATTAAATCAATTCATCTCTCTCTCTCTCTCTCTCCTCCCACTAACTCGATTAAATCTCGATTAAATCTCGGACTTTATTTTTATTGACTGATGACATTAGATTGCCGAATGAAACGGCTGTTATTTGACTTCCCTAAAGATAGGTTATCCTCCTTGATTACTAAAGCATTACTGATTTGCTTTGGGAAAATTCAATCGCCAGTTTGTCCGAATAGTCACCTCTCTCTCTCTCTCTGGGGAAAAGGCCCAGATCATCTCAGCATTCTTCAGCAGCAGACCCATCAAAAATCCCTCGTCAGTGCATACTGCATCTTCGATAGTTGACAGAAGGAGCAACAGGGCCTCAAATTGAGTCCTCTCGAGTGTCCGCTGTCAATCGCCCAGGAGGGAGACGGTCGCACAGTCTTCTCGGCGCCTCGCGGTACGGAGGTCCACCCGTCAACGCCTCTCACACACAAAGTTGTGTCAAAATATGCCGTCGTTGACTGCCACGTCTTAGGAAGAGGCGGGCGATCCACTATGACTCAAGTGGGCAGAATAGATCATTGAACTGTCGGACGACCAACCCACTGAGACTCGCTTCCGGATAATGTCTATAGTCAGTATATAAATACATCTACTTATGATCAATGATCCTAAGCGACGAAGAAATGGTCGCCTCTCGAAATGATGTCAAGGCAGGTCATACTTCACACTCCCCAGGTAAAGACCGCAAGCAGGAGCCATGGGAGCGGCGGCAGTCACCGTCTTCGCATCCAGAATTCTCTTGACTGCATCCATTGAAAGAAAAAGAGAGGAAAAAGAATGAACATTACCCATTTTGGAATTAAATGGGAGGAATTTTTAAAGCTCGAAAAGTGGTGAATTAATGGGGGAGCAGACCATCGCTAATGGTTAGCTGTCCTGTTCCAACAGATTTCAGAACACCCACAAGCAGTCTGACCTGAGAAAAGTGGGCAGAAAAGTCAACAGAACTCTCCGATTGTGGATGATTCCATAGAATGAGCATCACTGAAGATTGAGAAGAGTCAACGGGTGTCCCTCAAGACCAAAATGAAATCAACTTATTGTTCTATCTAAAGTACAAATGTGTGTAATCCAGGTTACCCAGATGTACAGTTGCATTGCATCATTATCTAAAAGGTCGAACAATAAGCCAGTGAATGAGGACAGAAGAGAGCATTGGGTACCTGGTGGTAAAGGAAGGAGCGTGCCCTAGCTGTTATGATGTAGCAACGATGCCTTTTCCTCGCCCCAAATTCTTGATCGCCCTCTGCACCACACCCGGCCATGGAAGCATCTGCGCCAGTTTGGCATTGTTTGGGTAGGGGAGGAAGTGAGTCCCTCAACGATCCCATCTGTTCCCTTTCCTTAATCGATGGGAAGGACAAAGATGGAAGTACTTCGCAAACGTGGAGCTCATCTAGGGTTCTAATCGGCGAGTTTGCCTGTGGATAAAATGGAAAGAGAGCAAAAGCTGGCCAGGTGTTCAACAGCTAAAATACAGAAAAAAATATGCAAACAGAGACAACTAAGGTCAACTCTTCCGAAGGTTTTTCAGTACATTATGTGAAGAGTATTTATCGATGACGCGTTTAAGTGCTTTTGCATGAAGATTATTTATTCACACGTCGTAAAAGAAGAAATCACGTGGGTTTTGGACTGGTTAGTAACAACCACAAAAGTAACAGGATAATATGATAAAATGACTCTATATTATTCGTCTTGAACATACCTGGCAGCCGGCTGCCCTGAATGAGCTGAAATCATGGCATCCCATCAGTACGTCACATGCTTTCTGCAGTAGATTTAACATAATGCCACTCAGTTGACTCGTCCTAAATGCTCTTTAAATAGTATAGTAAAGCAAACAACCTTCATGGCAAGAATGTCCAGTTCCTCGGGCACATGCCAAGCTCGTTCTTTGTCAAATACAGATAATGGTTCTGGTCCGGACAATAATCGATAGAAATATCTACAAATGGAATAAAAAAAAGTCATTATACCCTAAATTTAAGAAGAATGCCATTAATCACTGATTCTAGTGAGACAACAGAGAGCAGACACTAAACCCTTCAACAAAGAGGACTGAACTCCTTGATTTGAGAAAGATTTTGGAATGTTGCACATAAATTTTGAACTAAGACCAAGCCACTCAATTTGGAATGTTCATTTATTTATATTATTAGCTCCGCCCATCCATCCTACCTTAAAAAAAATGATTGTATGCTGATAGAGAGAGAGTATATTTACTTAGTAATGATGCCATCATTAGATAAAGTCGACCAAAATATGAAGGGCAGAGAGGCATCGAAATACAACAGAATTTATGAATAGGTGTTCATTTACTTAGTAATGATGCCAACAATCATTTTTTCCACACCAAGCACAAGCATCATTAACTATGATATCTAACACAAAAAATGTTACTCGAAGCACTATAATAATTTAATTATACCAAACAAGCAAAGGCAGTATTCCATATGACTGATTATTCAGAGTTGGAAAACAAGATCAGATTATCCGGAAGAAACCCAGGCTCGGGAACAAGTTTTTCATTTTTTTCTGATTCGTTTCTACAATAGATCTTACTCGTAAGGTGTGACAATCAGCTCTCCAGCCTTAAATGTATTTTTTCTTAATTGAACATGCTTTTCTGTACAAATATCTGATACCTACGTTCGTTCTTGGGCCTTGAATCTAGCGTGAAAATCAGACGGAATACAGCGTACATCGACCACCGTTATATCACCTTCATTCTTCTGTCATCAAGCAAAATAAGCATCATATTATGATACGTCAAAAAATGATTAAGGAGAAAAAGAGAACTTGTGGTGATACTAAAACTATGTAGACCAGAACCTTCATCTCATGTAAATTACACCAGTGATGGACATGAAAGTCCAATCACTACAACAGTGACAGAAATTGTACGGCATGCCCATAAACATTCTAGCACTGGTTATTATTGTGTAGCAGTGACAAGCATTCTCTCAACTGATAAAGTAAGAAACTATATATGGCATCAAAACTAGGATAATCAATGTAAAACCATAAAAAAATATCAAAAGTATTTCTGAAGATTCCAAACATACAAAAAAAGGAAGGCCAAGAGTATTCACCCGCAAAAAATGGTTAACAGCTCTTCTAACAACTCCAGGTTCATGGGGCAATAGCTGCATTGAAAAGGCATCAACAGTTAACGAGATTAGACGTAGAATGCTAGACTACAAATGAGGCTACACCACTAATGGCGATACTACACATTGCTTAGTAAGAATTGTTTCTTGCTACCAATATATAGAAAAGTGAGATTATACAACTAATTTTCTTCTCGTGACCAAAGATAATTGCTAATGATATGTTCGGAGCCTACTAAGTTTATCGATCCCTTATAGTGGAACTTTCATTCTATTGCTGTCCAATGAACCTTTCAGAGGCTTATATCCAAAGATTATCACTTGAACATAATTCTCATGGAGTCCCAACAGGATAAATTCAACTAAACATGTGCCCTTCAGTTGACTTACTTTTTTCCCAGATGTTACAACTGTCTCCTTAAATGGTCACCAATGTATTTGTGTACTGATCTACAAACCATCAATCTCTTCAAATATAACAGAACATGGGAGTCAAGCTATCCATATCTCACGTGCATTTTACCTGAAAATTTTCTAACTTTTCACCTTGTTAAGTTTCCTTTGAAATGAAGGACCGTGTTCCTTTTTATAGACAAACTATGAAGCACATCCAGCAAGAAAGAAATCATCTGCATTTAGCCTGCAAGTTTTCTGCTAACGCAGACAAATTACCTATGACAGGATACTCATAGATATCCTTCAATTCCCCATGTACGAAAACCATTTTCCTTCAATTTTAAGAGTTGACAGCGGCTGTTGGGTTCACAAGCCTTGCACGTACTTCTTTTCGTGTGAAGCTTGTTGAGCTCTTTCTTGGCTCTTCATTGGAGCCAGCATGTTCACATGCACAACAAAGCCAGATTGATTGTCAGTTTATTTAACCTCTTCTTAAATACATCAGGGACATGGCAATCTCAATGAACTCCTCAAAGTACTCTCCAATATAAAAACAGCATTGATCAAATAGGCAAAATTAGTTAAGGGGGAAATGCTTCGTCACACCAATCCCCTTCCATTGCATCAGTTTGGGGACAGTACTGCAGATGATGATCATTTGAGTGGTTTTATTGACAGACTCGGAACTAAAGAAAGATACTCTAAAAAAGGCTGCCAAAGAGTAATATATGGTCTTTGTTGCAAGTATAATCCTCATAGTTTATTTATGAAAATATTAAAACGAAAAATATTGACCGTTTTTCCTTCTTATTGTCAAGGAAAGAAGAAAATAAAATATTAAAGAAATAAACAAAGCATGTAATACCACTTCTCCTGGCTTCTTTTTGCTTATACGCTCCACATCCACATGGCAAACATTTGACAAAGCATGCACACCTGCATCCTGAGAAAAAATGCCTCATGCTCACGTTCACAGTAAAGAATCATGTCTTCTCAACATAACCACAAAAAATAAAACAGAAAAAAAATAGACGATGCATTGCGTGTACAAAATAGTGTCTGAATAGATTTAGATATTTCCTTCATTGACGAAGTAATCATTGTATTCCTTGGAAGGATTTACTTGTGATGCACCTAGTTCGCCCAACACTTAGCAGGTTCCGAATCCTAAGCTGTTGACAGCACAAATATTGAACTAGATGCGTTCATTATTTATAACCGTGTTAAAAAAATTATAAAATTTTAGGCTGCTAAACCATGTCTAACTCCGCCGACCAGTTGTCACACAGGATCCAAGGCTGTTGCTAAAGAAGAGTCCAAGGTAAACCCCAATATAAAAGCCGGACAGCAAGCACATTTGCAAGGTATTGAGATCACAACCTCGAGATGAATCTAGTAAATGTGCAAACGATTAGTCGTTATGCAGATACGGATCAAAACACAGCATTGGGGTAAATAGTCAACACTATTAAGTATGGCAACTAAGGGGCAAGTAAGTATATATCGTACTTTGTTTTAAGGGTACCTTAATCACACAGAAGTACATAATGTAGGGGAATTGGAATTTCAAAAAAAAAATTACTTGGTTTTAGGTCTTGGGTCAGATCGTCGCAATGCATGAATGATTGGTCTTCATCTAAAAACTGGTCACTTTTCATTAATTAGCATGTCTTTAGCATTTCTATCTGATGACAACACAAAACGAATGATTCTTCAAAAGAAAAGATCAACTGGATACCTGTGAAGGATAGAGCCATCCCCATGTACATGCATTCACAAAAACCAACCTTTTTGTTAGAAAGTATTTCGAAGAATATCACATGATGAGAAACAGCTTGAGAAAATCCACTAGACCGACCCTCACATATTCAGGGTGACCTCTTCTTATATAGGACTTTTTCCATATTCCCAATGAACACAAGGACTACTCTTTTGACAAGAATGACGGAAATGAAAAATAGTTAAATGAAGTTTATCGTTTTTCTTTTAAATTCCAGCTCCACTGGAAAATATATCACTTTCGAAGTAGCTCTTCTCCTGTTTATTGACTGAAGCTTCAGGTAAAGTTAGACGAACGAAATCATCAACCACAATAATCCAACCTTTCTTCCATCTATCTAAAACGTGTTGGTCGACAAGATGTCGCCCGTTAAGCAATAGCTATCTATGTTATAATAATTTTCATATTATTTCAGATAGACATCACCTTCTTCTCCTTACACTCAATTATGAAATCAGATTACGACATTGTTCTAGACGTACTCTTCATTCTCCTGTTTTCTTGGCCTAGTGTTTAAAGTAAAAATAAAAGATTCAACATGAACGCTTTCGCTTCACAACTTACAGTTCGGCTAGAGCAGAATATTGAAACAGGCTGTCCAATGAACTTCTGAAAAGCCTCCTGATAAGTTTAAAAGCAATGGCAGAGAAAGCTCGTTAATGTAGCTTGGAGGACGGGGAAGAGAACAGATAAGCGCATAAACGCCGGCGAGAAGACAAAACTTACCTCCAGAACACCGACGACAGTCCTACAGTTGGGCTGCTGCTGAGAGCCGGAGAAACGCGTGCCGATGTACTCCACTGCCACCAGGTACCTTTGGACCCTAGGGTTCTGGCTCATGTTCCTCGATTCTAGAGGCTGGCAACGATCCTCACCTTCGGCCTCTTCTCCTACCCTCTCCCCTCCCCTTTCTTCAGCGGTTCTCAATATCTTCGCTGGTTTCGGCGACGGCGGCGGGGAGTCCCGGTGGCGCTTTGGTTCGACCTCCGAATCCCGGGAAATGCCCTGTTGTTGCATCGCCGTCGTCAGGTTCCACGAGCAACAAATCTTCGCATGGTTGGGCTCCAAGCGTCGGGGAGTACGCCGCCTCCGCAGTGGCTACGTCTTCTCCGAGCGGGGGCAGGTTCCGCTGGCGCCGCCTGGTTCTCACTTGACCGGTCCAAGGGATCGTTGTTTGCCTAACGCTCGTGTCAATAAAATTTTCAAATACACGATGAATTATTTTAATTTTTCATTTAATAATTTTGCACATGGATAATTATGAAGGAAATTTCATATATTCTGGATGGGGTGGCAATGATTCTGAAGCTACAATACAATCTTTGTCAAGTTGGATCACTGGATTGCTTTTCCATGTTGTCTTTGTGTAAACATAGTTCTTTGGCCACTTTTGGATAGGTTCCCAACCAAAGTTCTTAATGAGACTTATCCATACATAAATATCAAAATAGAGCAAATTAATAACATGTTTATGGGAAAAAAATGGCATTATGTGCCCATCAACTATGAGACTTAGGCAAACCTCCTTGGCATTTATCTAATATTATTTTCAACTTTATCTCATGTTAGGTACAATATGATGGGGTAGTAGTCATAACCTATTATCGGATTTGGCCTATGTCAGTGACACCAAAGTTAGTTCAAGAACACTGAGAAAATATGAAGTCAAAGCACTAACACATACATCAGATGGAATGAATAATTTTTCAAATTGTTGATAATCATAAGAACATGGACAATAACCTTTGTCACATATGACAGAGGGAAGAATGAACGATAGACAATTATTTCACTTTTCATTCACCTTTAACACTTTCTATAAGGATGAACCCTAGACAACTGTTCTAGAATATCATTTAACCTAATTATCTTTATACCTTATAATATAAATTAATATTAGAAAAAGTTAATTTTGAGGTTTATAATAATAAGTTGCTCTCTAGAAGTGATTGTTATATAAGAATACAGGTGAACCAAGTGACATGTAAGTTCATCTTGTTGCTTTATAATTGATCATTTGAAATAGTGCTCCATGCAGGCAAGTTGACCTATCATCTCAACACGTTGAGAAGGCTGGGAATACATATAGTCTTTATCCCTTGCTAGACATATACTAAGATAATTTGCATGCAATCAATATTATTGATCTTGCCTAATGGTGCATGCACCATTGACCAAGAAGGTTAAAGTCACATTGTTTATGTTTCTATAAAGAAGAATGGTAAGTCTACCAATGATAAGCATCATCGAATGAAAATATCATATTTGCTACATCAACAAGAATGTGAACCATCTAGTATAGATAAACAAAGTTCTACGCAAATAATTTGATGGTCAATGAGATGCTGCATAGGTGCACACACACATTAACACTACTAGGTAGAAATGTGTGCATGAATAATGTAGCTCATACATAGTGCAAGTGACTCATATGTAGAAGAGTGTGGCATTAGCAGGCAATACCATCAAACCAAGTGAGGTTCACAAAGTTTTCTCTCTAACTTTGGAGCTAAATTTCATGGTGATGGCATGTTGAGGCCCATTGTCAAATAGGTGATGAATGCATGGAGGGATGCAACATGATGCAATACAATGTGGCATAATACATGATAATATGGGACAAGTGGTGTATGCATAGAAATGTAATGTGGGCATAACTTACACGATTGTTATCTACTTATATACATACTTTGTGCAAGCTTTCCTATGGACCCTACTTCAAGGTTCACTTAAGAAGTATGTGAAGCTCATTGTAGGATGTGAGAAGGTTACCCATGACCTTGAGAAGGTTAGTTTCCACATTTTTTTACACACAAAAAGAAATACATGAAAACATCAAGCTAATTAATATTTTTGTTTTGATTAAAAGTTGCTAGGAGCTAGATGAGTAGTAAGTATAGCTGGCACAAAAAGGAAGAGCTAAGTACAATTCCATATTCCATTTGACTTATGAACTTAATGTATAATAGAGTCACCCTTCCATTGATAAATCCTCTGATTGAGAAACATTTATGCTCATATCTTCTCAATTTTATTATACCTATAACTAACTTTTTTATTTGCAAACTTTCTCTCATTTTGATATTGATGAAACCTATGATTGTAAAGTATTTCACATGTCATTATTGTTGGCTTTTGGAATGTGCGTCAATTTTGATGTTAAAAAAAGATAGAGAGAAGGCTAAAATAATAATCTTATACTTTCAAAATTATGTTTATTCTACACAACTATCTGTAGAGTAATATTACATGACTCATTATATCTTTTTATTCTAAGGAATGAAATCCACTTTGGAGTCAACTCACTTTGATGACTTTATTCTCATAGTGAGAAAGATACCACAAATGGATAAAATGGTAATTTTGTATTCATAAGATTACCTTAAACTTAAGTCAATTATACCCATTTGGGCTTTTAAGTTTTCCTTAGTCATTTAAATTTAATCATAAGAAACAAGTTTGGCACGCTTGATGTGAGAAATGTATAAATTATTATTATAGTAATAGGTAAGGCAACTCACCTAGTAACATATACAAGGGTAAAATGGTAATTTTAATTTATAAAAAACATTTGAACATGTACTCAACCATTGCATACATTGTAAATCCTCAAATCCAATTTATGAAGAATTAATTGGAATTTTAGTGTTTAATTTCCTACAAGAAGTGATTAAAATTAGGTTGTGGGACAATCATAACGAAATAAGAATAAAACTAGCTGGTATAGGACTTCAAAACTAAGTGTTAGAGGGTTGTTATTGGAGTGAATTTTCTGATCAACTAAAAACACATAAATTAAAGGAAAAACATACCTGTAGATATCAACCTCTCAATTGCACCATACAGTAAAAAAATATTCAAAGAACTCAACTTTACACTCTCACAAGCACTTAGTGACACATATCCAAAAATATCATACCACAATAAGAGATTTTGTGTTATTCTCTTACATTTCAATACTTCTAGAACCATAAAAATAGGAGAAATTAACACAACACTAATGTGGTAGAGTTGTGAATCTAGAATAAGTTTGGGGGAATACTTAGGTCAACTAGCAAGTGTTAGTAGGACTTAAGCTTTGGTATTCAATTGAGTACGATCTTGTGTTTGTTGGACATAAGTATTTTATCTTTAGAAATTGGATTTCATCATGTTGACTGAACCATTTAAATTCTTGGTACCACAATTTGATGAGAAATCATAATTTAGGAAATGATTGAATAAATACCAATTCATCTCCTTCTTGATTCTTCTTATATCCTCCTACAAACCGAAAAGTATACCTTATTCACTTAGATTTTCATGATCAAATGACTTTAAAGAGGCAACATTAATTGATACTCGCTCTATTTATTATATCATAGTGATAAATATTTTTACTATTAATTATACTTTAAAATATATACAAATATTGCATGAAATTTCAAATATAATTATGATTATCTATCAAATGTATCAATCACATTATTTTTTATTCATATAAAAATTATTTATAGAAAATAAATCACATTATTTATATACAAAAAATATTGAAAATTTGAACTTTATTAACCAACTAGACATTCTAAAATGCTACCCATGAAATGCCATTTGACATCATTTATTGTCTGATATGTTGCACATGTAGTCTTCCCATCGATAATCTCATAAAATATGTACCACGCACGAATGCACATCAGTTGATTTATTCGGGCCATTTGAGGTCATAGGCGAAGGGTAGTAGACAAGGGGAGGCGGCCGGCACGTGGCAGGCCCGTCCCGTGACGACCTGGGGAGATGGATCAATCCCGAGGACCAAAATATCGAAATTTCATCGCTAAGCGTACGGACCATTCCGAGGCCAACTTGGCCGGGCCGGGACCGGGTAAAGATTGCGGGGCCCGAACGTCCACGTGGGTTATTAGAATTGGCCGAGAAGGGCGGTTGCGGTCCGGCAAAAGGTCTTCAGTGGACGCGGCCCAAAACAGACCGCGGACGATACGCATCGTCCGATCTGGATCGGACGGCTCTGAAGGTTCTGACCTCTCAGCGTGGAAGACCACAGTGGCCTTCCGTTTTCTTTCTCCGTGACGGATGATTTGTCCGGCCATTCCCGACTTGCGAAGACACTAGCGCTTTGCCGGTGAAGAGAGAAGAAGATCGGAGATGAGAGGAATGGGGAGCGGCGGTGCTACAGGCGGAGGGCTCCGGCACCACAGTGGCGGCATCCTACGGACGGCTTCGCGACATCCCCGTCGCTGCGCCAGGTTGCAGGCTCTGTCGAGGTCACCGCCCTACTCCAGCGAGTTCGCTGTTCTCGGTCTGAGTCCATTTGCATCCGCCAGCGACGTCAAGCGCGCCTACAAGAGATTAGCTCTCAAGGTAATAGGATCCAGAGATGAAAACGAAGAAACTCGATGGAGCGGGTGGCTAAAAGGCCGATCATCTGTGGATTTAGGACGTTTTTGTGATTTCTGAACGGTGAGTCGATAGAGCACAGAATAATTTAGGCTTTCTCTTGACTGATTTTGCCTAGTATCATCCGGACGTGATCCGTGGAGAGACGGGGCACGAGAAGGAGGAGACCTTCAAGGAGATCAAATCTGCATACGAGGTAAGCACCTCATATCTCCTCTCTGTTCGTACACCGATTCGCGAAGGAGGACACTGTGAACAGCAGACGGTGGTCTTGGTATGTTCGGACTCCAGACTATCTTCTGGATTTGTGCTTTCCACGTCTCATACAAGCAGGAACAAACCTAATCCGTTCATCTGCTTCGATATTGCCGTTAATAAACCTGTTTTAAAATGGAAAAAAGACGCTTCAATCATTCATGAATTCCATCTCCGTCATACCTTCGGATATCCCGTGGATTTCCATGTTGGCACGGCAACACATTGGGACGTGGCCGTCACGTTGCGTTACGCTCCACTTTCAGAGAAACGGGGAAATCACCGGTTCAATCTGAGATTCTGACCTCTCCCATGTGTAGCGGCCCGTCAGTTTCTGTGATCCACAGGATATCTGGTGATTGACACTTTTAGCCCTCCCATGTCATTTTCCCCTCACATGATCATTCATCAAATGTAGCTGATGTTTTGTCCTCACAACGAAAAGGATACGATCCATAAAAATGAGACAATTATTTATGAACTAGAATATTAGATCGCGTGATTTGCATCTGATTTTCGTTGACTTTCGTCTCGTTTTCATCTCACGCATGCACACAGAGTCTCATGGCGAAGCTCGAGGGAGAGTCCGCGCAGCCAAGTGGTGGCCATGGAGATCATGATGAATGGGACGAGTGGGATGAATGGATGGGCTTCGAAGGAGGAACCCCTATCTTCTTTACGCCTTCCTAGCTCTTCACATAATCTGATGACCATTGTCTTAGCTCAAATCATTTCATGTAAAACTGTACATTTGGGAGAAGAAAACTAATGTTACTGGAAATATCATACGGCTTATGAAGGTTTGACATTTTATTTTTGGTCGTCCCTCAAATAATGCTCATATCCATGGTTTTATGATCGTTCCATCCTTGTAAAGATTGTAAAGTGAGCTATTACTCCCATATCATTTTTATTTTAATTAATTAATTTGTTGATGACGAAAGTATCCTAGCGCTAATTGTTGACGGCCGTAGTATATCAACTAAAACGTATTTTCTGGAATAAAAAAATATTAACTTTTTTATTTATTGCAATGTGATACTCTACTGAGTCTTGAAGGAACAATCACGAAATCGTGTGATGCTTTTTGCGATGTACGAGTCGGGGAACGCCGAGTTATCCCGAATTTTCTGCGACAGACCGTACTTCCCATTTTGGACCTGATCTGGTGAAATGAGTTGAGAAGAGGCTGGGCCGCACCTGGGCCTATCGGGACCACGGAGAGCCGAAATCCGCTCCAAATGGGTCCTCATCGATGGTGGCCCATTCGGGGGGCTGGTCCACCCGTGGGGATTCCCCAGCCGGCGGGTTCGACCCCGAGCCACGCCGGTTCGGATTCCTCCGAGTCTTCTGCCACGTGGCGACCGAGCATGGCTCCACGCCGCTACCCCTACGTTGTTTCAAACGAGGGAAGCCACGGGGGCGGAGAATATGAGTAGAAAAGAGAGAGAGAGAGAGAGAGAGAGAGAGAGAGAGAGAGAGAGTGCGAGCGCGACACACAACGCAAGACAACGAATGCTTCTTCGCGGAGGGGAGCGGACTCGAAAACGAGCGGGCATTTCGTTCTCGTTCCCCCCTTTTCTTGCCGGCCGCTGCCCGCCGGCGCCTCCGGGAAGGCCTCGTCTCGTCAGAAGTGCGATAAAGATTTGAATCTCGGGCTGCCCCGGGAGAGCCTCCGGCTGCGTTGGTGTGCCTCGCGTCGGCACGTCCACCTCCTCAGGCGTTTCGCGCCACCGAATTAGCAGGGTGTTCTAGGTTTCGGAGTTCCTGGCCTTCGAGACGTCGCAGGTATGGGTTGCTACTATGGCCATTATTTTCTCGTAGAATTGGTGATCTTTGTGAGTTGGTCGTCTGGAGAGTTCTTATTTGAACCCCTCCGCGGTCAGCACATGAGCAGATTCCGTTAGATGCCAATGTTATACGATTCTCTTTGTGTTCGGAGATGTAATTGTGGATGTGTCACCTCCTATCGTATCGCTATCGCTGTTTGGTGTTTTCTGGGTGGTCTTTTTGCTTGTTTCGGTGGTCGGAAGCGTATGCCAGGATAGCTTGGCATCGACCTAGATCTGTGATAGCTTGGCATGCTTCTCGCAATCCTTCTCATCTTCAATTTTTGGTTCAAATATTTAACTGGAAGATGACGATGCTGTGAATTCACGGACCCTATTCATCGAGCAGCGAAGGATCTGATAAATACATTTTCATTTAAAAAGCGTTGGAAGTGAAAAGACAATCCCTCGGGATGTACTTGCCCTGTTTTCGTTTAAGTTTTTGACGTGGGGATTGGACCTTTCAGAGTTCTCTTTCCGCTTGAAATTTCATCCTTATTTGGAAGACAATGACAAATAATATTATATTGCACTCAGTGATCAGATAAATTTCGGGCAGTGATCTGTTTATGTTTCGTAATCTCTTTTTCTTTTACGCGTTATGTTTTACTCGCATTGAACTATATCTTTCATTTGATCCACCACTGCTTTTGTTCTGTATCTAAGGAAGAAAGTATCGGTAATGTCTCACTCGAGAATTTTACCGAACATTATATCATTGGTAAAAGTTTCATGGCTGCCTGATTTTGGTGGTCTTAAGGAAGATATTTTTCTATGGTGTGCTGAAAATTTCTCTTTCTCAGGTCAAATTTAGATGTTGATGCTCCAGATCTGGGTTCTTGCTTGTAGTCGATCATAGGAATCAGAAGATGCCTCTCTATAAAAGAACATATTTTCCTCCAGTGAAGCAACCCGAGGGTTTGGATCCTGATGAACTTGTTTTCCAAGTTCGTTTTACAAAAGAAATATTCAGAGACTACCAGTATCCTTTTTGAATTTGTTCATAATGCATGATTCTCACGAGCTTGGCTTTCTATGATTTTTTATTCGGAATTTTTCTTTATTGAGCTCATATTATTAGTTTTTTGTCATTTTCCAGGGGATACATTTTATTGTGCTCTTTGATTTTGATACCCAATGATACTGCTTACTTGATGACGCTTTCCTATTTATCAATGCGGTTTTTTATCAATTTGACTTCGGCTACCCTAAAAAAATAATTGATTTGAGAGAGTGGGGCTAATCTCACAGTATTAATTGGAGATTAATTTTTTCCCTAAGTAACTATTTTTTTTCGTCAGATATAGCGATATAGATTTTTTTTGCTGTGCTGACATTCCATGAAATTTTCACTTTTCAAAGAAGAGTGTATAAGTTTTGACAGTAAGAATGGAAAAATCTCACCTGAAAGAGTTGAAATCAAACGAGAAAAATAATAAAATATGAATATTTCTCATGAGAATTTGATGTGTACCAACTGAGAGACGATGGATCCTCCAATGGCGCAGTGTACTAAATTTACAGTAGAAAAGATTTGGTGTAACATGAACAGATGAAAGAGCAGAGGATTAGATGGACCCTGCTTTGGAAGGTAGGGAACCAGATGTGAAGGATGATTCCATTATATATATATATATATATATATATATATATATATATATATATATATATGGATACACGTATATATATGTGTGTATATATATGTATATATATTCTCCGGTTTTGTACTGTCTACGTTTTTGTAAACCATTATACTCTCTGAGATAAGAGTTATGACCTCCATATTCGATGTTTAATTTGTAAAATCATCCCCAGGGGTTCCAAGTGGATTCTACAGAAGCTAACATGTAAAAGAGCTCTTGTCATTGGGATTCACATAAGTAATCTAGAAGAGTTAAAGACATCATGGGAAGCAAACGAAAATACAAAGCTCAGAGGGCCCACATTAGTTAAATGCCAACAGGAAACTTGATTTCTCTAATCTTTTTTTCTAGTCCTGTAACCATGAAGACCTCTGAAGTAAGGGAACATATGCCATTGTCATAAGCCTTTTAACTGGACTAGAGCATAATCAATGAGGAAAGGATGCCCAGAGAGTGGTTGCATAAGGAGAACAAGGCCATAAAGAGAGGTACCCATGGTATTGTAAATAATTAAAGCAGACATGGCACCTTCTCCTGAGTGACTTGGAGTTGAGAGATATGTAAGTGAGTACTGGTAAATTTTATTAGTTTTATTTTGGGTTAGCATACACTCCAAAGTTGAACAGTTATCCAAAAGATCCTTAAAGAATGTAAATAGATAGTAAATCTAATTTGTTATCCATGCATGCAAACGGATTAAGTATACTCTTTAGTGTGAAATTTCCTTGAATCAAGATTAGGGAATATCTAAACAGGTTGAACTTCTATCGCCAGAGGGTATGGACTTGTAAGGCGACTGGGAAAACTAACTTGACTTATGAAGAAGCTTTGGTATCAGAGCATCGTGCAAGTGAGAAGGTTCAACAAATTCCGAAAGAATTAGCAGCTCCCATACTGCAAGAAGTTCAATACAGTAAGAGATTTGAATTATATTTATCCCTCATTTTTCTTGTTCTTCCGTTTATTTCATGTATAAGGTATTTCGCTGCTTGGGACATTTAATGCAATATCCTGTATTACTTTTGATTGTGATACGATTGTTTGTGAAGGTTGGGGGGCACCTTCGCTTCGCTTCATCTTTTTTTTTTTTTGGGACAGTAAAAGTGTTTAGAAATGGCTGTTGAGTGCCACCTAGTTCTTGCCAAAAGTCTGGGTGAGGATGTAATCTTTTTGTGCGTTTAAGTTGGATAGTGTTTTCTCGACATACAGTTAACTGTAGTACAACTGTAAGTCATTGATGTTTAGAGATTCGATATTCTTGCTGTTCAAACTTTGATAAGAACGTTAATAAAAACACAATATTGAGATGTAGGTATCATTGTTCTATTCGCAGATGGAAAGAGCAGAGAAGAATGTTTATGTATAATAAGGTTCAAAAAATTTCTGTCAATCTTATCTGTTTGACGGATAGCTCAGATGTCTAGTTTGCTTCTTGTTGTGAGATAATGTAGCTTCAAGGATCATTGAATTTATTACAGTGTTAGTCAAGTGAAGACCAATGAAGCATACCATTTCCATTTTAACTTTTCCTTGAGGTCCAATAAATTTTCTGTGGAAGCGAAATTACCATTTCAGCCTTTGACGCTTGATAAGAATCTCTTAAGCATTCGTTAATTCTTAAGCGAAGTTTTTCGCCAAGCTTGAGGCTTGGTGAAAATTTTAATATATTGGCCTGTTAGGGAAAGCAAAGAGGGAAGTAACCAGTCCCTCTTAGCAGTCCTCTAGTAAATTGAAAAGGCTACACAAGCACGCGCATTCTCACATATTGATTGAATTAAAAAGTGTGCAATTCGGGTTGTACCTTTCTTTTATTAGCATTTACTCCATCAACAGTTAGAAATTAACCTTTTTTTGTCGTTTACTGTTTCTTCATCCATATCCAGCATTGGCTTTGAGATTCTCATCTCTATTTACTTATTTCATTTGATATCAACTCAACTGAATACCATTATTCACCACTTTCGTAGAGTACACATCCAAACATTACTTCTAGCCTTTATTTACTTGCTCCAATCGTAGCCAATTATAGCCAATCATTACAATTTTAGTTCAGGGGAAAAAAATATCCGAGTTCCTAACCCCAACAAATACTGCATTGGTTTAACCAGGTCGAAGTTGGCCGGATGGAAGGGTGGGTAGATTTAGAGGGTGTTAAATAAAACAAATTCTGGCTCGTTTTCGTCAGAGTCACTTGTGATATCAGCTAAGGGCTGCGGATGCCAAATAATCCCCTGGATTTTTTTGGTGACTATGACCAATTTAATTCCAACTTGGATTTGTTAGTTGTGCAAAACACGGGTTCTATCCTAGTGCGAGTTGCTCTTTGCAGCAAAGGGATGGGTGTGCTAAGAAGTCACACAAAATTTGGTGAAAAAATGATGTAATGTATATTTGTGAGCTTCACTGGTGTTCTCAAACGTGTATCTAAAAATAAGATCACAGGGCACCTCCAGTGGAACGCAGAGGCGCCAAAGCCATGGATAAGAACCCCTCACGATAGGACATCTAGATGACACTTGGAAGACAATGCCTGAGTTTACCATCCTTGTAAGTTCGCATCAAATATCCATCAATCAATTGTACTTCAAGAGAGCAATTCTCACATCACTCTAACAATTTTTCATACCTTGTGACGGAAACGATGGTATCCCTCTGAATACTAGTTGTTGATGCCATATCAGCATTGTCCCTTGGCAATTTTGGTTGTTTATAGGGATTTGGGTTTCTTTACTTGGGGATTATATTCCTTCAAGGTTTTAAATTTACATCTTCTGATAAGAAATCTTGTGGCCTGTTTCTTTTTTTCTTTTGGAATCTAATTGCATGATGTGCTAACATGGATTTTCTCTTTTTTTGCCATTGACGTGAGCGATTCCTATGCGAAATTAGCTGCTCATGACTGTGCTTTCAGAGTTTACAGCGGTATCATTAAGCTCAGATATTCCTTTACCCACTTGAGGATGATTGATATCACCAAATTGGGCATAGTACCTTATGGCTAATCTCACTTCATGTTTGAACCTTTTGATTTTGTTGAAATATTTGAACAAGGAAGCTTTATGATGTTGCAGCTTGGTTTTGGAGATTCTCATGTCGTAAAATCGCACTGTTCTGTAGATACACGTGGGTGTTTGCTTATGTCCATGAGGACATTGTCAGTTGGTCTCCATTTTTGTTGTCCTTCATTATACAATATATTCTAACTAGTTCGTTTCTGTTATTGATCCAGGCACACTAAAGTTGAAGGACCTTGTTAATTCAGTCTCTGCAAAGCTGTTGGAGCGCCTGTTTAAGGGTGCAGACCTTTATGCACAGAAAGGACAGTCTGTTTGTGCATGCAGGATCTTAGAAATTCTCGAAGATGATGACAAGATTCGTTATAAAGTAGGTTGGTTTGGGAAGGATAAGGAGATCACGAGCATTTCAGTCGTTGATTCTGAGGATCTCGTGCGCAAGAAACTACCATTCAGTCGGAGCACTCTGAAATCATTTATAAGGGAAGCTACCTCAAGAAGTGGTCCTTGGGTGATTCACGAGAATATGGCAAAGAAACATGGTATTTCCTCTGATCCTCCTGAAGAGTTGAGAAATAAGCTCTCAGTTCAGAAGGGTCAACACCGTATGCACGGTGGCCAGAAAAATAGTGGCAAGAAAAGAAGAAAATCAGAGTATGTGTCAGGGGAAAGATCGACTCTGATGCAGAAAAGGGCGAAGAGAGGTATTTTGATGAAGTTGAGGTTTGATTTCCTTTTGACACGTACATTTTTTGCTGCTCCGTTGGGTTAAATATGAAATAATAATATGCCGTAATTCGGATGCTGCTTTGGATCATAGGCCTATAAAGAAGATAACCTATTCGTACTGGTTTAAGTTAATATGAAACTTTCTTAGTTTCTATCGCACAGATTTCTTATCCCTGTGGCTATCATTTGCCACTATTTGTGCAACTTTTTGTGTTGTGCTGTCCAAAGTTATACGAGGTAGAGTCGAGGGATGGTTTCTGATTGGGCTTTTTATGTATATGTCCTTTGTTTTCCAGGAGAACAGCAAAGGGAAGAACTCATCAGATACCCAGTCGATGATCTTTTGGTTAAGCCAGGGACAGATGATCCAGTTTTTACTGAACGTCCCACTCCGTGCAGGGAATTCTGTGTGCCAATGGACTGTGTGGGAGACCTTTTGATGGTCTGGGACTTCTGCTCCTCATTTTGTAGGTTGCTGCGCTTGTGGCCATTCTCCCTTGAAGATTTTGAAAAGGCAATATGCCACAAAGATAGTGACTTGGTTTTAGTTGTAGAGTCTCACACTGCAATACTCCGGTTAATTATCCAGAATGAAGGAGACTTTTTCGAGGCCGTGCAACAGAAAAGACGAAAATCGAAGGTGAGAAGTTGAATTCATCCATGTGGATGAGAGTAAGAATGAATATTCTCTATGCTATTTTTACGTCTTGTTGTTCTTAATTTTCATTTTTCCCATGTCAAATTTCAGATAACGCAGACAAACTGGATCGAGTTTTTATGTGACTTCCTGGAAATGGTGGACATTCCAGCGCTATCTGGGCATGTGGCTACGATAAAAAGGGGCCACTATGGTCTTCTGGATCCCCAGGTGAAGCTGGTCATCTTTCGAGAACTGGTTGCAGAGTCTCTGATAACTGATGCTGTGAGAGAGCAGCTAGATGAGTACATCGAACAGCAACGAGAGCTTGGGATTACAAAGAGGGAGGAGCTGAGGAGGAAGAGGGAGGAGCAACAGCCCAAAGCAGAAGAATCTGAGGCAGCAGTGAGGTTAGAATCTGTTGTACAGAATGGGAAGGGAAAATTGTCCCTTTCAGAGGTTCAGAGAAAACTTAATCAGAATGGCTTACCAGCCAACGGATTCCACATCTTGGAAAATGGGTATAGAATCCCGGAGCTGGATCATCCTTCTTCGTCTCTGCTTAAGTTTGACCAGAAGCCTTACATTTTGTCAACCTTACCATCTGAGTTTTCTGCAGATCCAGGGAACGTAAGGTGAGCAACTCAACGAAATTCATTAAAGGGGCTCAATCTGATGGCCGAGGCATTGAGGACGGCAAGAAACAGAGACGAAGCAAGAAGGATAAAGAGAGGGAACCAGAAGAGAAGAGCGTGGGAGAGCAGCTGGTACATGTGAACCGTCTCCCTCTACTCTTCACCCCTCAGCAATTCCTCTCCGCCACATACACACTGAATGAATTGAGTATATTGCATTGGCTAACACTGCAGATTGGGCACATCGATAGTGAGATGGAGAAACGGTTTATACGTTCGAATGCTTTGGGGAAAGATCGAAACCACAACAGATACTGGTTCTTCCGGCGTGATGGGAGACTTTTTGTCGAGAGTGCTGACTTTAAGCAGTGGGGCTACTACGCTTCCAAGCAAGAGGTGATCAAGCGGACTTTTTGCCCAGAAAACCGTCAAACTCGCTCTTGATTCAGCTCGTAGCAGCTTCTTACTCTTTCTATCACCTTCCCAGCTTGATGCGCTCATGGGATCGCTCAATCCAAAAGGGGAGAGAGAGAGGGCGCTCAAAAGGCAGCTGGAGAAATATTACACCAGAATAAGGTATCCATCTACTAGTTGCTTCAGTTTTCCTTTAATAGACTATTTCACCATCTCCTCTCCGTCTGAGTTCGATTCTTTCTCCGTATGTATCCTGTGAAAACTCCGTTTCTCTCAGTTCTGCGCTGCAGAAGAGATCAAAGGACATCGCCCAGAGGATCCTCCTGGAGGAGTCGGTGCTTCGGCGGTCCACTCGAGTTCGTGCGCAGCCGAGGGACAGCCCCGGCATGGCTTTCCTCAGGTACATCAACAAGTGGAAAGAAGACTGAAAAAAAACGGCCACGAGGGTCGACACCAATCCAAAACCGGCAACTTCGGGGTTGACCCAGAAAAGAGACGACCCTATTTATGCCTCTGCTGGACCAGATTCTCCGACGAGCTGCTTGCTGTGGCGGTGTTTCTTCTGGAGCTCCGCCCGAGTGTCTAGTCCGTGCCCGAGCCATTTTTGGAGCTGGTTGAGGCCGAATGCTGTCAGATGATGACCTGGCTCAGATTACATGATCTTCTTCTATTCCTTCCTTCTGTCTGCTAGCAGAAGGTCCATCTCTGCTTCGATGTCTTCAATCGAGACAGCAAGAGCTGAGCTGCGCTGAGCTGCTTTGATCTCTGCTTGTTGGTATTCTCGTGGTTATCTCGGATTTTGGGGGCTTTTGAGTAATCTCCCCCCCTCCCCCCGCCGGTGAGAGGATACGGTGGCAGCGCGACGTGGCCGCCCGCGGGCCGAACCTCAAAACCAGAGGCGCAGAGAGAAGCGTTGGGTGTGGTGGGGGGAGGAAGAGGGAGAAATCTCTCTCCGGCGTCGGAAAGAGAGTGAGTACAAGAGAGAGAGAGAGAGAGGAGGGGCTTTGCGGGTCTTCGTTCTCTCGATCTCTCTCTGGTCTGCAGATGGCCTGCGTCACTCGCTCGGTGATATCCGCCAACGGCGGCGCGTTCCCCTGCCACCGCCGCTGGGGCCTTCATAGGGCGAAGGGCAACGTTAGGCTCTTCACCGTCGCCGGCGGCGGCGGCGGCACGGAAGATTCCGACTGCAATGCGGACGAATGCGCACCTGAGAAGGAGGTCCGGTGAACGAAGCCCTCTCGTACCTTCTCTCACCCCTCGTCATGTTCGTCTTCCTTCTGGCTGGGCCCGCCAGCCACAATTCCTACTATTTGTTCCATTGTTTTTCAAACGCTCAGAGACCTGATTGAACTAGTCGTTTTGGGTTGAATGGACCCGCCACTTGAGGTCTGAGCTACTACTTCGTGCATGGAATCTGATGGAACGGAGCCGCTGATTGTCCTCCGTCTTTCTCGTTTGCGAAATTTCCGACGGAGTTCCTCTGGTTTTCCACGGATACCGAGATCTCCCAATTTCTCTCTTTTTCATCTCGAAAGACGTTCCTTCAAATCGCTCTCTGTATTTCGGGGAAGTCCCGAGCGGCTCCTATTCCATATAAAACCTGCAACTTCTTGGATTCCGGTATGGTTTCGTCACACAAATCACACGAATCACTCCCGACGAATTTTTTTCGTGATCGTGATTGTCTGTCGGTCCCCGTTTCGTAATAATCTGTCCGGGAACTGGGTAAGCAGAGATCGACTCGATCGAATTCCGCTGAGGGCACCCGCCGGATTAGCGGCGTCCTCCCCCATAATCTACCAAAGGTCTGTTCTTTGGCCAATAAAGGTAATTATTGACCTGAAATAACGAAATCTCTGATGAAACCCAGGTCGGGAAGGTGAGCATGGAGTGGCTGGCGGGTGAGAAGACGAAGGTTGTCGGCACCTTCCCCCCTCTGAAGAAGAGCTGGACGGGGTACGTTGAGAAGGACACCGCCGGACAGACCAACATATACTCGATCGAGGTTTGATTCCTCAAACCATCATCGAATTGAAGTCCCTTCTTTGTTTATTCTAACCGGGTTCCGTATTACTCAGCCATCAGTGTACGTCGCAGAGAGCTCTATAAGCTCCGGGACTGCCGGAACATCGTCAGACGGTGCGGACAACATCGCAGCCGTTGTTGCAGGGCTGGCCCTCATCTCCATAGCTGCAGCCTCTTCCATCCTCATCCAAGTTGGGAAGAACTCGCCACCGGTGACGACCACTAAGTATTCTGGGCCGCCTCTCAGCTACTACGTCAACAAGTTCAAGCCTGCGGCTGCTCCGGAGGCCCCGCCCGCCCCCGCGGTGGAGGCAGAGAGCTCCCCGGCCGAGCAGGAGGTTCCCACGGTTGAAGAAGCTCCTCAACCCCAGACACCAGATGTGAGCAGCTCTTGAGCCTCCTACGCGCTCCTGATGAGTTTTGTATGCCACCCACCTGGGCTCGTCGAGTGTAATCCTTCTATAAATACATCTTGACACGGACGATCTTTGCCGATGGTTTGAAGTCGCACGTCTCCAGAATATATATGATTTTTTTGCGGAAAATTAACCTCTGTGAGTGAGCGTGGTTGTAGACAGCTTTGCAGATACTGTCTTTTTTAACACAGGAATCACATAAGATGGCTAAAACACATCAACATAAATCCTGAGCAGACGCAGTCTGCGCCAGACAGCTAGCAGAGAGAGAGAGAGAGAGAGAGAGAGAGAGAGAGAGAGAGAGAAAGAGAGAAGGGCAAATCAATGTGAATGGTTTCTGCATGAGCAGGGTAAATCAATGTGAGTACAGGTTATATATAGGATAGCGGAAAGAGAAGATGCCAGCCATGAAGGAACCAGAACAGCAGTCTGAATGGTTTCTGCAGATATGCCAATCTGAATCCACAGTTCATAGTGTAAATAGTTTACAGACCATCTTACCGAAGAAAGAAACTAGGGATTGAACGCAATTCAGAAGGAGAGAGCAAATGCTCCTACTAATCAGCTGGGGGAGGCATGATGGGTAGAATCCAATGAGGTACACACCTCAAAACGGAATTCTGCTGGCTCCTCCACCATCCCTCTCATCTATTTCTGGTACCTGAGAATCTCCTTAAAGCTCCTGTGATAAGTCTCGATGAAACTGAAGGTCAACTGGGCTCAGGGAGATCATGATGGATACAATCATGTGAGCTTCATACTTCGAAAGGAAACTCTGCTAAATTCTTCACACTCTCATATATTTCGTCTTGTACCGGAAGAAGAACAGTAGACAAGAGCATTGAATCCACATGGACAGGAGATTAAAATAAAATAAAATAATAATAATTGGGAGAAAAACTCGAGCTTCCCTGTACGAATCCTTCTTTAAATAGGAAGAGCTTACACCAAAATTTAACTAGCACTTCCTATTTCTGGATCTCTTATAAGTGAAAATTACTAATCTAGACCTACGAAAAGCATAATAAAGAAATGGCTTTCCCCTCATTCTCCTACGAATAAGAAACTATTAACAGCAGTTGCTAAAAAGAAGCTAGACCTCATGGGAAAATTGCACTGCTGCATTTTGGGCCTTAATGATTTCTAGGGTTTCTGTTCAAAGTCAACATCAACGAATCTTCTGAACTTCTCTGCTATATCCAGATAAAACTGAACGTCAGCTGGCTTCACCCTTCCTATCGCAACCTTAAAATGCTCCATCGATATTTCTGAGATATCAAAGCTCTCCTGAGAATAGTCAGAAGGGTACAGTTAGCTACTGGCCATACTCAAATCGGATAAATAAATTACATGGGTATCCAAACATATGTTTTAGGTAGCCTCAAGACAAAGTCTAACGCCATCTTCCTGTCCAGACGAGGAAATGATTGAGCAAGATACCTCAAGCGCAGCTACCGCAGCCTCTCTGCAGACAAGTTTTATATCTGCGCCAGAGTAGCCTTTCGTAAGACAAGCAAGCTCCCTTGCTGTGACATTACAACTGATGGGCATGCCTCGCATGTGAATGAGGAAGATATCTTCCCGGTCATGCTCGTCTGGGGGCTTCACGTCCAAATGCCTGTCAAAGCGTCCTGTCCAAGGTGTATAGATATTTCAGATTTTGAACGAAGCAGGATTATTCTTCTGATATTCAACGTATACTTAAACCCAAATAATTGATGTCAAACGAAAACTTTAAAACGCAGAACTGCGACATAAAGGCAAAAAGTTATTGTTTTTATTCAAAAGCTCACAATGATACCTGGTCTTAGAAGAGCTGGATCAATCTTATCAGGACGATTAGTAGCAGCAATAACAGTCACTCCAAATCTTTCATCTAAGCCTGCATTGATCCGGAAATTAGTTGACGTCCGGACTAAGTTCTTGATCATCATAGAAAAAATTAATGTCCAGGCCACCCCAAAAAAATAAAAAAGATCTCCAAATACTAATGAAAGGAAGTGATTTTTCATCGACACGGTAAAAATGAAAGGTCGTCCATTTATTTCTCCTTTCCAGTAAACAGACCAGCACGAAAAAATCCATGACGAGAAACAGGCTATATGGACAAGGGAAACAGAGAATCTCCAAGATAATGGGTAACCTTTAGTCTCCGGACAATCTAATTAGTGCACACTGTTGAGTTCCAGAGGGTTGTAAAATGTGGAGAGCGGTAAAATTAAAAAAATCAATGCCATTCCAGATAAATGGCGGCACGTGAATATAAGTAATGGCCCGAGGCTATACCACATTAGGCAATTTTTCTGCAATTTTTTTTGTGGACTAAAAGAAAAACCCGTGAACAGTGCCTGCCAACCTGAAATCTATGCAGTTTTCTTGACTCTGCAAATTTTCCGGCAAAAACGGGCCAGAAAAAGACCTCTTAGTAATTGTAATAAGCATGAATAATCTACATTACTGATGAACATCTTCAGTATATAATGCGCCAAGCATATTTTCAGTGGTGAAAAACTACGTTGAATTGGACATCAAGCAGAAGAAACAAATTAAACAAAATATCACAAAAGATAACCACATAACTAAAAACAAATATCAAAATGAGACAATGTGATAAACTGCATCCCACAAAGTTCATACCATCTAATTCAATTAGGAGCTGATTCATGACCCTGTCTCCTACAGAAGTCCCATCAGTTTCCTGCCCACGAGTGGTAGCAAGTCCATCTATTTCATCAAAGAATATAATAGATGGGGAATTAGCCCTCGCCTTGGAGAACAATGAGCTAATTGCCTTTTCAGATTCACCAACCCATTTACTCAGAAGTTCAGGTCCCTTAACGGCAATAAAGTTCAGTTTAGCTTCAGAAGCTACAGCACGGGCCATCAGTGTCTTGCTGCAACCCGGAGGACCAAATATAAGTAATCCCCTTGGTGGACGGATACCAATCCGCTTAAAAGCATCTGGACATGTTTGAGGCCACTGGACTGCCTCAATCAGTTGCCTTTTCACGCCATTTTGGCCACCCACATCTTCCCAACGGACTTTTGGGACTTCCAGCATCACCTAACAGAGAAACACATGGATCAAGGTTAAATCAGCAGAAAATATTCTCCACATATTATATTCTCTTACCACTCTAAGTCAATGCGTTACCAGTTAACTAGTTTACATGATTCACATGGATTTATGCAAGTATCTGAGTAATTTTTCTCTAAGATGAGTATATAGATAAACTACAGCAAAAAGAATGCCGAATGTTGTAATAACAAAATGTATAGGTCTGCCCCTTATGCAGATTTTGAAGTTTCTAGTTTTCAGTTTGTCAAAAGACGACCCACGATATCGTGTTAAAGAAGTGATCTCCAGCGGCAAACAGAAAAAGGTTTATCCATAATCATCAGTTTACATTTTGACAAGAAATGCTAATGTTTAAAAAAGGTGTACCTCTCTCATGGCACTAGGCCTCACTTTCAGTTTAGCCTGGTCAAAATCTTCCGTTGTTATTTGTAGATCAGATAACTCTTTTGTTGCATAAGTATTATTAAGAATCCCATAATGTTCGGAATCAATATCTTTGGATACCTCTGCATGATCAGATGGATAATTTGAAGATATAGCCATTTTTGACAGGGACAATAGAACAGAGTCCATCTGTTTCACACTGTGCATATTATTGTCTCCCAAATCACAGCCTTGAGGTTCACCTTCATGTTCTTCACGTTTGAGGCATAGCTCCCAATGGGGCTGACCAAGAATACCTACATCTACCCCCTTACTTTTGACATAACGTCGAAGAGCAATCATTGCAGCCTCATTGCAAAGAGCAGATAAATCAGCACCAACAAATCCATGAGTGGCTAAAGCTAAGGATTGAATTTCTTCATAACTGAGATCATGATGCATTCCGTCAAGAATACCAAAAAGTATATCCAGCCTCTGGTCTGGAGTTGGCACTCCTGAAAGTAGACCCAAAGAATCGTAAGTTTATGTTCCTAAAGCTTTACCTGGTTAACCACAGAAGGTTGCAGAAAAGTCATATCTACTTTACTACAAATGAAACAGCTAATGTTTTCAAAATCAATTCAAATTCGGAAAACGCATGGGAATCTTCTAGTCCATTCCAAACGTCATTACAGAAGATATTTGATCAATTAAATCAGTATTTTTCCATGATCAAATTGGTGTTCATTACAGCAATGGAGGAATACATTTCATGTACCTACATATGAGTTTATTGAATGAATCCACGCAACCAGACATTTGGTATTTTTCCAATAATTAAACAAAATTGGGCACAAAAAAGTCCTTCCTAAAGAGAATGAGAATAATAAAAACCTGCACAATAGGATTGAATATACTATCGGGCAAAAACTGTAACTAAAGAGAGAAAAAAGTAGGCCTCCCAAGGAAAACGACGTAAACACCCAAGAAGTGTAGATAAGAAGGAACTTTCTTAAAGGAATTAATAAGTTAAAACGTTCTTTGTCACAGAAAGATTGGTAGGAAAAAAAATGACCATAAGACAGCAAAGTCAAGACGAGAACACAATGGGAGATCTTAATAATATGGAGAGCTAAAATTTTCAAATACACGATAAAGGATGACCTCATCCTTTCAATTAAAGGAAAGGTCATCTTCAGTAATCCTTCAATTCTATCGGAAAAAGACGACCTAGTAGATTTTATTTCTTTCTAACATTGGCTAGGCACAGAAATCTATAAATATTGGAAAAAAATTAGATTCCTGGAGGCACTAAAGAATTAATATTTTTGTGACTTGTTATTGCTGACATAAATTTTTGTATGCATCAGGAGTTGCATAGATTTGAATACATGATCACGGCTTCTATACAAATATTTTTATTATTGACGGTGGAGCATTTTCCTAATGTTGCATGACCAAGAAACCTCAATCAAATTTTTTTAATTGGAGATTACTGGGGAGAATAAATGAAAAAGGATTAATTTACTCTTAAACAGACATTACCTACCATAAGAAATTCCAACTATACAAAAATCAGAAACAAACGCGTATTACCTATTTCAATTTCTTTATCAAGTCTTCCTGGTCGTCTCAAAGCCGGTTCTATGCTTTCAGGCCGATTGGTAGCAGCGATTACAAGTATTCCATCAGACCTGATAATCCCGTCCATCAACTCTAGCAATGTAGCAACAATCCTTCGAGAGAGCCCTTCACCTCCATCTTTCCGTGCAGGAGCAATAGCGTCCAATTCATCAATGAAAACCTTAGGAAAGGTAGGGTTTTCAATCCTAATGGAGGACATTTTCAAAATCACACCAGCAATGGTGTTCCACCAATAATTCTGATATATTATCGCATAGAAAAATAAAACTAACGCAGAAATGACTAGTTTATAATACGTCTGATATGCCAACAATCAACCGTCCAAGATTTGTGCAGAAATGAACCAAGCAAAACTAAAAAGTCCATGAGAGCTAAAGAACTAAATCCGTCACTTTTGGCATCACTTTTGATAATTTCAAAATTTGGGGAGATCGCAAGATCAGTTGAGAGGGAAGGGACCACGACTCAATTGCCCATGCTGTGTGAGTTCATCGTAATCTAATGATGAGACACATAATTCCCTCAGTTGGAGAAGGTTCTATAGTTGTATGTACTGCTACATAAAGCTCTGAGTACTTTTATACTTTATATCAATGATAAACTGCACCAACTACTTTCTTCAAATATGAACCAGCAGCAACCTTCAGAAATTATAAGCATCATAAAAAGAAACATGACAAAAAGTTTTCTAGACATTAATTGAAAGCAGTTTACACATCCTGTCAACTGTTAATCATTTTTTATTTTATGCTAGTGACTAAGATTAGTACCCTACAGCAGATTTATCTTCAGAATGGAACAATATCTATCATATAAACTTTTCAACATTATCTTTTACTCGTGTGCATTACACTCATCTAGCGTGCAATAGAGATCACCTATAACTTCTCTACCTCTGCTCTCTTTCTGTCGGGAATATTATAGAAGACAAAGTGATTGTACTTAAAAAAAAGGATAAAATGGCTAGAAAAAAATGAGTTCTAGTAACAGGATTTTCTTTCCCAGTAGTATTCCGCCATTATCACTTGGACTACAGAGACTAATCATGACCACAAGTGTGTCAACATGGTTATACGGATCAAAATATCATCCAAAATACAGTGCGACATCTAGGGAAATACAACTATATGGACTAAAGCAAATATCAGGCAAAAGACATAGAACACTTCAGTTTAACAGCTGCATAGTTTGCTTCCTCCATCATTGCTGATAGATTTACGTTCTGATGAAATAGTTTTTTTTGTCAAACAGCTTGGCATTACCAAGTAAATGTGACGACATAACGTAATGCATGTTGGCAGTCTGCCATGAACAAGCATAAAGTAATGCAGGAGAGAAAAATCATAAAAAAATAGAAGTTTTAAAAAATGATTGATGAAAAACACTAATTTTCATAGAAACTGTGAATAGAAACAATTCTAACCACGGCAGGAGTTGCTAATCTGGCTGTATCAAACACTTCAAGCAATTTGAGTTCACTTTCTCCATAATACTCGCTTACAATCTCAGGTCCGTTGATAACAAAAAGATTAGCACCAGCATCGCGAGCACAAGAGCAAGCCAATGATGTTTTCCCTGTGCCAGGTGGACCATAAAGAAGTACTCCTCTATATCTGAAACAAACATATAATTCTTAATATTAGGCACCCTACTTAACACATCCTCAGCAGTTTGACCCTTATCCCATCATTTCAACACAATGTTACTGGATGTGAGATGTAAGGAACCAAAATATATTGAAAAAGATATTTTTAATTTAGACACGAAAATAAATAAAATTTATTAAGTAAGCGAACGTAAAAAGCCATACCTTAGCAGAGAGGACTGATGTGAGAATGAAAAACCGATTATTTCCTTTAAGAGCGCATACTCCTTGGATAAGCCACCCACTCTTGGAAAGTTACCTGAATCCTTGAACCTGACGTTCTTATCCACGAGTTTTGATGAAATCATGTCTCCTTTACCTGAAATATCTATGACTGCAGGCATGGGAGTTAGATGAATTTTGGTCCTGTAGTCCACAAGGAAGACATTATGGGACAAGACGTCGGGTGACTTGGCCTCAGGGACGACCAAATTATTCACCTTGCCATAGATCCGACCCTGCTTGGCAATATCATTATCCACTGATTCCTTGATCGAACCCTCGACTTGAAAAATGCAGAGTTGTCCAAATATGGGAAGAGCTAGAACATTCCCTTTCAGAAGATAGCGTCCACGAAACCATCGGATTGCATAGGTCAGTAGTAGTTCATTGCACTTCTCATCCTTAAACCCTTCTCTTATGGCAGATTGACCAATATTTGGAGGGTATTGAAAGCCTGATACATCATCCTGGGATCCCTTAGGAAGCATAGGAGTAGAACCAGGAGAAGAAATCCTTGGCTGATAGCAAGAGGGTGTCTTTGGTGGCGAAACTTCTCTGGATGGAATGAAGCTTGAATTTTTCATGACACAAACAGGAGATGACCTCTCGTTGTAGCCCGTTCGCCCATCATTTTCTCGAACCAATTTCAGATACAGGTCTCTGCTTATGCAGGAGGAGACAGAAGCATCATTTACATTAATTGAACTATCCATATTATCTGTTCCGTGTACAATATATGAAGTGTGGAGATTTCCAATAGGGGAAACAAATAAAATCCTGCCAGCAGCAGGAAAACCCATCGTGCACGAGAGACTCCATGACAGTCTTACTCCATTCTTCAGAACCTACATTGAGGAATCAAAAATCATAGTAATTTCGAACCAAAAAGGTAGATGCAACTTATTTTTTACTATCACAATGATGTTCGCCGATAGCGAATTCCACACTGAGCAAACAAAGAAGTAATTTTCAGAATGGGAACGCACTGGTAACCCTTGTTTTACCTTCTGCGAAGAGAAAACTTTTGCAACGGCGAAGTATCTCCCCGCTTCATTGGTTAGGGAGTCAACAGCATCAAGTCCAAAGTATTCCGCACACCCGTCAGCTAACGAATCAAGGGGAAATTCACCTGAAAGCTGCTTGCCTGAGGCCACAAGCGACACCTACCGACAGCGCAACCATGAAAGAACCAATGGTTAAAACATAAGATACGGCGTATCCCGCTTTTAGTGAACATATCAAAAAACACCTCGCTGGGCAGCGCGGGCAGAGGAGAGTTACCGAAACCAGGGAACCCGGGCGCAGGGATGCGGCAACCATGGCGTTCTCCGAGAGCCAAACATTCGCTCCACCACCTTCCTGCTCCCAAGATGAACACACATCAGCTATTCGCCCCAGGAAAGCAGTCTCGGAGATGAGACCGGGGAATTTCGCGGCGGCCTCCGAGAGGAGTTTCCGGGAGCGCCCTTCGTCTTCCACATCCTCACTCCCCTGCGTTCCATGAGCAGGAGGAGTAGCCGTCCGAATCGCGCGGGTGGGTGGACGTTCTTGCAGACGTGCCTTGGAGGACTTCTTTCCCTTAGAGGACGGCATAGTTTCCCGCGGCGACGACGTGCGAGAGTGCCGATGGATATGTAGGTTATCTAAACTGTCTTTATAAATTTTTTATCCACAAATTTTTCATCTCGTCGATATGTCCGAGTGGTTAAGGAGGCAGACTCGAAATCTGCTGGGCTCTGCCCGCGCAGGTTCGAATCCTGCTGTCGACGCTTTTTTTTAATATCAAAAACCTTAATCCTTTTTTTATCGGAACCCTCCGATCAATCGGCCCAAATTTAACACCAAATCGCCACCGCCTATCTTCTAGTCCCCGTCGCCCCCCCCAGGTGGAACCAAAAGGGAGGTTGACGCTAGAAAAACCAAGCCAGTGTAGCTGCCTCTGGTCGTTCACTTTCTCCCTCTGAAGAGGTCTCCGACGATGGCTGAAGGAAGCGGCGGGCTGGTGCCCCCTCGGTACGACCTAGACGCCAAGTGGGACGCTTGCGTTGACCTCTCCCTCCATCGGTTCGCGTACTCCGCCCTCGCCGGAGCCTTCGGCGGCCTGCTCCTCTTTCGTCGGTGCTCCACTTCTCTCGCTGTCGCCTCTCCCACCACCTCGTTCTTGTTCTGACTGAGTGCACTCATCCGCTCTTCTTCTTGGCATCAGATTCCCTTCCCACGCATCACTACGTTTTCCTTGATCTTTCCTTTGTGCTGAAGTATTAGATTCTCGATCGCATTTTGGATGTATCATTCAAAAACGTTAGGGTTGTATCATTCGGTGCGCATTTAGGATATTTATCGCTCTCTTGCGATGAATTAACGGAGCGGTTGTTGGCAACTTACGGGAAAGATTTTTGTGCTAATTGTGGCTTCGCTTTGTGAATACTTCGAGTGGCGCCGGTTGGTTCTCGCGTCAGAGCCGGGAAGGGGCAGTTGTTATCAAGCTGCGCACATTGAGCTCGTTATTGATTTTCTCCCACATCGCCCCCCGATTCTGAGTTTTCCACTCCTCACTACCTCAAAGTCGCTCCCAATGCCTCCTTTTCTTGTACTGCTGAACAGCTTTTTTTTCTTCTCTCTCTCTCTCTCTCGCCTAAGAAAATATGGCCGGCAGGGATGACCCTTCACATCTGAATCTATCCTGAGGGCAGAACTGTCACGAAAGGAACCGTGATCGTTCGCTTCTGATCGTGTTAGCCATCATTTTTTCACCGTCTATACCTTTATTCCTCCACTCCATGAATGCTGAGGTATGAGTTTAGCCACCTGTTGGCCTAGAAGCCACTGAATGTACAGATTTCCTGTAACAACCAAGCAACTATATAAAACGTTCCATCTCTTCATTTATCACTTAAAAAATTGATCCCTTCACTGCGCCTTTGCATGAATGTCATTGTGTGATGTTATCCCCGTCCAAAGTGGAAGATGCTGAAAACTGGAGTGAACACTTGTTTCTACTTGCAGATGTGCGCTCGTGTTTTGATCTTCAGCGATTACAATGTATTTAGACCTCTTTTACCCTCGAAAAATAATTCTTGTATGCGGAATGCGCTTGTATCTCCGAGGACATCGCTCATGAACCTCAGCATCCTCTTCCTGCAGCCATAGCAGCATCTTTGCAAAATAGTATTTCACTTGAGCCTCTTCTTTGGTTTTTTGACAATTTGGCATCAAATTTTTTTACTGTACTACTCTCAACTTCATGATACCATCATAGACATGTGATCCAATGACACAACACCTGCGGCTTATCAATATTATATAAAATAGCATGTTAAGTGGACGTTAGATTTCCATTAATTATGGTCACAGATTCACATTATTCATATTGGATGCAATAGATGGTTCTGGTTCAATAAAACTCCGGTCCTCTCTATTAGTGCCCTATGTTTTTCATCTCGTGTGCTCAAAGTTGGCCAGCAGTAATCTACTTTTGAATTTGCGTTGAATCCTCTTAGTCCAATGAATTTAAATTGTCACTGATGTTGTCATAATTTTCTGATTTGCGTAGGCACACCAGCGTCACGATGGGCGTCTGTAGCTTTTGGGGCTGGAGTTGGTTTGGGGTCAGCATATATCGAGTGTTCCTACATTTTTAAAGGGTCTTCTCCAAAGCAATCGCCTATTGAAACACCAGCTGTTCGTGCTGCTTCATTTCAAGTAAGATTTCTTGCCTTCCACACTTCTCCTTTGAAATTAGTATCCATACATTTTCTTAATGTTTACAACATCTAATTTAACTCGCGTGGAGAGCCCGTGGGAGATGATAACAACCCTGGGTAAGAAAGAGACTTGGGAAGTAGGGTGTTTTGTGAGGGAAATGGGAAGGCGTGGCTTGGGAAGAAGAAACATGAATAATAAGGATGAATACTTTGCCGAATTCGGTATTTTTTGATGGGGAAATTCTGGCATATGGTACATGTCTTCTTTTTTATTTTGAGTTCAGCATCACTGAAACAAGGAATAGGTGATGTACGCCAGAGAGGGCAATCAAGTTCAATTGCCGCAAGGTCTCACCCAAAATCACTTTGATCCTCAAGCAGCTCTCTTGTTCCTACCATTTTCTCAGTCTGATTCGGCTAAAAGTAAGCGACTTGATGGTTGTTGTCTAACGCGAATGTAGCATACAGCAGTATGTACATGGGACTGCATAGGACGAGCAACAAACCATTATTCTATATAATTCGTAATTTTATCTTTTATCCATGTACATATTGGTTGCTAGATGATGACGCACATAGTTTAATCCGCCTTGTCATGAATCAGGGGTTGCCGATTTAATGGAGTGTTCTTAAGTATACGCCGAGGAGCCCATTCTTAATCTACGATTCTTGTTTCTTTTCAGGAGAAAAGAACTGAGGGATAAGCGTCAGGGCCCCAAGCAGCAAGACTACGACTTTATGGCCGGGCTTGGGGTGAAACCCGTGAGGGCATTTCCGTCGTTTCAACCGAGTTCTCCTGTTACATGATTATTCGCGTTGAAATCATTAGTGCATTCTATGATCTCCACCGATTATCGTAGCATACTTCTTATGGGCAGCTTTGGAAAGATATTCTCCGGCTACAATTTTGTCCCTTTTCCTTCTCGTTTGAGCATCGTCAAGCTTGAATCAAGCGCTCATACCACGCCCTGTGGACCTGGCCGGAGACGACGGCCAACACCACGAGCGCCTCGGACATCTCCACCAACTGGTCCGTAAGAACGGTGCCTCCCACGCGCCGGAGGGCCGACTCCGCCATGACGCGGCCGCCGGGGCCGCCGCCGCCCAGCAACACCCCGCGCGCCGCCGTGTAGACCGCGCCGGCTACCTTGCAGAACACGCCGTCCCCATCCTGCACGCTCTTGGCCAGCACCTTGGCCATTACCTCCCTTTGGGACTGGATATGCCGCCCCTTGGCAACGAGCGTCTCGATTATCTCCTTAACTCCGACGTCAGCGTCGTCGTTCTCCAGCAGACGGCACAGCTCCTTCGCCGAACGGGAGACCGCCTCCTCCACCTCCGCTGCCGGGTTCTCGCCGAGAAGGGTCTGGCGGAGAACCAGGAGGCTGAAGAGAGAGACTCATTTTTGTATCAGAGGAGAGAGGTGAAGTGCAGCAGGGGAGAAGGAAGAAGAGGGCGGTTTGCCGACCTCGTGCAGATGACGATTATCCTCTGGAACTTGATCTGGGCATTCCTCAGTCTTCGAAAGTTGAGCTCCATGGTTTCGGGTATCTCATCCAGGGTCAGCCCTTCCATCCGTCTGACCAGCTTTAACAAGCCGAGCCTAACCAGCAGGTCTACCGTCTCGCCTTTGCATTCAGGTAGTGCACCACCAGTGAAGAACTCTGACAAGCCGAGTCCATGATTTTAACAGGCACCCACCGCAAAAAATATATCTATTTCTAGTTAAAAAAAATGGACGCAAAGATTGAGAAAAATTTGAACACTAGGAATTACCATTACGGGAGGAAGAGTATGGCGTCATTGAAGAGCCATCGCTGCTGCATGCAGAAGAAATGTTCCCCCCGCTCCGAAGGGCAGTGGCAGGCACAAGGGTCTGATGCACCATGGTAAAATCAGCTTAATCACGTAACTTTCGTCGACAACCATCTTCCCCTGCCGATAAGAGATGAGGTACTAACCTGGGCAGTGGCCATGGACATATCGCTGTGTTCTTTCCACTCCGATAAGCTTTCCCTAGTAGATGAGATCCACTGAGCAGTGCGAGTCAGAGTTGTTGCCGCATCAGAGGGAGCCCCATGGCGATTGGTGAATTCCCTCTGCAGATACATCACTCCAGCGGGGCCTCTTATAAATGGTTCGATCATCTGTATCCGCGCTCTGCTGATCTCCTTCTGAAGCACCTGTCAGGGTTGCGTGCCTTTCAGTAAAACGCTATTTTTCCAAGGAAGAAAAATTCATCGCCGATAACATTAACGAAAAACCCAACATAGAGTAGAAAACGTGTTCCCATTGAAGCGAGTGATGTAAAAATCATTATAAAAATGTAAAATGGCAGGAAGTTCTACGTAGCAAAGAGCAGCAAGTTGCTTCAGTCTTAAAGGATAAATAAAGCAATTTGATAGGAATCCTTTGTTTTTTTTTTTTTTCTTCAGATATTAATCAAAAGAAGACCGCACCAGGCCTTCATTGCCATCCATCCCAACATCTTCTCCTGGCTATCCTTTTGTTAGCGGGTATCATTGAGAGACACCAACGAAAAAGAAAGGGCTTGCAGAGAATTGAATCAAAGAGTAAAAACTACACCCATTTTCATAGAAATTGGTCTACAAGGAATGCAAATAACTTCCTGAAATGTGAGAAATGGGAATACAGAGAACATAAGAACCGAAATTCCTACAGGAATGGTTCACAAAAAGAAATATGACTTCCAACTTGTAGAGATATGAATCAGAGCAACAGGGAACGGTTTTTGGGTCTCGAACAGACACCAAAACTTGGAGTTAATACAACATGGGGATATATAACTTGGATCGACATTGAAGAAGAAATGTGTACCTCTATCTGCTCCAGAACAAAGCGCAGACCTTTGACGACTGCAGTTACAAAAGAGCTATTTGTCTTATCATTTTTCTGGGCCACAATTTCTGCCAATTCAGCCAACAACCTTTCATGGGTTCTTTTTATTTCCACTTCATTTGCTGGAGCAGAGAGCTTAAGTAAAATCCCTAATGCATACTCCAATATTCTACCAAGATGACTGACATCATCAGTTCCTGTCTTAAGTACCTAAGCACGCAGACAGAACAGAATGTTCAATTATTTTGTTCACAAAAGCATACAGAACACGAGAATACATTATAACAAGAAAGCCAGACTAATTGCAATCTATGCACATCCAGTAAAAATCCTCACTGAACTATCGACAATTCTGATAAGATAGATAATTGACTTATCAGCCTGGCTCAAGTAACTAAATGTGAAGAAGGAATCATGTTATGATCACTAAAAGTTTCAATGCCAAATAATAGACAGTAAGAACATAAGTGGGTAAGAGAAAATTGACAGGTCAAGCCGATATGACGACACTAAAACGAAACAGAAATAGGATTTTTTTTAAAAAAGAATCGATATACTAGGACTGTAATGAACATGAGGCTGTTTCTTCTAAATGTCTTGACCAGGGAAAGATGACTCACCTGAGATAGAATATCAAGATCAAGGTTGTCAAGAATTTTCTCCTTCCAACTTTTAGGAACCATCCCACAGAGTTCATCTCGTATTTCTTTTACAAGCTCAATCACGTAGCTGTGATCAGGTGTTTCTCTTGTTAACGATTCCATCACAATGTCCCAGAATGCCTTCTCCATTGTCTCTTTTACTTTTGCCTGCAAGCAATTTAAAAAATGCAAGCTACATAAATGCCAATTTTTCATTGGTGCCGACTACTTTAGCAAGGCATTACAACAGATTCTGTCCATACTGAATGATTCTCGGTTACAATCAGCATTGCGTTCTGAAGCAAATAACCAGCCTTTCACAAATCAAAATTAAGCATTCAATGTGGCAATTCAAATTCACAAATGAATTGCATTATGGTCTTTCATATGATGAGTAAACCAGTACGGTTAGAACTTGGATGAGTTTTTCATCCTTGTCTTTATTGGCATCCCAGAGTTGAAGGCTAGTTATTTTCAATAGAGAAGAATTGAATAGGTGAGTAAAGTGGATTATCTAACCTTGAAATTTCCTTCTTTATTGCCAGTGGTGTCGAATCTAAAGTTATCAACGAATGAATGACCACACTGGTGAATGATCTCATTAATGAGAATTTCATCCTCTACGAACTGCTTGTCCTCAGACAGAAGTATTGAACTATTCTCACTTGAAACGCTTGGGTTGTTTTTGGGTGGAGAACCCTCAGCTACAAACAATGAACTGACAACACTGTTTGATTTATCACCATGCTCGATATGAGATTGTTTCATTGTAGTTGGCAGGGGCGCTGCCAATGAGTGCGCATTATAGTCAGACGTCAATTGCTCCGAAGAGATGTGGGCAGTTGAAATTGTTGGACTTCCACTCTCCTTTTCAAACCTCTTGGACCGTGTTTTAGACAAAGCTGACTCCATTCGTTCAACTCCAGCAATACCACACAGCTCTTGTACTTTCTGACGTAAGAGTTGCTGATCCTTAGCAACCTAACATCAATAAAAAAATAAAATAAATATGGTCAACTGATTACAAAAATAAAATATCAATTATCAGAAGGCAAATGAAAAGTACAACAAATAAAGCAAAGTAAATGTATCACCCATGTGGCAGAAGACATAAAATGATATGTAATTACGAAATACTGATGATAAATTTCACATCTGTGTGAAGCCAAATAACATATTACGAAAAGCTAAACATGAATACATCGAAGGCTAATATAGAAAAATAGTAATACAAAAACAGAATGAGTGCCAACAGGACTGGGAAGACACTGATTCAGCATGGTTATCCCACCGGTCGACATGCTATCGGAATAAGTATATAAAAAAATAGACATGCGTGAAGATTAGCTCAAATTTACTTGAAATAAAATAAACCACACTTACCTGGCTTTGAATGGTTGCCACATCAGGATCGAGGGCCAGGTTCTTTTCCACTGGAGTATATTTACTCTGCCGAATCATGGAAAGCTCAAGTTGGCAGGCTGCTCTAATGAGACCCTCCTCCAATGATCTAACATCCCTCGCCTTCCAGGCCACAAAGCAGTAAAGATAGGAACACCACGCTGCATCAAAAGTCTCTATCTGGGATCTGAACGTCTGTCTTCCAGGCAACTGGTGAGATGATATATCTGGCGATGACAGTCTGGATGAGGATATGCTATTTGGGCTATTTAAGATGATACGAACCAACAAGTCAAACTCTCGAATGAATCTAGTCGCGGAATCAGTAAGTCTGATCTCATGCTCTCCATGACCACTGAAAACTGCACCAGGATGGCCCAATATCATATAAGCACAGAGCACCAGTCTCACTGGATACCTCAAAGGGCTACGTAATTCACACATTTTAAGTTCTTTCTTGGACAGTTTTTTCATCGATCCTCTGGCCGGTGTTTGTTTATCAGTTGATGCTCTTTTGTTTGAAGATGACATACGTTTGAGTAGATGGTCTATATTTTCCGGGCCAGATGGATTTGCTGACAACAAGACTTTCAAATAACTTTCTAGCCGATCAAGAAAAGGTCCTACAGTCTCAAGAGTTTCAGGTGATTCAATGCAATGAGCAAGCTGTTCAAATGGCATAGACTTGACAAGATCCCCATTCAACTTTAAAGTCTCAAAGGATTTGGCCAGGGAAAATGTAGTCTTCCTAAACTTTACGAACCATCTCCAACACCTGAGCATGAATTAATAAAAGGTAAATTCTTGATTCTCTAACTAGAAGAAAAACCATGACAAAGCCTTGATTAAAAACTCAAAACCTCACAGTGCTAGCTTTCTAGAAAGAAAGTCATCATGCTCATCCTTCTCGTTCAACAAAACATCACAAGAAGAGCGAGGACTTCCTCTCTGCCTCAGATACTCCGCTCGTTGTCTCTTTGCCTATTTAATCAGCATCTTTGTAAGAAACTCATAAACAGACTGTACATATTAAACCATAAAAAAAAGTACGTTCAATCAATAAAAAGGAGACTCTTTAAAAAGACTTCTGGAAAATACAACAGTCAAAGAAGGAAATCACAGTTGTACATTCTGAAGCTACTTTAAATATGGTAAATTTAAAGTTTCCCTTCAGACATGATTGGCACACATTAGCAACAGATCCCAGAAAAAGGATGAACTTTCACATACCCTCTGAAGCCGCTCTTCCAAATCTTCCTTCATTCTCCTCCTCTCCATTTCTCCTTGATGGAATGTAGATTTGGCCACTCGACGAGCTCGCATGACGTTTGCATGGGCTTGTGTCTTTTCAGCGACCAGCAATCCGAACCGCGTCTGTTCAGCAGCTGCACGTTGTTGGTAAATTGCTACTTGGGTGAGATCTTTGTATATTGTATCCTCGTTGATCCTCTTTATCAAAAACTCAGCCTTCCTATCTTGAATAACAGCCCTTCGTGGCATATGAGCCTAAAAACTAACTTACGATTAGCAACGCCCGGCTGGATGCGCGATTCAGCTTGTGTGCCCAACTCTTTCCTCTCCTTTTGAAGACCCATCTCCGCACCAGTTTCAGCTGCTTGTGGCAGCTCATCCAGTCTGGCTAAGCGCATTTCTGCCTTCTGTAAGAGGCTCAGCCTGCCACTTGGAGTAAATTCTATTCAACTAATGCGCTAAAGAAAACATGCAGACAAAAGGACTGATCTGGTGTGAACAAATGTTCACGAACCTTATAGAATTTATCAACCCAAAACGTGTAAGCAGATCGAAGGAAAACCAGAAAACATGAAGAGAAAAAGTTCAAAAGCTCCACAGAAGACTAAATGTCCACAGAGCGTAGAATCAAATGGGGAGTTTCCAGATGCTGAGAAAAAATACGTCAGTTAGTGGAAAATACCTCTTCTGTTCAGCAGCACAAAGTTTCCCTTCAACCCGTTGGCTTAGGTCCTCATCTTGGGACGAGAGAGATGGGCTTCTGATCTTTAATCTGGCCTTGCTTGACAACCCTTCATGAAATTTCTATCGAAGAAACCATTCGAGATCAGACACAATAACTTTTTGAAGCTAATAGAAAAGGGATCTTCGCAGACAAATGGGAGACAAAAATTGAGGGCTCGGGCATTCAGAGTCCCGATCTTCTAAACCTAAATTATAGAAAATAATCTGCACCGAAAACATTGAAGGGCTCCGACGAAAGAGAATCCTCACTGAAAGTTTTAAAGCAGGTGGCAGTAAAGAGAGAAGGGAAGGAATGAAAGAAATGAGAAAGCAGGTAATGAATCTCCAATAACTTTAAAAATCTATCTAAAGGAGTAAAAATCAAAGTAAAATAAATGACCAAAATTAACTGAATAGACAAAAAATTATCCAAATACGTCCCAAGATCTTAACGAAACTAAAATAAAACGATGAAAATGAAAAACAAATGACGGACTTCCAGCAAATGGAACAGATAATGATATCCAAAGATCAATAACCCAATCACATGACCCAGACTAGAAGGAACATAAGAAAACTCGACTAGTAAGAGCATCAAGTGTATAAGCAAAAGAACTGGAAAATAACGAATGTCACTCTAATCCTTATCTCAACAATAACCAAAAAACTGCTCCGAGATGCTAGGACCTCTCATCACTATGCCAAATATAGAAAGTGACCTTAAAAAGAATGCAAAAAAATTGAGGTCTGCAATCTGACAGTCCGTTTTGGGGTAACTAACTTATAGAACAGGTTAACCATTATCATGACTTCAGTTTATTAAATGCGCTAGTCGTAATGCTTCAATCAATTCAGTGGTATTTATGCAACACTTTGTTCAAACTTTCGATGGAAATCGATGAAATAAAGATGTGAATCAGAGAAAAATAAACTGTCAGCATCATCGTTACAAGAGGTATAAATCAACTCTATGTAGGCACCCAGCAACTGCATTTGCGAAATGATTGGGCATCTATCCAACAGCGACTGAGTCGAGAGACAATGAGAAGGAAAAGGCCGAATTATCCACGTTATAAATGATGTTGATTTAACCGCAAACGCTAAGGGCAAAATCATCACCTCGAGAATATGCAGAAAAAAATAAACGAGAGTTCTCAATCCTAAGGAGGTGTCGTACGAGGAGGTGTTCTCTACCTGCCTCCGGAGATCCGCCTCCCTTAGCTTGGCCTCGATTTCCTCCGCGCTTGTGGGGGCACTCTTCCCCGTGCCCCTTCTCCGGAGCCGCCTCGGTGCCCTGGACGGAGCCGACTCTAATGGAGTCGCCGGATCCCTCGCCGGGAATTCCAAGGCCACGGCAGCGGGCCTCCCATCCTCCGGCCACTCTAAACCAGAGGCAGCGTCCATCGTGGTTCCTCCGGCTTGCTCCGGGGGCGACGAGAAGACGAGGGGCCGACAGACGAAAACAAGAGGCCAGACGGATGCAGTAGGAGTCCACTCCGATGGGAGGAGGGGCCCAAAGGAGGGACAACTGGAGAGGAAGACGAGGAAAGACAACTGGAGAGGAAGACGAGGAAAGACAACTGGAGGGGAGACAAAGATCCGTTCGTCTGTCCCTTTCTTCTAGACAGCGTCACTTTATAGTCACAAACCATGGCATATCGTCACCCCCACTCCCCACTCCCACTGACTGGTCGGGCGGCGCCGCCTACCGGAATCTTCTCCGGCACGCCGCTCCATCGGAAGCAGAGAAGCACGAGTCCAAGACGGGGCCCAGAGTCGACCAAGGCCCCTCTCCTAGCACGACGGGTCAAACTTGAATACATTCCGATCGAACATTTTCCATGTCCCGCTCCATCGAAACCCTGGTGGTAACATCCAGAAAGAAACTGCGGCGTCGAAGAGTTTCCGGGGAGCCGCCACTTGCTCCAATGGGTAATTTCCAGGGTACCCGTGATCGCTCCGAGCGAGCATCGCCTACAAAAGCCGGGGGGCGAGTTGATGTGATACAAGATCGGGGCCTGTGCGGAGCAGTGCGGGAAGAAGAGTCATGGAGAGGAGTGTGCTCGCCGTAGTTCTGGTACTGGTTGTGTCGGTGGCGCTGGGTGGCGCCACGCCCGCCTGGGCCGAATTGAGCGCGAGCCAGTGCGAGCGGGAGACCACGCTCGGGCTCAACGCCTGCAGGCAGCTGCTTTTCGGGCTCCCCCCCAGCAAAGAGTGCTGCCAGCGCATCCGCGTCACCCGCCTGGAGTGCGTGTGCCCCCTGATAACCCCCGAGGTGGCGGCGCTCGTCGGCGTTGACCGCTTAGTCAAGATCATGAAGGGCTGCGGGCGCCCCATTCCCTCCCACTACAAGTGTGGAAGTAAGTAGGAACCATCTTGACTAAGCGTCTGCGGGTCTTCCCCTGCTCCTGACACCTTTCTCCCCTCGTACTTGTTTGTTTTCAGGCATCACTACTCCATGAAGATGAATGACGAGGAGGAAGGAGCTGCAGATTATAGGTAAGCTTCGAATAATGTGGTAATTCGGGTCAATCGATTTGACCGGCTGAGTCGGACCACCTTCGAATTTCGATGTAAAACTTATGGGCTATAATCAAACCTTTTGTAACACTCATGTTTGTGAGGAAAAGCAGAGACGACCGCACTGCTAGCCTTCCGACAGGCTGCAACAATCGGCGAACATATTTACCGCCCACACACGAAGGTTGAAACATGAACAGAGAAGAACGTTAAAATTTAAATAATAGTAATAAAGAACTAAGATAAGGACCAAATCACCGGCGTAAGTGTGTCCACTAACAAAGCGGTTGATGCATGCCGGAGAAGATCCACCAGGTGCACATATCAGAACAAGACAAAAAATAAAAGAAAAAATGATTGGTTCAAGTTATGTACAGAGGTCGCTTCCTGCTGGAAACCAAACTGTGGACCAGACGCGTGGTTTCCATCAGGATCCCCACAAAATCATTCGATCGAGGGGACGACGGTTGTCAAGGTCCCAGCCCTCTGCTAAACGAGAACCGGGCTACTGAATTTATTTATTACTGAGTAATAAATAAAACAGTAATAAAACAGTTAAGTTTCCTTTGTAGTGTAGGCCTCAGTAATAAATAAATTCACAGGTATGTTGTTCGTCGATTGTTGCAGCCTGTCGGAAGGCTAGCAGTGCGGTCTCATTTATTTATTACTGAGGCCTACACTACTAAATCAGACCGGTGAAAAGTAGTGATTTTGTTGCAAAGAGTGTATCACTAGTGACGCAGAAAGATGAAAAGGTTCATTGTAGACTCTGATAGGAACAATCAACATATTCAACAGTAGTGTTGACTTCATCCTCAATAGTCGTTAAAAGTAGAGGCTAAAAGGAAACTTAACTGTTTTACTCGTTTTGGATAGTTCGGACTGAAGATGGTTTTAAAACTAGCCGTCTCTTATCGCGCAATCCTGGAGTGCAGAAGCTCTCTTCTCGCACAGTCACAGTGGGTCAAACATGAATAATTCATTCCTTTTGAAGAACTTCCGTGTCCCGTCCCATCGAAGGTTGGTAGTAGAAACTACAGAGAAACCGCGGCGTCGAAGAATTTCCTGGGTACCGCCACTTGTACCGCCACTTGCTGCGGAGGGTAAGTGAATACGCGTGATCGCTCCGAGCGAGCGTCGCCTACAAAAGCCGGATGGCGGAACCTGGGCGGAGCAGAGCGAGACGGAGAGCGATGGGGAGGAGTGTGCACGCCGTAGTTCTGGTACTGGTGGTGGTGGTGGCGCTGGCGCTGGGAGGCGCCGGGCTTGCCTCGGCCGGCCTGAGCGCGAGTGAGTGCAGGCGGGAGAGGGTGCTCGGGCTCAACGCATGCAAGTCGCTGCTGTTCTGGCGGAGCCCCAGCCCGGAGTGCTGCCTCCGCATCCGCGTCTCCCACCCGGAATGCGTGTGCCCCGTAATAACCCCCAAGCTCGCCGCGCTCGTCGACGTCAACCGCCTCATCAAGATCGTCCGGGGCTGCGGGCGCCCCGTCCCCTCCCACTACAAGTGTGGAAGTAAGTACGAACCATAGAGCAAGGTTCCACGGCGTCTTCGGGCCTTCCCCTGCTCCTGACACCTTTCTCTCCTCGTACTGTTTGTTTTCAGGCATCACTACTCCATGAATATGATTGACGAGGAGGAAGGAGCTGCAGATCTACGGAGAGAGATCGCTCGCCGTGGAGATCATAAATAAACTTTGAATAATGTAGTAATTCAGGTCAATAGATCTGACCTGCTGAGTAGGACCACCTTCATATTGCGATGTAACATTTATGGGCTTGTACCGACCTGCTGAATGCTCATATTTGTGAGGAAAAATAAGAACGACCGCACTGCGAGCCTTCCCACATGTTCGAACAATCTCTGAGGACCTTGACAACCGTCGTCCCCTCGATCGAATGATTTTGTGGGGATCCTGATGGAAACCACGCGTCTGGTCCACAGTTTGGTTTCCAGCAGGAAGCGACCTCTGTACATAACTTGAACCAATCATTTTTTCTTTTATTTTTTGTCTTGTTCTGATATGTGCACCTGGTGGATCTTCTCCGGCATGCATCAACCGCTTTGTTAGTGGACACACTTACGCCGGTGATTTGGTCCTTATCTTAGTTCTTTATTACTATTATTTAAATTTTAACGTTCTTCTCTGTTCATGTTTCAACCTTCGTGTGTGGGCGGTAAATATGTTCGCCGATTGTTGCAGCCTGTCGGAAGGCTAGCAGTGCGGTCGTCTCTGCTTTTCCTCACAAACATGAGTGTTACAAAAGGTTTGATTATAGCCCATAAGTTTTACATCGAAATTCGAAGGTGGTCCGACTCAGCCGGTCAAATCGATTGACCCGAATTACCACATTATTCGAAGCTTACCTATAATCTGCAGCTCCTTCCTCCTCGTCATTCATCTTCATGGAGTAGTGATGCCTGAAAACAAACAAGTACGAGGGGAGAAAGGCGTCAGGAGCAGGGGAAGACCCGCAGACGCTTAGTCAAGATGGTTCCTACTTACTTCCGCACTTGTAGTGGGAGGGAATGGGGCGCCCGCAGCCCTTCATGATCTTGACTAAGCGGTCAACGCCGACGAGCGCCGCCACCTCGGGGGTTATCAGGGGGCACACGCACTCCAGGCGGGTGACGCGGATGCGCTGGCAGCACTCTTTGCTGGGGGGGAGCCCGAAAAGCAGCTGCCTGCAGGCGTTGAGCCCGAGCGTGGTCTCCCGCTCGCACTGGCTCGCCCTCAATTCGGCCCAGGCGGGCGTGGCGCCACCCAGCGCCACCGACACAACCAGTACCAGAACTACGGCGAGCACACTCCTCTCCATGACTCTTCTTCCCGCACTGCTCCGCACAGGCCCCGATCTTGTATCACATCAACTCGCCCTCCGGCTTTTGTAGGCGACGCTCGCTCGGAGTGTTCACGGGTACCCTGGAAATTACCCATTGGAGCAAGTGGCGGCTCCCCGGAAACTCTTCGACGCCGCAGTTTCTTTCTGGATGTTACCACCAGGGTTTCGATGGAGCGGGACATGGAAAATGTTCGATCGGAATGTATTCAAGTTTGACCCGTCGTGCTAGGAGAGGGGCCTTGGTCGACTCTGGGCCCTGTCTTGGACTCGTGCTTCTCTGCTTCCGATGGAGCGGCGTGCCGGAGAAGATGCCGGTAGGCGGCGCCGCCCGACCAGTCAGTGGGAGTGGGGAGTGGGGAGTGGGGGTGACGATATGCCATGGTTTGTGACTATAAAGTGACGCTGTCTAGAAGAAAGGGACAAACGAACGGATCCTTGAATCTGGAGAAGTTTCCTTTGCGATTTTCTCCCGTTTTGCCCCCTCTTCCCATCGGAGTAGACTCATGCTGAGTCTCTCAGGCGTCTTCTTTCGTCTGTCAAGCCCCTGTCGGCGGCACGTGACCTTGCACGACGGGCATGTTGCGGCGGTACGGCCGCATGGCAATACATGATTGGCATTTCATGGAAATAACGCGGATGTGTCCAGCACAGGCGGTCTGTCGGCGGCACGGTTACTGAGCTAAGATCAAAGATTCGTTCTTTAGGATCTTGGAAGAGTCAAGATCAAGGATCTATTCTCTGAATTCTTAAGTAGTGATTATCTTACACTAATTTTTGCATCTAGTGAAGTTTTTTATGGTCGCCTATGGACGTAATAAATTAATCTCCTAAGCACGTAAAATCTTTATGTTAGTACTCTTGTTGTAAGTTATTATTTCTTCTTACTTCACGTTGTGAGCATCGCTGTTATTAAAGTCTATATATGACATCTTGCTCTAACAAACTAGTATTAGAGTGAAATACTAACATCAATTATTGATAGTAATCAAGAGTACATCATTAATGAAATTCAACGTAGAAGTGTTCAATAGAAAGACAACGAT